TTTGTCTTTATATTTCTTCATGACTTAAAAATAAATTGGCTTTTTATAAAAGATTTATGTTAAAAATTATAATTTAAAAGAAAAAAATAAAGAAATATAGATATCTTTATAAGAATTTTAATATGAATCATTTTAATTATGTGTGCCATAAAATTTAACAACAAAAAATAAATAAATCAATAATCAAATAAATCATAAAAAACAAATCTTGGGTTTAAATTTAAAGGATTAGCAATATTCTTCAAAAAGGCTATATAAATATTAATTGTATTGAAGTAAACTTTGTAATATTCTTTGTTTTTTTCTTCTAAAGTTAATTAACTTTTTACATTTTAATTTATCCAAATCACTAAATTTTATTCATTTATCAGGCTGATTAGATTTATTTTTGAAAATGGTAGGTTCAATATAATTAATTTTAATTTTACATATTTATTAAATAATTTTCTTTTCTAATTTTTATAATTAAGCTTGATAATCGTAAAATAGATCGAAGTCAAATATAATTTTTTAAAAGTCTGAGCCTTTGATATTTATTCTTTAATATCTATCACATACATCAAAAATTTAGAATCCTTGAAATTCTGATAAAAGGAAATTCATAATTATGTATTTTGAATTATTATCAATAAATTATTTTGTTAAAAAAATGCATGGGGAACCTTAAAGTTAATTATTATCAAATTAAATTATTGCTTTTTGAAGATTCTCAATATTATCTATTATTATAGGATGTTTTAATTTCCTAATTTATTAAATTTAAAGGCAAATTACAAGAAATAATATAGCTATACTTTTTACAGCATATGTGTAGATTATTTAGTCACTTAAGTTATGTTTTAACAAAAACAAATGTAGTATTAAGTTAGTTGTATGGATAGTTATATAGAGGAGCTTCATATTTCTATCTATTAAAGTTATGAAAGCATATTTATTTAAAATTTTCTTATTATTTTCATAATTTACAAAATAAAAATTCATTATATATTTGAATAAAGCATAAAGATTGAGCCAGTGATTTTAATTATAATTTGATAACTTTATAATACAATTCAATAAATAGACTTGTATAATTAAAGGTAAAATTATTAAATATTTTCTTTAAGTAGTATCTTTTAATGTAGGCTTCAAATAAATTAAAGGTCTTACCTATACGAGGAAAAATGATATAGTAGCAGAAAATATCACATTTTTTATCGAAATTTATTGAATAAGTAAACTATACTAAGATCCATCAAAGCAAATAAAACTTTCATAGATTTATACAAGGTATACTATAGCAATTCTAGATAAAATTATATTTTAATTTTAGGGTTATTGCATAATACAATTGTAAATATGAATACTTATAAGAGCAAAAAAATATCTTTAAAACCATCCTTTTTAATCGTCTTGAATAAAAAAATTTTTAAACTTATCATATCTTATCAAAAAGTAAAAGTCTTCTATTTATAGAAAAGAGAGAAAGCTGACTAGCAAAAATTCAAAACAAATTTAGATGCCAAAATAATACAACGGTCACTATCAAATTCTACAAGTAAAATATCAAATTAAGATTAAAATAAATTTTATTATTGAAACCACAGTATTAGTACTATTTTAATAAATAAATAATATTAAAATTAAATATTAATTTTTTTAATTAATTACCACTACATAGTGAAAAAAATTATAAAGCCATTGAACTTGGTATATTTTGACAAATAAAATAAAAAAATATTTTTTTTGTAAAGAATAATTAATCATTTTTAACTCTCTAGAGATTTATTAATATTTTTGAATTGTAAAATTTTTAGAATTTATTTTTTAGTTATTTATCTAATATTTAATTAATTATAAATTCTAAGAAAAATATTTGATATTTTAAATTGATTTAATGCTTGCTTAACAGAATTTATATAATATATAATATATAATATGATTATTTCTACAAAAATTCTATCAATAAAAATAAATAATCTTATTTAATAATCTCCATACAAAAATTAAAATAAGATATATCCAATAGGGTGGTGGGTAATACTTTTTCCTATATATTACCTAAATTAATATATTTTTCTATCTTTTAAAATATGAATATAAGAATAATATGTATATTTAGCTGAAATAATATTTTATTATCTCAGATTAATAATTAATTCGTGTTTATTTGATATCAGATATTTTATTTTTGTTTAGTAAACGATTTCAACTAATATCAGTAATAAAGTCTTAGAAAGTATTTTATATTAAAGGTTTATTGTATTAGTTAGTCTTTCAAATTTGATCTTAAACAAAAAAGCTTAAAGCTCAATCATTAATAATAAATGGACTAACTAAAATTTGATTTTTCTTTAAATAGTTCAAGGCTTTGTCCAGTTCACAAAAAAATATAAGTATATCTAAATGTTGATACTAAATAGCAGAACACTGACCCTATTTTCATGTGCGTATCATGTGTGCCAAAAGAATTGAACTAATAAAAAAACTAAATTAAGGTAACTCCTCTAGATGATATTCTAAATGATGAAGAAATTTAATTGGATAACTGGTTGATTGATGTAGATTTTGGCAAATTTCATAAGCTGTTTAATCAAGAGCAATTAAAAATCTAATAAGAATTGGATAAGTTTTTCAAAAACTTCAGATCTTCTATAATTAACAAGCTAGACATTTTTGAAAAAAGTGTGAGATAGAGATACGAAGAATTAGAGTTCAACAAAACAAAGATTATCCAATATATTAAAGATAGCTCAATGAAAGAATAAGTTAGAAATATTTTAAAATAAAGCTAAAATTTAGAGCAACAAACTAAATCTTATAAAGAACTGATAAAACATTTAGAAAAGAATAAAAAAGATATCTAAGATAATTACCATTAATTACAATTAAACTTTAACTCTTACGCGGAATATCTATGTGTAGAAAATATATCTTAATTTCAAATATAATTAGAAAACGTTCTAAATAATATATCTTAGATAGCAAACTATAAAATAGTAGATATGCTTAAAATTTAAGATCAAAAAGTACTTCCAATAGAATATGATGAAGGATTTAATGATTAAATTTATCATGGACTAATTTCTAATGTGTGCTCATTGTATGAAATTAATTGCAATTAAATTACTCAATATGTAAAGTTAACCTTATAAGAATAATAACTCATAGAGAATTATGACTTATAAAAATATGGAAAAAAATATCTTACATATCTTCTATTCCCCGATTAAATCTTTTGAATTATATTAGTATTATTTTGAATACAAAATATTAGATTATTTAATTAAAAAGGAAAAATAGGGGATTAATATAAAATTAATTTTCTAATGAAATTATATTTTCTTATTATTTCTTTTTGTCAAATATTAAAAAATGAAAAAATATTTTTTAAAACAAACCCTTCCATATTTTATATATGTTTGCTTATGTTAAAATATTATATAAATGAAATATGTAACTAAAATATGTAGTAAAATAAATACATACATGTATATATATATAATTTTAAGCTATATTTTACCATTTTTGAGATATTTTTAAAGGAGTTGATTGTAATTTCATTATTTTGTCTGATTTAATTTAATTTAACTTAAATTATTTTAATCTAAACTTTTTTGCTAAAAATCATTTGTAATAATTAAAGTATAATTAATAATTTATATTGTAATATGTTATTTTAAAATAAAAATTTTCATTAGTTTATTATTTTTGTTATGTTAAAATAGCCTAACTCTACAGCCAATTCATATGGTGTCCTGTTTTTGTAATCTTTAGAAAATAAATTTGACCCTTTTGATACTAAAAATTTAGCGAGGTCTTCGTAGTTCCTTTTTACAGCCCAATGTAGTCCTGTATAAAGATACTTTTTTATTTATTTAAATTTAATACAAATAAATATTTTAAAATTAATGGTCTTACATTATCTACTGAAAAAATTAGTTCAGGATTAGCTTCAAGGTCTTCAGCTACTTCTTTCATTTTATTATGCCTTATATTAACGAAATATTTATCTTGGTCTTTTGCTTTAGGGCTTTGTATTTGAGAAATTTATAGTTTGTATTTATCATGAACTGGTGAAAAGAAATCTTCATCTATCTCGTATTCTTTTAGCTGAAGCAATTTAGTAGTAAAGTTTTCACTCATTGCATCTAGTTTATCAATAGGATCAATTCTTAAGTTTTCATCATTCTAAATTAATTGTATTTTTCTTTGTTTTTATTGTTAAGATTTACTAAATGAATTCCTTTCTTTTTTTATAGATAAATTAGGTGACTTTTATATAACAGAATCACTTTTATCTATTATGCTATTTGCTTATTCTTATAATTGAAGTTATAAAATAGGTGGAACTTAATATTATTGGGTGTTTTATTATTAATTGAAACTAATTTATTAACTTTACTGATTATTTTAAATAATATTTTAAAAGAAGTTTTATTCTTTAGGTTGAAGATTTTATAGAGTATATTATTTTGTTTGTTATATATTTAGTTTGATTGTTGATTGAGGTATTTTATCATCGCCTTTTTTGTCTTAGAAGTTGGTGTGTTAATCCATTCTTTTAAATTGAATACCTAAGTCAGAATATTTTTATTTCAGAACACCTTTTACATTGTGATGGTTCCTCTCTGTTTAATTATTAGAAAATATATTGTTTTCTTATGTAGTATTTTTTATTCTTTGTAGTGAGTCTATTGCATTTTAAATTAATTGAGCTTGCTAAATTTGAGAGAAATTCTTTTTTGTAGGAGATTGTGTAGAAATTTCAGCATTTTTCGATGACTATCTTTTTATGGTTGCTATATTTGAAGTATTTTAAGACCTAGTTGATGGAGGGTTAGAATGTCTATCTTATTTATAAATTGAAGAGTGTTTTTTAAGTAGCAAAATTTCTGAGTTGTTTGGAAGAGAATTATTGTTATGACTAGAGTTTTTTCTACTGAGAGCAGTGTTAGGTGAAGTTGTACTTTCCTGCAAATTATTTAGCTTTTGAGGAAGTAATAAACAAGTTTATACTTTCATAGATTTTTTATTGCGGAATCCTTCAGGCTCATCTAAAGCGGGTGTGAAGTAAAGATTATAAAGATTAACAGATCCTGTAAATTTTCTAAAGGAATTAGTTATGATTTAATCAGCCAGAATTTTGTCTTTTTAAAGTTCTTCATAGTTTTTGATCAACTATTATTTTGCCATTTAAATATATAATTTTTCTCTTTCTTCTCTTTCGTTTTTGAGTCTCTTTTGCTATATTTTATCAATAAGGAACATTTTTTGCCTATTGAATTGCTTTTCTTTATCTTTTAGATTCTAAATAAGATCTTATTTATCATGATTTTCTGCTTGATACGTTTTAACAAGAGGATCCTGAGTGTTTTTTATGTTTTTAAGTGTCATATTTTCATCCTTTTTGAGAAAATTGTATATGTGAATGTCTTGCTTCAATTCTATAAAATAATAAATTTAACGCTATAAATTTAAAAAATACTATAAAAGATTCAGCTTTAGCTATAATTAAACTTTAAAATTGATAACATTGAATTTTTTACTGAACTCTTAAAATAAATTTAAATAATTTACTCTTAGTTTTTTTCATTAAATCTGTTTTCATTTGAAACAAACTTTCTGATTTTATATTTTTTGAAGGAGAGGTAGTTCTCGAAGTTTAAGGACTAAGAAACTAAAATATTTGCGTTTTGTTGACCTTACTTACAGACTGTGATCTCTTATTGGATGCTAATAAACTGTGGTTATCCCTTGGAGTTGCAAAATTAGTTGTAACATTGTCTGCAATTGAATCTGTTTGGTGCTTTTCTTGCAACTCATCTTTTACATGAATAATTTACTTAAAATTGTAAAAATCTATTTTTTTTTTAATAGGAGTTGATGAACGAGAGCCTGCCGGAGTTGCATTTACAAAATTAGCAAACGGTTGCTAAAATCTGAATAGGATATCAGATTTTTTGAAAGGAGATAAATAATTAGAGCTTGATTTGCATCGTTTCATCTAGTTCAAATAGCTAAAATTTGAATTAATTTTTATTAATCTACTTATTCTTAATAAGTATTCAGTAAGCTTGCTTGATTTAGAATTATTAACTTTAGGTCTAACTAAATAAATACTTTCTCATATTAAATCAAGATATCTTTTAAAAATAAATTAATGGTTTTTATAGCATTATAATTATTATTTAGTCTCCAAAATCTATAGTAAATATTTTTCCAAGTCAATTAGAATTATTTTCTAAAATCATTTAAATACAAAACTTACTTTGACAAAATTATAAAATTAATTATTAAATATAATCAGTAAATTTTATTTTTCTTTAGATTTTTATTCAAATTACTAATCAATAAATAAATAATTTATAATTTTTGATTCATTTTATAATAAAAATATTTCGATTCTCAAATTTCTCTCTTTAATTTTGTTAATTCTATTTTAAAATTTTTTCATTCAAAAAATATATAATTATAAAATTCATTTTAGGTATTTGAAAATGTTATAAAAAGTAAAAATAAATGATATTTTAATAGATATTTCTAATTATCGTTTTTAATTTTTAAATTAATCAAATAATTAATTAAGCATAAAGGTATTTATTAAGTGAATAAATATTAGTTTTATATTGTTTTTATAGTATATTTTTTTGAATTTAAATTTAAATTTTATCATGTAACATAAAATATACTAAAAGAGAAGATAATTTAAAATATATTTTAACAAATAAAAAATAGGATAATTTTTAAAAGTTAGTTGAAGAGTATCAAAATTTTTTAGTTGCTAGCTTTTGTTATTTATATATATAAAATATTATATTATTTAAACTTTATTACTTTTCCATGATTTTCCTTTTCTTCAATGTTGAAATATTAGAAATTCTGATTTTTTATAACATTTTTTTCATTCTTTTAGTTGGTTGAATTTTATTATTATAGAACAAACGAAATAATTTTGTTTAAGTAATTTATTAATTTAAAAAATCCATCTCAGATTTCTTTGAAGTAATTTTAACTTTTTGAAAGTTGAGTGAAGTTTTAATTAATTTTTAGAAAAAATCCGTTAAACAATAATAGTAAGTATTTATAGAACTAAAAAAAGTGATAAATACAAAATCAAAAAGAAATTTAAAAGGCTCTGTTCATTAATAAAGCAGTTAAGACAAATATGGTTTTAACAAATATTCTAATCAAATATTACGACATTAATATTAGTAATATTAGATATCTATATTTTAATTTTACTCATACAGTAGCTAAATACTAATTTGTTAAGAATTTTAGTGGTAAAAGTACACTAAAAGCTCATTATAAGATGCTTAGATTAGTAAAGTAAATTTACTTGAAATATTCTTCACAGCATAGTGTTTTTTGTTTTAATTTCAGAATTGATAATCAAACCCAAAAAAACTAAAATAAATAAATAAATTAATAAGTGAGCGGATTACTATTATTAATTTATTATGTGAATGAAAATGCTCATAAATTTATAATTTATCTGAAAGATTAATTGAATATTTGCATCAATAATAAATTATAAAAGATAAGAAAATTATTAATTACTTTTAATTAATCACTAATAAAGTCTTGAGTGATTAATTCTTTGATTGATTGATTATTTTATTGATTTGTATATACTGCTTAAAGCAAAAAGTAAAGTTGATATAAAATACATAATAAATAACAGCTCCAATTAAAAGAAGCAGTAGATTGAGTTGAATATTTGTAAATGTAGATTAAAAAAAGGACATTTAGTACTTCAGGGTAGAATTAGGAAAGTTTACCTTCGTAGCACAGTGAATATATTAAAATTTCCTAGGATTAAAGTCCGACATAATGTTAGGTAATCCATAACGTTATTCCTAAGAACAACTCTCTAGATTCTAATGTTTAGAGCATTAATACAAACAGCAATAGCAATCAAGTTAATAATCTTCTTTACAAAATCAGCATTTTATCACCTATTAAAAAACATCCCAGAAACAGAAAAAATATTTACTCAAAGCATAATGAATAGAACTATTATGAAGAGATGGTATCTCCTCTAGGGCAATAACATATTTCTCAATTTTCGAATTAGAGTTCTATTCATAATTTGTCCCTAGATGAGGGTTCACTAGTGTAAAATAAAAACATACAAAATTTAAATTTTTTGGAAAGCGATTTGTCTAATGAGAGTAATAACAACAGTCAGCTTTTTAGCGCTGCCAAGTTTGACATCTTAGAAAACAGATAGCAAAGTAAATTGAAATTAATTTATCAGTCATTTTTGATTTCTACTTACTTTCATTTATAGCCGTAGAAATTCCTTATAAAGTTTCATTCAGATGTAACTAATTTCATATCTTTGCTATAACAAATAAATACTAAATCAAGCTCACAATTTATAACAAAAAATCCTGTATGAATTTATAAAGCTATTAAAATTATTTTAAAATAGCAAAATTACAATTTTGATGTTATCATGGATTTAAATATTTATAGATATTACAATATTTATCTATATATAGATAAATAGTATAAATACATATACTCAGTTTATTATTTGTTTATTTTAATTTATCTTTATATATTAGGTCAAGGAAAGAAAAGTGAGATGCTTAGTAGATAAAGAAAATAGATTGTTGGTAAGTTCTCAAATTAACTTCCATCAATTTAAGCATCAAATAATAGCGGAGAATTATCTATGATTTAGTCAAGAAAATAATCTGCTTAAAACAATATGTAGACTCCTTAAAAAATTTAGAAGAGTAACTAAAATAATGGCTTTAAAAATCAGCAAAATATGAATGTTAAGAAAATAATGCCTCTTTTCAACTAGAACACAAATTCAACAAGCAACAATAGTAATGTACTTACATAGGATAATGACATTTCCAATCAAAAAATAAATAATTAAGATAAAAATATCATTTAATTTAGCGTTATTGATCATTAAAATTAGTATAATCCTGCTTTGTATGGAGCTAAAGCAAGAAAATTAATAGACTTAACTGATTAGTCTTAACAAATTTCTAAGAATAATATCAGACAGTCATCTTAAAATTCCAAAGAAAATAGTCTAAATGCTTCTTTCAATAATTAATAGTTTCTTAAATCAAACAATTCTAGCTACAAGCAGCCTTAGATTACTTATTAGGCTGTTTATGGCTCTGAAAACGATATAATAGAAAAACAAGAAAAAACAAGTATTCATACTCCAGTAAAGTAAATACATAATTTCTAAGGTGACGGCATGTCCTACCATGAAAGTCTTTCTTAAACTCCTGAAGTGAAGTCATCTATGAGAAATTAAACTAAATTTGAAAGAGCTATGGAATCATAAATCAGCTAAACAGTAAGTGTCAATAAAAATTTTGATGAAATAAAATAGCAAATAAACGTTTAGTCATAGAGACAGCCTACGAATAATGTTTATAACAAAAATTAAATCTTCAAGGTCAACTCTGAATAGCAATCAGCATAAGTTAAAATCCTTAAAAACAAGTCTAATAATGGTCAAACTAGCAGTAATTATCAAAAATAACAAATCTAAGCAGCTAAATAAACTAAAAATCCAAAATAAATAAGCACAGAAGGAGGAGGGGCTTACTCAGAAAACGACACATATGTATAAAAGATGAAGGGAGAATAATCTACTGGTACAATGACATCATCCGGAATAACATCTAAAAAAAATAGCCTTGTCTTAGTGAAGTAGAATAATAGGATTAGAAACAATCCTAAGGTTATTAGAATCAACTAAATACAAAATATGAATGAACTATTTCCTGAAAATTCTTAAAACATGGCTCATTCTTAAATAGTTATTTAAGATGGTAAAATAATATAAAAAGAATTAAATGTGATTAATTAAAAATAAGCTAACTAAGCATCAAGCTCTATCATTAAAAGAGAAAACAATTAATTAAATAATTAATAAGCTTAAAATTAAAATGAATAATAAAATTTAGAATCTAACTATGTAACTTTCAAGGATATTCCAGTAGCAAATTCATGTGATCCAACGCTTTACAGAATAAGTGCATAATCTTAAATGACAAAATAAAATATAAATGAAAATTAAAATAATACTAATGCAAAGCAAAGCTAAAATATTGTTTCATCTGACTCTACTCAATAACCCCAAGAAAAAATGAATTTAATATAAAATCAAAATGATTTAGATATTAAAGAGGACTAAATGAGGAATAGTGGCGGTGACATGAATGGCATTGGTTATACAAAAGATGAAATTGAATATACAAAGGATGGCATAGAAATACATAAAATCAAGAATTTAAGCAGTTGCTTTTCAAATAGTGCTTTAAGTTAATGTAGCATTTAAACAATAGGTTAAATGAATAGAAAAAAAATAAACCTAACTATGCTTGTCGCATATGGAGAACAGCTATCTAAATTAAATGATATTTTTTAAGAATTCGATGTTTCATCTTCTACTTATTATCTGATTGATAATCCTATCTTTCTTTAAAATTTACTGCAAAAATGCCACTGGTTTCTTGATATAATTAACACTGAAAAAGACCTCGAGCAACTGCCTTTGCTATTTAAGGATGAGAAATCAAGAAAAATTATAAAGTAATCAATGATCTTTGAAAGATGTGTTATCGTTTTTATTGCATAAAATTTGCTTGATAAAGATGTCTTCAACAACAATTACAAATACCTCAAAGGAATTGTTCATTATGCCTACTAAAATTACATAAACACCATATCGATCATACACCATAAGATGGCTAACTAGCTTACTTTTTCTAAGCTCAATATTTAGTCATAAAATTAATCAAATATTTACACTTTAAAAGGAAGCAAAAGTGATCAATTGCAAAATGATTAAACTTTCGCAGTTAACAATAGCAATTTAATGAATAACTAAACAATTAGTACAATAAATAATACAAATACAGTAAGCACTTGCATAAATTAAGACGAAAAGATAAAACAAATATCTAAAAACGCTATTGAGTTTAACGAAGATGATGAAGACATAGACCCTTACACTAAATAACAGTTTATGAAATTAGTTAGAAGATAATCAACACATATTACCACTAATTCATCACCCCAAAGACCTCAGCAAAAGTGGATAGTCACTTTATTAAATTAAATCAGACAAAATAATGAAATTACAATCAACTCCTTTAAAAATATCTCAAAAAATGACAAAGAATTCTACACTTACATTCTTAATTTTATAAAAACTATTGATAGAGGTAACTCAGTTAATCAAATTTACAATAGCATGCTTTAGTATTTTAGTCTTTATCTTATCCAAAGATATTAACAAATGGATACTCCTCTTCATTTTTCTATCCCATTCTTGTCAACCGCACCAGCTCCTTATTTACCAGAAATGGATAAAAAATACAATTACACTTTGGTACTAGATCTAGATGAAACATTAATACATTACACAGAAGCCTATAATAATGTGAAGCAATTCGTAGTAAGGCCATATGTTTAGACTTTCTTGCATCAAATAAGTGAGTTCTATGAAATAGTTGTCTTTACAGCAGGAATGCCAGACTATGCAAATTGGGTTATTGACAACTTCGACACAAAGGGTTTCATAAAGCATAGACTTTACAGGTAAATAAATATCTTCAAAGTTATTTTAAAAGTAAAATTTGATTGTTTTAAATAAAAGGCAACACACATTACAAATATAAAATACCTTCATAAAAGATTTAAGCAGAATAGGAAGAGATCTCTCTAAAGTGATTATAATAGATAATTTAGCTGAAAACTTTTAATTTTAGCCTGACAATGGAATTTTTATAAGAGCTTGGACAGACGATCCAACTGACACTGCTCTAGCTGAGCTTTTACCCTTATTAAAAGAAATAGCAGTTAAAAAAAGCTTAGATGTAAGAGTAGCGCTTAAGATTTTAAAAGAATAAATTTAAAAAAATATTGAGGAAGGAATAGAGTTTCCTCATTTAAATTTAAAGCTATGAAAAATCTAACTTAATGTAAAAACAAACAAATAAATAAATAAATAAAAATATAATTAAATTATCTTGTAAATAATAACAAAAATTATTTTATAATTTGTATTCAAATGATTAAAAACAATTATATAACCAATTTAACAATTAACAAAGTTAGAAACCAGCTAATTAATAATTTTTTATAATTTCAAATTAAGGTATTTTAATTTATTTATAAATTTTGAAGAAGTATAAAAAAGAATAAATGAGGATTTACAGAATATAATAATTAATTTTAATAAATGTTTTATGTTTCTTTTATGAAAATACATTTTAATTATTGATCATTAAGTTTCTATTAAAAATTCTAAGCAATATTTGTACAACTCAAAATAATTTTCTGTAAGATAAACATTTCACTTATTTACTTACTTACTTACTTACTTACTTACATACAGCAAATTATAATTTATTTTACTTATTTTTTTCAAGGTTTTATTTCATATTTTTAGACTTTGAATATAATTATTGATTTAATCTTAATTTTGTAAATCATATTTATATTAATTGAATATTTCTAGGTTTGGATAATCAAATTAAACTTGTGTTACTAAATTCCTTAGAGATTATTTTACTTCTTCTATAAATTATTAAGTTTGTTCAATATAATTATATAAATAACTTTAATAATTATATTATTCCTGATTTATAAAATAATAATTTAACATTTCTTCATCAAATTATTCTTTAAATTGTTAAGTCAAATGATATTCAAATTTATTTAGATATAAATCTAAATTATTTTGCAAATATTCTAAGAAATTCAGTTTTTCTTTATCTTATATGAAGAATCCAACAGGCCATGAAAAAGCTAAAACAAATTTTGCCTCATACAAAATATTTAAAGCATATTTTCTTAAATTCATTTAAACATTTTTCTCATTTTCATCAAATTAAGCAAAGCAATTTTCAAAAAGAGTATAATTTGTTACATATTCTAATTAACTTAAAACAGCCATTTGTTTATAATATAGAAAATTTTGTTAGTAATTTTCTATTCTTTGCTACTCCACTATCTCAATGCAATCATTCTATTTAGTCACTTAATTATTACAAAAAGATGGATGAGAAAAGTTCGTTGTTATCTGCAAACAAGCCCAACAAAAGTGAGCCTAGCAATTTGGGCATTTCATATGTTAGCAACCACCATTTTTTTCCACTGCTACTTTACAATTCGGGCAAGCCTTTGTATTTTGCATAATGTATCTAAGATTTTCTAAAACTTTTAAGTCTACAGATGAAATTAAGTTCTACCACTATTTATACTATTCACAATCTAAAGGTAAATGAGCCTATCCCTAACAAGAACTACATGAAAATTACATTTCGCAGTCACATCTCAAGTTAATTTATTAATTTAGTTTATTAGGGAAAATAAAAATATTTTGACAATTTTGTAAAGGACATATTTTCACTTTTTAACTAATTTACAAATAGTCATTAAATAAAATATTTTTTGCCTATTCAATCTGCTTTGGTTCAATAAGGAATTCCTCAATTTCTTTCCATCCTAATTTATATTAGCATCCATCCATTGGACAAGTTTTTTAAAGAATCAATGTACCAAGATTTAATATGGATTTCATGTATTCTTCAAAGCAACTTCTACAAAAGTAGTGTTCACATTCAAGAGAATATCTATTTTCAATATTGAGAAGACACTCGCATAACAAACAGGAATTATTAGTTTATGAGCTTAAAGCCTAAGCATGTTTTTTATTTTTATTTTAATATTTTTGAATTTGATCAAATTCAAGACAATAATTGAAATCATAATTGACACTTCTAAGTAAAAAAAGAGCATCTCCAGATGAAATACAGTAAATTTAAGTCATTTAATTAAGAGCTAAAATAATTTGACTAATAATATTTATTTTCTACTCTATATAATATCTGTTATCAAAAGACAACGCTGAACTGTGATTCTATTAAGCATCATGAGACTAAATATTACCTCCATTTGTATTATTTTCAAAAATTCTATTATTGTATTGTTATGGAGCTAATTTCATTTGATCAATTTTTAAATAAATATTATCTTCATCTGTATTATTTTCATCAATTCTTCTTTAGTAATTTTAGGAAGCAATTTTATTTTGATCAGTTTTTGACTAAATATTTTCTTCATTTGTATTATTTTCAAAAATTCTATTATTGTAATGTTAATATTCAAACTTAGTTTGGGCAGTTTTTGACTAAATAATATCTTCGTCAGTGCTATTTTCATAATTTGTACTTAATTATTTTTAAGGAGCAAATTTAGTTTGAGCAGTTTCGCTCTCCTCTAAATATTTTTGTTTTTAAGTGGAGCATAAACAATTACATTAACCCATTTTTCAAAGCCTTCAAAAAATAAATATTTAATAAATTAATAATCTGAATAATAATTATTATCAAAACCAATATAATTTACTTGTTTTTAATTTAAAAATTATAGGAGAAAACTAATTTATAGGAGAATGCAACCAATCAATAATAGATCTATATCATTTTTCGTAAATTATAAAATAAAATGACTTAATATTTTTTATCAAAAAAATAATAAATAAAAAAAAAGATATACATTAGTGTTACTAATACAATTTTTAGTAAGTAAGTAAGTATGAAAGAAAGAAATAAAAAATAATATATTATAATTAAAAAAAATACACTTCGCAATATTAACAAATAATGGCTATTTATTAATGAAAGAAAATTTTTAATTATTTTAAGAAAGAATTATTATAAAAAGATAAATAAATTAGTGGTATTCATACAATTTGTTGTATGAAAGAAAGAATAAATAATAATTAAAAAATACCTGTTTTTTTTACAAACAGATATTTTTAAAATATACACCATGCTATATTAAGAAATAATCATCACCTCTTATTTGAGAATGATGATATAAAAATTATTTATAATTGAAATCATAATTGATACTTCTAAGTAAAAAAAGAGCATCTCCAGATGAAATACAGTAAATTTAAGTCATTTAATTAAGAGCTAAAATAATTTGACTAATAATATTTATTTTCTACTCTATATAATATCTGTTATCAAAAGACAACGCTGAACTGTGATTCTATTAAGCATCATGAGACTAAATATTATCTCCATTTGTATTATTTTCAAAAATTGTATTATTGCATTGATATGGAGTGAAATTTCATCCAATTTTACATAATTGTTACCTTCTTCTGTATTTCATCAATTCTTCTTTAGTAATTTTAGGAATCAATTTTATTTTGATCAGTTTTTGACTAAATATTTTCTTCATTTGTATTATTTTCAAAAATACTATTTTTTTAATGTTAAAATTCAAACTTAGTTTGGGCAGTTTTTGACTAAATAATATCTTTGTCAGTGCTAGTTTCATAATTTGTACTTAATTATTTTTAAGGAGCAAATTTAGTTTGAGACTTTTACATAGATGTTACCTTCTTCTGTTTTTCATCAATTCTTCTTTAGTAATTTTAGGAATCAATTTTATTTTGATCAGTTTTTGACTAAATATTTTCTTCATTTGTATTATTTTCAAAAATTCTATTTTTGTAATTTTAAAATTCAAACTTAGTTTGGGCAGTTTTTGACTAAATAATATCTTTGTCAGTGCTAGTTTCATAATTTGTACTTAATTATTTTTAAGGAGCAAATTTAGTTTGAGCAGTTTCGCTCTCCTCTAAATATTTTTGTTTATAAGTGGAGCATAAATAATTCAATTAACCCATTTTTCAAAGCCTGCAAAAAATAAATATTTAATAAATTAATAATCTGAATAATAATTAATATCAAAACCAATATAATTTACTAGTTTTTAATTTAAAAATTATAGGAGAAAACTAATTTATAGGAGAATGCAACCAATCGATAATAGATCTATAGCACTTTGCTATTTTAAAAAATGGCTATTGCTGCTAAACAGCACATAGCCATTAGGTTTTAAAAGTAAAAAGAAAATATCGTTTTTAATTTTTTTATATGTATTTATGAATCAAATTTAATTTGTAAAATGAGGGCACAATGGAATATTTTAAGATTTAAAAAAGGAGGGCAATTATATAAAAAATAAAATATATTTTCATGATTTTGTAATCTACAAAAATCGAAGTTATAAGGGATCATATCAATCCCCTCTATCTACCCCTCCTCCCCTCCTATTTTTATGTCTTTTTTAAGCAGCTTATCGATTAAGAAGCAGCTTTTAATTTGCAAGAATTAAAATCTTCCTAATTTTACTTAATTTTGGATTAGCAATATTTAAAACTTATTTTCAAATCTTTTCTGCAAACATTTATTTGAATAGAAATAATTTTATTTTTTATGGCATCTTAGTTTATCGATAATTCCAGATTTGATTTCTGATATTTTTAATCACTAGAACATAAATTTATGATATTTTAATTTATTTATTTATTTATAAATTTTGATGAAATATAAAAAGAATAAATGAGAATTTACAGAAAATAAATTACCTTTAATTTAAATAAATATTTTATGTTTGTTTTCATGAAAATATATTTTTAATTATTGATCATTAAGTTTGTGTTAAACATTCAATGCATATTTCTACAAATCAAAATTATTTTCTGTAATATAAAAATTACTCTTATTTACTTAATTACTTGATTATAATTTATTTTTCTTATTTTTTCAGGGCTTTATTTAATTTTATAGACTTTTATGAATATCACTATAGATTTAATCTTAATTTTGTAAATCATATTTATATTAATTGAATATTTCTAGGTTTGGATAATCAAATTAAACTTGTGTTACTAAATTCCTTAGAGATTATTTTACTTCTTCTATAAATTATTAAGTTTTTTCAATATAACTATATAAATAACTTTAATAATTATATTATTCCTGATTTATAATATAATAATTTAACATTTCTTCATCAAATTATTCTTTAAATTATTAAGTCAAATGATATTCAAATTTATTTAGATATGAATCTAAATTATTTTGCAAATATTCTAAGAAATTCAGTTTTTCTTTATCTTATATAAAGAATCCAACAGGCCATGAAAAAGCTAAAACAAATTTTGCCTCATACAAAATATTTAAAGCTTATTTTCTTAAATTCATTTAAACATTTTTCTCATTTTCATCAAATTAAGCAACACAATTTTCAAAAAGAGTATAATTTGTAACATATTCTAATTAACTTAAAACAGCCATTTGTTAATAATATAGAAAGTTTTGTTAGTAATTTTCTATTCTTTGCTACTCCACTATTTCAATACAATCATTCTATTTATACACTTAATTATTACAATTATTAGGATGAGAAAAGTTCGTCGTTATCTGCAAGCAAGCCCAACAAAAGTGAGCCTAGCAATTTCGGCATTTCATATGTTAGCAACCACCATTTTTTTCCACTGCTACTTTACAATTCGGGCAAGCCTTAGTATTTTGCATAATATATCTAAGATTTTCTAAAACTTTTGAGTCTACAGATGAAATTAAGCTCTACCACTATTTATACTATTCACAATCTAAAGGTAAATGAGCCTATCCCTAACAAGAACTACATGAAAATTACATTTGGCAGTCACACCTCAAGTTAATATATTAATTTAGTTTATTAGGGTAAATAAAAATATTTTGACAATTTTGTAAAGGACATATTTTCACTTTTTAATTAATTTACAAATAGTCATTAAATAAAATATTTTATGCCTACTCGATCTGTTTAGGTTCGATAAGGAATTCCTCAATTTCTTTCCATCCTAATTTATATTAGCATCCATTCATGGGACAAGTTTTTTAAAGCATCAATGTACCAAGATTTAATATGGATTTCATGTATTCTTTAAAGCAACTTCTGCAAAAGTAGTGTTCACATTCAAGAGAATATCTATTTTCAATATTGAGAAGACACTCACATAACAAACAGTAATTATTATTTTATGAGCTTAAAGCCTAAGCATGTTTTGTATTTTTATTTTAATATTTTTGAAATTGATCAAATTTAAGACCATTCTAAAAAGCATAATTGCGACTCCTAAGTATGAAAAGAGCATCTCCAGATGAAATACAGTAAATTTAAGCAATTAAATTAACAGTTTAAATTATTTGACTAATTATATTTTTTTTCTCTTCTATTTTATATCTGTTATCAAAAGATAAAGCAGAACTGTAATTTTATTAAGAATCATGAGTCTAAATATTATCTTCATTTATGCTATCTTCACAAATTATGGTTTAGATAGGTTAAGCAGTAAATTTATTTATATTAGTTTTACTCTACTTTAAATATTTTTGTTTTTTATTGATGTGTAAACAACTACATTAACCCATTTTTTTAATACCTGCAAAAATATACTTTTAATAGATTAATAATCTTAATAAAAATTATTATCAAAAGAGGTATAATTTGTTTATTTTTTCTAATTTAAAAATTATAATAGTTATTAATTTAAAGGAGAACGCAACCAATCAATCAATTATAGATCTTAAATACCAAAATAAATACATCATTTTTAGAAAATTATAAAATAAAATGACTTATTATAACTAAAAAGAAATTTATAATTAAAAAAAGAAAGAATTTAAATAAAGAGAAATAAATATGTGGTATTAATAAAATTTGTTTAATGAAAGAAAAAATAAATAATAATTTAAAAATACGTGTTTTTTTTACAAGAAAGATATTTTTAAAATATACACTTTGCAATATTAAGAAATAATTGCTACTATTCATTCATTTGCGAGTCATGATATAAAAATTATTTAGCACTAAGCATAATTAAATTAAAATTTACTTTCTGATATATATTAATATATTAAATGGAAAATAGTTTTAGTTAGTTAGTTAGTTAGTTAGTTAGTTAGTTAGTTAGTTAGTTAGTTAGTTAGTTAGTTAGTTAGTTAGTTAGTTAGTTAGTTAGTTAGTTAGTTAGTTAGTTAGTTTAGTTAGTTAATATATTGAGCAGAGTTATTTTAATTTTTATGAATAGTTTTGTTTTGTGCTATATTTAAAATGTAAATAATGAATAATTAATAAAATAATTCAATTTATAACATTATTAATTTATTTATAGACAAATTTATTTTTCATGATAAAAAATATCTACTTGATCACTCATTGATTCATTCATTTGTTCATAAGTGATCAATTAATTATTTTTAAAATAAATAACAAATTGCAAAAATTAAATTTTCTGATTATTTTTTTAAAAAGTTTGAAAGATGTTTAACTATGAAGAATTGACTAAGAAAAATATAAAAATAAATTTTTAAATCGAATTTTATAAAATTATTTATCAAACTTTTAAATCAACTATAAAATTAGCAAATTTTATATCAAATTTATTTAATAATTATTTGTATTTTATCAATTAACTTTTTTTTGTGAATAAATCGGGTGAATGCTTAACGATAGATTATTTTGGCTGTATCTAAAATAAAAGTTTTTGCTAATTAAAGCAAATTATATATAAGTAATTTTTATTTTATAATAGATCATAAGATAAAAATTAACTTTATAAATTTCAAAGTATTAAAAAAAATGAAGTTAATAATGAGAGAAGGATTATTTCATTTTGAGGCTATTTATTAAACTATTCAAAATGAAAACAAAAGATTAATGAAGAGATAAATAAATAAACAAACAAATAATAATTACAAAAAGAGTTATTTAGCTAGTTAGATAGATAGATAAATAAATAGATAGATTGATAAATTAATAATTTAACTAATATTTACAAATTAATTTATATAAAATATCGGGAATTTAATATCATTCAAATAATCTACTATGATGGCCAGAACTTTGATATATATTAAAGAATAAATCAAAATTTTAAATTTATTTTGAATGAAATTTACCTGATTCCATCTTGTATGTCAGATATGTCATCAAAATCTCTGTCATAGTAATCCTTTTTGCTTTTTTTACCAGAATTCAATTATTCAACCTTTTTTTGCTATTAAAACTAATTAAATATAATTTTTTTATTATAATTATTTACTCTTATAGTCAGCTTTTCTTAAAGTTTTTCTAGAAGTTTTACAACACGAGGATTGGATGAATTATCTGTGCGATTGCGATTAGGTTCTGTATTAAATTGTTTATTTGACTGAACTTATTATAGAGGAACTTAATTTATATCATGATAGTCTTGTTGGTTTTATTTTGAAATAGATCTATATGATTTTTATATGTTTTGCTATGAATGATTACTATTTGACCTATTTCCCATGTTCTTATTTGTATAACTAGGTTAACTATTTTAATTAAATGACTATCTTTAATATGATTAGCTATCACTCCTGCTATTTTAATTAAATGAAGGAGGCTGATAGTAATCTTATGTTTTTTATTAGCGCGAATTACTGCTATTTTACCTAGATTTATTAGTTCTTTGTTTATCAAAGTTCTCTTGTTATGAATAAGTTTGCTGTTTAGGTCTTAATTAGCTGTTTTATTATCCTCTTACAGGTATCGCATTTGATTAATATTCCTATTAAATATGATACAAAATAAATTATTAATGCAAGTTTTACATGATTAAAACTCAAAATTATTACTTGCTACTCATTTTCTTGCGGTAATATATTCTTTTTCATCGTATTTACAATGACTTTTTGAAATTATTCAAGCTTTTATTCAATTAATTTATTTATTTTGTCATTTTAACTATCGTACTATTCATACAATATCTATTTAGTAATAATTTATAATTCATTAAAAATAAATAATTAGCTGGTAACTTAACGAAATAATCAACATATTTTCATTTATTTATTTTTAACAAATAATAAATTTCTGATTATTTTATTATGTGGCAAGGAACGAAGTAATAATTTGATTAAAAATTAAATAAGAAATTTATTTTATTAAAATTTATTTCAAATAATTTATTAAAAATTTTATTTCAAACAATTAATAAAAATTCTTTTCAAATAATTAATAAAAAATTATTTTATTTTTTAAAAACAAACTTAAAAGAATTTATTAATATTTTTTGTAAAAAAGTATTTGACATAGTTTAATGGATTTATAAATTAATAAATGAAAAAAATACATCTTATTCAGTTTAATTGTGATGATCTCCGTATTTTTGAGCTGAGTTATTATTGTTGGCATAATTATTTGAATGGTGAGAGTAGTTTTTGCCAAAGGTTTATGGAGAGTTTAAGGGGAAGTTCTGCTTTTAGTTTGTTTCCAAAACATATTGATTATATTTTTCATCATCTCTTTCTTCTGTTTGGGTGGTTCTTCTATAAGATGAACTTGTTTTAAATTGCTATTTGAAATTTTCAAATTTATTTTCTAAGGACTCTACTTTTTCCACAAGATTTTAGCATGTGTATTGTAAATTTTATACAATTTATTCTAGTTTCTTAATTTAGTGGTCTTTTGCAGAGTTTTCTTCTTTCAATGATTAAACCATTTTTTTAAGAGCTAAGACTTCTTTTTCAGATTGAGTGAGGAGATGAGAAGGTATTTGGTTGCTATCTTCGAAGAGGATATTTGCGTTGATGTTTGAATGCTAGCTGTTGTTATGATTGTGAGCATTATTGTTGATCTAACTAATTTAGCTTGTTTTATTACTTACAAGTTATCCTCCATCTTATTAATTCAAATTAATCTATTTGTAGCCTGAGTTATTTACTTTCTCAAATAAATTATTGTTAGAATTAGAATTAACTTGCATTAAATTTGGTTCTCTTTGCAATTAGTTTTGCTAATTTACATTTGGCTGACCAAATAACTATTTCTATAATTCTGCATAATTATCTTAATTTACTGGAGTGAGACTGGAATTATCCATAATAACTTCACTGGGTTATTCATTTTAAAGCTGCATTATTTCTTTATTCATATTTTATAATTTTAAATTTAAATTTTGTTAGATTTAGTCTAAATCGGTATTCATAATTTAAGGTTAATTTTGTTGAAAGCTATTCATTCCTCTTACTGATTAGATAGCACTGCTACCTGGCATAGATTATTACTAAATGTTATATAATTATTTTTAAATCGAATCTAAAGGCTATTGAGCCATTTGATTGCTTTGCAGATTATGATTGCTATTCAAATTGTAATTGCTATGTGAAGGAGTATGGAAAAACTATCCATTCATTGCTAAACTTTATTATGTATTATTCCCACTTTGATGCACATTTCCTTAGTAATGTAATAACTCTTCACTTGGACTGCTAACTAAGCTCCTCTTTTTTATTGAATTTACATTATTGTGCTTTAGCCTTCTATCTGAATTATTATAAGAAGGATAGCTTATTGAAGGCAGATTTGCTGGGTGAGGTTGATTCAGAATATTGCTGGTTAAATTTTAGTCAGGTAAAGTTTAATTTGTTTGTGTAATCATAGAATTAGGTTAAGTATTCAAAGTATTCCCTTAAGTGTTCAAAGTGGTCCCAATATTACTTTATATATTCAAATTATTGCTACTGCTGCTGCTCATTTAATTAGGAAAAGGCCTAGGAATGTTCAAGCGAGCTTGATTAAAGAATTTTTCATCAATTTCAGACTCAATATTCATGCTTAAATCTTGAGCATTTGATTTATTTCTCATTAAAAGTGCTTAAGAATTATTAGATTAAATTTACTATTAAGAAGCTGGTTACTTATTTCCAAAAGGATTTTCCTCAAAAAGTAAAACCTAATTTAAATATGTTTTAGCACCGCCATAAGTTTCTTTTACAATAATCTAATTTTTTTTACAATTATTGAATTAAATTTAAAGCTTTTTTATGTAAAATACCTTAATAAAATCGTATCTTCTGCCTAATGGATCTATTTGAAATACTTGTAAACCTTCTTTCTTGATTATTTTTAATAAGAATTATTAGACAAATTTAAAATTTTATAACTTTACAAGCTCTAAATAAATCGTAGACCAAGTGATATATTCTTTGACATTATCTGTAGATACTAAAAATTCAATGATAGATGGGTTTGTTTTATAATCATGCCAACAATCAAATGCTACACATTTGAAAAATTTAGGTCTGTCAGCCAATTTGCTAATATCGATAATAACACTTTAAGGCATTCCTTCTTCAGTCATCCAAATGCTCTATTTAATATTAAATTTAAAGATTACCTAAATTAATTGTGCTTATCCTTCTCAAAATTAATCCGCAATATCATTTTAATTATTATTTGAATGAATTAAACCGTCTAAAAAGTTTACTTTTCTATTAGCAGAAATAATGTTTGCTGCCTAAGCATTTTTAAGCTCGGAAGAGCAACTGATAACTTTAGCATTATTTTGCTCTGAAATAAAATTAATTGCTTGAATCTACTATATTTCTTCGCTATCCATTTTGACAATTTGCTTGCTTGCTTTATTTCAAAAGTGTAATTTGATTTGATTTGATTGAAGTAAACTTTAATTTTGCGAATGAAATTGAATATTTATTAATTTATTTTAATCATCAAATATTAAATTTGAAAAATAATCTTGAATAAATTAATTAATAACTAACTATTTAATTATTATATTAAATAAATATTTCAGATTCAAAAATTCATCATTAAAACAAGTAGCATATTTGAATTGCCAATTAAATAGTAGATTCATTTAGACAAAAGAGTAAAGTACTAACTACTTAAACTAATTTATTTTACTAAGACAGTTTAATCAAATATTTTTAAAAAAGAGATTAAATATTCAATCAATATTATTTTTCTTTAAAAATATTTTTTTAAATAGTATTTAATCGATCAGAAATTTGAATTTATTTTCTTTTGAGTTGATATTAATTGGTAAATAAATTATATTATTTATCATCAAGAAGATTAATTTTAGATTTCTAAATTTAAAATTTATTACGAATATTAAATTATTTAAATTATTTTTTCATTTTCGAATGTTAATTTTACTTTACATTAATAAATTATTTAAAAAACTTCATTTTTTATCTAAAATCATCACTAAATATAATAAAAAAAATACTATTTAAGCATCAAACAGCATTAAAAAAATCACTTATTTTTAAATCAAATTAAAATATATGAAATAATATTATTATTTATAATGATTAATTACATATTACTTACTGCATTGGAATATTGAGAATTCTATTATAATCTTGTATGTTTATAAAGTTAATCTACAATTAATAAATTCAAAGTAAATTTTTATTTTAGTATTTTCATAAATTAATTAGAAATATTTTAAAATAAAGAGATTAAAGTTCTATTTTATCTTTTAATAAAAAGAAAAATAAATAACTATAAAATGAATTTTTTAAGGAAATCATGTTCTAATTTAAATAATATTAGATTAATATAACTTCTTTTAGAATTCAAATATATATTTTTTTATTGTAGTTAGTTAGAATATAAGTCATTTGTTAAATTAAAAGATACAATTAATTATAAAAATATCAAAAAAATGCCTTGTTATAATTTGAATTAATTTTAATTATCAAAATCAAAGTCTTTTTAAAAAATATTTTTAATTTGTAATTAATTAGAATATAAATGATTAGTAATTACAATTAAAAGTTATCATTAATTTGAAAGATATAATTTATTTTATATTTTTATTTGCCAACTTAAATAATTAAAAAATAAAAAATCTTTGATCTAATTCTAAAAATAAATAAATATATTTTATGCTCTCTAAATTACTTGAAAATCTATTTTGAATTATTAACACAAACTAATCTATTGATAGTATTTTACAGTATTAAAATTATATACAAAAAAATTTGTCTATTAAATTAATGCTTATATTTTATAATCAAGCTTATAGATATTAGCTTACGCATATTAATTTATTAACTAATTAGACATAATTTAATTATTAATTATTTAATTAATTATTTATGATAGAAGTGGCGGTGAAAGAATTATATGTATGACATGAATTAGATTAATATTTTTGAATGAAAGAACTTAGTTAGTTAGTATGTTAATTAGTATGCAAACAAAGATATTAATTAATTAATTAAAAACATTATTTGCTTATTGGAAGTAAAGATATACATAAATACATACAATAGAAAACTAAATTATAATTAATATTAAAGGAAGCAAGCAAATCATTTTACATTAAAATTAAATATTAATGAGCGACATGAATAATATGATGCGTATGCCTGGATAGCCTCCAAATGGCATGCCTATGCAACCACCTATGAATTTAAACCCACAAATGATTCCAGGTTTAAAATAAATTAATTGATTTTAAATTACAATTATTGATCATATTCTAATAAAATTAGGACAAATGGTGCCTCCTCCATTTATGGGACCAGGAAATTAGCGTAATAATTTAAGAATAGAATATTAAAATTTCAAATTAAATCATTTCAATTACAATTTCGAATTCTAAAATGCTAAAAATAATTTAATTTTCTTTATAATAATATTTAAAAAAGCAATGAGACAAATGCCAATGAACAGTAATATAAGCTATTTTCTCGCAATAGTATCAAATTTTAATAATCTTTTTCATTATTTAGACCAATAGCCTCCTATGTTTCCTCCACAACAAATTCCAGGAATGCCACCATTTCCTCATCACAGTAATTAATAATTAAATAAATAAATAGATAAAATTTACTTCATTGATTATTTGTAGGTTCTTTAAATCTATTTGATATCTTTAATAGCTAGCAAAATAACAAGGAGCCAAGTATTTATAATAATAATCAATAAATACAAATATGAAATTTAAGATAAATTTACTCATAAAATCTCAACAAATAAATAATTGAAAATAAAAAAATGTTAGAAAAAGAATAAATTATATTTAAAATTGTTAACAAATAATTGCATATTAATATATAAATTGTATAAAAAGTGGGTCATCCTCCCCCTCATGGAATGATGAACTAATTTTAGTAGTTCCCCCCAATGAACTAAATGCCTAACATGCCTCCTTTTCAACCACCAAATTTTTAAGTGCCACCTCCTATGATGGGCCAACAACCTCAAATTTAAGTAGCTCCCTCAATTCATGCACCTCCTCTTTTAAATAATGCACCTTAAAACCCTAATATGATTAGAGAAACTATTACTGGCGGGCCCTCTGCAATCCCTTCATCTTCTGCTCCCCCCTCTAACACCTCCTCTTCAGACTCCCAATGGCTTAAATTATTCGTTAATAACATTCATCCAGACGTGCCTGACGAGTTCATCAAAAAGTTATTAGAAGTAAAAAAGATTAACTTAAACAAATTTATATTAATTAAAAATAGGATTGAAAATCTAAGTTTAGTTTTTTTTGAATTGATTGTGTAAAGATTTAAAATCACTAGTTTGCAAACTATTAAAAACAAGCAAACAAAAAATAAACATTCACAGTTAAAACATACTTTAAAGCACTGCTGCTTGAATCGAGAGCAGATACAGTAAATATAAATAAGTAGATATCAATTCATAAGTGCTAACATTTTATTTTATTTTCTAAATAATCAATTAGCCTTTAGCGATTACGATTATTCTCAATCGCTTTTTTGGACATATATTTATTTGTTATAAACACCAACCATTCAAGCAAGCAAATAATCAATCAATCATGTTAGTTAGTTCGTATTAAAATGATTAGTAGTAAAATTTTTATTTCTATTTGAATGATAATTAATATCAAGTATACTTTTGAAATTAAGAAAGATTCAATGAAATTTGATTTGAAACAATGAATGAATTATATTATTTGAACTGTGGTGGTAAATGTTAATTAAACTCTCAGCAAAATATAAAAGATTTAATCTAATTTTTTTCCTAGAAATTATTTATATTGATTTTTTAAAAACAAACGCTAAGCTTCATTCATATCTTTTTTTAAAAAACAGGAATGTGGTCAAGTAGAAAAGTGGAAAAGGTAGAGTGATGAAAAAGGTAATTTAAATAAATTTGGTATTGTAGAATATAAAATGTTCGAAAGTGTTCTTAAGTGCATACGTATTCTTGATGGCTTTGAAATTATGGACGAAAAACTTGTTGTTAAGTCCTCATAAACAACTTAAACTTTCATAGAGTAATGGAAATAGCTCAAAAGCAAAAAATGGGAGGAAGAATAAAAGTAGAAAGCATCTACTGAGTTTGAATCTTTTGACTAGTTCCTTGAAAAGGATGACTCTGTCATTAGAGAAAGAATCGAATTGCACATGAAGAGCATAGATGTAATTTATTTATTTTTTTACTCTTTATTCAACAAATTTCTTCTTTTTTTGTTTTCTTGAATAATTTTTTAACGGTTTTAAATAGGAAAAAGTTGAGAAAGTAAGAGAAAAAAAGAGAGAAGACGAAGAAAAAAAACTTCATCCTCGTGAAAAGGATAGAGATAATAAAAAGAAGTAGTAATAAAGAGAAATTGAAAAGAAAGGTAAAGAAAAATTAAAAGAATGGTTGCAGGTAGAAGAAGACATGGCCCGTGAAAAAAGAAAAGAAAGGGAAAGAGAAAAAGAGCGTGATAGAATTCGTCAAAAGGCTCTAGAAAGGGAATTAACTTATACTGATGACATTGACCGTCACAAACAAAGGGGCAGAATGATGGAGCGCAAGAGATAACGCCAAAGAGAATTGGAGGAAGATGAAAATGATAGAAAAAAAGAATTAGAACTACTTAATCCTCCTGAGCCTGAATTTAACATTCCTATGCCTGAAGAGCCATTAGATGATTATGAACCATCAAGCAGTAATGGAATAAATGGATAACATAATCACACCGATAAAATTGATAGAGGAGTGATTAACTTAAACTTTGAAGAAATCGATTTAAGTCAAAGTAAAAAGCCAAATGAAGAAGTCATTGAATATACTATAGAAAATCCTAGAAATAACATAATTAACCAAACAATCAATAAGCTAAATATTTAATTCAAGTAAGATTTTAGTGATAAAATTTAAAAAGGCGAATATGTTATGCCTGCAATGGAAGAAGAATATTAAGAGCCTGTTGCAAATATTAATGAATACCACTCATCTCGTGCAATGTAAATAGAATCTGATAATAAAGATCCCTCTATCAAGTAAATCTTTGGAAACTTAGACGAAGAAGAAGAGGAAGAAAGACAAAGAAACCTCAGAAAAACTGAGCTTCCTAAAATTGGACATGCTCGTTTCGTCGAGTAAAGAGAAATTATTCGTAAACAGTAAAATGAGTCTGGAGAAGAAAAAACTCCTGCTCCAAGACAATTATCTGAAGAAGAAATGAAAAAAGAACTTAAAGAAATCCTCTAGCGTGTACCACCTATTAGCGGCAACAACTCAGCTTTGTTCTCATTCAATTTTAATTGGGAATTATTTGAAAAGGTAATTTTTATTTTAAAATAGCTTTAACATTCAAATGTTATATTAAAATAAATATGGCAAAATACAATAAAACTCTAATGAATAAAATATATTTGATTAAAAGTGAAATATTTCACCATCATTTTTGAATAAATTATTAAATTCATAATAAAGTATAAAAAAAGACATTAATAAACGAATTAAATTCATTAAAAAAATTGTATAAAAATTATATAAAATTAAATTAATAAAAAAATAATTTAAAATTAGAGTGGACTACTTGATAAGAAAATAAAACCTTTCCTTTTAAAGAAGAGTTAAGAACTTTTGGGTTAGGAAGAATAAGGATTCGTTGATCTTATAGTTAAGAAGTTTACTCAAAGACCAACCCCAGAAAAATTGGTTAGATAGATTGTGAAAATTTTGGATGAAGACGAATCTGAGAAGTTTATAGCATCACTTTGGAGAATTATGATCTTTGAGACACTAAAATATGAAAAATTCTTGCACATTGTCTGATTCAAAAGACGTAATTTATTCAACTACGATATCTTTTTTAGTATAGGTATTTATATTGATATCTTTACAAAACAATAAACAAAAATAAACAATCAAATAAATAAATAAATAAATAAGTAATTAAATTAAGAAATTAATAAGTAAAATAACAACTCTTCATCAATTAAATAAAATAAATGGCTAAATAACATACAAACAATAATCTAAAAAAATTCAGAATAAGTATAAATAAATAAACAAACAAACAAACATATACTGCTTGCTCACTAATTTATTTTGATGAGTGTATGTATGTATATGTTTATTTATACTTATAATCAATCTAACGTAATTATGACACTGATGCCAGCTAATTTTGACCTATGAAGACAACCAACTATGATTCAATCAATCAATATAAGTACAATTGTTTTTATTTTATAATTATATTTATGTTAATCATATTTCTTGCTTACTCTTTAAAAATATTATTCAAATTTTCTTTTAATTTTAAATTGATTTATTAACTAATAAATTATTTTGGCTTTAATTTCTTTCTTTCTCTTAACTTTGATTGATTTGATTATAGATATAAAACAGAAATAATTCTATTGATCCTTTCTCAAAAATTTTATTTTTTTATTACTTCATGTATTTATTTATGTATGTAAGTAAGTGTAAGGAAATATTATTTTTAAATTATAGTTGTGTGATTCATTCGTTTTATTTACATTATTTTTCTTGAAAATATTTACAATTTTTTTTGTTAAGCTCAATTAAAACTACATAAAAATCATTTTATTTTTCAATTATTAATAAAATGCACGTAAATTAAGACATTTATTCGTAATTGCTTAAATTAAATTTTTTTTTATTAAAGAAATTGCCTTTCTTTATTTAGAGCTTTAATGCTATTTAAGAAAGATATATTATTTTGCATAAAATTTCAGAAATTTTATTTATTATTGATAATAAAAATTTGAAATTATTAAAATTTTAAATTTTGTTTAGGAACAAGTTAATTTTTGGAATTTTTTTTAATTCTAAATTATAATCAAAATTAATTTAATATTTTTACATTTGTTTAATATAAAAAATAAAACATATTTCAAATTGTTAGTCTTTACAGCCAAAAAATCATTTTAGGTCAAAATTATTTATAAGGAAATAGAGCATTTGCTATGAATTCATTGAATTAAAGCACAATTGAAGAAGATGAAAAGCAGTCTTTAGAGATTTTGTAAGGATTTAAATTGAGATATGCTGAGTTAGAAGAAATTGTAGATAAAAAGATCTCAGAAAGACAAGGAATTATTGAGGATATAGATGTATTAGAAAAAAGACTAAAGGATTTAAGAAAAAGTTTAATAAAAAAGAAAGAATTGAGGGATAAATATTGCGAAAACATTGAAACATCTGAAAAAGCTTTAAATAGAATTGCTGATTCTACAAAAACATTACTAGATTTTGTGACTAAAAAGAATTAAATTCTTGATAGGGAAGCTAACATATGAATGAACAAAATATGAGATAATTATTATGAATGCAGATTCAATTTTCGTCCAAATAAGAATATTAAATAAGATCATAAAAATAAATAAATAAATAAATATTTAAACATTCATTTCATTAATTAATTATTGAGGGTGAGTGAATTAATCTAAAAATATATAAAATTAATAAATTTTGCACTGTTTTGTATATAGAATCATATAAGTAAATATACTATTATTTTCAATTTAATGCATTTCCTAATTAACAAACTTAAAATTATTCTTTATATTTGTGGATATAATTTGATATTACAAATAAAATTTTATATTAATTGAATACCTTAACATAAAATAAAATAATTATTATTTTTTAAAATAAATAAATAAATAAATATATTTCTAAATAATAACAGATAAATAAGCAACAAACAAACAAAGAAATTAATATCTAAATGAATAAATAACAAGTAAATAAATAAATAAAAAGAGTAGATATTTAATTAGGAAATTTTTTATGCTATTTGGAATATTTTTTATCTATTTTTTGTGCAAATAAATAAATAAATAATCTTTATTTTTAAATTGAAACCAAAGAAATTAAAAAAAATATTTCTTATTCTTTTTTAGATTTAATTATAATATAAGTAAAATAATTAATTAATTCAAAATAATAACCATAAATGAAAATATTTACTAATTTATTTTATTATAATTATTTTTTTTCTTTTCTCATTCAAACAATTATTCTAAGAAGAAAATATGAATTTTAATATCCACATATTCTATATCAATAAACAGTTAAGCTAAAATCTATAAGAAAGCATTTATCAAAGATATGGGACTACTAATTGGCGATTAGCCTTCATTTTCGAAAAAAGCATTATGCAGCACATATTAATTATTGACTTACTCTAAAACATAATTAATTAATCTTTTTAGTTTTATTCAAAAGTGTTTGTAAGGATTTAAAAAAAATCATTTATTTATTTGTGATGATAAACTGTTATTTTTTATTATCATTTTTTAAAAAAATATTAATAAAATTTAACAATATTTGTATTATTATTAAAATAAACAATAGCTTTAATTTACAAAATTGACTAAATTGGGAATTTATTTTATAACTTTGAAAAAAAAGAAGTAGTTTCAAAATAAGTTCAAACAAATTGCTTTAATTATTGATGCATTTTTAAATTTAATAATTTTTGATCATTAAATATGTTTTAATAGTTAATGAATATGGATGTAACGTAAATATGTAGAAATAATTTTTGAAGTGTTTGCTAACTTATTTTAGAGATCTTAGAAATATTAAACATAATAATTTTATAAGCAAGTATGTATGTTTTTATTTATTTACTTTTTTAACAATCTAATTAAATGAATAGCACTAAGTTTTAGTTGATTGATTTTTGTTTTGCTTATTGAGATATGTTATTTTGTTAGTAAATTGAGAATCATACTGATTTGATTATAATTAAGTAAGTAATAACTAATTTGTTTTAATTATTTGAAATACAATTTATTATTTACTTAAAATTAAATACTCTACACTAACAAACAAACAAATAAATGTAGTCGAGTGCTGGTGGAGGAATTATATTGAAATAATAGAGGGAATTGGTTGCTTATCCTCTTAAGTATAAAGATTTAGGATAGGTGAAGTTACCTAAAATTAGATATAGAAAAGGAGCAAAGCTAACAAAAAATCCATATAAAATTAAAAAAATTCCATTTATAGATGATAGCAAAAGACCAAAGCGTATTTTGGACGGTTATGCTATTTTAGATGAAGCTAAATGCGAATTCCCAAATGATGTTATTAAGATAAAATTATCAAGTAATCCAGCTAAATAATTAAAACAAATTGATTCATTTTTTAATCATTTTAATTCATAAGTTTTGTATTTGCATAAATAAATGATGTAACTATTTATTTATTTAATATTTAAATTAGAAAAAAACATGGTTTAGACAAAAGTAGAGGATTTAGGGTGGTTTATTTATTTAGTTGATTTGGATATTAGTGAGAATGAACTATTTTTAGAGGATTTTATTTATTTGAGTGGATTGTAAACATTAAATATTAGTGCTAATAAGATTGATACAGTTAAGCTAACTGAGAATCATACATTTAAGAATTTAGAAATTTTAGATTTGTCTTTTAATCATCTTAGCATTGACTCTATTACATCATTAGCATTCATTCCATAATTAAAGTATTTATTTTATTTTTATAAAAAATGATATTTTTAATTCAAATAAATGTTTTAATTTTTGTAAATTAATTCTATTTTATTGCTGAATTATTTATGAAGGGTTTTTTCATTTTTAATAAAGAAAACTATCTTTAGAATGTAACGATCTTAGAGCACTTCCTGAAACAATGAGTAATTTTTAAAATCTTGAAGAATTCAACTTAAGTGGGAATCTCTTTGAATCAGATCAAAATGCTTCTAATTTATGGTTTACTCTGGCCTCAATAAAGAAGCTAAAAAAGTTAGATTTATCAAGAAATATTTTGAGAGGTATTTTATTTAATCAACCCATTTTATTCTTTAAAATCTAATTAATATCTCTTGTTTATTGTTTAGGTATTCACACTGAGAGACTTGTAGCAGGAAACTTTATGTCTTTGCAAATACTTGATTTTTCTTACAACGCCGTAGAGAATCAACATAACTTAATTTGTGCCAGAAACTTCAGAAATTTGTAAAAATTAATAATTACTGGAAATCCATTTTCAATTAAAAATGAGCATAAAGGGCTAGAAATGGAAGTATATGCAAGAACTGGTAATTAATTAATTAGCTTAACAATTTATTTATTTGAAAGGGAATTTTATAAATTTTGTAATTATTAGGTGCGATTGTTGTAAATGAGGAGATTGATAAATATTACTTAAAACCTAAAACTGACAAGAATCGCTTTAAAATAAAGTTTGATAACATTAGAAGAATAGAGTAAGATGATTTCTCGAAATAAAGAAACTACTTTTTAGGTATTGAAATGCCTTAGCCGAATGAAATATAAGAATAGGAGTAAAAAACAGATGAGGAGTAGGAAGAAGAATAAGAAGAGTAACAATAAGAGGAGCAACAAGTTTAGGGAGATAATTAAGAGGAATAAGTGATGTTCATTACAGAAGATCCTAATATTGCTCCTGCACATAAAAAATCATAGAAGAGTATGGAATAAAATTAAAAAGCTAGTTAGAATTCTCAACAATTTTAGTAGCCTCAATAGTCTATTTAGTCTTAAGTAAATCTGATTAATTTAAAATGCCTAATTAAACTTTCAATCTAAACATTTACAGGCATCTGGTTCAGTAGCCAAGACAAATAGCATGAATTACGATGAGTTTATTGAAGCTGCCAGAGATTAGCTTGGAGACATAAAAGAATACGACTAGCACTATGATTTAAATACTGCATATAAAACACTTAAAAATATGATAAAAAGGCCAGATAACTTTGATTAAAGAGACTTAGATGAACCAAATTATCTCAAGCCTACAGCAACTATATAAAGATATAAGTTTAAAGGTAGTTTTTTAGAGTTTAATATCTGTTTTTTACATTCTATAATAAAGATTCATTATGAATATTTAATATTTTAATAAATCAACTAACTTACTGTTTTTAATGTTTTTGTTTTGATATAAAAGAACAACAATCTTAATTAGTTACTGCAGACCAAATGGAAAAATATGAAAAAAGAAAATCAAGTATAGGAAATAGTCAAGATATATCTAAATTAAATAAGAATAATGCTTAACAAAGGTAAAACACAGAAGAGCAAAAGCTCAAAACAAAGCTTTCATCTGATGAAGTAGTTAAAGATATTGCAAGACTTTTTTGATCTAATTAACAGCCATCTAATTAATTATTTATATATTCAAATAGTATATTCAAATTATTACTTACTTGTCTTTTCTATCGCAATCCCTAACTTTAAGAGAGAGCAAGTTCAAGCAAAAATAAAACTGTTCATTATTTATTTATTTATGATTTTCAGGCTAAATTTTTTAAAATGCCATCCATCATTTATGTGCAGGAAAGATTTAAGTTAGAATAAATCTATTGTGATCTCAATATAATGAATTTATATAGAGAGAGAGTATGTATGGAAATAAGTTATACATAAATTTAATAATTAACACCAACAATAAATAATTTATATTTATTTGCTCAATAATCAAATCTTATTAGTTAATTTAATCAATTATGTATCTATCCAATACATACTATATAAAATACTAGTAAAGAAAACTACTAAAAAGCTAAAATACTTTTTAAGTAAAATACCAGAATTATTTTTCTGATATTTATTTTATTTTGATAAATAAGATTTACTTTAGTGAGTTAAATAACATGTAAAATATTTTAGTTTTTGGTGAGAAATGATTTATTGAAGATTAATTAGAATGAGAAAAGAATAGCATTTATAATTAAAAAACTACATCATATAAACTTAAATTATCATAATTGCTATCCATCTGTAAACATATTAATAAGTTTATTATCATTTTATAATTGCTTATATATCAATTTATTCATTAGGTTTAGTACATCAAAAAAGCTGTTTTCTCTATGTAAAAATAGATGAAACGGTTCTTATTATGAACAGCCTAGCATCCGAAATTCTTTCCAAAGAATACGTGCCAGTAGGGATCGAAATGATCATCCATATATTTTTTCAGGTGCTCTGCAATCTAGTTTATTATTTTAAAATAAATTTAAATACTAACAATAATTACAAAGCGAATGCTTTTAATTTTCCTAAGCAATCAAACACATCATTTAATACAATTAATATGATGAAAATTTTAATACCTTTTATCCTTCTCTCGCAATTTCAAATTTTTTTAATGCATCCTATGTTTCTCTAATGGCACCTTCTAAAATATCATCGGCACACTCAGGAGGCCATAAAACTCTAGCTCCCATAAATGTCTTATATTACTATTGCTATTCCTTTGGATCTTCTTTTTGTTATTAATTGCTTGCCATCTCTTTTTAATTGTTATTTATTTTCTTCTCAGTTATTTTTTAAATATTTATATAAATATTAAAATTTTTTGAAATTTACTTTAAAAAGCAAATGCTTCTTTCTTCAAAATAAACAAACAAAATAACAAATAAATAAATAAAAAGCAATTAATCAATAAATCAAACAATCAATACCCATTCATAAAACAATCTAAATAAAAACTAGGTATCAATTTATCAATAAAAAGAGCAGCATCCATTGCCCAAACTAAAAAAATCAAAAAGATTTCTAAAATGAATTAGAAAATAAACAATTCATTGATTGATTGATGATAATAAATATGTTTTTATTTTTAATTTATCAAGATAATTTATTTTAAATTTTAAGGAAATAATTTTTTTGAGTGAATTTGAAGTTAAAATATCATTTATAATACATAATATAAAAATGTGAATTTGCACTAATAAATTTAATTTTGTATTAATTTATTTTGTAAACGATGATATTTACTTAGTTTTTTATTAATATTTGTATTAATTAATTAATTGATTTTGTCATTATTTTATTTAATTGCTGTAGAAATCATGATGTTATCAATAAGATTATACAGATGGTTATTAAATTTTGCTAAGGATTCTTGCTTCTTTTGGTTGATTTGATCAAGCATATTGATTGACATGACACACCTTATTTTATAAAGATACATTATAATTTAGTTAACTAATTTTATATTAGAAAACCTCATATCCAAAGAAAAATAGATTATTTAATCAGGCTTCCGTTATGTGATTTCTTCAATAGAATTCAGACGAACGAGACAAATATTCATCATAAAATAATCTATATTCTCTGGCTGAGGTATTTTTATATATTGAATCGTATAAGATTACCTTTTTAATTTATTAGGACAGGATTGCATTGATTAGATTTTCAAGAGTCTATCGGTGAGATATGAATAGTTGAGCACTTGGAGCATTTTCTAATCTTAATTTTACCAAAAGAAAATTTAGTTTAAATTCAAAAGTAATTTAGAAAAAGAAGAAGAGTCATTTGTTTTTGAATAAAATGAATAATCTAAGTAATCAGTATGCTAGTAGAGTTTATTTTCATAAAATATCAACGGTGTCAGAAAATTTTCATCATTACTTTAGATGTTATTCTTTTATGATCAAGAGACAAGTGATCTTCTTTGAAGAAGTTTAGTTATTTTAATTACCTTGATTAGTGTTGATTGATATCGTTAGTTGCTGGAGGCAATAAGTGACTGACAATCATTTCAATTTTACAAAAGATAGAAGTTGTAATTTATCCTTAATTGAAAAACGCACTGACAGACAATTGTTATCAACGAATTCTTTTCTTTAATGATGAAAAAATGATTAAAAAACTGAAGATTAAACAAAAGTGAAATGAAACAAACATATTAAATTCAATTAAACATCTCATGAAGGAGAAGAATATGATGAATTTATACAATTTGCATGAATATTTTTTGTTATATATGTAGAATAATGAGATAAGAAATATCTAAATCTATGATCAGGAGAGTGTAGTTGCGTCACATTTTATCAGACGTCGTGAGACTCTAAATATCATCATTAAGATTTAGTATTTGCTTTCTCATTAAACAAAAACAAGTAGAGCGATCGAACATGAAACTCGCACTCTAACTTGAATTTCTTTTAAAAGAAAACTAAGTGGAGAACTAATTACTTTTTAAGTACTAACTAACTACATTTTTTGAAAAGTAGAAAGTTTTTTTGTTCTTTGTTAAAATTCATATTAGGAGATGAGTAAGTACTAGAGCACTGTCGCTTACTTCTTAAAGAAAGAAAGATAGATCACGAGCGAGTGCAAGTAGATACTCAATAGAATTTTTTTCAAGTCATCGAGGTTTGTTTTAATATCTGAAAGAAATTTGCTTGAATTTTAATTTCTTCTGTTTTTTAAAAACTTTTTCCTCTTTTTTTTTTAATTTTGGATTAATTATTATTTATTTTTCTGAAAACTAGCGATGGAGCCGAGGATTTAAAGAAAATGTTCTACTAAATTTGAGAAAAAATATATTTAGCCCAACATCAGAATATAAAAATTCTTTCAAGTGCTTATGACTTTAGTTTAAAAAAAATAATATAATAGCATTAACTTCTTCAATTAAAAAAGTAGAATTGATATAATTAAAGATGATTATATTAAAATATATATAATTGTTGGGTAATACTAGTTATGTTACTAGCTGCATGATGAATTTGACTCATGGGACAAAAATAATCCAAACCTTCTAAGAAAATAAACTTTCTGAAAAATGGAATCAATATATATATATATATTGTTGTTTTTTTATTAGTAGAAATAAAATTGAATAATTATTCTTATTTAAAAAATTTGGCAGAAAAAATAGAAAAAAACATGAAGTCCAGTAGAATTAATGAGCTTATTATTATAGATAGGCTCAAAATAAATATAAAGAAAAAATAGCTATTTAATTGAAGCAAAAATAAATTTTTATTTAGTACAAAAAAGATATCTTTTGATTGCTCAATATGCCTCTATTTCTAATTTCTCATTAAATCAAGATAAAAGAAAATATAAAAAGCAAAGAAAATGAAAATTTAATAAGGATTAATTAGAAATTATCATTTAAAATTTACAATTATGCCATCTTCATATATACTATAAACAAACAAACAAAATACTATTTATTTATTTAATTAGTTATTTATTTAGTTGATAATTATCAATCAAACAATCAAATAAAATTAAATAGAATTTTTAAATTTTAGTAATCTAATTATTTATGGTCAATTCAATTAATTAATTAAAACTTTCTATAAAATAATCTATATCATAGATTTATATTTAAAAATGTTTTCTATTGTTAATTAATTAAGCTTATTAATTAGACTTTGAGGTTTGGAATGATTAAATAGAAACTAAATCGAAATTCTTAGAATATGTATCAAAATTAATTTAATTCACTAAAGCGGTTTGCTGCCAAAGATAATTATAATTTCTTTACTTTTTTCAAAAATAAATAGTTTGGCGAATCATTCTATTTTTATTTAAATGCCTTCTTAAATTAATTTAAAAATAATTAATACTAAAGGATTCTAAAAAATAAATAAATAAATAAACAAATAAATAAATTTTGGGATACAGTTCGGGAATTATTTGACTTTTTAAATTTCTAAAATAAAGAAAAATAGAAGGTATACATAAAATAAAGTTATTCTAATCTAAGAAATAATCAAAAAATATCTTTTAATTTGTTAGATTTTTGATTTTTTGTTGTAGATACTCACTATTAAATTTCCAATTTTATTTGATTTATTTGCTATTTGTTTGTTTTTTTGTTTGTTTGTTTGTTTATTTGTTAGATTGATTTCTTGCTTTCTTTCTTTCTTGCTTGCTTTTTGTTAATTACAACCAACCTAAAAAAGCTGTTTGCTCTTTTTTTGTTTGGCTTTTTTTATTGATTTATTCATATCTTAGGTTTTTCAAGACTTTCTTATTGACAATCTTAAAAATATTGAGATGCATTTTTTAATTTTAAAGAACATGTAAAATGGAAAGAAGAAAGGGAGGAAGGAAGGAGATGGATGAAAGACTAAAAAAGCATGATTAATACGCAATTAAAACATGAATTTAGAACATATAATTTTTAATCAATATTGAATTTTATATGATAATATAGAGCTTTAAATTAAAATGCTTGAGGATTTGTATAACATGAAATTTTTTAGAGATGTTTAAATGAAGATATAGTGTGTTAAGGCAGAAGACAAATTAGCTTTCTCAGTTGAATTCATCATCTTCATCATCAGGAAGGACACCTTGTTGGGCGAGGTTCATAGCTTCAGCTTGTTCCATTTCCAATTGCTTGATTTGATCTTCAGTCATGACGTGTTCAGTATCAGGAGCAACAAGAGCGATACCTTCGACGAGGTTAAGGGTGGGATCACCGGTGAGCTTTCTGAGGATCCAGAGGAAGGGCTTTTCGTATTAATAGTTAGATTTAGCAGAGACATCATAATATTAGAGGGATCTCTTTCTGTGGAAAGTGATTTGTCTAGCCTTGACCTTTCTGTCCTTAGAGTCAACCTTGTTACCGACCAAAACGATGGGAATATTTTCGCAGATTCTGGTCAAATCCTTGTGCCACTTAGGAATATTTTTATAAGTAATTCTGGAGGTGACATCGAACATCATGATAGCGGCGTTGGCACCAATGCTATTGTTAAAAATAAATTCATTAGAAATTCGTTAAATAGATTGATTTAAGCATTTTTAAATGAAAAAAGAGTCTCAACGAACAAAGAACTGACTGACTGATTGATTGACTGATTGACAGACTGAGTTTGTTTTTAAATTTTCTTTTTAAATTAAATTGCGTCGCTAAATAAATCACCACAAAAGATTGGGTTTTCGCTAGCTAAATCTTCTCTAAATGCATCCTACTTTCTTTATAATTTCTTATAATGTAAGAAGCTATGGCTTAATCAATGTAGATGGTCTCTGCTATTCCTTTTATACCATTTAATAATCATCTTTCTATTTCTTGTTGCTTATTTTTAGCAATCAACTCTTGCTTTGTAGCTTGATAACATAAACAAAATAGATAGAAAGAAAGAATGACTCACATTCCTATTTATATGTTATGAACAAACACAGAGCCTAAAGGAATATTTATAGTAAGAGCTAGTTAGACTTGTAAGCAATTATTCAGCAAACAAACTTGTTAATCAGTCAGTCAGTCAATCAATTAGTCCAAATGATAAAAATTTTATGATAAGTGTTTGAAAAAAATTATTACTAGTAACCTTCACGGAGACCACCGAGCTTTTCTTAACCAGCAGTATCCCAAATGTTGAATCTGATGGGACCCTTAGTGGTGTATAAGACCATGTTGGAAACATTGACACCTTGGGTGGCAATATATCTCTTTTCGAATTCACCAGTTTGATGTCTAGTGACGAAAGTAGTCTTACCGACACCACCATCACCAACTAAGACGAGCTTGAATTCAGCAACAACGTTTTACTTGTTCTATTATTTTAAAATTGTAAAAGTTAGTTTAGCAATAAGGTATTAGCAAACAATCAATCCTCTCTGGCTTAGGAAAGAGATCAACAAACAATCATGATAGGTTCATAGACTATGTGTCCATCATCCAAGAAAACTGAAGATCAGTTCCTGAGCCAGAAAGAAAGAATAAAAAATACTATTTACATCAACCATTTTTGGAAAGTTTTCTCTTTTTTTTTTGGTTTTTAATTTTTTAACTCTTTTATTTTTAATATTGTTTTTGATGTTTCACACTGTACTTATATAGAGTTTAATTCCTTTGTTTTTGTACCCCAAGCTAAAAAAGAAAAAATATAAAAATAAATATATGTAATTCTTATCCAGCTACATCAATTAATTATTCAGCTTATCATCTATATATTTTCTTCTCATTTTTGTTTGATTATTCATTCATTAAATTAATTAATTAGCTTGCTAGTTATTTAGTTTGAATGTTAGTTAGTTAGTTAGTTAATTTCTTTGTTAGAGACTCGGCTAAAAAAACAAAAAAAACAAACAAACACTCTTTCAAATCAAAGAAAGTACTACTTAATATTTTTTCATTGTTAATTGTTTTTATTATAAATTTAGAAGTACCCGCACTAAATAATAAATTCTCGCGCACTTCGTAAATTTCAAGCTAAATTATTCAATGATTCTTTCTTTCTTATTTTTATAATTTGTTTCTATCATTTTGTCTTTACTAATTAGATAGAGCTAGACATACCCTATTATAATCAGATTATTTTTTATAATACGTACATATTAAAAACTCTCTTTTAAAATTTATTAGTGAAGTTGGAGTAAGAGAACAAAAAGTTAATATAGAGCTAATTATTTTCAACCAGAGTAATTATAATTTTCAAGCACAACTATAGACACGCAATTATCTTTTGTTAATTTATCAGAAAAAAAACTCATAAAAATTCTTTCAAACTGTCTCTCTCAAATTAAATTGATTAATTTATTGAAATTTGATAAATTAGTCAAATTTAAATTCACATCGAGTTATTAAAAGCGCTTAATTATCTATCTATTAAGGCTAATTTTTGGTCTAGTAAATTGTAATAAATTTAAGGTAAGTACAAAAACACATCAAATCGAATCAAATTTAATTCTACCTATATTTTAGTTAGTAAGGCAGGCTTGCATGTTAATTGTGATATTTTAAATGAAATTATTATTTTGTACCTTTATTTTTCAATTTAATTCAAAATAAATAAATTCTATTCACAAACCACACAATTCAATAATTATTTACTCAAATTCAAAAAATTTTTAAATCAATAAAACTCAATGTAAGCAAGCAAGCATGCTGTAAAAATAATTTAAAAATTCATCTATATTAAAATTTTGATATACAAATTAAATTCTTGATTTGAATTTACTTTTAAAGTTCACCTATCCACTTACTTACTAAATAAAAGATTTTAAACTTTAAATTCAGGTGTCTCCAATATTTAGATTGTATTAAATATAAAGAGAAAATTATGATAGATTAATTAATTAATTTTTTGAAAAATTATTTATGCATTTTTATGACTACCTCAAAAATAATTTGATGTCTCTATCAATTCTGATTTTTCTATAAAATGACTAAGAAAAAATTGTTTACAAACAAAAAAAATAGTTGACTTATTTTGAGTTTTCCAACAAAGAAAATACGAACACAATCAATATTAGAAGCAAACACAGAAAGAAGCACACTATCTTATTTTGGATTGATTTATAATTTATATGGAAAGAAGAATTTAATCATTTTTGCAAAATAAATAGGCTCTATATATATATTTGTTATAATTTTCTAGCTATCTACTATACATAACTTGATTAAAAGAAAGCTAGCAAGAAACATTTCCATAATTATTTTACACTTATCTTATAAACAATGAACGATATATTTATTTATTTATTTATTTATTTATTTTTTAAGATTGTTCTATACAACTTTATTTCCATTTTTGTAGTCTCAATTAAGTCTTGGGGGTATTGGCAAGTTTGGCATGTTTGGAGCTATTTATTTATTCAAAAAAAATTTATATTTGTTAAATAGCTAAATAATTTCATTTTATTACGCATAAAACCTGGAGGAGGAGGCATGTACTAACCTGGAGGAAGAGGAGGCATACCCATAGGAGGAGGGGGCATATTTGGAGGAAGAGGAGGATAACCAGGGGGCATTTATTGAGGCATATACATTGGAGGAGGAGGCATGTTAGGTGGCATATTTGGGGGCATGTTATAACCTGGCATAGGAGGAGCAAAGTTAGGAGGTTAAGCATATGCATTTTGAGGAACAATAGGATTAGGCTATATTAATCCTTCTGCCATACTATTTGTTTAAAAATAAAAAAATTTATTTTAATCTTTAAAAATTAAAAATCTAAATTATGATATATTTTTTATTTACGGAATCGATGATCTATTGATACCCTTGTTGCTTGGGACAAGAGGGGCAGGTGCGTTCATACCCATACCTGACTACAAAGGTTGAGGTCTGTTTGCAGCAAGAAGTCTTTCTATTAAATTAAAATTTGGTTGTTAAAAAACTCATTAAATTAAGAAGCAATTGCAAAAAAGTTTTTTAAAATTAAATGTATTTAGTTAATTTTACCTGCAGCAGAACCATGTCTTTCTCCTTTAGAGTCTTTCTTAAAGGCATATTAAACACTAATTTTTTAACTTCCATAATATTAACCTAATTAAAAATTTTAAAGTTTATAAATATTCACAGTATAAAATCAGATTTATTTACCGTTCATTGCAGATATAGCATTATCAGAGGATTCGAAATTATCATAAGAAATAAAAGCATACCCTTTAGATTAGTTATTGTCAGAATCACGAACAATCTTTTTATCAAATAAAAATTATTTTCATTAAAATGTTGATTATTTTTAATAAAAATTATTTCTCTAATAAAATAAAATAAATAAATATTTCTTGATTTCCTCTAAAGTATAGAAAGTTAGATATTCATGAATTTTTTTCGTTCATAAATATTAACTATTTTAATATTTCAATCAAACAGATAATTTTATTCTTGTCATTTTAAATTTGTTTATATTTTTATTAGTATTAAGGTAAGTTCAACATAAGTAATTGTTGTGTTTATAAAAATGATTTAAGTAAAATTTAATATTATTTTATTGGTAAGAGTGTGAATTATTCAAAGAATTTCAACTTGATTTTATTTAAATCATCTTTTATGGCAAGTAAATTGCTTTTGAGACTATTTAAAAATTTAGATATTATTGCTTTAAATTTAGAATTAATTATTTTATTCCTACTCCTCAAATGAAAATAAAGGCATGTGCAAAAATCATTTTATATTTAATTTCTAGTGTCAAATTTTTGCTTTTTATTTTTCTGATTGAAATTTTTTTAGCTATTTGCTAAGCAATCTTTTAGAGAAGAATTATACAGCTTGATGATTTTAGATTTTTGATAAAAATAGTAACTTAGTGTCTTATTTATATATTTGAATTATTTATTACTCTACGGCCAATGATGAGACCAAAAGTAGAAAATGTTTCCTATAACTACATCTCTGTAACTGAAGGATCTAAATTTCCAATAAATATATTAGCACCAACTTCCTAGGTTCTTTTATCTTAGGATGCTTTGTTTACTTTTATAGGTTTTCCATACAACTTAATTAAATGCAAAATTTTGATAGCATAATCTGCATCTTCTTCTGTTTTATATTCAACGAATCCATAACCCTTTTAAAAAAAATAAAATAATTGTTAATTTGATTTATATAAAAATATTTGATTAATATATCTATTATTTTTTATTTATTTTCAATTTTAGCATTGCATAACATAATTAGATTTCAATTTAATTTATATAAGAAACAGCGTCTATTCGATAATTTTTAAAATAACTTTTTAAATAAAAGCAAAATCTAAAATTGAAAATGAAAATGCTGATATTATGATAGCTAAAATTATATTTTATATTCTTAATAGGCTTTCTTTAAAGTGTTTATTTTTTATAGAATTGTAAATATTCCTTGAATTCAATTATGCATTTTTGAAGCTTGAACTAATTTCTAACAAAAGTTTAAATAAATGATATCATTTCTATCTTAAATTATCTTAATTATTGATGGTTTCTTAACTTTTCATTATACTTTAACATGCTAAAATAATAATTATTGAATGCTTTTAAGTTTATTTTATAAATTTTGCTTGAATTTAAAAGTTTCAATGACATTTTAAGCTAATAAAAATTAAATATATCTGCAATTACCTAATGCTCTCCAGTGATTTTATCTCTAGGTAAATGTACGTTGATTACTATACCGCATTAAGAAAATAATTCCCATAAAACTTCTTAAGTGACTTTCTAATCTAAACCACCTACATAGAGAGTGGCATCAGAATTTCTTTCTGATATATTAAAATTCATCTTTAAATTAAATATAAGTAAGTGACTAAGATAAATTAATATTATATTGCTACTTATTTAATTAATTAAATAATATGTTTGTTTTTGCAAAGATATCTTAATAAATTAAATAATTAATTAATAAGTAATTCAATCTTTTTTTAAGATATTTGCAAAATTTAAATCGCAAATAAACACCAAGCGCTTTAATATGCAAACAACCTAAACATTTTAAATAATTTACATGAAATGATAACTTAAAATTGTATTTTTTTTTTTGATACTTTACACAAATATTTGTTAAAGCTTTTTAATTTATAAAAAAAATTTTTTATTATTTATAAAATATTTTTGTAAAATATAAAATAAATTGCTTAAGAATTAATTATGGTTACTTCTAACATTAATGCTAGATTTATTTTATTTTTTATATAAATAAATCCTAAATTCTCCTTAGAAAATTTATTTGTTAGTTTGATAAATTCTTTGTAAATTATAAGATTAGATATTAACAAAAATTAGTAGGTTCTGGTAGAAACTTTTTATTAATAAATAAATGAACTAATAGGATTTAAAAAATAATTTTTCACAAGCTGCTAAAATGCTAGCAAATTTATTTAACTCGGCAAACTAGCAGTACAAAGAGGCGTATGCAAAAGGACAGAAAGATATGATAAATGAAATAGTATAGTTTTGCTTGTAAGAAAACAATAATTTAAAGACTATTGAGTTGTAGAAATTAGAGGTTTTTCTACAGGATAAACTGAATAAAATATAAGAAAAATAGAATTAACAACAATAAATTTTAGAATAAATAGGAAGATAATCTAATATTTAAGTCTAATAATCAATAAACAATCCTCTCCATTTAAATTAACAAAAGTTTGAGTTATAAAATAACATTTAAATGACCTAAAATGTTAATACAAATTAGTAGAATGGTTAAATTTCTTTTAATAGTTTTAACCTTTAAGGAGCTTTTAATGTGAATAATAATTAAAATATTTAGTAGAATACTTAGCAATAATAATTTGTTCCTAATGTATAACATAATTAAAATTAGATTTAATAAAATTTAAATACCTTAAATTATGAAAATAATAATAATCAATAAATATAGTAGCAGTCAAATAATTTTACAAGTGACTAGAATTAAGAAGAAAATAGTTACTTACAAAATAGAAGAATATTTCAGATAAAAGGATATAAAATTTAAAATAATAATTAAAATAATTCTATGAATGAAGAGCAAAATTAATGAGTGAATAAATAAATCAAAGTATTGTTCAGATTTTTCTTTCTTTTTTCTTTCATTATTATAGTAAATCCATCCTAAAAATATTAGTAAATTTTCATTTAAAATATTTAGATTCTTTTTAATAAACCACTTTAAAATAAATAAATAAATAATTCAATTATGTAGAAATAAATTAATTTTATTTAAAATTGTATTATATTTAGAAATCTATTGGTTCATTCATACTCAAATAAATTATATGAAAAATTATTAGCAAATAGCTTAATAATTTATACATTCAATATTCTTAAAAATTACATAATTAATTAATATATATTGCAGAAATATCTTAATTATTGCTTATCTCAAAAAACAATTTTTGTTGATTAATAAATCTTGCTTGAATGGTATATATATTTTCATTTTATTTTGAGAAAAATTATCATCTTCTAAAAAATTTATATAATATTTATCAATATAAATTTAGATGATTGATTGATATTCTAATTCATATTTTTCTTCATTTAGTTATTTGATAATTATTATATAAAATTTAACAAAAAAATAAGATATAGTTAAGTTTTATAATATCAAGGAATAATAAAAAAATTAAATATTTATTTTTAATACTTACTAAAACAAAATCATCATTTTTTATTTTAAAAAATCTTAAAAAATAAAATAAATTACCTCCAATTTATAAAATTTAAAAGAATGAATCAGTCAGTATTTATTATCTATCTTTAAATTAATAATTTAATTTTTTGTACATATAAAAATTATGAATTAATTTTTCTCACAAATTCTGCTTAAGAGGAATTAAGAAATACCCTTTTAATTAATAATAAATCAAAAAAAAAGAATCTGATTATTAAATAAAAAAAAGAGTATGATATAGAAAGCTATTACTTTTACCAGTCTTAAAAAAGTAAGCATATTTATTATAAAATATATTTCATATAAATTTATTTTTATTTAAATAAAAAGTTTGAAAACTCAAATTTATCCACTCTTGAATAAATCTGTTTAAAACCACGGTAATTAATGTCTTTTTAATAATTTATTTAATATTTTTCTCAAATTAGATTACAAAATTTAATAAACCTAGCTTATTTTATAAATCGTATAAAATCAAAGAAACCTCTAAAATTCAAAATTTAATTTTTTAATTAATATTTATTTTTGCTTGATTTAATAATTTTCTTATTTATTTTTTCAAATGATTTGGCAAGAAACAAATATATAAATGAATGAATAAATAAATAAATAAATATATTTTTACAAAGAATAAATATTGGTATATGATAATTCAATCTACCTTGTTAATATCAATTATTTATAAAATTTCTTAAATTTAATATCTTTAAAATAAAATACTTAAAAATATAAAATATAAACTACATATTATTGTTAAATATTCATATATATAATTATTTAATATTAAAATTATAATTAAGTAATAGATAAATAAAATATTGAGAATAGCTATATAAGAAAGAAATTACAAATACCATATTGATATTTATTTTTATTTCTTTTGTAATTACAAATAAATGCTCATAATTATTTTTCCATTTAATTTTAACTTATACAAAATATTTGAGTTTCTGTTTTTTATTTATTTATTTATTTATTTATTTATTTATTTATTTATTTATTTATTAATTGAATGAATGAATATCTTTTTAAAATATTTTAATATTTTATTTTATGAAAATAAATAGGTAATAAGAAAATGAGCCTTTAGATTTTTCTAATTTAGGAAAAGTTTTAGCATACTGCTAGAATTTATCATATTTGGAAATTGATTTGACGTAAAATTATAAATTATTAAATTATTTTAATTCAATCACTTACTTACTTTACCAAATTATTTTAGAAATATGAGAGAAAGTGGTGAAAAAACTTTAGAAGAATTTTTCTTAGCTTTATCAAATATATCTAAGTGTGAAAAGCTCTCAACCTTAAACTTAAACTTGTAAAAATAAAATTATTTTTAATATCAGATATGTATTTATGATAAGAATATATATATATAAGTGAGTAGTATTTACAAAGAAAATTAAGTTAAAAAAATTAAATAAATATTTTTTATATAAATTAACTAACTTTATATTTTTTTAGCAATGTTATGAGAGTGAATAGGAATTCCCTTTATCCTTTGCTTTCTCCATTAATTGATTAAGAAAACATAACAAAAATAAAAAATTTGGTAATTAATTTAAGGTAAAGCCTTTTATTTATTTATTTATTTATTTATTTATTTATTTATTTATTCATTTATTCATTTATTTATTTATTTATTTATTATTTTTAATATTTCTCTTATTTTAATTTTATACAAAATTTTAAATTTTATTTAGTAAATATACTTAATTAAAATTTTAAAGATATAATGATCTTCTTATAAGTGGAGCAACAAGTGCAGGAGTTATGCTTTCAAAATTCAAAAATTTATAATCCCTTATTCTCTATATTAGGTAAATTACTATTTTTTTATTTACAACAACATACTCTAATCTAAAAGAAGTAATCAAAATAATAACAGCTATTAAAATAATTAATCTTTTTATTTTTAGTTTCCTTAGCAATTCATTTATTTATTGATCCACATATTAAACGATTTTTCATTAAAAGTGGCAATAGTATTGGTGACAGAGGATTATCTAATTTATGCTTAAACTTAGATTGGTCTAATCTTACATCAATAAAATTTTCGTTAACGTAAATATTTTTGGTTAATATTAAAGTAAAAAAACATAAAAAAATTTGAGAAATATTTTGGATTATTTATTATACTTACATACATATATACGTTCTAAGACTAATTTTTAAGAATAAATTTTTTTATATATTAAAGGAATGATAAAATTGGAGATAAAGGAATATCTAAATTATGCTCTGTTTTAGAAAAATGCTAAAATCTGACAAATATTTGCTTGTTTCTTTCGTTGAAATTTTTTTTTAACTAATAATAAGGAATTCTTAATTAAATTTTATGTATGATTTAGACAAAATTAAATTGCTTCTCAAGGAGCTTCTAAAATAAGTGCTATTATAAAAAAAAGTGCAAATCTTGAAAAATTAGATTTAGATTTATGGTAAAATGACCCTTTAAAATTACTAACTAGCTGTAATTTGATTTTTTGTTTTAATTATTTAAAAAGTAATAACAAAATTGGTGATTTTGGTGCTTCTCACATTAATTCTGCTTTAGCAAGCTGCACAAATTTGACGAAATTATATTTTTCACTAGGGTATCTATCTAACTATTATTAATAATTTTTTATATTAACTTTAACATTGAATTTTAAACTAATTTTATTAATTTGTTTTTAAAATTTAAGAAAAATAATTTTTGTATTTTTAAAGATAAATAAAATTCTACTTACTACTTTACTGGCTAATTTTTAAAAAAATTGAGATAAATAAAGGTAAAAATAAATAACATTTAAATTACCAATTTATTTCCTTATATCATATTCTGCATAATACTAACTAAATCTATTTATAATTTTTTTGAATATTAATTAGACAGAACAAAATTACTGATAAAGGAATATCATACATAAGTAATGGTCTCTCGAAAATGACTAAAATTTCTGAACTAAGTTTAGATTTAAGTTACCTTTGTTACAACAAAGACTAAATTATAAATAAGATTGGTTAGTAAGGTGTTTCAGCACTTGGTAGCTGTTTGTCTAGTTTTTAGAATTTACAAATTCTAAGTTTGATTATTGGGTATATATATATATATATACATTCTTATTAATTTTTATTTGATATCTTTTATTCCATTTGTTAATAGTAAAAAAAAACTCTTTATAATTTTTTATTTATTGAATAAAAGAGAAACTACTCTTGAAGTTAATTCTTTTGAACCAATAGTCAAATCTTTTTCCAAACTAATAAATATTTCTGATTTACATCTTTAAGTTAAAGAGTAAGATTTTTGAAATAAATTTATTTCAATTTAACTTCATAATAAACAAATTGACATGCTTTAATTATTATATTTATTTATTTAGCGGATTTAAAACAATCAACGAAAAAGACCTAATTAATCTAGCATAAAGTATAGAACAAAGTTAAAATCTTTAAACATTAGCTTTAGTATTTAAGTAAATAATTTTGATAGTTATTTATTAATGATTTAATAATGACAAATTATAATTTATAAATATTAATTTAATAGTAAAATCATTACCACCGATGAGGGAATGTAAAGATTAGCAAACTCTATTAAAAAATGCTCTAATTTAGCTAATTTGACAATTTCTTTAGAGTAAAATATTAATTAAATATACTTTTTCAAAAAAATATTTTTATTTAAAATTGGTTCAATTAAGATTTAATATTTAAAGTTATTTATTCAATTTTTCTTTATTTTTTTACTTAAACAAATACAAAAATTTGAATATTTAGAAATCCAAATGAAAATCTTGCAGCTTTTTATTTATCATTTTGTATTTTATTTATTTATTTAAGCTCAATCATACTATTCTTTTATTTTTTAGATTTTGAACCACTCATTTTTATTAAGCGTTAGAAGCAAAGTCAAAGAAAGAAAGAAATTATAATTTTTAATTTTCTTTTATAAACTTAACAATTTAGATAGAAAAAATATGAATAAAATTATTAATAATAAAAAAATGATTGTTCGTTTAGTCTTTATTTTAATTTTATTTTTAATATAAGAAATATATAAATTTGATTTAATAATAAATCTTTTACTCATAATTATAAAAAGAAAATATACAGATAATGTTGCAGCTTATCTATGTGCTGAGTTATCAAATTGTCCATGTTTAAAAACTTTAAGCCTTTCATTTGAGTAAAAATATATTTTCATTTAACAAAAATATCTAGTTGAAACAGAGAAATAAATATATTAATTTATTGTTATTATTTCATCAAAGATATAAAATTTTTATTTTTGAAAATAAATATGACTTAAAATAAAGTTTAAAAACGTATTATTTATTAGAGAAATTATTTATGGTTTCGAAAATCATTTATTAAGTTTGATTATCTTAAATAAGCATTCTATTTGTACTACCTCAAATTAAATAATATATATAATGAATTTAAGTTATGGAATAAGCGACACAGCTCTCTCTGATATTGGCAAAGAGATTGCAAAATGTAGTTATTTGAATACATTAAAATTATGTTCAAAGTAATTATTTATTTATTTATGATCATTAATAATTAATTAATTTATAATGAAATTAAGTATTTATAAAAATTAAACTATATGAAAATTAATTGTGTTTAATAGGTATTTTGAATAAATATTAAAGTTATTTGGTATAAAATATTAGATATTTTACAGCTAATTAATATACACATTAAGGAGTATTTGTATTTATTAGTCATCTAAAGAAACTGAAGAAACTTTTTCTAGTATCTCTAGCACTCTAGTAAGTTAAATAAATTATTAATATAAAAATATTATTTAAATTCTAAAAATATAGTAATATGTATCATAAAGATATAATTTAAAGAAAGCTTATGTCTAAGTGTATTAGGTTAGTTAAATGCTCTCAATATAATTTTTGATAATCATAAAATTTATTTCTTGAAAACCAAGACATATATATACTAACTACTATATATAATTTTAACTCTTTCGGCCAGGCTCTATTTTAAGATTTTATTAATATTAAAATTTAAAATAAAATTTCATTATTTAATAAATAAATAATTTATATTTTTGATAATTGAAGATAGTAAGTATATTATATTTAAATATCAACTAAACTTTAAATTATTGCAATATATATTACCATTTCAGAAAATATTTTTATTTCTTACTTTTCTTAAGAATTACTTTTGCTTTTATTTAAATTCTTATCATATCAGGAAATCTTATGCATTAACCGGATAATTGATCTATATATTAGGATCTTTCTTATTTTTTATAAATAATAAAATAGTAAATATCTTTAACTTTCTGATAATATCTGTTAATTAAAAATTCATAAGAAATCTTACTTATTTATTTTTTAATTTTATGCCTAATCTGCATATCAGTATCTTATAATAATTGTCAGGTGCTCTAATCTGCCTGTAAGATAATGCATAAATGAAAAAGTTTATTTAAATAAGTGTGAAAAGATTAAAATAAATAACTTAAAAATAGTTTAAAAAGATAACAAAAATATATATATATATATGTATCAATATCAGAGTAATACAAAAGATAAAATTGATTTCTTTGAATCATAATTATTATTTAAATTTATAATCAATTATTCATTAAATGAAAAAATTAATAAATTAATAAATAAATAAATAAATAAATAGAAGATAGATACAATGTAACAAGTTTAATTATTTACTTTTAAAAATCTTTTATAAAAGTATGAAAGAATAAAAATCATAAATAATACATTAATTAGCATTATTATAAATATTAATTAAAAATAACATTTTAACTCAAATTTTTAAACAAGAAAAAAAAATGATATTGAACTTATTCATTTTTGTTTTTTTTATTCAATAAATCTTTTGTGAATAAATTTTGTAGGCAACCTTAGTAGATGGAGATTTTTAAATAAAAGCTAAAGTAGGAACACCTCCTATTGACTAAATTCTTATGCTTTAGTTTGGTTAAAATCAAGATAACGTTTTAGGATATTTTATATTTGATAAATCCATAATAAAATATGACAACTAGTATTATACCTAATTTTTGAGCTAGTTAACACTTTATGACATGCTAAAGAGTTCTACCGCCAATATTGATTCTTCTGTAATTGATTCTCCCGGTTTATATGATAATTATGGTGGCTATGTATCAGGAAACACTGTTTAAGATGTCCTTGAGATTGGAAATGTAAAATTCAACTATAAATTCATTTCTGCAATAGAAGCGCCTGATTTGCATGATCCTTACTTAAACGGTCTTGTCACTTTTGATAGATATTAAGATAATATTTTTGATATTATGTATTAATAAAAAGTAATCAAAACAAGAGATTACATATTAACAAGTTTTTCTTCTTTTGATTAAAAATAAACTCCTATTTTGAATGTAAACTTTTAATACGATTTAGACTAATATTCAAACAATTACAGATATCCTTCTAATCAAATGAATAATGGAAAAACTTTTTAAATCAAAGCATATGGAATATATGTCAATGATTAAGATGTTACTGATAATATAAAATTTCGTATAATAACCTTTGACGAACCTTTTGAATTGAATTAAGTTAAGATACCAATGGATCTTTTTAATCTTATATAATAAGACATAGAAATTTTAAATATAATATAAAATGGATAAATTCCTAATTGTCCTAACTGCTAATGCTAGCAAACTAAAATATTGCCTACCTTCAAAGTGATATCGGAAGAATATGTCTTTGAAATAACTCCGAATATGTACACTAGTTATCTTTTAGGCGAGGAAGGAAAATATAATTATTGCAGAATTCGTCTTGTTGGTTATGATAACAGTTTCAGTTTTTCATACCAACTATCATTATACTCAAAGATTCCAATTATGTACTAAAAAGCTTCAAATAGTTTAAGGTTTATTGGAAATAAAACAGTAGGACATTAAAAAATAGAAATTCTCATACCAGTAATGTCTTTTTTCAGTGGAGCTAATCTTATCATTCTAATCATGTTTGCTTTTCATATTTATAAAAAATATAAATTCGTTACGAGAGAGTATTATAGAGATAATAGATATATTAAAGTGGAGTGAAGATGGATAATCTTTAAAAAATAATCTTTAATTTATTTATAGAAAATAAAATAAAATTAAAAAATCAGTAAAAATAATAATTTATTTATTTATATTTGAATTTGTTTATCCTTTATTATAATTTAATGAAATTCAAATAAATTTATCAATTCTAAATAAACTTCGTGAAATAATTAAAAAAATGTTAATATTTCAATTATCAAAATAAATACACTTATGCTGATCAAATAAATAGATAGCTAGGATTATTAAATATTTTGACAATTTCGTAAAATTTAGTTGATACCTATCAAAATTATTTTCCTTAAAAAAACTAATTGAAAATAAATCAAAAAATAGGGTACTTTTAACCACTATTGAAATTAGAAAATAAATTTATAACAGTTGGCATTTATTTATTGAATATCCAAATTTTGCAAGTATAAATATACTTTAATATTTCATAAAAAATGCAGAAATTTAAAATAAATCAAACATAAATTAAGAAATGGATTATAACCTATAATTTAAAATTAATGTGAGATACTTATTAATGAATAAATAAATAAAAATTTGGTTTGTTTATATTTTGCAAGAAACTATAAAAATGACATTTTTTCTTAATTTAAAAATAAATAATGAAAGAAACTTTTAAAAATTATATTTAAATTTCATACAAAAATTAATTAAATAATATTCAATTAATTTTTATTTCAATTAATTAAATAATATTCAATTAATTTTTATTTCAATTAATTTAACTTTTCTTTTTAATGATTAGTTTTTTTTTTTTGAAAATAATTATGCTGAATTAAAAAAATATATAAATATGTACTTTACATTATATTAAAATCAATTTATTGCTTTTAAAAAAGTAATATTGAATTAATCAAACATTTTATTTTTATTATCAATGCTATTCAAAAGTGAGAGCTAAAAATGCACCAACAGATATACCAAATGTAAGACCAAAAGCTAGTATCAAAGAAATTAAATTTGTTTCATCAGGGTTAGAGCCTCTTTTAGGGCCTAATTACATGAGACCACCAGTAATAACTCCATTAGATAGACCAAACAAAAATATATTGATTAAAGCAAAATAGTCATTTCCAAAAAAGGCATTAGAAGGATCTCTTGCAGACATTAAGAAAGTAAAGAAGAAAATACATCTACTTATATTCAAAATATACATAGACGCAGAGTTGTAAAAAGGAAGATTACTCAAAGCTTTACCAGATAAATCGCCAATATTGTAAGAGAATTGCATTAAAAGACTATTTTTTTAAATCAATAAAAAATTATATTTAAAAAATATGAATTTATTTAATTAACTATTTGATAGAAATAGTTTATAAATAATATTTTATTTATTTATTTACGTAGCCCAAGCAAAAGATTCTATGAAGGAATATTATTTTTGGTAAATAGATACACCAGGGAAAAGCATAAAAGTGATAACATATGTCAAAAAAATAGAAGCAGCTATAAATTTAACTTTTTTCATGCATGCTAATAATCTAGTTTTAAATTATTATGAGTTTTGATTGCTGTTACTGCTGCTATAGTCACTAACAGATTAGTAGTTTATTTAATCAGTATTATTTTAAGTGGTTTCTTATGCAGAAAGCAAACTCATCATACTGTGGTGGTGATCAGATTTTAGGTATTGCAAAAGGCAGAAAATAGTTGCATAAATAATAATTGCTGCCATGACAAAGTATACAATTGTACCGTTATTAATTCCACTATTGTTATCACCAAAAATGGCTAGTACTATAGCCCTGCCTACGTTCATAGAAAGCCCGCTCCAGGCAGTAAAAATCCAGAAAATACCTTTTGTAAAAAAATTTTATTATTTTTTCATTAAAAATTTATCAGAATTGATATTGTAAATTCTGAAAAATGTGCTTTAATGGTTTTATTTATAAACTTTTAATGAAAATGGGTTTGTTTACCTTAGCTTTTTTTATCAAATTAAGAAATCATAGCAATGCTGGAGTTCTAAGAGATGCAAGTAGTGGTACCAATTAAAAAGCAGAGCACCATACAAATTGAGAAGCCAGCCCAATTTTAGAAAAAAAGGGCAACTAAAGGCATAGCAATCATAAAGAGAGATTGGATTGCAAGACACAAACCAATTCTAATTTTAATAGAATATCTTTTTGCAAGGAAGTCCATGGCTAAACCCCATATAAAAGTGGCAAACTTTAATGGAATCGGAAATAGGAAAGTAATGTCATGGTAAGTTTCCTTAGGATATTTACTATCAAAGTAATCAAAAGAGTTAAGAATAGCACTCCAGCCGATCAAAGAAGAAATTCCTAATAAAGCAGCAGTAGCTTTGCCTAAAAGAGTAGGCTTTAAGTCATAATTTGTTTGAATTAGTTTTGCGTCTTCCATTTTAATTATTTTCAGTAATAAACTTCTTTTAAAATTTAAAAATAATTTGAATAGATAAAATAAATAAATAAATTACAAATTTTTGCTGTTTCTGGCATCCTAATTTAAAAGAATTTTTTTCGAAGGTTATTTTAAAGCATTTAATATGGCTTTATATGAATTAAATCTTTTAATCAAAAAAGTGCATTGTAAGTCTTAAATGATCAATGAAGGGAGGGGGGTCACTTAGATTTTAGAAACAATCTATTTTGTAGGTTAAGTAAAGCAAGTCTAAATTTATATAAATTGACTGATTAGGAAAACTGATGTAATAGATAATTACAAATTTAACCTGAAATTTGTATTAATTTTACAATCAACTTTGATGAAAAATTATAAATTTCTGAAAATTCAAAACAATGTGTGTGTGTGTAAACTACTTTATATTTTACTTCGCAACTATCATAATTCATAATTAGTTATTAAATCAAAGTATATTGATTGAAACATCAAACTTTTACTTATTTTATTAAATATTAAAGTTTCGTCTTCGTTTTTTAAAATATAAATTTCAACAGAGATTGATTTATTTTCAATATAATTAATCAATCTTTAAAACATTAAAATGAATTAAAAAAATAAATTATTTTTTATTCTTTAGACATATACCGTAATTATTCTAACCTAAGTCCTCCTATTTTCTAGAAAATTTCCATATTTAGAGGGTTATTTTAAATGGCTTCATTAGGGAAGGGCTTAATTTTAGGTAGGGTCATCAAAGAATAATTACAGTACAATTTTTTCATTCAAATATATGAATAAAGTAAGCACATCAGCAAGGGCAAGCTGCAAAAATATTTATATTTATTTCATTTTTATTATAAGATGTTAGCCTACTATTTATTTCTACTATTTGGTTGTTTACCCTTCCATTTTAACATTCTTAGTAAATTTAATATTGAAAAAAAATATTTTACATTTTATAATTGACATCATAGTTTAATTATTAAATATTAGCCGGTGCTTACTTTTAATTGAGTGAGATCTGATAAAATACTGTAATCAAATCATGAAAAATCAAAGAAAGAGGTAATTTAGATATTAAAAAAATCTGTTTAAATAGTAATATAAAATAAACAAAAGAGATAATGAAGCAATAAATTAATTCATATATATTATAATACTTAATTTAACAAAATAACTATTTTTTTCTTTTTGTGATGACTTTTTTGAATAAATTATAAAACGTCATTATTATCATTCATTCTTTTAAATATTGATATTATATATCACATCTAAATTGAAGTTTCTATAAGATAATAATTATTCAAAGTTTAACATTTTTAATGTAAAATAACGAAAAACAATATCAAAAATAAAATTATAAAAGTAAATAATTCAATTCAAGAAAAACAATCTTTCCGTCAGACTAGATTTTTATCATAAAATTGCTTAAAGCTAAGTCAAATTTCAAAATTATTTTGATTTTTATTGTTACAGATAATTAGCTGTATGCAATTTAATTTTTTTTAAGCCAAATTTAATTATATGTAATAGAATGAATATGATATAATAAATAGTTAAGCAATTAAATAAATTAGGGGTTTAATAATTATATAAATACAGCCATACATACAGATAGATATCAATCTGAAATACTAAATGGGGGCTCAATTCTTAAGGATGGGGGATTGGAGAAAGTAAGACTGTAACATTAAGATTTAATGTTTTTTCTATGATTGAAAAAAGTTGAAAAATCTAAAATTATTAAATATTAACCACCTTCCTTCCTGTAAATAAATTATGCAATAAATCATCCTGATAATAGCAACTAATTAATGCCAACTAAATCCTTAATATCAAAGTATCTTTGATATAAATCTTTTAGAGATGCTTGCTTTATCAAATAAATTTTAGACTATTTTTCATAAGGTGTTTTTCGATGTATGCAAAATTATTGAAAATAGTAAAAAACCAGATTTGATTTTAAAAAATGGATTTTTGTTATAAATCAATCAGTAAGTAAATAAGTAAAATTGATATTATAAAGCATATTTTTATTTTATATTTAAATAAAAAGTGAATTATTTTATTTTTAAAACATTTTCTTATTTATTAAAATAATAAAATTTTACTATTTATTTTATGGAAATATAAAAACTTACAAATTATTTTTAAATTAAAATACGACTTAATTTATTTATTAACTCACTTTAAACTCAAACTAAAACGTGATCAAAGTTATTTAAGAAGACATCAAAGGCTTTACTAACTTTGTTATCGAATTGTTTAATGTTAGGATACAATTCTGCTAATTGAGGATTTTGTTCTTCGAAAAGAGATTGTTTGAGAGACTTTACTTTTATGTTAATTTCTTCTTCGTATAGCTTCATTTCTTTGTTTAGCTCTTCGGCAGCATCAATCAAGTCGTAATAAATTAAATATTGTATTAAATTCTTGCAATCGGCTATTTTTAAAGAATAAAAATTATTTATTCTGGAATATAATTGCAATAATAATTACTGAAGATTCCCATTTAGCCTTGCATTTCAGTTAAGAAATCAACTATGTACTCTTCTTCTATGGGAGAGCCTTCTTTGATATTTCTCTTGAGGAGATTCTTAGGTTTTTTGTCCTTCTTCTTTCTCATACCAGTTGTAATAGAGCTAAATTAATAAAACAAACCAAATTTTACTTAAATAATTACAAATTTTAAAAAACTAATTACAATGTATATGAAGTATGTGTGGTAGTAGTCTTTTGAGTTGATTCAGATATGTCTGAAATCATATCAGCTTCTTGATTACTAAACTGTCCTGCACCTAATTCTCCCAATAATTGAGGTCTCATTTTCTTTATTATTAGAATTCATTTAAAAAACAATTACTTATTGATTTTTATATTATTTATTTATTACCTTTTCCTATTAAACAACTTTAAGTCTAGCATATTTACTACTGAAAGTTTATCTGTATTGTCTTAAAAGGTTAGCCTTAAGATTTGAAGCAAGTTCTAATCCTGGTACAATGATTTCTGCTTTGATGACATCATGATCTTCTTCCATTTTAAGAAGAGTTTTTGTGCAAGCAGCCCAATCTGAACCCTTAACAAAATGCTCTAAAGCAGTCTTATTGTCTCCTAACTAGTGGTAAACCTTACCAGCCTAAGAATGGTTTTCGTTAAGGAGGAGTTCGTGAAGAATTTCTTTAAGAATAGTTTGCTTTTCTTCTTCATTTTTTTTGAGTTTGTTAGCATAATAGAGAGCTCTCTTGACTTCACCTGATTTCTTGCAAACAGACAAGGCTTCTTCAAATGCATGAACTGATTCAAAGGCAAGAAGTGCTTGCTAGAATTCTTTTTTAGAAGCCAAATATTCACCCATATAAACTTTAACTTCACGAATAATCTATGGTTCAGACTTAAAAGTCTTGAGACCAACATTGAAAAGGTTATGTTGCTTGATTAAGCTAATAGCTCTTTTCTTTTAATCAGCATTGCCCTAAGAAAGAACAACCACAGCACGATCGTATTTCTTTAAATCCATGTTAATAACATACTTTCTTTCAACTAAATCAGTCATAGCTTTCAATTTTTCTAAGTAAGGAACGTATTCCTTAGGATCTTTTTGAGTGAATTGAGCAGCCATAGCAACTAAATCTAAATCATAAGTACCTAAAGATACTTCGTATATTTTTTCAGCATCAGCTAACCAGCAAACATATTCAAGTAAGCTTCTAGCAGTAACAAGCCTTTTATGTTCAAATCTTTTGTTATCTTTAAAAAATCAAATTAATTTTATTTTTTTTAATAAAGTTTTTGAATTACTTGCAGGATTTAAATGAGGAGGATAATTTTCAGGAATATGTTCAGCTTCTTCATCTTTCATTTATTTAATAGTGTTAAGAACAAATTCAAGTTCGCTGGGCTCCTTTCTAATATGAGCAGTAAATTAAGAATACAAATACTTTTCGCTATTATTTAAATATGTAAAATAAATTTATTTATTTATTTATTTTTTAAAAAGGTGAATTGAATAAAATAAATAATCAATTTCAATTTCAAGTTACTTTACATTTTCATTTATTTGTAATAATTTTAAAATTTTATTTTATTTTATCTTAAAGAGATAATTCATGATAGTTTGTTTTTATTAAAATTTTCATCATTTATTTTTAAATGATATTTTAAGGTATATTTATATTTAAAAAATCAATATTTTTTTATGAAAATAGTACTTTTTTGCAAAGTAAAAATTGAATTGATTTCTTATTTTATTTTTTAGGATTTTTTAAATGTAAATAAAATGTTTTTTAATTGATAAATTACTTTTTGGTTGCTTCAAGTGCTTTGATAATAGAATCACAGAAAGTGTTAACTTTTTTACTTAGATGAGTTGTGTGATAGTTTTTAAGTTCTTATAGTTCTTCATCATAGATACAGTATTGAATTTCATCTGAAAGTTCATTCTTAACTTAGGCTATCAATAGGTTGATATAGTCAGTTTTTTTGAATTTAGTTAAAATTGATTAGGCATTTTCAATAAACTTTTTGGGGTTGATATCAAAGATAACATTAATATCGAGCTTATTAGTTCTACATAACTCGAAGGCAGTGTTATATTAATCTTAATCGATTAACTTTTTAACTTTTCTTAAGAAAATAATTCTATGATTTATAGTTTCTAAATTTCCTCTAGGTAATTAAAATACAAGTTTGTCATTTGCAACAGAAACAATGATGCTACCTCTTTCAATGTTTCTAACATTCAAGCTCTTGCTTTCCTATTTTTAGATGTAATTAAATTAATATAAAATGAAATGTAAAATAAATAGATTTATTTTTACTGGAGAAGGAAGAACAACTGAATCAGAAAGACCAGCTAAAGGATTCTTAGGATCACTCAAATCGTAGACATACATGCATTAGTACATACCGAGAGTATTTTAAGTAAACAAAACAAATGAATCATAAAGAGCAAATGAAGTAGCTTGTGAAGAAATAATTTTAGAGCCAAGCATAAATCTGTAGTTATGAGAAAGACCAAAGAGATATTCCATTCCATTCAAAACAGTGGCTTGGATTTTAGAAGCAGGAATTTCAAAAGTGGAGTGTTTTTCAATTTTAGAGTCATCATTTAAGAAATACTTGAAGACGGTGCCTTTGGAGTTTTAAATGAACAAGTAATTTCCACTAGATTTATCTTAAAATCCATATTCCTCTTCTTCATCATCATTATCGTCTGATTTTTGACCTCCTTTAGTTGTTTAGGTATACAAATAACCTGATACACAAGTAGCAGTAAGAGAGTTCTTAATGCTCTTCTCGAAAGTGTTTATAACATTCATGTTGCTATCTAGTACTATTTCTACTATAAATTTAGATTCTCCTTTATTATGAACAAAGAAAATAGAGTATTTATCTTCATAGGGAACCATTAAGAATTATCTGAGTCTATTGCTCTATTTACTGACTTCGTTTTTAATTGTCTTTTACTTCAATCCCAAATTATTGTCAACAGTGAAAATTTCAAAGCTATTCTCACAAGCAGCACAAATATAGTCTAATTAAAATTATAAATTATTTAATATTAAACCAATCAAAATCAAGCAATCAATATCTATCTTTCTTTTTTCAATTTATAATAAATTAAAAAAAATAGTTTTATCATTTAAAATTTTCCATTTAAAATTAAAAACAAACTACTTTTATTATTAACCAAATACTTATTATTTAAAATATAATTTTTGTTTTTACTTAATTAAAATTCTTCTAAAATTAATCGTAAATTATTTTTTCTAAAAAAATTGCTAATTAATCTTATTTATTTATTTATTTATTTAGTTAATGTTACTTACTACGGAGGTTAATCAGAAATATCATTTCAATTTAGTTCATGTGATTTTTAATTAATTAATCCATATTATTTATTAATTTGATGTAATTTTTGAAGTAAATTTGAATTGTAATATATTTTTTTTCTTTTTTCTATAAATTATTTAATGAATTTAATATATTTTAATAGTAAAAACTGATTATTCGTTTTTCTAAACTGATTTAATTGCTAATTATTTTTAACTTAGTAAGAATTACTTTATATTTGTTTATAACAATATTTATGTTGCATCGTGTTTATATTAGTTTAACCTAGTGAATGAGAATTACTCTTTAGTATTTTATTTTAATAATTAGTTATATTTTTGTTTATATTAATTTTATGTGAATGTTAACCAAACTTAATGTCATTTAATAGACTGATTTGAGTATTTTATTTTTTAAATTTATAAAATTTTACTGTTTCCTGCTGAGAATCCTAAGACTGGATTAGGGAGGGCTAACTCGAAGTTAGACATAGGAGGAGGCATAATGGTTCTTTTAAAGACTGTAGTGAGTATCTTGTTGTTATCTACAGAAGGTATAAGAGAGAGATTATTTTCATGAGCAGTGTCATGAATGTTTTAAGAATGGACAAGAGATAAGTCGAGAACTTCAATAAAGTTTTATTCATAAACAATAACAAGTCTCTTACTGTTTTGGAGACACCAAATTAATCCATTGATTTTAATACCATCTAAACATTAAACAACTTTTTTTAAGTACCATCTGTAATTGCTTCTGTGATAGAGCAAAATGCTTTCTTGAGATTCCTCTTCTCTATTTAAATGGTCATTTTAAATATTTAGCAACAAACTTTTCAATATAAATTGATAAATTACTTGACATGGACAGCTAATATTTCAGATTCCTTGTTATATTATAAGTTGATTACTTCTATTAAGTTAGAATCAGTGTTTAAGGAGTCCTTTAAATTTGGTAAATTAAACTCCAAATGTCTCAAACCATTCTTTTCCCAGAAAATAACTCTAGTTAAAGTTTTTGATTTATCTTGCTTTGAAGGCTTTCTATCAACACCAGCAATAAAGTTACCAGTAGGCTACCAGCTGATGGGTCCTTACAAATCTTTTGAATTATTATCATAAATTTATCATTTTCATTTAATTTTACTTGAAATAATTTAATTTATTTTTACTCTCAGTTGGTTCTTCAGAAACTGATACTACATTTTGACCATCTGGATCAGGTTGAGCAGCTGACTTAAATACTTCGAGTTCAGTGCTTCTGGTTAAACTTTTACGTCCACCTTCAACTGCAAAATTGCAAGCAAAGAACTTTTATAGATAAAAATAGACCAGTTAATAACGTACTTAATAAAATACTTCAGAATAAATATAGATTTTTTTATTGATATTATTGATCAATCAATCAATTATTTATTTATTTATTTGTTATATTTGCACATTAAACATAATTAAATAATATATATCTTAGCTTTTTATTTGTTTAATAATAGAATGTTCATTTTTTACCTTAGCATCTGCCTTCCATGCAAAGTAAACAGGCTAAGGAGATGAAGGAGCCTTAAATGAATTAGCATCTTCATCAATATGAACTTCTTTTGAAACGTCGAAGTTATTATCAAAAGATATTAATGTATGATTTCCAGTAGCCACAATAAGTTATTCCTAGTTAGGAGAATATGAAAAACCTAAAATTCCGTTTTCGATGCATCCAACACTTTCACAAGATTTATCAGAAATGCTGAATTTCATAATTTCTCCACTTTGTTAAATGATAATGACACTTTCTAATTCTAAAATATACTTGATTCCCAAAACCTTTTCTACATCGCAGATATCATTGCTCAAATCAGCTTTAAAAATGATCTATTTTGAATTATTGTAAATTTAGCTAAAACAAGCCAATAAGTTTATATTTGGAATAAAAATAGCTTGTGTGTTTTAACACATATTCCAATCATTTAATTAAATTACTTCGTGACTCTCTAAGCTCTCAATCTTGATTGCATACAAAATTTTTGACTTGGTGATAATGTAGAGAGTGTATGAGAATTCTTCGAAATCAAAAGCCTCAATATCGGCTAATTCTTCAATATTAAACCTGATTTAATGAGAAAAAGAAATGAAATATACTTGTTTTATACACAAAGAATATCTTATTATTTTAATAAATATTTTTTACTTGTAATAATCAGATAATAAAATGTTTCTCATCTTTTAACTAATTAATTTGCTAACTAAAAACTTATTTGCGCTATTTTCTACTTAATTGCTTGCTTGCTTTCTTTCTAAAACAATTTTTAAAGAGCTATCTAATAAATAAATAATTATTAATTTCTTTTACCTTATATCGTCTATTAATTTAACCTCTCCTTTTAATGAATTTTCTTGCATATCTCAGAAAAACTCATAATTCAACTATTGGATTTCAAAAGAAACTTCTTATAATAATTCTTGATGAATAAATAAAGTGACGACTTACTTAATAATATTTTAATACATCCTCTATAAAAATTTGATCATAAATAGAAAAATCAATATAAAAATCTAAATTTATAAATTAAATAATGATTATAAATAATTTAAACTAGAAGAGTTATTTTATAAATAAATTTTAACATAAATTTGCATTTAAATATTTAATTTAAACAAAATTTAATAAGTTAAAATAAATTATTTCTTCAATTTTTCTAATACTGTAAATCCTCATAAAGATGATAAGGCCATCCCTTCATCTTCAAACACCAATGAAAGGTTATATTTTCTACTAATTAATTAATAAATATTCAGATTTTTACTATTCAAAATATGATAATACATAGTAATAATTAAAATGACTAATTATTAAAGATATTGAAATATCCAACAAACATATATATGATCTATCAAAACTTTTTTGATACATTGCATTTATTTTATCTAATGTAAAAATAATTTCAATAAATAGATAGCACAAACAAAATATTTAAATTAAATTAAACTTAAAATCAACTAAAATGTTTTGACATTTTAATGCTTATATTTTAGTATTCTTCTGAAGATTCCTCTTCATCCAAAAGTTTATATTATTCGGATATTAAATTGAGGATTTACTTCATAAAGTTATTGTTACCATTTAAATTAGTCTTAAGAACTTTTAAAATAGTTAAAGAATATTTGACTCTTTTATACAAATCTGTGATTTTATCAAGATTGAATAATATTTAATTAGTATGAAATGCTCTTATCTTTTCTTTTTTAATATTAAACATCATTTGTAAATGTTTCAATCTATAAAGGAACTCGTTATCGTAATCTTGAATACCAAGATAGCAGTCAGCAAGGTCGAAAAAGGAATTAGCTACATATTAATGGTTTCCTTTATATATTTCTTATTTCATTAACAGTGCTTTTTTATGGTATTCAAATGATTTCTCATAATCCTTTAGATACTTATAACAGATTCCTATAGTCCTATAGGAGAGAGGTATTGCATAGTGATTGGAAGAATAGATATCTTCTCTCATTTTTAGGACTTACAAGTGATATTCTAGCGATTTTTGATGATTGTTTTTCCATCTAGCTATTTAACCCATGCAAATTAGAGAAAATATTTTAGAAAAATGGCTTCCTTAATATGTTTTATTTTATATATCAATTGCTAACTGATTAAATTAAATTGACATTTCTACATTATTCAACCACCTATAACAATCAGCTATATTTGTAAAGCATTCCGAAACTGAAATATGATTTTCACCATATAATTCTTTTCTTAAATTACAAGATTTCTCATAAAATTAAAGAGCTTCTTAAAAATTATCAAGATAATAATTACTATTTCCAACGCTGTTATAAGATTCACTAACAAGTTAATGATTTTCGCCAAATAAATTTTATCTTATCAACAAAGTCTACTTAAACAAATCCAGGCACTTCTACACATTATCAGATTCGTAGTAAAATATACCTATTTCATACATCAAAGAATAACTATTTTACATTTTATCAGAATCATCTTAATAAATTTAATTAAATATTGTTTCTACTTCTTATTCAATCAGAATTTAAGCATTATATAGAATTTAACTAGTATGAAGAAGCAAGTAATACTCATCTGCTTACAAATTGTTCTATTAATAAATCTGAATTGTTTTTTGTATTCTTTCTATAAATTAGCTCTTTACAATTACCTTTTCATAGCATTTAAATAAAAACCTTTAAAGTTAATAAACAGAAAACCTTTATTCCTACTTAGGTTGTAGCATGTAGCTCTTAACAAACTAGAATAAATTATAAAACTTAGGATCACCCATTTTTTCTAGTGAATTATAACTTTATCTATTAATTAAATTGATCGTTTGTTCATTTATTTAAAAGCCAAATAACAAAAGCACCAATACACCTAAACCAAATACATCTAAGCTTTGATAACTGTAAATATTGAGTGTTTTAGGTATTATTTAATCTGCTTCTGGAGAGTTAAAAAAAGAGTAATATGGATCTTTAATCATTTTAGAAGTTTCAAAATAATTTAATTCATTGAAATTTAGAAAATTTCTAAACTTGAGATTACCACTTTAGTCAAAAACAATAGAATGAGGATTGATATTCAGATGATAAAATCCCTTTGAGTGAATTTCGAACAGAGAAAATAGTAAGGATTAAAAAATATTAACAACTTCTCCAAAATCAGGTTCAATTAAGGAGGAAGAATACATGTTTTAAATGTAATCATAAAATGTTTAATTTATTGATTCTGTAATTAATATAAAAGTTTTTAATTCATCTAAATCAAAGCAGTCAAACAATTAAATAGTAGAGTTGAAATTCTTCATTTTATTTAATATTTAGCATTCATTTTTAACTAATTAGTAAGATTATGTATTAGGATTTGATATTTTTATCAAAACCGGTTAACTAAAAGCGTTTAGCCCATTAAACTCATAGTAATAATTACTTCTGAATGTCTCTTATTTATGATCTAGTATTTTATAATCTTTTTACTGTAGAAATTCAATGATATTATTGTTTTACATAACTTACTTAGTGTATTAATAATTATTTTTTTAGTATTTATCTAGCTATTTATCAGATGATATTAATTATTTAAATTTCTTATTTAGTTTTTGTTTAATCATCACTAGTTATTTACTTAATTAATTAACTAATTATATAAATAATTGAATTTGAAATGAGTTAAAATATCTACTTTTTAATTTCTATTCTTATAAATTTTGATTATTTCAAAAGTAAATAAAATTGTACAATATAATTTATATAGTAAGTATCTAAAAAAAGATTTATTTCCTCCTAATTAAATAAAGATAGAGTAAATATCCAATCTATATTTATTATTCTAACAAATATCATTCATCTATTTTCACTAAAAAATAATTCAATCTAAAACTATAGCCAAAAGTTTAAGATCAATCTGAAGTATTTATTACATCAAACAGTAAACATACATTTATTCATGAGATTATTTCAAATATTACTTCATAACTTATTCTAATAAACAGATGAAGATATGAAAAACAAAACTTTTAATGAAGATTCATTGAATAGGAAATATTTAAACTTACTTTTTAAAATATATAAACAAAATATATCTTAAAATAATTAAAAAATAAATATTAAATTTAAATTAAAAACACTAAATAAAATTTAATTTTGTTTTAAATAAAAAATTTATAATTAATTTAATTTTTGATGATATAATAAAATTTATTTTATTATATTTCATCTTATGATTCTATTATTAATTTTCCTATTTATTTATTTATTTATTTATTCATTCATTTATTATTTTTATTCATATTTATTTATTCATTTATTTACTATTTTTATTCATATTTATTTACTATTTTTATTCGTATTTATTTATTATTTTTATTCATATTTATTTATTCTTATTTATTTATTATTTTTATTCATATTTATTTATTTATTCTTATTTATTTATTATTTTTATTCAAAATTTTTATTGATAAATTTTAATAAAAGAAAATATTTTCATTAAAAAATATTTAATTAAATTTTGAGATGATTATTTGACATTTTTAAATTACAAATTGTTTAGTATGATTTATCTATCTGTTAGTTCTATAGGTTTATATTAGTACGCAAAAAATCAAATTTGTATTTTTATCAATAGGTATTTATTTATTTAGTGATTTAGAAGAAGTGTAAATTATGATGGAAAAATCATGAATAGTATTTACAAAGTGATATTAGAGAAAGTAAGTAAAATATATTCAGAAAATTAATTAAAAACTGATTTAAAAAAGTGACTAGTTTAGTAATAAAAAAATCAAAATTAAAAATATTTAGGTAAGTTCATATTTTGACGATAAGTTAATCTAATAAAAGATCAATTATTAAAATTTGATAGATTTTAATACTAACTACTTAAGTATAAACTACTAACTTTTTCTATACAAAATGTCTGAAAAAGAAGATAATCTCAAATAAACTAATAATCTCAACTAAGAGAATTTAGTTTTGAAGCAGATATAAGGTTCTCAGCCCTAAAAAAATATTGAACTTACTTTTACTGTTTCATAATATAATGAAACACAAAATCCTACTATTAATGATTTCAATCAAAATTAAATCGAAGACTCATAATCTAAAGCTTCAGAGAGATATTCGGGCTTAAATAATGCAAAATTGCAAAATAAATCTTCAAAGTACACTGAATTATAAGAAGAACCAGAAGAAGAAGGCTAGGAATAAAAGTGGAAAAAATTTAATTTCTACATGAATACTAGTTTCCTTGGGTAGATATTTTTAATAGATTTGTTCAGACTTCTGTTAAAAGCTGCCAAGGAATCAAGGATTTACAAGCAATTTAGTATTGATAATGCTCCTTAGCTGTTTCCATGGCATTATACAGAACATACCCATAAAAGACTGCAAAAATATTTAGATGAAGATGTTGAAAAGGCATAAAAATAGGGAAAAGATATAGTTGGAATGAATTTTATATGGATATTCTTAAAGATTTTTAAATATCAAATGATAATTATTTTTTTACTATAAATTATTGGAAGCAGCTTTAAAATGTATTCAACTCTCCATATCAAGAGTTTAATTCAATCTATTTAAAAAAATGGAGTTACTACTCAAGCTTACATAGATGCTGTTTAATTAAATGTCTCCATGATTCTTTATGTGTTATTTTATCACAATACACCCAGATTAAATTGCATGATATTCTCTATTTTTAGAAATGCATTTATGAAAGCCCTATATTTTAAAGTTGCATCTTTATCTTCACATGCAGTAAAGTAAGCAAATGTGGGTAAATTAATTAATCTAGTTGCTAACGATCTTGCTAATGTGGAAAATCGCTTCAATGTCATGCTCTCAGTTATCACAGCACCTTATCCACTCATTGTTATTTTTGTACTAATATATCAAAAGTATAGCTCGATTATATTAATTTATTAATTATCTTTTCTCATTGTCAGATTTTATTCTCGAAACTTAATTAATTAATTTGCTAAAAAAATATGTTAATTAATTTTAAACATGTTAAATTAATTAATTTAGATATTCTCTAAAAGATCATTTTTATTTTAATAAATTTATTTTTAAGTATTAGCAAAGTAATAATTTATTTATTTATTTAATTAATCAAAAAAATTGATTAAACTTACCATCTTTCCTCTTTATTTTCTGGTTTATTTTGCTGAAAATATAAATTTTATTATAATTCATGCTTAAAAATTTTAGTGGGGAGTATGGGTTAGGGAATTTAGAAATGAGAGAGAGAGAATATAGTAACTAAAATTAATTAATTAATTTATTTTTATATATAAAATATTAGCTATGGATTAATGGGTTTGATAGGATTTTTCTTAATGAGTTTGACATGTCCTATTTAAATGCTAATTTCAAGATATGTTTCTCCTTATTATGAGCAAAAATCTAAGATAATTGATGAAAGAGTCAAGCTCACTAATGAAATAATTGAAGGTATACGTTTAATTAAGATGTATGCATGGGAAAAGGCTTTCGAAAAGAGTATTTAAATAATTAAAGTCTAAGAATATAGAAAGAATATTATCATCTAAGCTCTTACTTTAGTAAATCACAGCATAGAATTTGTTTCTAGTTTATTTGGTACTTATATCACATTTTTCCTTGTTTATTACTTTTAAGAGGGCGCAAATTTAGACCTACCTACAATCTTTTCAACTTGTGATCAGTTTAACTATATCAGAAGCGAAGTTATTAGCTCAGTTGGCTGGGGAATTTCAGGTTTTTTTCAACTAAAAGTAGTTCTTAATAGAATGGCAAGTGTGATTAACTTAAAAAACACTTCTATGACATGCATTTAAGGTAAATTCATTTAATTATATTTTTTCTTTATCAAATCTCTTGATTAAATTATATTTATTTCAAAAAATTAAAATATTATTAATTTATTTGTTTGTTTATTTGTTTAATTTAAAGTTGAATTAAATTTAAACAATAATTTTTTATTTTTTAAAAAATTTTATTTTACTTGGATTTTGCTTTTTGAATTTATCTTTTTATTTTAATCATAAAGGTTAAAATAAATTTGAGGATAATGAAGATTTATAAGTTGGAACTGTTAAGTTTGAAGATTTCACTGCTTATTGGAAAGAAAACACTCCTGTTTTATAAGATATAAATCTTTAAGTTAATTAAAGAGAAATCGTTAGCATTATTGGAAAAGTAGGTTCTGGTAAAACTTCACTGCTAAATTGTATTTTAAAAGAAGTTCCTCTTTATAAGGGAAGCTTTAACTATAAAGGAAAGCTTGCTTATGTTGAGCAGGAACCTTACATTTTTAACTGCTCAATAAAAGAGAATATTACATTTGGCAAATAATATGATGAAGATCTCTACAAAAAAGTTATTAAATCTTGCTGTTTGGAAGAAGATATCAAATCTTTTGATTAAGGAGACAATACTCAAATAGGTGAAAGAGGTTTAAACATCAGCGGAGGTCAAAAAGCTAGAATTTCTTTAGCAAGAGCTCTCTATTCTGAAGCAGATATTTATCTTCTTGATGATCCTCTCTCTGCAGTTGATGCTAAGGTAAAAATTTAATTTTTTAAATAATTTGTTTAATTAAATTTAAAATATTTATTTTTAAAGGTGGCTTAAAACTTATTTTTTGATGTTATCAAATTCGTTAGCAATAAAGCTACTGTTATTCTCACTACTCACTAAATCCACTTCTCAAGATATACAGATCGAGTACTTATATTCGAAGATGGTAAAATTAAAAATGATGGAAAATATGCAGAATTAGAGAGTGAAATCAAAAAGCTTTCTCTTTAGCTCAGTCACACATCTGATGATGAAAATAAGACAAAAGATGAAGAAGAGGATGAATTTCTGACATAATAAGAAAACTAAGGTTTTTTATTTTAAATATCATCAAATTGTTTAATTTAAAAATTATTTTCAGAATTAAATAATAGCAAAAACCAGCAATAGATTATTGATTAATCAGATTAACAATCAAATGAAGAAAAAATAAAAGAAGTTTTTGATCAAAATTAAAAAGGTGAAAAGCCAAATTTATTAGTTTCTTAACCATAGCCCTAATAAAACTAAGAAAAGGATGTTAAGGCATCATTTGGAACTTATAAGTTTTTTTATAAATCGTCAGATATGCCTTTCCTTATTTTTATTATTCTTTTTCTTTTTGCAGGAAGCGAAGTCTTTTTCGTGTTATACAATTAAACTCTTGGAACAATTGTCAAAGAAGATATTCCTAGTGTACTTGCTAAATTAGGCTGGATAGTACTAGCATATTTTATAATTTAATTGCTGAAAAATACTCTTGCTGTCTACTATTTCAACAACAGTGCTTTTAACATTCATTAAAAAATGATTAACTCTCTCTTAAGAGCAACTGTACAATTTTTTGATGTCACTTCGTCAGGCAAAATTCTTAATCTCTTTTCAACTGACATAGGTATTATTTTATTTATATATTTTAAGAATATTAAAATTTTGAATGAATTTTGAAAAAATAGGTATTGTCGACACAACTTTACTAACTTAAGCAGCTGATGTCTTTGAAATAATAATTTAAATATTCATCTTTTTAATAAGCATAATGGTTATGGCCCCTTATTTTATTTTTGTAGGAGTTTTTTAATTTATTATCTTGACATCGTTTGTATATAAAACAAAAGAAGCTTTATTCCACACAAAATAATTAGATTTAAATATGAGATCCCCTGTTTTTACCTTTTTCAACGTAGTTGTATAGGGAGTTCTACCTATAAGAGTCTATAATAAATAAGAATTCTTTGATAAGCAATTTAATGTTCTAGGAGACGACTCTCTCAGAGCTACTTGGTATTTCTGTCTTTCTTCAAGAGGTTTTGGTTCTTTCCTTCATCTATTTGCAACTATCTTTAATTCTATCAGTATCTTTATTATCATCACTTTTATCAAAGATGAAAATAAAATTGGCTAATCAATAGTCCTTTTTATGGCAAGTATTGAATATTTACAGTGGGGTGTCAGGTAAAAATTTATTTACTTTTATTTTTTTAATAATTAATTTGATTAAACATTTTTTTGTTATTTTATTCTTTTATCGTGTTTGAAACCTGCTTCAAAATTTTTAACTGATTTTAAATAATATTTATTGTTCTTCTAAATTTATATTTCCTACAAGAAAAATAATTATTCAGGAATAGCTTTAATTTAAACTATTTTTTTAAATTAAATTTAAAAATTAAAAATTATAAAAAAATTTGAATAGGTTTTATTTATTTACATTTGATAAAAGAATAAACAAGCTTTATTTGTTTCTATTATTTATTTATATTTTATCTTTTTGAATAAAAAAATATATGTTCAATATAATTTTAATGTTTTTATTAAAAAAGATAAGCTATCTAAGTAGATGTTGCTATGTCTAGTACATAAAGATGTAAGAATCTAATTGAAGAATAATCAGAAGCTGCGTTGATAACTACTTATGATACAGAAATATTTAATATTAACAAAAATGAGAGCAATATCTAGTGTCTCAATTCAAAATTCCCTTAAAGTAGTCAATTATAATTCTAAGATGTGAAAATGAGATATCGCAAGGAGCTCAACTTAGTATTGAAAGGTCTTACATTTAGTATATAACCTGGATAAAGGATAGGATTTGTTGGTAGAACTGGTGCAGGAAAATCTTCTATTATTCAAGCACTATTTAGAATGACAGAAATTGAAGATAAAGAAAAGACATTTTAAACCATTTTAGAAAATGATTTAGAATCAAATATTATAGGTAACGATGGTATTTTTATTGATGGCCACAAAATCTCTAATTTAGGTCTTCACACACTTAGATCAGCTATTAGCATAATACCATAAGTTCCATTTGTGTTTTCTGGATCGATCAGAAGAAATTTGGATCCCCTTGAATAATACAGCGATGCTCAAATAGATAAAGTTTTAGAAGATATTGAGCTTAAAGGTGATAAAAAATTTTTTTATTTACATCAAAATCTAAAATTTAACAAAATAATTGAATAGGTTAATCATTTATTTATTTGATTAAAATTAAAAGATTATTTTTAATTAATTTAAATAGAGAATTTGTTTTTAATTTATCTTCTTTCTTTTTTAATTATAACTTTTGGTTTTATTTAATCTTAGTAAAATAAAAATGTGTTTAGATGTAATTAATTAATCAATAAATATATAAATATAAATAGATAAGATCAATTAATTAGAGCACAAAATATTAACAGATATGACTAATACGAGCGAAATATTTAGTACAGGTCAAAAATAGCTGATATGCCTAGGCAGAGCTATATTAAAATAAAGTAAGTTAATTGTGCTTGATGAAGCAACTGCAAACTGTGATATGCTTACTGATGAATTAATATAAAAGAAAATAAGAGAAAGATTTACTAATTCCACAATCATAACTATAGCTCACCGTCTAAACACTATAGCAGATTATGATTAAATTATAGTTATTGACAATGGAAAGGCTGTAGAATAAGGAGAACCCTATTAGCTCTTGTAAGATAAAGCAAGCATATTCTATTAAATGGTAGCAAAAACTGGAAAAAAGAATTCAAGCATAATATATAAAATAGCCTAATAAAAGCATTAATAAAATTAGTAAAATTAGGAAGAAATTTGATGAAAAAAGAATTAAAATTATAATAAATGATAAATTATTTCTAAATTCAACATTATATTTTTTATTTTGAATGTGTTTGTTTGTTTGTTTGTTTTTTTAATAATCTTAAATAAATCTCAAACAATTTTTTTAAACATAATTTTTAAATATAAATCTTGTTTTAAATATTTATTTTTCATTTTCTTCACTTTTTGGTGTAAAGAGGCAATAAATAAATGATAAATATTTAATAATTTATTAGTTAATTTGGTAAATTTATTTTAACCTTTTGATGTGGGGCTCTATATTAAAATTATAGAATATAGAGGTATCGAATTTTTAAAAAATAATGAAATTTTTTTCCAAATCATTCTCACCCTCAATAGTTAGGATCCCCCGCCTGAAAGAGTTAATTTATTTTTAATAAAATTATCTAATTTTAATTTAAATTTGATGGTATTTTAATGAAAAAGTTAATTTATTATTTATTCATTTTTAAAAGCGAATTTTCTTCATTTTTCTTTAAATTCCTTTATTTAATAAATAATAAATTGATTATTTGTTTGTTTTAATTAATAATTTGCTATTTCTAAAAATTTAATTTACACAATTGTAATTTTAATTCATTCATTTTTAACCTTAACATAATCTTGAGGACAATAAAATAAATATTTATCAGATTTTTTCCAAAACAAAAAATTTTATATAATAATTTATAATTTAGTGTTTCTAACTTTTTTTTGATTAAAAACAAGCTAATTAATAAATATTTTTGCTAAATTATTTGTTGTGATGTGTTTGTTAATCAACTCTTTTGATTAAAGCTAAAAGATTATTTGACTTTCCCCTGATGTTTATTTCCACTAAAAGTTTTAAATAAAAATTGTATTTATGTCTAAATTAAATGAATAAATTAAATACTTTAATTAAATTTCATAGGATTTGATTTTTAATTAGCAGATTTACTCTTCAATTAAGCTATTCAAGTCTATTTAATTGTTGCTGTTTATATTTTTATATTTTTTATTATGGAAATCTTTCTTTAATTTAATTTACCTTAAGTTAATTTAGAGGTTGCATAAATGTTTGCACTTTTAAATATCTGAGAGTAGATAGCTGAATCCGTCATTAGTTATCTAATTATTTCTTTTTAAAATTTAAATATTAAATTTTGAAAATAAATTTTTTACGATAAGTCTAAGCATAGATTCTAGATATTTTTAAAATTAGAAGCAATAACTCCAATATCTCCAGCATCAAAATCTTTCAGATCTTAATTTCTTTAAATAAATATAATAATCTTAATCAAATTAATTTTTTCAATTTAGTTATTTTGTTAATTTAAATTCAATTAATTTACTGCAAATAAATTATTTTAAATATCAATCAAGCTGCCAAATTTTTACAAAATTTAATAAATTTGTTCTTTCTGATTTATTAGTTTTTATTAAATTTAATAATAAATCTAGCTATATAGAGCTTGTTATAGTTTATTATAAATAATAAAAATTTATTAATTATAAATTTATTTTCTCTTCAAAGTAAAATTCTATTTTAACAAAAATAAATCTACAAGTTAGTTTTTTTTACTATCTCTTAAATGTATGTTTCAGCTAAATAATTAAAAATAATAAATAGCAATTCTTTTATTTGTTAATTTGGTTTAAAAATCAAAAAATTTTGTTTTTTTATCAAAAGAATAAATTGAAAAAACAGACATTATTATCATAAAATAAATTTGAGGATATATGGTAAGCAGAGAAGATTTTTCATTATATTTTAAATAGATTTTTTGTAAAATTTGTAAAAGTTTTACTTTATGATTAAATTAAGTTCTTTCAAATAATTTAAATTGTTTATAGTTAGCTCTTCAAATTAGTCATACATTTCATCAAAACCATCTTCATCCAATTTTCCTAAAAATTGTAAATCGAGAGTTTAGAGTTTTGGAAATTGTTTAATGATCAGAAAAATATCCTTAATTTATTTATTAAGATTCCCTTCCAGCCTTTCAATATTTAAAATATTAAATTATTTTTTTTAATTACAAAATAAATCTTTTACTTACTTTAAACCTAAAAAATCAATATTTTGAAGGTTTGGCATAGCACTGAAAAATACTGGCTCCTAATTTATTTGCTCACTTAAATTAAAACATTAAATGAATAATTTAAATTATGAAAGAAAAGTTTCTACTTATTATCTGCATGGTTATGTATATGGAAGAGTAGTTTTTGCAGGTTTTGACACTGATTCAAGGCTAATAAAATTGATCTCATTTCAAACAAATTATAATCACTTATTTTAAAATAATTAAAGTGTTCTTAATTAATTATAAATTTTTGTAATATTTATTTTTTACCTAATATGTAAAGATATTTTTTATAAGAATTTTATTGATGACAACTTAGAGATAAAATATCCAATTATCTCTGCCTCGTTTTTGTTTTTGGATTGACTTTATTTAAAAATTTAAAAATATTAAAAATAAATTAATTTACATACATGATAAATTAAATTTTACTTAATTTAGATATTAAATTATCTGAGCTTTTAAAAGTTCTGTATAAAACCAGCTAAAACTTTCGATTCAATAATATTTGGATTGTCTAAGCTAAGTTTTTTATATAGAATTTACATTAATTAGTTTTCAAGAAGAATTCATTTATTTACACTAAATCTAAATCAATTTATCTGCAGCAGTTAAATCCTTTGATCAGATTAACCCAACTTTCTACTAAAAATTCAGGATTCCTTTAAAAATAAAAAAAAATAATTAAATAAATTGTTAAGCCTTTGGATTTATTTACCTTAATATCAGTTTTAAACGTCTTTATGAATATTCAGATTGTAAAATATTTTTTATTTTTTGAGACTACTCAGCTGTTATAGTTATATTTTTTCTATTAATTATTATATAAAAACATTCTGACAAACCATAAAAAAAATAAATAATTTACCTAATACTCAGATTTAAAATGTCAAAATGATTAATTTATTAGATGAAATCCTTAAAATGTTAGATTTCCGTATCTGAAAATGACTCTAAACTATTTATTTAGATTAATTACATAGCATTAATTCATTTTAACAAAATCTAGAATTACCAGTAATCGAACTACCTTGATAAATTCTAAATAAATAAATAAAGATTGAATATGCTTTCATATATATTATATATAATAAATATAATACACTATTATTAGAGTTAATGTGATCGTTATCTTAATAAAAAACATCTAATCATATAAATAAAAATAAATTTAAAAGAATTATAACATAATATAATTTGTAATGTTTAAAATAAATCTTTCAGATTTAAAAATAAAAAATAAATAAGTAAATAAATTTATTAAGATAGATATTAAGCTATTTTTTTATTTATTTATTTTACCAGAATCTTCGATTACTTTTTCTTAGACTGAATAAATTTGTAGAACTTGTTATTATAAACAATCTTTCAATAACTTGAATTAATCCTTTTTAATTTCTTGCGTGTCAACTAAAATTTACTCCTAATGCAAATAAGAGTTGAGTAGTTATAATGTATCCTTGCATATTACTTTATTCTGCATTAACTTGTTCATTTAAGTAAAACTTTAATCATTTTTTAAACATTAATTAACATTAATTGTAACGAATTTTTAAGTTTTATTATTGAATGCATGAATTTCGAATTAATTATAATCATCTTTAGTCAAACTTTCATCCAAAACAATATATCTACTTGATTGCTATTTAAGGAGATCAATTATTTTTTTATTGCTATAATTGTAATTTAAAATCTAATTAAATTTCTTCAACATTTTTAGTGAATTTATTTATGAAATTGCTTGTTATTTTACAAATTTATACAGGCAGAAAGAAGTATTATTTAAAACTAATCAACCTAAAGATTTTAATATCTTGTTTCTACTTAAACTTTATTTCTTTCAAATAGATGAGTTAATTATGTTAACAATTTTAGATATCTCCATTCAATATTTTCTGCTATTTATTATGTCTTCAATCAATAGAATAAATAAATTCCTAAACATTCTTAATTTATATATAATAATAATATATTTGTTTAATTTGATAAATATTATTGACTGGACATTATCAATTATTGAAGCTTGAATAATCAACTAGCCAATTTATTTATTTATATCAACTCAAATAAATCCATATTCCAATAGTTTCTTTTATTTGTATTTACAAAAATAATCTTTTTAATTGATGACTTCCTATTAAAACAAAAAAAATATTTACCTCTCTTATGAAGAAAATATATATTTTTATCTTCACCATTATTTCTTTGATTTCAAATATTATACATTTATTTATATTAAAATTTTAAAATATTCTAAATCACATGATTTAATTTTCATTTACAGAAAAAAAAAATAGGGTGATAACATAAAAATATAAAATTCAATTCTATTCAGTAAATAATTTGTTCGATATTTTTAAAGTTATTTTTTTCAAAATAAATCAATTTTATTATTTTTTGTGATTAATTATTTATACATAATGTGTATGTATGTATGTATGTATGTATTGATAGTTTTAATGATCATCTTTACTGAATTTATTTTGATTAATTATTGTAAGCATTTTAAAAACATATATGAACAGAACAAAAAAATTTTGATTAATAAAATAATAATAATTTTAAATATTACAAATCTTTATGTCATGGTTGGTGATATTTCAAATGCAGGAAAAGCTATAGAATAAATATATATTTCATTGTTTATTCGTAAAGAAACAGATTAATTTTTTTTGACATAATCTTAATGAGAAATTGAAAAATAAAAGTAAAAAGATAGATATATTAACTACATGACTTTTTAATGCTGTAAAGGTTTCCCAAATTATTGAAGACCAACTCTGATTAAAAAATTATCAACTCATGTGTTTTGTTTTGTTTTGTTTTGTTTTGTATGCACTCTATTAAACATATACAAGAACGAACAGAAAAAGATGAAATAAATAATATAAATAATTTATCTAACTAATTTATTAATTTAGTGTAATAGAAAATATGATACGCGCGATAAACAATCGAAGCCTATGAGATCAAATGTTTATTAAATTTAAATTTTTAATCTGATAATTTATAAGCGCAAAATAGAAGTAAGGGATTATATCAACTGCTTTTTTTATAAATAGATAGAATTAATTAATTAATTAATTAATTTAAAAAGAAATATAAAAATACAATTTAGTAAAATATTCTTATATCAGACTATTAACTTAAATGTCTTGGAATTTTAGATCAACTTTAGAATAACTAGGTGAATTGTATTATAAATACTTAAAAACTTGCTTAAAGATTTATAAGCCTCATTTTTTTGTTGAGTATATTGAAAAAATTAGTGACAATATTGATGGTAATGATGAAGATGACTGCTGTTATAATTATTACAATTAATATAGAATGAGGTAAATAAAAGTATTAGATACAGAGAAAAACATAAAAAAGATGTTAATTGTCTTTTAAACAGATTGTGATCGTGAAGAAAAATTGATAACTTTTAAAGAAATTTTCACTAGCTTAGGAAGAAGCGATCTTGTACTGGATCTTTATGATTCTTATTTTTTAGATCCAGAGAGTACCTTCTATGTTTTTGAAATGGAATGTTATGATTTAACTTCAGATGCTCTATTAAATAAATGTATTGTACCTGTTCACCAGCTAAGAAAAATCGTGCAAAAATAATTAAATTGCATTTTTAAATTATTACGTCTTGATCTCTAAGATAATTAAGCAGATGCTCCTCTTTACATCAATTTATTAAATCAGAATTAGATTTAAGTCAAGTTAAATCTCTTTGATTTTTATGAACAAATTTAAAGCTTATTAGATGAATCTTATGATGGTAAGAAAAAATAAATTAATGAATATGACAATGAAATACTTTAAGCAGCTAATATAGATGAAAATTTGATCATAGCAATCAATCAATAGCTATCAGAATATGAATAAAATACTTTCTTACCATAATCGAAGTAAAAGTTTTTAGAAAAGATACTAAGTATGAACTAAAAAGATTAAAAAGAGCACTGTTTAAAGATATTTGAAATGATTTCTTAGCATCCTCAATATAATAATTTTTAGATAATTTAAATTTAAAAGGAATATTTTGAATTATAATTAGAAAAACTAAATAAGACGATTTTACTGATAGGAATTAAATTCGATGCTGCTAATGAAGCCTTAAAAATGGAAAATGAATATAAATAATTATACTTACTATCAGGAAAATTTAAATCATATTTGATAGACACATAAACTTTTTAATTAGAGAATTGCATCTACTTGTTGCTAGAATTTGAGAAAATTAATGATACTGAAGCAAATTAATCTATCAGATTATCTGATTATACTTATGAAAAAGATAGAGAAGCTTTTGATTTTTTGCAAATGCTAATAGAAATCAGTTATGAACTCTATTTAAAATACAATATAAAATTAACAGATATAGATCCATATGAAATTTTAATTTAATAAAATATGTAATAAGGAATTAATTAAATTCTTATTGATAGATTTAACTTCAAAAATTGCTGTAAAGAGTATATTAAATTAATATCAAGATGTTTTGAGAGATTTAATAAATATTATGATAAATTATAAAAATAATATTTTAACGGCAATATTAATTATGACAATAATCATTATCATTCAATACTTTCATATTTATAGATGGTATCAAACGATACAATAAAAAATATAAATGAAATATAAAAGTAATACTAAAATATTACTAAAATGCTTGAGCTTCTTTAGACTGCAATCGAATTAAAAGAAAATAATTAATATTTCTATGCATATATATGCCAATATAATCCTTATAAATTATCAGTAGATTTAAAAAATTACTTTAGTACAGGTAAACAACTGGAATTATCAAAAAATATATTTGAACTTTTAATGAAAAACTAAGAAAAAATTAATAAATTAAAATTAAAAACGAATCATGCTTACTCAAAAATTCTAAATGAATTAAGGGATTAAAAATAACGATCTTAATTGAATTAACTTCCATAATAAAACTAACCATTCTAAATTTAAGTATTTTAATAAAATTAATCATTCTAATAGAATTAATTATCTTTAAATTAACCACCTTTATCGAATGAGCCATTTTAATAAAATTAATAAAACTATTAACTTTCTTAATAAAATTAACCATTCTAAAACAATTAACTATTTTAATCTTAACCACCTTTATGGAATGAGTCATAAAACTAACCATTCTAATGTTAAGTATTTTAATAAAATTAACCATTCTAATAGAATTAATTATCTTTAAATTAACCACCTTTATCGAATGAGCCATTTTAACAAAATTAATAAAACTATTAACTTTCTTAATAAAATTAACCATTCTAAAACAATTAACTATTATTTTAATCTTAACCGCCTTTATGGAATGAATCATTTTAATAAAACTATTAACTTTCTTAATAAAATTTACCATTCTAAAAGAATTAACTATTTTAATGTTAAGCACCTTTATGGAATTAGCCATTTTAATAAAATTAATCATTCCATCAACTTTCTTAATAAAATTAACCATTCTTATAAAATTAACTCCCATAAAAACTTCTCTTTTAAGGTAATGAAATATCCTTATTTTCATAAAACAAGCAAGACTAATCAAAAGAATTTTATTAGAAATAAAGTAGCCTTTTTCATAAATAAATTTTAGAAGAAATAGGACTTAGTAATGCTTAAGATTACAATTGTTACAATATTGGCTTATCTATTTGCAAATTTCTTAAAAATTTAAAAATTTTATGTCTTGAATTCGATGAAAGATTTAATTTTGAAATTATTAATGAAGATTCTAACTTTCTGAAATTAAGCGATTAGATTTTAAGGTTAGATTTAATTTTCAATTCAAAAAATGAATACTTAATAAATTTAATCTCACAATTATAATAGTATAAGAATCTTAACACATTAAGTATTGAAATTAATGAATTTAAAATAAAAATGATAGAAAGAATAGTTAAAAAATCTAAAAGATTAGTAAATATTAAAGTAATCCAGAAGAATATTTACAAGACTATTGAAATAGATTAAAAATTAGGCTTTTTTTTCTGAAGAAAAATTAAGCACATTACAGAATAAATAGAGTATCATATTAATTTTTGATTAATGGAGATAATTAAATATTATATTATAAAATAATTCAAGTGATTGGCATACATGCACAAACATAGCCAACTTTAGTAATTGCATTTTTATTTGAATGTAATTTATAAATTTTATATAATTGAAAAATATAAATTAATTGAATATTAAAACTTCTTCAGATGTTTAGAATAAAGTTACCAATATATATTTGTGTTTAATGTATTAAATATTTATATCAGTTAAATTTTAGTATTATTTCTGTTAAAATATTTAATCAAAAAATTTTATCTTCAAAATTCTAAAATCACAGTTTGTTTTTATCATAGAAAAAAAATAGGGTGATACTGGAAATATTTAAATTCATCACGGCTGCTCAGATAAATATTTTTAAAGAAATGTATTTATTTATGTATATATGTGGTCAATATTTTGAAAGTAAGTTATTTATTTTAAAACTGTATTTTTTTTAATAAAATAATAAATGTTAGAAATATAAATAAATTTTGTTATTTTTTGAGATTAATAATACAAAAAAACATACGATGACAATTTTGATCATTAAATTAAATAAATTTCTTAAAAGCTAGATTGATTTTTGTATTATTTTTTTTATTCTGAATTTGATAGCTAGCTTGTGGCTTCACAAAAAAATCTGGTTTTAGTAAATAAGTAGAGTTAAATATATATATTTAAGTTTGATAACTCAAAAGGTTTTCATTCATATTTAAATAACAAATTGTTAATATTAGAAAATAAAAAATAAATAAGCAGCTTAAAAAACAAAAATAAATTAATAAAAATCAAAATAAATAAATAAAATTGAATAACCAAACAAAAAAATCTTGTCTTATCAGAAAACAAGTTGAAATTAATTATATAATTTGATGTCAATTTATTTATTTTACTATTTCATGAAGTAAAACATAAAAAATAAACTTTGAATGAAAATTAGAAAATAAATATTAATATTTCATATTTCTTATTCAGTGTGAAGATAAGTCATTTATTGCTGCCTTTAACTTCATTAATCTCATCTTTTAGCAAATCAGTTATTTCAGATATACCAGGGATATGTGAGATCAGATCAGGAGCATATTTTTACATTTGGTCTTTCATATAATTTGAAATTAAAGGTGATGAATTACCTGTTTTCTTTTCTTATTTATCTCCATTAAGAGCATTGTTGTTCCCATTTGGAGAAAAGTCAAAAATCAAAGAATTTAGAATTCTTTTGTCTAAATCAGTGAGATAAACACTTTGTTCTTAGTCATAAGAAGTAGACTTGATATAACTTTTGAAGGAGTTCATCATCTCTTTTTAGTCTTTTTCGATAGTGTCAATTGCTTCTAGGTGGTTTTTCTTTTCATTCTTATCATTTATAGGCAGAAGAGGTTAAGGAGAAATTTATGATTTTTTCTTAGTGTCCTATTTTTCATCCTTTTAATCATCTTAACAGTCTGAACCACAGAAATGCACTGCAGCATATTATTCTTTGGTCAGAAGGAGACGGATTGCTTTTTTTAAGAACAAAATATCTTCTACGCTGCTATTTAAATCTTATTCAGGGCTGCTCTTTTTCTGTAATGCCTAGATTTTTTCTTTTTGTTTTTAAACTTCACCAGTGACTTTCTTCTTAAGGCAAGGAGCAATCATTTTAAAAAGCGCAATAATACTCTCCCAATCACCACCAACGCTTTTAGTCACAAGACTATAAATATTTTTAGCCTAGTCTTAGTATAATTCTGCTTATTTAATAAGGTCTTCAGGACTTGTGATAGTTTTTTATTAACTTCCCTCATCAGTATCTTCCTTTTTCCCTTTACCATCACTATCATCTTCTTTTTCTCCCTTTTATTTACCCTTTTATTATTTGCTTTTTCCATCATCTTTTTCTTGCTTTTATTCTTTATTTAAATTTTTTTACAGTAATTATTAAGCAGTCTTTGCAAAAGAACCCTTTAAATTTGCTGTCATTAAATCCTTAGTCAAAGCATTTTTTGAGAAATTAGGAAGGATGGCTTTTAAAATAGAGAAGGCAATTTCTCCCAAAGAGATTGCAACTGGCACAAGTGCCATCAAAGTGGAATATTGAATGTCAAGCTTAACAGAAAATGCGTCTAAATCAAATGAAAGAAAAAGTAAAGAATTTTAATTATTCTCAAGTGTAAGAAGCTAATTGCTATTATATTAATCTGATCTTTTAAATTCATAAGCTGCACTGTTCGAATTAGTCTTTGTGCTTGCGAACAAACCACTATAAACATTAGTGATAGCATTAACAATCTTAATTTTGCTAAATATTCCTAATGAGACGTCCAAATAGTATGTTTCTTAGTCATAAATAGTCTCAAATTAATTAGAAATATGATTATATTGATTAGCAAATAAGATAATGTCGAAGTAACTAAATTAACTAATTAGATTATCAATATCAGTAGATAATGCACAATTAGGTAGACCTGAGCATCTCTTAGCAGTTAAAATTAATTCTGTTTATGGCTATCTCAAAGTAACAAGCTACAAATTCTGTCCGTTACTGTCTTTCGCTTAGCTAAAATCAGGGCAATAATAGATAGCCAAATTAGGATCAGAGTTCTAGCAATACTTTAATGGTATATTGATTTTCTGAGATGTTTTGTGATCATAATAGTGAACTTCAAAAATGAGATAGACTAAGTTATTGGCTTGTTATATTGCATCCAAGGATCCATCAGTACCACTGAAATATTAGAATGCGAATAGATCTTAGGTTAAGTTAAATGTATGTTTGTTAAAGTTCATCGTTTGAAGGTATGCTACACTAGGCTCAATTTAATTACTTCCATACTAGTATGCCAAGAATCCAAAGTAACCAAAAGAAAAAGCATGGATGAGTAAAGATACAACTGCACCTTTTTTTGTTCTTTTAGGGGCTTAATAAGAAGAAGCAAACTTATCAAAGTTTGACAAAATGTCTTTCCCTTCGCTGAAAAGTTAAGTTATGAATTGCATGTTTCTTATTATATTTTTTATTTATTTTGAATTATATCAAATTATGCGAAAAATCACTCAGCATTTAAAGTAACCTAGCTATCATTCAACGTTAATTCTAGGAAACATAAATAAATAAATAATTAAGTAAGTGAGTGAGTTATTTAGCTGAAATAAAATTAAATAAAAAAACTAAAATTATAATTTTCATATTAATTATTTGATTAAATAAAAGATGTTTGTATTTTTTTATTTATTTATTTAGATTTTTTTAAATCAGGAGAATGTTTCAGTGAGTATGTTTTTTAATTTTTTATTAATTAAATTTGAGATTACAATTTTACTTTTTTATCAAAAATCTCTTAAAATAGTATTGTTAATTAATTAATTAATTAATTATTTGATCCATTAACTAATTGATTAATGCTATTGTTTTATTTGTAACAAACAAATCCAATTTTTAAAATATGAGTATTGTATGGTAATAAAAATAGTTTATATTGTAAGAAGAATTTATATATATATAGTACCCTAAGGTACTGCCTTTTTTCAAGTCTACATACACGAATAATAATAAGATTTATATTTTTTAATAGTTTCAAACTAATTATTGAGTGAGATTGCTATGTTACACTGGCTTACTTACTTTACTTTGTTGTAAAGGATATATTAAAGAATAAATTAAAGTAATAAAATAAATAGAAAAACTTAAGAAACATTTTTAAAAATATTTTGAATGTCTATCTGCCTATCTTTATGTTAAAGCGCATTGAAACAATTAAAAATTAGTAACTAAATATGAATTAAAAGTTAAGGAAAAGTTAGTAATGATTGATCGATCTTAATTAATTAATCAATCAGTTATAGTTCATGAAAATTAAAATAAACCAATCAAGGTAAACAAAAATTTTTGAGATTTTCTTTTGAAATAGTTTGTAAGATAAATTAATTAATCAAAAAATGCAAAGGGTGAGTTTAAAATTATGACTGTAAACTTTTAAAAAAGGAAATATTAGAATATCATAAAAACACAAAGGAAGAAATTCTTTTTGTATAGAATCCCAAAAACTAAACTAGTTTTATTTTAAAACTAATTTAGAAGTCCTTCTAATATTATTCAATATTTTTAGAATAGTTTTATTTTTACATTTATAGCTTGTTAATTTTGTAAAATGAAATCATTAGTTTTTAAATTGGCATAGCTGCTTGCTTACACCTAAGAAAAAATTTATTTGTTTTCTTTTATTAAGTTATTATATTTTTATATATTTATTTACTAATTAGCTTAGGTTGCTTTATTGAGAGAGTAAATTTTATTTCTGAAGGGCTGAATAAATTTTATAAAAGACTAATTTGATTTAGATTTATTTCTAGTTGTAAAGAAATTTTTTTCTGCATTTGTTGTGGGTAAATGTGTATTAAAATTTTTGCACACATTGCTCACATATTAAACAAAATGCTATGAATTTATAAATTATTAGTTTTTTTTAGATAGAATAGGTCAGTTTATAAATAATATCAAATTTTTAGCAATATTTCAAATTACAAATCATCTACTTTAAATATTTAGATATCTATTAGATTACTTAGCAAGTTTTGTTTAATTTACTTGGCATTTACAATTTTTATAAAAATAAGATAAAATGTGGTCTAACGATTCTTTTATTTACTTACTTACTAAAAATCATCTTCAATAAATTAATTAAAAAATCAAATAGCCACTAAGATTTTTATTTATTTTTTATCATTTAGAACACATTTCAGATTTAAATAAAATAAAAATTTACTTCTAATTTTTAAGAGAAGTTCTAGGATTGATTAACTGTAATCAATATTGCCTAATTTTCAAAGAGAAAAACAATACGCTTTTATAAACACATTTATTTCTTTTGTGTTAGATTAGAAAATGAGCATTAAACAATAGTTTTAGATTTTAACTAATAAATAAATAGCTACTCACATATCACATTTATTCTAAATATTTAATAGTATGTAAATTAATTTATTTATTTAAGATTTATTTGTAATAAGTTTACCGGATATCACATCACTAAATTTTTTCTAATAAATAAAATTTAGATTTTAAATTTATGTAATTGTGAGAAAAAAATTTGAAATTAAGAGAACATTTATTTTTCTGTTTTTTCACAATCGTGATTATTTAATTGATAGAAAGTTAATTAAAAAAAATTTAATTTAGAAGAATCATCTTGCTAAAATGACGTAGAAGAAAAATAAAAAAGTAAAAATCTGATTATTGCGTTGGTCAATTTTTAAAAATAAACCTACTTTCATTACTTTAAAATAAAAAAATAGGTTTTATATTTGAATAATTAATAATAAAGTAAACTTTTTATAAGTATTAATGAAAAAATATTTAATAATGTTCTTATTTTTTTATATATTTTATGTTTTTAGGTAAATAAATTAAAACATTTTACGGTCAAGGAATAATTTTATGACTATATACCCTAAAAATAATCTTTAAACATCATTGTCTTAGTGCAATAAAAATACATTTACCCCTTTAAAATTATCAATTAAATTCCAAAAAAATATTATATTTTAATATTAAATATACAAATATATTTATTATTCATTTATTTATTAATACATACGTATATACATAAATACATACATTTTGATTTACTCTTTTTATTACTTAAGCTATTAAAGTTAAATTGAAAAACTCTGCAAATCGTTTCAGTTTTTTTAATCATTTTAAATAATATTTTTATTCTTAAGTAATGTAATAAGCTATTGCATTTTAAGAAAAAATATATTATTTTTACAGGCTTGTTTGTACACATCTCAATTAGCCTAAATAAATTTTGTAATTTAAATATCTAAGACTAAGCCTTTTGGATTAAGTGTTTTGAGATCAATTATGAATTAATTAAATTAAGAAAAGTACTGCTTTTAAATAATCAAGAAACTAAAGTACCAAGCTTAATTTACAAATCATATAATATTTGTTCCTTTCATTTATAACAATCAAACATTGATTAAATTTAAGCAAAATTTCTATCACATATTACTTAAACTACTATTTTTTTTTCATTTAAAATTACTTCATCAAAAATAAAAAGATTGCAATACGTTTTACAAAAGATCATAAAACTTAAAAATAAATAAAATATCTTCTTTATTTTGTAAAACTTTAAATGAGGGTGATTAAAGCGCTAAATCAAATTTAAAGATCATATAAGTATAAATAATTTTACAATCATAACAATTAAATATTGATAAAATATAAGCGCGAAACTTTTTATTGCAAAATTCTAAAGCAAAATGATTCTAAGAGTATTTTGAGTTCATTTCAATAATAAAACTACATATTTAGTGATTTTCAAAATTTGGAAATGCATTTTATTTTTTTTGAATTATAATCGTGCGTGAATTAATTTTAGCACTCATATTATTGTAAAACAGATAATTTTATATTATATAATGGGTCTTAACATTTTTTTTAGATGGTGAGGAAATAAAAAAATCAATAAAGAAAAATTAGATTTGTTTTTTTTTAAGATTATTGCACATTCATGTTAACCTTATTTCTGTAATTAAAAATCTAAAAATAATATTTTTAATTCAAATTTTTGAGATCAAATAAATACATATTAAGTTGAAGATACTTACTTGTTTTATATAATGAAGTGATTAAAGCGCTAAATCCAATTTAAAGACCATATAAGTATAAATAATTTTTTCAATCATAATAATTGAATATTGATAAAATATAAGCGCGAAACTAGAATTACAATTTATAAAAGCTTTTTTCTTCATCTAAGATAATTTTTTAAAAAATAAAACAGATACTAATAACTAAAAAAAAATAAAAATAAAAAATTATCATAAATGTCTTCCTAATTGTGTGAAACCTTAAATGAACTTGGAGAAACTAATTCTCATTACTTAAAGAGTTGTCTAAAAGCCTACAAACCTCACTTCGTCGTTGAATATTTTGAAGAATTCCAGAAATCTTATTTTTTAAATTGCAACTATGATGACGATTGCATTTAAGAATACAGAAGAAATAGTAAAATGAGATACATAAAAGTGTTTGACTAAAAATAAAATGTAAAAAAGCTATTAGTCATCTTTCATTAAAAGTGTATATTTCAGCATGACCTGATAATTTTAAATGAAATTTTTAATAGTACCTTAAAAGGTGATCTGATATTGAATCTTTACGATTCTTACTTCTTGGATCCAGAAGGTTCTTTCTATGTCTTTGAAACTGAATACTATGATCTCAATTCTGAAGTATTATCTTAAGATTGCAATGTTCCAACAGTTTAAATTGAAAAGATTATGAAAAAGTAATTAAATCACATTTTTTAGTTGCTGGGTTGCAATAATCAAGACTATCAAGCTTCTGTTCCTATTTATGTTAATTTAATTAGTGAAAACCAAATTTAAGTCAAACTTAACATCTTTGATTTTTTTGAGTAAATTTAAACCTTAATAATAGAAAAGCCATATTACTATATCTAAAACACCTAAAAAAATTAAGAGGTTAAACAAATGTTTGAAACAATTAAAATAGATGAAAATTTGATTTCGATAATCAATAAATAACTTTCTAATTATGAATAAAATGCTTTCTTACCATACTCAAATTAAAATTTTTTTGAAAAGATATAATAAATTAGCTCTAAAGATAAATTAACACATTCTTTAAGGATATTCGAAGTTATTTCATAACACTAATAATACAAAAATTTTGAGATACTTTCATTAAATAAGAATCCCTTTGAATTGAAACTAACAAAAAGAAACAAAAGTATTTTATTAATAGGAATTAAATTCAAAACTGCTTTAGAGGCACAAGCAACGGAAAAAGAGTATTTAAAGCTTAATTTGCTTCAAGGAAAGTTCAAGTCGAATTTGATAGACACATAAGTTTTTGAATTAGAATGCTGTAATTATTTATTGCTTGAATTTGAATACAAAAATTATGATACTTAGTAATTTTAATCAATGACATAACTAATACTGAAAAATTAAGCTAACGGAGATGACGAAAAAGGTACGAAGGATAGAAAGGCATTTGATTTTCTTCAAAAATTGATAGAAATTAGTTATGAACTCTATACAAAATATAATATTAAAATAACAAATGTAGACCCTGATAAAATTCTGGTTTAATAGTAAAATGTTTAATAAAATATTGACGTCTTTATTATTAATACATAGAGTTTGTAAAACTATACAAGTGAGTATATTAAATTAATATCTAAAAGTTTTGAGATTTTAAACTTTAATTACTCAGCTAGTATAACATTTACAAGTGGCGGTTATACCCCTGATATTCATCATTATTATAAAATAGTTTCATTTTTTGAAATGATATCTAATTCTACAATAGAAAATGCAAAAAAAATATAAATTTCATATAATAATATTAGAAAGATGCTTGAAATACTTGCAATAGTAATAGAAGAAAATTAAAATGGTTATGATTTTTAACTGAGAGTATGTCAAAACAATCCTTATAAGCTATCTATTGATTTTTCTTATTCTTCTTCTTATTATCATACTTAAGAGAAAATGATAACATAATTAAAAAAATCTTTAGCCTTTTTGATAAAAAATTAAGAAATCATACAAAAATTAGAGTTTAAAACTATTGTTTAATCTTAATTTCTAAATCTAAATAATTCTTAGAGTATGCTAAATTCATCATAGCTTTAATAAGACAGTTTAATGCTTTTAGATAAAAAGATCCTTGAAGAAATAGGACTTAAAAATACTCTAGGCTACAATAGTTATAATATTGGTTTATCTGTTTGCCAATATCTTAAAAATTTATAAATTTTATCTCTCGAATTCAGACCGGAATTTAATTTTAATATAGTGAATCAAGATTCTAATTTCTTGAGGTTATCTGAATAGATAATAAGTTTAGAGTTAAATTTTTAATCAAATAATGAGAACATAATCAATCTTATATCGTAATTATAGCAGTATAAGAATCTTAATACTCTGCACATTACTATATCCGATTAATATATTCACATAAAAAAGTTAAAATAACTTATCAAGAAAAATTAAAGGCTAGTCCTAATTTAATTTAAATTCGATTGGTTTGCAAATAGAACTGCAAAAATAGATAATACAATGGGTTTTTTCTTTTGAAAAATTAAATTTAAATTATGGTTTAATTGTTTGTTATTTTAATATATTTTAACAAAAATAAAAAATATATATAATCGTAAGTACATATATGCCTTTAGATTTTTTAAAATTAAACATTTTTTTATATCAACTAATATTAAATAAATATTTTTGATTAAAAAACTTTGATTAATTGATTGATTGATTAACTACAATGAATGAAATTTATAAATTAAATTTATTAATAATAATTTCTGATGAAAAGATTTATATTTTCTTCAAAAAGTCTTAAAATGATCATTTGTTAAGTCATTTAAATTATTCTTTTAATTTACTAATTACTTAAAAATAATGTAAACATTGCACCAAAAATCTTAGTGTGTCGCATCACCATAAAAGAAATATCTTTTGACAGGTCCTAAAAAAATTGATATCAGTAAAAGAATTTTGCTAATTGCACTCTCTTAAAAAAATTAAAGATAAAGAAATTTAATTGAAATTTAATAAACACAAAATACATTTCATATTTTAAAAATGATCAAATAAATTTTAGAAAAGGCAGACGAATTTGTAATCTAACACAAAAGAGTAGTAGGTGCACTTGCCTTCTTGTATGCTGCTCGTTTAGCTACTAAATCTCTAGGATCAATCTTTGGACTTATCAACAGATAATTGATTCCTGGATTTAATTTGATTGAAAGATATGGTAAAGGATCTTATGCTGCAATTTCTGCTTGCACTGATGGCATTGGAAAAGGTTTTGCTCTCGAATTGGCAAGAAGAGGTTTCAATCTTGTCATGTTCATTAGAAATGCTTAGAAAGGTGAAGCATTAGCTGAAGAAATTAGAAATACCATAAACAAAGACATTGATGTTGTTATTGTTGAAGTTGATTTCCAAAAGATTTTAAATCCTGGAACAATCGAAGCTGCTATTGAAAAGGTAAAGGGCATAGATATTAGCATTTTAGTTAACAATGTAGGAATGTACATCAATAATCCTGCATTTGAACTTTAAACAAATACTGAAATTTACAACATCATTTCTATGAATATTGGTGCCTAAGCTTTATTAACAAGAGGATTAATTTCTTAAATTTCAAGCAGAAAGCAAAAAGGAGCTATTATTAATCTCTCTAGCGTTACCTCTCTTACCCCACTTGCAGGCTTCATTTTATATGGAGCTAGTAAGCTTTTTAATGACTACTTCAGCAGAGCTCTTGAAGAAGAATATAAGGGAAAACTTGACGTTATTTCTGTCAAACCTGGCTGGGTTGCAACTCCAATGACTGATAAAATGAAAAAGAAGTAATTAGAAATAACTCCTTAATAATGCGCCTCAAGTGTCTTAAGATAACTAGGAAGAATCAGTGTTACAGCTGGACATTTCTAACATGAAATTGCTACTTTTGTTCAATTAAAAACTTAAAATAAAATCAATAATGTTATGCGTAGAGTTATCACAAACATATTGAACAAAGATAAATCATAATCTTGAAATTTAATTATCTTAATAAGCTAAAAAATAAATAAATAAATATCTTTAATTTTATGAATTTTGTATTTTCTACAAATCTTCTATTTTTCTAAATCTAATTATTAATCAATAATGAATGCATTTTTTAGAGCATTTTTATTTTTAATATTTATTTTTCTAGAATATCATCAATCTTTTTTATATTCATTAGTTTTCTACTTTAAATTAATTAATTTAGAAATAGTTGAATTATATTTTTTCCAAATTATATTTATATCTACTATCAACTTTACAACTAAGACTGATCTATATATAAAAAGCTTAAAAACCTTGATTTAAAACTAGATCTAAAATTTTAAATATCTTAATAGAGATAATTTAGATATAATTTATTATTTAATAAATTTTTAATTTAAAATTTTTATTTATTATTAAATTAAATTTCGATTTCTTCAAATCAAAATATTTTATTTTCTAATTTTGTTTAAATCAATAAAATAGGAAAATTTATTTTTGATTAGAAATGTTTTATCTGTGTTAACATAGTTTGTGATTATGTAAAATGAAGAGTGATTTTTTAGATAATGTATCTTTACTTAGTCAAAAAATCATGCATGCAACTCCAAATTTTCAAAATTTACTTATTAAATAATTATTTTCATAAACTTCTCAAAAAAAAATAATCAGCAAAAATTGAAAATATCACATTAATTTATTTTCATTCAAATATTTTTAATTGAAAAAATTTATAAATTTTATGTTTCATATAGAAGGATTTTGCCTTTAAAATGTACTAAAAAATAAATATATTTAGATTCATTTAAAAAATTTTAATAGATAGATTCTATAAATCTTAAATGAAACGAAAAATTATATTAATATCTTAAATTTAATTTTTTGGATATCAAAAGTTAGGATTTGATTTATTATTAAAAATAAATAAGTAAATAAATAAATAGATAGAAAAATTCTGACTAAAATAGTTGATTTTTTGTAAAAAAAATTAAAAAAACATAAACTTCATTCATTTTATATATGATTAAATAAATTTTAAATAGAGCAGATTCATTTGTAGATTAAAACAAAAGATTTGTAGGCGCCCTGGCATTCTTATATGCAACTAGTTTGGCAACTAGATCTTTAAAAAAAGTGTTAGGCTTTTTAGCTGGTTAATTTATTCCTGGCTATAATTTAACTTAAAGATATGGGAAAGGATCTTATGCTGCAATATCTGCTTGTACTGATGGTATAGGTAAAGGATTTGCTCTAGAATTAGCAAGAAGAGGCTTTAATCTGGTGATGATGATTCGAAATGCTAAGAAAGGAGAAGTTTTGGCTGAAGAAATAAGGAAAACGATTAATAAAGACATAGATATTCGAATTGTTGAGATCGATTTCTAAAACATTTAAAACCCAGGCGTAATTGAAGCTATAGTTGATTAGTTGAAAGGATTAGATATAAGTATTTTAGTTAATAATGTCGGAAAGCTACTTCACGGTTCCTTTGAAATTTAAAATTTTACAGAAATAAATAATCTTATTTCTATGAATTGTGGTGCCTAAGCTTTATTGACTAGAGGACTAATTTCTTAACTATTGTAGAGAAAGTAAAAAAGTGCAATTATTAACCTCTCAAGTTTATCGTGCAACTAACCAATGGTAGGGTATGCTATGTATGGAGCAAGCAAAAGCTTTAATGATTATTTTAGTAGATCCCTATCTGAAGAGTATAAAGGTAGACTTGACATTTTATCTGTTAGACCAGGCTGGGTTACTACTCCTATGACTGATGGAATAAATGAAAAGTTCTTTGAAATCACAGCTGAGTAGTGTGCAAGTAACGTGCTAAGATAGCTTGGAAGAACCAATCTTACTTTTGGTCACTATAAACATTAGATTACTGCTTACTTTAGTGAATTAGTTATTGACATACTAAACAATGATAGTCGTAAGAAGCTTTAAAACTCAAACAAGTCTTAATGAATGAGTTTTTATGGAAAAAAAAATTTAATTCGCTTAATTTAAATCTGACATAAAGCTAGCTATTTATCTATCTATCTATCTTATATCATTTTTTATTTTGTAGTTAATAATTTTTTTTATTTCTTTTTAATTTATCAAACAAAAAATGTTGAAATTATTTTTTTTAAAGTAATCATTTAATTATTTTTAATACATAAAATATTTTTGCTATCCATTAATATCATAAAAAAAATTAAGAGGGATATTGAGAATTTTAGACTACTTATGATAATAGTTATTAATAACCACCTTCATATGATATAATTTTTTAAAAATAATTATAGAAAAGCTTCCCTCAGGTATATTTTTAGAACTCTAAAAAAAGAGGATAGAGTAATATGGTATATTTAGAAATAATCCAGAATTATTCCAATTAATAAAACCTTGTCTTCTTTACTATTTACTTTCAATTTTATTATTTATTTATGGAATGGAATTGACATTTCATGAAAATTTATTTAGAAAAAAAACATAAAATTTCACGATTATAAATTATATAGAAATATCTTAAATTATCAATACATTTATTTATTTAGATATCCAATAAAAAATTAGATATCTTTTATACAAAAATTTAGCTTAACTCATATCAGAAAAAATATAAATAAACCTCAATCTAATTTATAGACTAAAAAAAATGATTGAATCCATTTTAAAAAAGGCTGATCAATTCGTTGACAAAAATAAAAGACTTGTTGGAGCACTTGCCTTATTTTATGCAGCCGGTTTGGTAACTAAATCTTTAGGAAAGGTTTTAGGTTTTATTAATAGATAATTTATTCCTGGCTACAATTTAATACAAAGATATGGGAAAGGATCATATGCAGCAATATCTGCTTGTACAGATGGTATTGGTAAAGGAATTGCTCTTGAATTAGCTAGAAGAGGTTTCAATCTTGTCATGCTGATTAGAAATGTTAAGAAAGGGGAAGCTTTGGCAGAAGAAATAAGAAAATCAATTAAAAAAGAAATAGATATTTAAATTGTAGAAATAGATTTCTAAGCAATTTAAAACCCAGGAGTTATCGAAGCTATTGTAGAGAAAGTCAAAGGATTAGATATAAGCATTTTAGTAAACAATGTTGGATATCTTATTAATGGATCATTTGAAAAATAAACTTATTCTTAGATAAATAATCTTATATCTATGAATATAGGGGCATAAGCTTTATTGACTAGAGGATTAATTAGCTAATTATTGAATAGAAAACAAAAAAGCGCTATAATTAATCTTTCTAGCATGTCTAGTTACTTTCCAGTTGCAGGTTTTGCTATGTATGGAGGAAGCAAGAGTTTTAATGATTACTTTAGCAAATCTTTATCAGAGGAGTATAAGGGTAAACTAGATGTTTTATCAGTCAAACCAGGTTGGGTTAATACTCCTATGACTGATGGAATATAAGACAAGTTTTTAGAAATAACACCTGAATAGTGTGCAAGCAACATACTAAAATAGCTTGGAAGAACCAATTTTACTTACGGTCACTACAAACATGAAATCACAGCTTTACTTACTTATCTTACTATAGATATGGTAAATAATTTACAACGTAAGAATATTTAAAGTGCTATCAATTAAAAATCTTGATATAAATAAATCTTAATTAAATATGAATAATAAATAAATAACTTTGAATAAAATTTGTTTGTATTTTTTATGCATAATAAATTAGAATAAATTTTTATTTTTATTTTATAAAATAATATTTCCGAAAGGAAGTTTGGATTATTTTCATTATACTTTTATTTAAAAATGATTAAAATACATACTATTAATATTCTTATTAAATAAAAAAGAATCTTTATCAATAAAACAAAAAAAATAAAACTAAGAAAATTTAACCACCACCCTACCCTTACCACCTTCATGCCAAAATTCAAGTTGCATCATAAACAAAATATATATCAACTAATAAAAGAAGATAATTTCTATTATAATATTAATTGACTTTTTGAATTGAAATAATTTAATTATGAAATTATTCTTTAAATAAGAAATTATTAACTTACAAAATTTTTATTTATTATTATAAATATTAAGAAATAGATAAGCTCAATATAAAAATAGTAGCTCTAATCAAGTTTTATATCCAATTATATCGTTAGTTCTAAATTAGAAAAGAGAAGTATGTGTGATAAAAATTCTTTTTGTTTCAAAAGTTAAAAAAGTATTAGCAATATATTCAAAGAAAAGAAAATTTTAGTGAAGGGATTTTATTTGGTTTTTTATATCGATCGATACCTCTATTTTAGCTAAAAATGTAAATTAAATAATTTGGTTTCAATATATAAAGTGCAAAATGCAAAATCAAAAAAAGTTCAAAAATATAAAATTTCAAAATAAAGGAGACTTGTTGAAAATAGTACTCACCCTCACTGATTCGTTACACCGAAAATGATATTTAAAGGTAAATTCCCTTATGAATTAGTTGAGAAATTATTAAGTATATACTTGTTATGTATTAATGTGTGAATATTTATTTAGTATTGATTTAAATAATTTGAAAATAAAAAATTTATGCAAAAGATTAAACCACAAATAGCCAGCCAATCCATCTTAAAAATTCAAATAATAATAGAAAGAATATATCTGCTGGTTGCTATTTATTCTAATTTACCCTATCTAAAAAGTAAAAGAATATTTACAAAAATAAATACCAAATATAAGAATATTTTATTCTTGGTAAGATTATGCTGATTGATAATATTTTTGTATGATACAGAGAGAACTTTTGAATAAAATCTTTATTAAATATGTTTTTTAAACTAAAAAATAATAAAAAATATATAGAAGGAAGGAAGGAACGTAGGTAGGCAGGTATGCAAATAAATAAATAGATAGATATTTTATACATAAATGAATAACTCTAGAAAAAATTGTTTTATCAATATATTTTTTTTAGTTTTTTACCAAATTAAGTCAATAGACTAGATCTATCATTTAATTAAATTTGATTCCTTGTTTCATATCTTCTTTAATTAAAATGAAACAAAAAGATAAATAAAAATTTTATAATTAATATTACTATTTAACATATTTGTTATCAGTCTTATTATATAATTCTTATAAAATCTATTATTTTAGTTTATAAGATTCCTTTAAGTCGCTAATCAAAACATTTTCAGAGACTTCTAATTCACAATAAAGTGGATAAATATTTTTTAAATCTGTAGTTTTTTAAAATAAATGTTGTAATATATTGTAGCAAATACCTTAATTTATTATTTTTTAAAGTTTTACAATAAGGCTACTTGATTAGATGGTGTTTATAAAATATTCTATAAATTTCATATGAGCAACTAATTCTTTTTTAAAATTTGATTATTAAATTTTGTCTTTATCATAATCACTTTCTTGTAGTATTAGATAATTTGGAGTTAATTCCTTTAGATATATTAGTGCTTATTCAAAATTTTATGCTTCCAAAGATCTTTTGACATATTACATACTACATGATATTTTAGAAGCAAAATTATTGAATCTATGAAGAAGATTTTTAGATGATTCAGATAGTTTATAATCTTCTTTATCGTTTTCTAGGTAATCATTGCATTATTTTAACTTTTCTTAAAGCTCTTATGATTTTTTAGCTATTTTGTTAACTAAATATTTTTCATTATTAGTAATATAATCGATTAAAGAAGAACTCATTAAATAAATATTTATCTAATTATATTTTACCTTTTTTTTTCAATTTTATTTTATAATTTATTAATCAAAATTGAAAGAATAAAATAAATGCAAATTTGTTTCTTTATAAATAGGGAAAAAGAAAGTTACTAAATGAAAAATGAAATGATGATTTTGAATTAGAATATTAAAATAAATGAGTTTTCAAATTCTAATTTGTACTTTAAATTAAATATTCTAATTAATATATTATTATTATTATTTGGAATATATTTTTTAATCTGAACTCTAAAGAATGTCTACTTGCTAATATTCTAATATTATAGATTAATTACAATTTTTAAGTCAATTTCATCTCACAATAATATAAATAATTTACTTAAAAATTTGTAATCAAAATATCAATTGAAATGATGATTTTGAATTAGAATATTAAAATAAATGAGTTTTCAAATTCTAATTTGTACTTTAAATTAAATATTCTAATTAATATATTATTATTATTTGGAATATATTTTTTAAACTGAACTCTAAAGAATGTCTACTTGCTGATAATATCTAATATTATGGATTAATTAGAATATTTAAGCCATTCTCATCTCACAAAAATATAAATAATTTACTTAAAATTTGTAATCAAAATATCAATTGAAATGATGATTTTGAATTAGAATATTAAAATAAATGAGTTTTCAAATTCTAATTTGTACTTTAAATTAAATATTCTAATTAATATATTATTATTATTATTATTATTATTATTATTATTATTATTATTATTATTTGGAATAGATTTTTTAAACTGAACTCTAAAGAATGTCTACTTGCTGATAATATCTAATATTATGGATTAATTAGAATATTTAAGCCATTCTCATCTCACAAAAATATAAATTATTTACTTTAAAGCTTGTAATCAAAATATCAATTGAAATGATGATTTTGAATTAGAATATAAAAATAAACGAGTTTTCAAATTCTAATTTGAAGTTTAAATTAAATATTCTAATAAATACAATATTATGATTTGGAATAGATTTTTTATTCTGAATTCTTTAGAATGTCTGCTTGCTTAGATGCCAATGTTATTTATTAATTAGAATATTTAAGCCATCTCTCAATTATACAGATAATTTGTTTTTAAAATTGGTAATCAAAAATATCAATTAATTTAATTGAATTGATCATTTTGAATTAGAATATTAAAGTTACCTTTGAAATTCTAATTTGTAAATTTAGTTAAATATTCGAATATAAAATGATTTTGAATTTATTTTTAGTTTTAAATTATCTATATTATGTATCTTACTTACTAATATTTTAATGCTATTTATTAATTAATTAGAACATTTAAAATATCATCTAATAGTATAAATAATTTGCTTTAAAATGGGTTATCAAAAATATCAATTTATTTAACTATATTTATTTTTGAAATTTATATACCATAAAGAGAAGTTAATAGAAAAACAATTTAAAAATACAAATAACACTAATTTATTTTGGTTTTAAAAATCCATATACACCCCTCAAATTCTCCCAATCTAAACTCAATATAAAAAATATTGGGTCAAATAAAATTTTCTATTGAATAAAAATAGGTGATGAACAAAAATGAACTAGATGATGTTATATTAGAAGTAAGCATGGGTGGGAAAATCTAACAGAAATTAGCATCTACTTTCTATAGTATTAAATCAATTGAAGTAAATTATTCTAATACTTATTATGATTTAGAATATATCTTTTATTCTAATTTCTTTAGAATATCTAACTTGCTAATATGCTAATTTTATGTATGTATTAATTAGAATATTTAAACTATCTCTCAATAATATAAATAATTTGTGTTAAAATTGGTTATCAAAAATATCAATCAATTTAATTATTTATGAAATTATATAGCATAAAATGAAGTAAATAGAAGAAAAAATTAGAGTTTTAAAAATTAAAATAATGAAAAAAAAGTATTAAATTGTAAAAATACAAATATCAAGTTAAAAAATATTTACAAGCTAAAAAAACAAACTATTTCAATTTAATTTATTAAACATAAGAAATTTAAATTATTAATACAAATTAAATGTTTTATTTCTATGAATCAAGAGCGAGCTTGTAAATTAATATAATTGATATAAATTTTATAAAAATAATCTAGATATATTATTAATAGTTCTAAGAATAAAGAATTAAAAAGTAAATTAAAACTATTATATATTTATTATCAACTTCAACAATTTTTTCTTGCTGTCATATCTGCTCTAACTAAAAAGAAGCAAAAAGCTAATTCAAGTATTTTTTTCTTTGTATTACCTTTTCATATTAGCATTAGTTACTTTATTAGAAAGCTCATTTTATTTATTGATTTTTTATGTATGTGATTCTTATAATTTCTCCAATGAATCATCTTATAAAACCTCAAGACTTGCATATGGTGCACTACTATTGTTATCTTTTGCAGTTTTTTCTAGAATTTATAATGATATACTTTTACTCTCTTTTTAATTAAGCAAGTAAATAATGAAAGTTGAAGCTGCTAAATAAACTCAATAAAAATGTTAAGAATATATTGATTTGTTATACTTTATATGATAGATAACTTTTGAATAACATCTTTTAAAACATGTTTTTAAAACTCAAAAACAAAAAAAATAAAGAACATGTATGCAAAAAATAGATAGATTGATTGATATATAGATAAGTAAATTAAAAAAAGATAGTTTTATTAATATTTTTATCAAATTAAGTCAAGAGACTATATCTTCTTTCTTATTTGATTGTTAATTTTTATCTCTTACTTCAATATCTTCTTTAACTAAAAGATAACAAAAAGTTAATTAAAAACTTTTTAATTCATATTGCTTTTTAATATTTTTGTTCTTAGTCTATTTAAGTAATTGTTATAAATCCTAGTATTTTAGCTCATAAGTTTTGTTTAAATCACCTATTGTAACCTATTCAGAGACTCCTAATTCGCAATAAAGTGGGTATAAACTATCTAAAGTTATTATTTTTTTAAACAATTTTTCTATTAAATTGTCGTTATTTGTTTGCTTTTAAAGTTTCACAAAAAGGCTACTTGATTCGATATTGTTTATAAAATATTCAATAAATTTAATTTGGGTAAATAATTGTTTTATTAAGTTAGATTCTTAAGCTCTTTATATTTCAATTTCAAATTCATCATAATCACTTTCTTCTAGTATTAAATCAATTTAAGTTAATTCCCTTAAAATGTGAAAAGCACATTAAACATCTTATCTTTTCAAAAAAGCATTTACTTATGACAGAATATCTGTTAATTTTGAAGAAAAATTAAAAATATTATGAATAAGATTTTTAGACGATTCTAAAATATTTTTATCATTATTTTTTTTTATGAAATCATTATATTCATTTAATTTGTCTTAAAACTCTAATGATCGTTTTGCTATTTTGGTAACTAAAGAATTTTCATTGTCATCATTATTATTTAAAAAAGAAGAGCTCATTCAATATTTATCTAATTATGTTTGATTATTTTTGTTTCAATTTGTATTTTTATAATTTATTAACTATTATCTAAAAAATAAAATAAACAAAGATTTGCTTCTTTAAAAATAAGAAAAAAGTTGCTAAATGTAAAATGAAATGATGATTTTTAATTAGAATATTAGAATTAGTTTTCAAATTCTAATTTGTAATATCTTACTAATTATTATGATTAACACTATATTTTTTATTATAAATTCTTTTGAATATCTAAATAGATGATATTCTAATTAATTAGAATATTTAAGCCATCTCTCAAGAATATAATAATTTACTTTATAAGTGATAACAAAAAATATCAATCAATTTAATTGAAAGTATGTATGACTTTTAATTAGAATATTAGAATTAGTTTTCAAATTCTAACTGGCAATAACTTACTAATTATTATGATTATCAATATATTTTTTATTATAAATTCTTTTGAATATCTAAATTGATGATATGCTAATGTTATTTATTTATTAATTAGAATATTTAAGTTATCTCTTAAGCCTATAATAATTTACTTTATAAGTGATAACAAAAAATATCAATCAATTTAATTGAAAGTATGTATGACTTTTAATTAGAATATTAGAATTAGTTTTCAAATTCTAACTGGCAATAACTTACTAATTATTATGATTATCAATATATTTTTTATTATAAATTCTTTTGAATATCTAAATTGATGATATGCTAATGTTATTTATTTATTAATTAGAATTTTTAAGTTATCTCTTAAGCCTATAATAATTTACTTTATAAGTGATAACAAAAAATATCAATCAATTATTTTGAAAGTATGTATTACTTTTAATTAGAATATTAGAATTAGTTTTCAAATTCTATTTGTAATCAAATATCCTAATAATTATTATGATTATGAATATATTTTTATTATAAATTCTTTTGAATATCTAAATTGCTGATATGCTAATGTTATTTATTTATTAACTAATTAGAATCTTTAATCCATCCCTAAATAGTATAAATTTTTGCTTTATAATTGATAACAAAAATATCAATGAATTTAATTGAAAGTATGGATTTTAATTAGAATATTTCTAATTTGTAAATTAAATAATATTAAATAAATATATTTTTCTAAATTTTCTTTGAATATCTAACTTGATAGTATGCTAATTAACATTTAAACAATTTCTCAATGATAAAAATAATTTGCTTTAAAATTTGTAATAAAAAATATCAATCAATTTAATTATTTATGAAATTTATATACCTTAAAGAGCAGTAAATACAAAAAATCACTAATTAATTTTCAGGGGATCAAAAAAATATCAAATGAATTAGGAAAATTGAAATTACATTAAAAAAGTATTAAATTGCAAAAATACAAATATCAAGTATATATATATTTATTTACTTACTAACAACTTCAATTATTACTATTTGCTATCATATTTACTCTAATTAAATAAAAGCAAGTTGTTAATTCAATAATTTTTTCTTCATATTAACGTCTAAGGCTCTCATTTTTTGTTTATTGTAGCAAATTATTTTATTGATTGATTTTTTAAGTAAATTTATTTTATAATGTCTCTAATGAATCATTTTCTAAAATCTCAAGAACTGCATATGGTGCATAACTATCGTTATCTATTGCAATTTTTTAAAAAAGATTTTGTGATAGAGTATCGCTATTTTTTCTATTAAAAAAATAATTTATGAAAATAGAAGCTGCTAAGCTAGTTGCTAAACAAGGAAGAGATAAACCAAAAAAGACTGTTGTCAAATATTGACATAAATGTGTAATAGAAAAGTTTATAAAAAATTGCTTAATATAATTAAACATTTTTCCAGCAAATTCTTTCCCTGCTTAAATCCAAGATTTACCACCTTTTATATCTTAAATTGTTTCATAAATATTTTTTCCAGCTTCAAAAAGGAATAAAGCCCCTTAAATTATTTGTAAGATTTTATTGAAACAACTCAAAAAACCACTTTCATTTGCTTAAATACATATTTCAGCCTATTCTATTAATTTACAAAGACTTTCATCAGCGAATAATTTTAAGTTTATTAAATCCTTTATTTTTTATATAACAGCTGGTAGATCATTATTTTTAAAAAATTTCTAGATAGTAATAAATCTTTCTTTCAAATCTTTATAGTCACATTGAAAATTCAAAGCCTTAATAAAGTCAAAAAATTTGTTAGTAGAGGTTTATTGACTCCTAGATAAATAGTATTCATACTACTGCATTTATTTTTAAAAACTTTCAGATTATTACATTAGACCTTCAAGTTATTATTATAGATCTACATCTAAAAAATTCAAAGATCTATCTATCCTACTTTATTGACTCCCCATATTTGTTTTTAGTATTTATTTTGTAATTAATTAGTTATAAATTTAAGTATGTATGTATGAACTCCAACTTATAAACCAATTATCAATCAAATATTCTAATTCTATATTAAATCAAATATTCTAATTACTTATCAATTAGAATATTTAAGTACCTAATCATTTATAAAAATACAATCGCTAAATTTAAATTTTTAAGGAAATTCATGTGAATTTTGATAAGATTTTGATGCAATTTTTGAAATTTGCAATGAAATTAAATTTTGTTAAAAAGAATACTATATATAATACAGAAAAATTATTTTTATTATTTTAAAAATTTGTTTCTAATTTTCTATTCTATTATATCATTATTATTTGTCTACCTAGTATGTTGGTTATTATAATTTTTAATTTATTTAGATAGCCAATAAAAAATTTGATTAATTCTAAACAAGAATTTATTTTAACTCTGATAAGAATAAAAAAAACCCTCAATCTAATTTAAAAACTAGAAAAAATGATAGAATCCATTTTAAAAAAAGCTGATCAATTCATTGACAAAAACAAAAGACTTGTTGGAGCACTTGCCTTATTTTATGCAGCCAGCTTGGTAACTAAGTCTTTAGGAAAAGTTTTAGGTTTTATCAACAGATAGTTTATTCCTGGCTACAATTTAATACAAAGATACGGGAAAGGATCTTATGCAGCAATATCTGCTTGTACAGATGGTAATTGGTAAAGGATTTGCTCTTGAATTAGCTAGAAGAGGTTTCAATCTTGTCATGCTAATTAGAAATGTTAAGAAAGGGGAAGCTTTGGCAGAAGAAATAAGAAAAACAATTAATAAAGAAATAGATATTTAAATTGTAGAAGTAGATTTCTAAGCAATTTAAAACCCAGGAGCTATTGAAGCTATTGTAGAGAAAGTCAAAGGATTAGATATAAGCATTTTAGTAAACAATGTCGGATACCTTATTGGTGGATCATTTGAAAAATAAACTTATTCTTAGATAAATAATATAATCTCAATGAATGTAGGAGCATAAGCTTTATTAACTAGAGGATTAATTAGCTAATTATTGAATAGAAAACAAAAAAGTGCAATAATTAATCTTTCTAGCATGTCTAGTTACCTTATATTTGCAGGTTTTGCTATGTATGGAGGAACCAAAAGTTTTAATGATTACTTTAGCAGGTCTTTATCAGAGGAGTATAAGGGTAAACTAGATGTTTTATCAGTCAAACCAGGTTGGGTTAATACTCCTATGACTGATGGAATTCCAGGCAAATTTTTAGAAATAACACCTGAGTAGTGTGCAAGTAACATACTAAAATAGCTTGGAAGAACCAATCTTACTTTTGGTCACTACAAGCATGAAATGACAGCTTTTGTTAATTACTTGACTATAGATATGATCAATAATTTACAACGTAAAAATATGTAAAGTGCTATCAAGTGAAATTCTTGATATAAATCTAAATTAAATAAAAATAACTTTGAATAAAGTTTGTTTATATTTTTTATGCATAATAAATTAGAATAAATTTTAATGTTTTTTTTTGAAAGGAAATTTTGATTATTTTGATTATACTTTTATATATTTAAAAATAAATGAGCAAAATAATTTAAAGAAAATAAATTTTTTTATTAAAAAAATAATTTTTTGAAACTTATTTAGAATGACCAATCATTATATAATGTAATGTGTCAATATGTTAGTCATTTAATTTATTAATGATGTAGAATTCAAGTTACTTCTTTAAAATTTTTAGAAGTACAATAAATACAACCATATAATCTTGTTTACAAATAATATACATTAAATAAAATATATTTTTATTTAAATTTTATTAATTTAATTAAATTATTAAAAAATAATTATGTAATTAATGCATACAAAGGTATGCAGGCACTCACTAAATGTATTTGAAATTTATAAAATGTAGATATCAAGTGTAAATATAATTTCTGCTAAATTCCAATTAACTAAATGAGAAAATCAATCTTTAAGTTAGATTTTAAGCCTATCCTTAATTAAATTTTAATGATACAAAAATAGGATTTTAAATTGATAAATAAATTTAATATTCAATATATAAGTTGGAAATGAGAAAAGTCATTTTTTTATTTATTATTCATTTGTTTGATCAAAAATAAAAGAAATTTTAATTGATATTCATTGATTATAAATTATCTTTTAACAAAGATATTTTTTGTAATCAATATAAAATCAAAAATACCAAATCACCAAATTTATATTTTATAAAAACACGTATTAATTAAAATGAATCACTTAGAAAAACTTGATACTTTGGTTGTTAATAATAAAAGAGCTGCTGGTTTAATTGCTGCTGGAGCTGTTGGCTATGTTGCTCTCAAGGCTCTTTCAAAGGTAGCTTGTTTATTCAAAAAATTTGTCCTTCCAGGATACAATTTGATTGAAAGATATGGAAAGGGATCTTATGCTGCTGTAACTGCTTGTACTGATGGAATTGGAAAGGGTTTTGTTCTTGAACTTGCTAAGAGAGGTTTTAACTTAGTTATGTTTGTTAGAAATGTTGAAAAAGCTTAAGCATTAGTTGAGGAAATTAAAAAAACAATTAATGACAAGATTGATGTTAAGATAGTTCAAATAGATTTCTTAAAAGTGAATCAACCTGGTGTTGTTTAAGCTGCTGTTAAGTAAGTAGAAGATGTCGATATCAGTTTATTAGTTAATAATGCAGGTATGAGTATTACCAATAAGCTCTCTATTGAGTCATACACAGAAGAAGAGCTTTCAAATATGCTAGTGTTCAATATATACACTTAAGTACTTTTTACTTATTATCTACTTCCAAAGCTTAGAAACAGAGGAAAAAAGAGTGGCATAATTAACTTATCTAGTGTATCAACTGTCATTAGTATGGCTGGTTTCCACATGTACACAGGTACCAAGATGTTTAATGACTACTTTAGTAAGAGTATGGGAGAAGAATATAAAGGCATCATTGATGTTATGTCTCTAAAACCAGGATTTGTTGATACTCCATTGGTTTCATCAGTAAAGGAAAAAAGACTTTGTATCTAACCTCAAGAATGTGCTAATGCTGCTTTAAATTACCTTGGTAGATATGAAGAAACTAATGGACACTACAAACATATGTATGGTTCTTTCACCTAAAGTATTCTTAAACCTGTTATTAATAATAAAATCCGTAAAATGTGCTAAGCTGAAAGAGAGAAAAAGTAAATATCTTAATGAAAATCTTTTGAATAACAAGAATTTGATATTATTTATAAGAATATTACAAATTTCAATTTATTAATCAATCTATCAATAACGTTTATTGTGTTTTGAATAAATAATATTTTATTTTTTTGTAATAATTTAAATTTTTTTGGGTAATTTTATTTGCAAAATTATTTGATCCATTTTTATTAATTAATGTATGATCCTTGTTAAAAATCTAAAAAAGATTTACTTATAGATAGATCAAGCAAATTAATTTTAATTAATTTTAAAGTCAATAAAGATTTTTATTTACTTGATTATAAATAAATAGTTAATGAAATATAATATTTTTGATATTTTAATTATTGACAACTCATTAATTTATTCTATTATTTGATAAAAAAATAAATGGAAAATAAAACAATTTTTTTTAATTAAAAGTTCCCAAATAAAATAATATAATTAGTGCTTATCCTAATTATAAAATATTTTTAATATTCCTTTATTTAGATTAAAATAAATAGTTAATGAAATTAATAACAATTTTGATATTTTAATAATTTAAATTCAATAATTTTACTATTTGATAAAAAATAAATTGAAAAAAAAAAAAAAACATTTTATTCAATAAAAAGTGCCGTTACTCAGATTATATTATATGTGCTTATCTAAAACAATTGAATCTTTTTAATTTTTGTTTATTAAAGTAAATAAAGACATACAGTGAATTTTGCAACCTTAAAAAAGTTAAATAAAAAATATATTTTTATTTTTTCTAACTTTATAGAAGGAGTATGATATACTACACTTTTATATAAAAATAAGCAAACATTTATTTAAATTTTGTATTTTTTGAAATGACATTAAATAAAACAACCTACCAAGTATTTTTTATTACAATAAACAATTAATTTATTTATATTTAATTTTTAAAAATATTAAGTTATTTGTATGAAAAATAGATAATTTAAATAAAAAGTAGAAAAATATATTTTTAAATAAAAATATTAATTTTTTAAATTTTAGATAAGTAAGGTTAGGTTATTAATAAGAATATTAATTTAGGAATAAATTAAGTTTTTATAAAAATGTAATAGAATATAATCAAAAAATAAATCTATCTTTACATCTATTTAGTAAATTAATTTATGTGTAACAATAAAAAGAATTACTATAAAATCAAGCAATTTTCATTTTTTTAACATTTATATTTATTTGTAGTATCTTCTTAATATGAATAAATAAATACCTAAAATAAAAAAAAATATTTAAGTAATTCAAAAGTAAAAAATAAATTTGAAATTTATATGATGAGGATTAAAAATGTAATTAAAAATAATTTTTATCTAAATGTAATTATAATTTCTTTCATGAAAAGATTTGCATTTTTTATTTTTTGAATCTATTTATAATTACAAACTGTATTTAACGCTTTCATAGTTAAATATCAAAAAAGTAAAATCCCTTTTTCGTTTATCAAGTTTAAAATTTTTAAGAAGTACAATAGTACCATATAAACTAACATACACATAATATGCCTTTAACAAAATATATATTTTCTTATTAATTTTATTATTGCTATTCTCAGATATTTTTTTCTGTAGGAGGAAATAAATATTAAATAGAATAATACATATTATTTTAAAAATTTAAAGAAAATTTATTAATAAAAAAAGGTATAGATCGAAATAGGTTTCGAACCTGAACAAGCAAAAAAAATAAAAAATGTTTGATAAAAGATTTAATTTGTTTTTTAATGAAGAAATCTAAATAAATTTTTAATCAAACATTTAATTTTTAGAGTTAAGCATTTTTTCATTCATTTTACATGTAAAAAAAAATTAATTCAAGATTAAATGTTTGATAAAAAAATTTAAATTTGTTCATCAAAAAACAAATTAAATCTTTGATTAAACATTTTTTATTTTTTTCTTCTATTTCTATCAGGTTCAAAACCTGCTTCAAACCTTTTTTTTATTTCTTTTAATTTTTTTAATTTTTTATTAAATAATATTTATTATTCTATTAAATGTATATTTCTTACTCAAGAAATAATTATCAAAAAATAGCTATAGTTTAATTAAATTACAAAAAATAACCATGTTACATAAAGGCACAAATGAATTCAAAATTTTAATAATGTAAATATCAAATGTAAATATAATTTCTGAACTACAAAAAAACTAAATGGGAAAATCTATCTTTTAAATTAAATGTTAAGCCTAATTCATAATTAAATTTCTTGATGCCAAAACAGGATTTTAAATAAATAAATAAATTTAATATTCAATAAAAAAGTTAGAAATAAACATTTATCTATCTATTTATTAATTTTTCACTTGTTTGATCAAAAAACAAATAAATGAAATTTTACTGATATTCATTCATTATAAATATTTTAACAAATACATTTTTGAATTAATATAATATCAAAAATAACAAACAAATCACCAAAATTTATATTTTATAAAAACAAGTGTAAATTAAAATGAATCACTTAGAAAAACTAGATACTTTTGTTGTTAACAATAAAAGAGCTGCTGGTTTAATTGCTGCTGGAGCTGTTGGTTATGTTGCTCTCAAGGCTCTTTCAAAGGTAGCTTGTTTATTTAAAAAATTTATTCTTCCAGGATACAATTTGATTGAAAGATATGGAAAGGGATCTTATGCTGCTGTAACTGCTTGTACTGATGGAATTGGTAAGGGTTTTGTTCTTGAACTTGCTAAGAGAGGTTTTAACTTAGTTATGTTTGTTAGAAACGTTGAAAAGGCTTAAGCATTAGTTGAGGAAATTAAAAAAACAATTAATGATAAGATTGATGTTAAGATAGTTCAAATAGATTTCTTAAAAGTGAATCAACCTGGTGTTGTTTAAGCTGCTGTTAAGTAAGTAGAAGATGTCGATATCAGTTTATTAGTTAATAATGCAGGTATGAGTATTGCCAATAAGCTCTCTATTGAGTCGTACACAGAAGAAGAGCTATCAAATACTATAGTGTTCAATATATACAGTCAAGTGTTCTTTACTTATTATCTACTTCCAAAGCTTAGAAACAGAGGAAAAAAGAGTGGCATAATTAACTTATCTAGTGTTTCTACTGTCGCTAGTATGGCTGGTTTCCACATCTACACAAGTACCAAGATATTCAATGACTACTTCAGTAAGAGTATAGGAGAAGAATATAAAGGCATCATTGATGTTATGTCTCTAAAACCAGGATTTGTTGATACTCCATTAGCTTCATCGTATAAGTAAAAAATATTTTGTATTACACCTCAAGAATGTACTAATGCTGCTTTAAATTACCTTGGCAGGTATGAAGAAACTAATGGACACTACAAACATATGTATAGTTCCTTCACCTTAAACTTTCGTAAGTATTTTATGAATTACAAAATCCGTAAAGCATGCTAAGCTCAAAGAGAGAAAAAGTAAATATCTTAATGAAAATCTTTTGAAAAACCAGAATTAAATATTATTTATGAGAGTATAACAAATTTTAATTAATTAGTTAATAATGTTTATTATGTTTATATGTTCATAACTAAAAATCTTAAAAAAATTTAGTTATTGATCTAATAATCTAATTTTTAATTAATTTCCAAGTCAATAAAGATTTTTATTTACTTCATTAAAAATAAATAGTGAATAAAATTAATAATATTATTGATATTTTAATTATTGATTGAAAACTCAATAATTCATTCTATTATTTGATAAAAAAAAGAAATAGAAAAAAAGTAATTTTATTCAATAAAAATATTACTTGTTATGATAATATATATAATTTGTGCTTATCTTTCATTATAAATATTTTTAATATTTCTTTATTTAGATTAAAATAAATAGTTATTGAAACAAAAACATTTTTTATATTTTTATTATTGAAATTCATCAATTCTATTATTTGATAGTATATAAAATTAAATTTTTATAAATATCTTTAAATCTATCTAGAAATTATATCTATTTAATAAATTAATTTATGTTATAAAAAGAATTTCTATAAAATCAAACAAATTTATTTTTTTTAACATTTATTTTATTTTAGTATCATATAAATAAACTAAATTACATCAATAACTTAAAAAAAAAAGATATTTTTATATTCATTTTATTGATTTATTTAGTTTAGATTTTTTAAAATATTTAAATAATGTATAAGTAGAAAAATAAATATATTTGGAATTTCTAAGATGAGGATAAAAAATTTGATGGAAAAGAATTTTTATCTAAGTGTAATTATAATTGCCACTAAAATCCAATAGAACTAAATGAAAAATCTTTCTTTTAAGTTTGAATTAAATTCTGATTAATAATTAAATGTCTTTTCAAAAATTTGTTACGAGAAGAATTATTATCTATGTGTAAATATTATTTCTGTTAAAATCCAATAGAATTAAATGGAAAGACCTATCTTTTAAGCCTAATTAATAATTAAAATTCTATTCATTCTATCAAAAAAAAATAATCTCAAATAAATGAATGAATTATTTTTTTAAGTATTAATTTTTGTACAAATTTAATTATTATTCATTTACTTGATCAAAATAAAAGAAATTTTATTTGATGTTCATTCACTATAAATTATCTTGAAATAAAGGTATTTTTTATATTTAATATCAGATCAAAAAATAATAAAACTTCAAAACATAAATTTTTTAAAAACAAGCATTAATTAAAATGAATCACTTGGAAAAATTTGATACTTTTATTGTTAATAATAAAAGAGCGGCTGGTTTAATTGCTGCTGGAGCTGTTGGTTATGTTGCTCTCAAGGCTCTTTCTAAGGCAGCTTGTTTATTCAAAAAGTTCGTTCTTCCAGGATACAATTTGATTGAAAGATATGGAAAGGGATCTTATGCTGCTGTAACTGCTTGTACTGAAGGAATTGGAAAGGGTTTTGTTCTTGAACTTGCTAAGAGAGGCTTTAACTTAGTTATGTTTGTTAGAAATGTTGAAAAGGCTTAAGCATTAGTTGAGGAAATTAAAAAAACAATTAATGACAAGATTGATGTTAAGATAGTTCAAATAGATTTCTTAAAAGTGAATCAACCTGGTGTTGTTTAAGCTGCTATTAAGTAAGTAGAAGATATCGATATCAGTTTATTAGTTAATAATGCAGGTATGAGTATTACCAATAAGCTCTCAATTGAGACATTCACAGAAGAGGAAATTTCAAATATGATAGTGTTTAATATTTACACTTAAGTACTTTTTACTTATTATCTACTTCCTAAGCTTAGAAATAGAGGAAAAAAGAGTGGTATAATTAATTTATCTAGTATTGCTACTGTTATTAGTATGGGTGGTTTCCATGTATACACAAGTACCAAGACGTTTAATGATTATTTTAGCAAAAGCATGGGAGAAGAATATAAAGGTTTCATTGATGTTATGTCTCTAAAGCCTGGATTTGTTGATACTCCATAAGTTTAATAAGTAAAGGAAAAAAAACTTTGCATTACACCTCAAGAATGTGCTAATGCTGCTCTAAATAATCTTGGCAGATATGAAGAAACTTATGGACACTACAAACATATGTATTATGCTTTTTTGACCTAAAATTTTCAAGATGTTATTAAAAATAACATCCGTAAAATGTGTTAAGCTCAAAGAGAGAAAAAGCAGATTTCTTAATGAATTGAATAATAAGATTTAAATAGTATATAATAAATAATATAAAAAATTTCAACAATCATAAATGAATTATTATGTTTATGTAAATATTTTATTTTTTTGTCATAATTTAGCTTCTCATAAATTAATACTAATAAAAATATATATTTTTGCTCTTTAAAATAGGCTAAAATAAAAAAACTATTTTGAAAAAAGTGTGTGAAGAAATTTTCTTATATTGTACTCATTAACTAATTAACTAAGAGAAATAAATATTTTTAGAAGGAATATTCTTAGGACTAAATGGATAATAATTGTGGAAAAGAATTCCCACATTAAAAAATGATTTCTACTCCTAATGATAAAAGATTATATGATATGATATGTTTAAATTTTTTCAATATTTATTTCAATCATGTAAAAAATGTATCAAACTTGAATAACCTTTTTAATTTTGATAAATATGGTTTTAATTTTATTAAATATTTTATATGATATTTTTTATAAATCATCCTTTAATAGTGGGTAGGTAGGTAGGTAGGGTTTAGAATAATTCCTTATTAACTTCCATGTATGATTCATAAAAGGATTAAAAGGTGCAGACAGTATATGTTAGTTATACTTAATTTACCTCATTATATCTACCTATATTTTTAATCAACTATTTATTTATTTAATTAAAATATTATATTTGGTATAGCAAAGTATTTTTTAAGAACTTATTTAAAATCTAAAAAAATTTATAAATCAATTCAAAGAAAATTTAATTTTATTAAAACATCAACAAGCTAAAAAAAATTGTTCTTATAGATAGATAGATACTTTTAATTAACAAAAATATTTACGAAATAAAATCTTCTTTTTCAGAGATTACAAACAATCAATTAATAATTTTTGTATCTAATTTCTAAAATAAAATAAATATATCTTTTTATATGATTTATAATTTATGAAATACTTAAAAGTATGATAATTTTATACTTAATAAAGAACTTAAACGTAAGCAATTTATACAGTTTTTTAATGTTCATTTAATGTGCAAAGGTATGGTTGAAATACTTTTATAAATTAGTTTTAGGTTTATGCAAATATTATAGTCCAATACTTGCTTTATATGAATCTACGAATGAATGAATAAATAAATAGTAATAGAAAGAATCTTATCTAAGGAGGTTGATCTACAACCAATCTTTAATCAAAGATAATAATTAATTAAAATTTATATGCTTATATCAAATGAAAAGTGTACTGTAAAAAATTAAAAATATAACAAATGCTAGTGAAGTTGACCAAGCTGATTTGAAAGAAGTAAAATTCACAATAATTATTAAAAAGTTTTAACTTAAAAAGTAAAATCATATTTTTTTAGATCCTCTTCGCAATTCTGGAGAATTATCCTGAAGGACAAAGAAATCCAAAGCATTTAAGCTTGATATCATAAGCTCTTTTGACTATAGATTTCTTTAAGAAACTTTAAGATGCAAGAGGAGAAGATAGCATTAAATTATGCGCTATGCTTTTGAAGTATGAAAAACATTAATTCGATACAGACGTTATTGTTCATGGAGAAAGAGGAGATAAATTTTACATCATTTTGCAAGGAATATGCGAAATTTATGTGCCTAATTCTTAAGGCTAATTTGTAAAAGTAGGTGAGCTAAAAGCAGGATAAAGTTTTGGTGAACTCGCACTTATAAATGATTCACCAAGACGTGCCACGATTAAAGCATAAACAGATTGTGACCTAGCGATACTTTCTAAAAAAGATTACATCAAAATTATTGGTAAAAAAATTATATTTTAAGTACAAAATTGGTTAAACTCATTTAGAGTATTTATTTACTTTTCCACTATATTAACTTTAAAAAACTCTTGGTTCAATTCAGTGAGAAATATATTTTAATTTGCCTCAAATAGCTTAAGAATAATCTAAGGCAAATTTCATTTGCAAATTCAAACATGATAAATCAAAACCAACAAATAGATGAGCAGTATCTTACAATCTTTATCTCTGATTATAAGAATTATAAAAATACAATTTGACTACTTAGATTTGTTAATTTATTTATACGATTTTAGACTAGTAATCTAAAATAAACTCTGATTGAGTCTTTTACATATTTTTTTAACAAGAATAATCAAAAATAGCCAATAATTAATTCAATAAATTTTGAGTATAAAAGTATGCTTTAATTTTATTTTAACAAATAAAGCGGATATGGAAGAAAGAGAAATAAAGAAGAAAATTTAGTTTTTGGAAGGCCTTCCTCTTTTCAATCAAATCCACAGAAGATCCCTTCATGAATATATCTATTATTTCAAAATAGTAAATTACAAATGGAAAGATATTGTCTATCAGCAAGGAGAAGATCCTCAGTATGTTTATATAATTAAATCAGGAGAATTCATTCTCTAAAAATTCAGTAGATAAGAGAAAAACCAAAACTCAGGTATATTCCCCATTACTGCTTAAGTAAATAAATCAAAAATAAGTATTAATGCTAATTTTTTTATCTTAATTTATTTATTTATTATTAAGGTTGCTATTATTGGTCCTGGAGAGATATTTGGAGAAGTTGATTGTCTTTTGAACCACAAACGTCATTTTTCAGTTTCTTGTCATACTTAGTCTGCTGAAGTGTTCCTGATATCAAAGAAAGTAAAGCAAATTAGTTTAATTTATATTTTAATTTTAAACTTAATACTGTAAAATTTGTCTATTATGGACAGCTAATTATTTACATAGATAATTTATTAGTTATTTAGAGACATTTTTTAGTTATTTTTAGGGTTAAATATTTTTGGCATATTCCATTTAACAAAAAAATAGAGTTTAAATAAATAATAAAAATTCAAGAAACTTTTTTTCTTAAGAAATTTTGAAATTTTGAAATAAATGCATAAATTGATAATGAAGATAAGTTTTTTAGATAAAATAAAGAGTTAATTATCACTTAGATTAATTTGTTTTATTTTTAGCATTTTAGTGAGAGAATTATGGATAACTACAATATTCGAGAAAAGAACTTTGTTGAGAATTATTTGGATAAAAAAATATAGTGGAGAAACGAAAGAATGAATAGTATAAAAACTGTTAGGAGAATAGCTGAATAAGATATTAAATTTGCTTATAATAAAGTCTCTCCTCAGTCAAGGAAATCTAAAAAAGATAGCATTTAGTATGATAAAAATTCAAATGATCAAGATTACAACTACAATTCACCAGTTAAAACAAACAGATAAAGTATAAATGCAAATTTTATGTTAACAGAAATTGGTGACACCACTCATATGACTTAAAATAATTCTCTTATTATTGGTTCTCAAAATAGTCCTGCTTCTTTTAGTCATCTTGGCAAGTAAAATAAAAAATAATTAAATTTAAGGAGCTTAACAACTGCAACTCCTTCGCTATCCAAAAGAGCTTCGACTGCTTTTATTACTTAGAAGCCCTAAAAACTAGAAAATAGAGAATTTTTTAGCTCTTAAGTGGAGTGTAAAAGCACGATTGAAGATGGATCACCTATTATTGCAGATAAAATATAAAATTAAGATGCGGATAGTTAATATGAGATGGATAATAATTATAATTTAGGAAACTCCAGTAACTAATTGGAAGCTCTCATTTTTTCTTCTCCTTTAAAAAATGTAATTAAACAAATTCAATTTAAAAAATGTATTTAAATATTTATTTAAATTTAGAAATTTAATTAGAATACTCATTTTAAGCTCAATGACCTCAGCTAAAAAAAAACTACACCTAATAATAATAATAATTGTACACCAAATAAAAACATAAATCTTAGCAGCTAAAAAAGTGAGCCTTCAAACTCTAACAACATGAAAGAATTAATTCCTAATAATTTTGAAATTGAAGAAAATGAAGGTATGAGAAAATTCTTGAAAACAAACAGTGCAGTTTACAAAATGAGAAAGCTTAACTAAGCAAAATTAGAAATTTGCAGACAACAAAATATTGATGTGTAGGGAAAGTCATTCAAAAACATAGGCATTATTGAAGACGTTGAATTACCAAAGTATATGTTGAATAAACTAAAAAATTAAAATTCAATCATGAGCGTTATTTAACAAAAATCCTAATCTCCAAGAATTATAGCGAATATTTCAGGTGTACAAACCCACAAATCAGCAAATTCAACCATCTGTTCACCTTAAAAGAAAAGATCTATAAGTCTGGCAAACCATAATAATAATAATAACTTTTCCATAATGCCCCCAATAAAGAGCGATGCTATTTTTGATGGAGACTTTAAAAAAATAAACAATATTTTACATGCTCCTCTGTAAAGAGTAGAAAATGATAAATTAAAATAAGTGATAAACTAAATGAAATTTTTAGATTCGTAATAATACAAAATTCAAACTTAATAAATAACTCAAAACTCATAAGGTATTTATCTAAAAAAATCAAATATAATTCCTAAATCTCAAAACGATCAAACAAGTATTTAGTAAACCTTTTACAAAAGATCAATATCACCAGTAAGTGTTCAAAATAAAAACTAATCAGTCTTGATGCATAAATTCATGCTCACTCCTTTGAGGTAACATGACTAAAATAGCTCTAAACTAAATCCTGAATTTACAACCAACTGGGAGCATCTCCCAGAACCTAATCAACCTCCTTTAATAGCTAATCCTCATTTAAATATACAAAATCTGTAAATAAAAAACATCAAGCTTTGAATACCTATAATTTATTTTATAAATAAATATAACAAATTTAAATAAATAAATAAATTGCACAAAATTTTCCTAAGTTTATTTAATTTTCCTCATACGTAGTTCTCTAAGTGTATAAAATTTAACTTTATAATAGTTTTAGTTAGTTAGTTATTTATATTATTCTTGTTTCTTGTTTAAAGTATAAAAAAGAGTTACATTTTTATATAATCAAATTATTTTTTTTAATTTTGAGAAATTATTTATTTTTTTCATTTTGCGAAGTTATATATTTTTTTTAGAAACACTTAATCATAGATTTTTTTTGACTCTCTTCATTCTTCATGAAATTTAAAAATCAAAAATCTAAAAATAACTAAATACTTTTTTTAAGCTGATATAATTTAACATTTTATAAAGATATCCAAATATATATTTAAATAATAATTCATTTTTTTATCTTTTCAAATGTTTAACTTTCAAAATATTATAATTTCTTTTTATATTATAAAAATTTTGTAAGCGTTTTGATTTTTGTTTTGTTTTGCTATGAATTTACATAGATTTTCAATCTAATTTATTAATTTTTTTCTCATCTAAATAATTATCTCAATAAATATTTTATGATTTCTAAAATATTTCATAAAATTTATGACTAAACTTTAAACTTTTTTTAAATGATACTTTTTTCAATTAATTTTTAACTTAGCTATGTCATTTTTTAATGAAATATTAAATATAAAATAATTAAATTTACCTTATAGATAAACAGGAAAGATATTTTCAAAAATTTGTTTGGTAAAATTTAATTTACTCACGCTTTCTAGTTCAGCTTAAAAAATTTGACTCTCCTCTGCTGATGTCCGTCAGATTAGTATTTGATTGATTGATTTGATATAGATAAATTTTAATTAACTTTATCTAGCAAATGAGTGAGTGAGTGAGTGAAAATTTTATGAGAAATAAATTATAAACAACTCAGTTAATATTGAAAAGAAATGTTGATTTCTATGGAAAAACTTTAAGTAAATAGATATTTAAAAGATACTCAAGATTTATCTATATATTCTATAAAAATTATATACAACACTTAATTCACACGTTCATATTAATAGTAAATTTATAAGCTCCCTTAGAGATATGCTAAAATCAAAATAATTGATAAGAAATAAATAAATAAATTAATTAATTGATTGAATTTATTAGGAAAAAGAAACTTAATTATTTAGTAGAAATTAAAAATGTTCATCATAACTTTGAATTAGGTTATTTTCTTCGTCGCTTTGCTCGAATTGGCTGTTAGTGTTTTGTTCATTATCCCTCTTCCTAAGGGCTGGAAACCTGGCCTTTTAAGATTTGTTGAAGAAAGTCCTACTATGAAGAAAATTATGGAATATCATAAGTTTATTATTGCCATTGTTGCACTTTAATGGATGTATTCAATTAAAATCGCAGCTGATTATTAAGAATAACACTTAATAGAGAGAGAAACTCATTTTAATGCAATTAATCAAAGAGATTTACATATCTTAGAAAAAAAATTTGCAGCTGAAGGAGATATTTACTTGAATGGAACTCTTCTTTTTGTTTCTGTATTCATCAATCGTCTTTTCGCTCTTTTGTAATACTATTATCAAATCAAGTAAATGAGCGAAATCGAATTAAAAGTTAATTTATCTGATGACACTAAGAAGATTCTTGATTCTCTATAGAAGGAAAGTTTAGGAGCTCCTTCTTAACCTAAATCCAAAGAACAAAAAAAGAATGATTGAAAGTGAATTAAAAAATTTATGATTTGGAACATAAAGATAATTTAAAAAGATAATATTAGCAAGTTTAATAAATTAATTTATATATGATATCTATTTTCAATCAATATTAAATATATTCACTCTATCAATATTTCTCCTATTTTTAAATTTATTTTATTCATTTACTCTTGTTTATTTCATCCAAATACATTAAAATAAATAACATAAAACTATTTTTTTAGATTAAAAAAAGAAGACAATTTTAAATGCTTTTTTGATTGTATTAACAAAATTTGAATTCAGCAAAGAAAAGAAATAATAAATAAATAAATAATATTCAATTTATCATTGCTAAAAATTTAGCTAGTCCTTAAAGGGACACAAATTTTTATTTGTTAGTTTCTTAGAGTTTATTAATTATTTTAATAGATAAATATTTTGGCTCTTATTAAGTTTGAATGTTTTAAAAATGAAATACCTTCAAAAAAATTAAATTATAGAAATATTATATTTTACATTTAGATTTGTTAATTAAGTGAGACATTTAGATAGCAAATTACTATTTAAAATAAACAAGACATTTTTTTCTAAAAAATTATTAGTCAATTTATTTTCAATTATTTATAAGATATTCTTTGAATATTATTGTATGGTATGAATCATTGTGTCTTCGTCATATCCTGATTGAATTTCAAATCTAATTTTGGTTTTCGTAATTACTTTATGATAATATTAAGCTATTTACAGTATTTCTTTGAAAAACATGACCAACGAGATTTTATTGTAAAAAAAAAATTTTTAGTTTGGTATTTATGTGATAAACCTTCAAAAATATTTTAAAGGGAGTATTTAATTAATGAGGATTGATGGTATAATCAACGAAGCAAGCATGAAATAAGTCAATAAATAAGTTATTAAACAAAAATATTTAAAATTTAAATTTTTTCTCTAATTATACTGAACAAGTTTTTAAATCAAAAAACAAACAAGATTACAGAGAGCTACTTTTTAAAAAATTTTATCTTTTAATTTATAAGAAAACAAAAATAATAATTTATTAATTTAAATAAACACTCTTCAGAGAATTTAAAATAATTTCTGTGTTTAAAAAAATTTTAATTAAATAAACAAAAAAGTATAAAAATTTTTATTATCATCAAGAAGCTTACCAAACAATTAATAGCTTACTTATTAGAATATAAGAGTTTTAGTTTAAATATTCTAAAAAGAAGTGAGTTAATGTTGATATGTGTTTTTCTAATTAAAAGAAACAAAAGAATAGAAAAATAATTAATTAAACAAATTCTTTGAAAAGTAAAAAAGAAATGAGTAAGGTAGCAAATAGCAATGATAATAAAATACGCATTCTTTTTTGTGGAAATATAAATGTTGGTAAGTCATGTATAATTTAAAGGTTAATTACCAATAATTTTATAGAAAACTACACTCCTACAGTTGGAGTTGACTTTAGATCAATATATTATTAAATTAATTAAACAAAGGTCTAAGTCAATCTATTAGATATTCCTGGATAGGATAGATATAATGCATTAACACTGTCTTAAATAAGAAATGTAGATGGAGTTGTCTTTGTCTATGATATTTCTGACATGGATTCTTTCACAGATATTATAAATTGGTAATAAAAAATTTAAAGTGCAGCTCATGAAAATACTTTTTAAACTCTTCTTGGAAATAAATGTGATTTATTAGATAGATAGGTGCCTTTCAATAAAGGATTAGAATTTGCAGAGTCTAAAAGTATGAATTTCTTTGAGACCTCAGCTAAAAATGGTAAAGATGTAGTAAATTCAGTTCAGAGTTTAGCTCAAAAAATATTTTGTGAAAGGTTGATGAATTAAAATTAATAAAAAAATGATGAGAATGGCACAGTTAAGCTTTAAAAATCGAAACTAACCTTTCTAAATTTTTTTAAGGGTGCTTATAATTACTATTGTTGAAGTTATTAATGGTTTATGTACAGGAAAAATATATTCCTTTATACTTTAAGTAAATTGAAAATAATGATTTTCTATATAATAAAAATTATAAAAATATATATATATTCAAATGTTCTATATTAATAATAATGCATATAAATGTAACCAAATTAAACTTAATTGCTTCATATAAATAAAATAAAAGAAAAATTACATTAATTAAAATATTTAAAAATTACTTGAAATATTTTGAAAATAAAAAAATGAACTTCCTAAATTATTTATTTAAATAAATTTAACAAAACGTAATGAAATTAATAGTTGGACAAAGCTAAAAGGATGTTTAAGTAAAAGATATTTGTTAAGATAAATATTTAAATAATATTAAATAAATTTTATGTTTAAATTAAAGAAATAATAAATAAATGACTTAGAAAATGTTACAATTTTCTATTTTTAAATATTCTTTAAATTTTATATAACTTAATTCAAAATTTATCATTCTCAATCTAATTACTTAATTGTAAAGTATATTCTTAAGATTTGGATTACGTTTTATGGCACAAGTTTAAGTTAGGTTGAATACAATTATACTAATTATGTATCTACAATTAATTTAGAATTAAATTCAGTAAAGCTAAGTTTAGGGAAAAATAAAAAAGCATATTATATCAATAGGTAAATAACAAATAAGTAAATAAATTTTGGTAGATTGAATAAAACACTGAAAGTTTTAGCTTAGATTTGGCATAAATTAACTTTATGAATAATTACAATATATTAAAGATATACATATCGATTTGTTATTTATAACTAACTAACTAACTAATTAATTAACTTATTAATTTTTGTTAATCTAATTTTTATATTAAAATAATTAATTCTAGCTGCTTTCTTTCTTTATTGATTGATTGCTTGCTTGAATAATTGTTCGCTTTTCATTTTTATTCAGACCATTGAGAGAACTTTTCCTTCAATTCTTATTCTTTAGCTTTTTGTTCATAGAAAATTTATTCCTTTTCTTTACCTTTTTCTTCTCTTGCTTTTTGAGTAGCTTCTTGATTTTACAATCTCTTTTGCTCGTCTTACTTAAGCTTTTCAGGATTGCTTTCATATTCGGCTAATTATTTAGTAAAGTCCTTAAGTAATTTTTTTAACTCTTCTTTCATTTGCTTTTAAATGATTCTTTTAGCAATATCACCACATTTATTCTTGGTGTTTAAAGTAACATGATCAACCTATTTTAGTGTGATTTATAGATAAATTTATTGAATTTCTTTTTAATAGAAAAAATTATTTTATTACTTCGAAATCCAAATCATCAGGGTTGATGTCGTGAATCTTAAAGTAACCATCGGCATCTTCTTCGTCGTTTTCAGCTAAATTTTAGAAACATAAAAGTCTTAAGCAAAAAGTATTTCACAACTCGCTTGCTATTAAATCCAAAATTAAAAAAAAAACTACCTTTAAAATCAACTTCGACATTGAATTCGTAGCAGAGAATTTGTTTACCCTTTCTGACATTGATTTCAGCCTTTATTTAAAAAAATCAAAGTTAAAATTCTGCTTTAATAGCTGATTTGAAAATTAATAAGCTACATCTCCATTGATGGATTTAATCTTTGAATTTTAAACTTTAACACCGTCTTATTCAATTGAGATACTCAAAATTATTTCTTCAAGAAGCTTCTTAGCTTGAGGAGTGTAGTTCTTTTGTTCCCTTTATTAAAAGTAAATAAATTAAGCTTATTTTGTTATAATTTAAATGTCTAAATATCTTTCTATCTATCTTTCTTATTATTTTATTGCGGAAAAAATTTATAGACTAATAGTCTACTTAAAAATTTTTGAAGGATTAAAACAACAATATAAATTTTAGAAGTTTTATTAAGAATTACCAATGCCATGAGTTAACGTTCCAAACAGATCCTGCAGCTTATTTTCTATCAACCATTTTTAATTTTAATGTAGTTTTTTTTTTTGGAATTTACCTTGTATAAGTAAGTGAGTTAATATTTATATCTTTTTTGAAAAATTTAATTAATTATTAATTAATTTAGGAACGACGAGATACACTTACTTAGCTTAATTTTTAATGAGTCTTTTAAAATTTAGTATATTTTTCTCTTTAAAATAAATAAACCACTACCAAAAAACCAAATAAACAAATAATAAGAAGATTCTTTGATTATTTTTGTTATAAAAAATCAGAAATCTTTAGAATTATTCCATTTTCTAAATTCCTTAAAATGATTCGTTTAAAATTTTGAATAAATTTAAAAAGAAAACTCATAAATAAATAAATATTTCTTATTATTTGTTCACATTTAAAATTAATTTATTAAACCCTAAAATTAGCTTTTGTTATTTAGACAAAAAAAGAAATAATTAATTCTGAAATACAAAATTTGAACCGTAATTAATGAAATTGATTTAATATCAAATATTTAGATTTAAATAAAGAAAAATAAATAAATAAGCTTAAATCTTTTAAGATTATTTAATAAAAAAATTATTTTTATCTAATTGCTTGATGTAAAAAATGCAATATACATTAATTAATAAACATCAATATAGAATTAGAGGATATACATTTTTAAAAATTTTAGTTTTCATTGAATTATTTATTTTTGAAAAAGTAAAAGTTTTAAAAATCTATATGGATGAATTTATTTAATTTTACAAAGGTGTAGGTGTTTAAACTTAATATTCAAAAGAAGAAAAGTATTTTTTCATTATTTAAAGCTTATTACAACTCAATTATTATTTTTAATAAAAAACACATATCATTTAAGAATAAAAATATTATTTATCTCTTTGGTTTTTAAGCCTAAAAAGGCATAAAATCTTAAATAAAATTAAAAAATAAATATATATTTAATTTTTGTGCTTTCACTTTAAAAAAAAATCAGTAAATTATTCAATCATTTATTTTTGAATCTTAATTTTTCTTAAATTTAACTTTTTATCTTAGTTATTAATTTAAGTATTTAATTATTTATTGAAAAAAGTAATATCTCTTGAAAATAAAATTAAATCTATTAAATAAATGAATTTTTTAATTTTTAAAATTAATTAAATTTTAAAAATTCTAACAGTTTCTTAATAAATTTTATCAAATAAAAACATATAATTTGATAATCATTAATATCTAACTAATATTTTTAATTTTATGTCTTAGATTTTAATAAATTTTTATTAAATAGAAAAAAATAGAATTAGATTCTTTGACTTCTATTTATATATTTAGTTATTTATTCACTAAAATGATAATATTAGTAAAAATAAAAACATAGTGATGATTTGTAAAAAAATCTATTAGTCCAGTAAATTTTTGTAACTATGTAATTTAATGTCACTTTAGTTTTATAAAAATTATCAATATAAAATAAATTTAACAATTTCATAATAAATTCATTTAATGAGAGGTTATGATCAATTTATAATCACCATTTATTTTTTTAGCTGATTTTCTTTTTTTTAGAGTTGAGCATTTTATTAAATTATTTAAAAGATAAATTTTTAATTTCTGATATTTAATATGATAACATTTTTAAGATATATTCTTAGTAATTTACTTGGCTAATTAGCTTTTAAGGACTAAAATACTTTAAAAGAATATATGTAAAATAATTTTTTTTATGATGAGAATTTGTTTATTTTGCCTTAATGTATATAATTATTTCTTTACACTTATTTAATTGATTAATTATTTCTATTTAAAAAATCAAATGAAATTTTATTCAAAATTTTAATGGATATTATACTTTTATATTGAATTTAGATATAAAATTTAGATACAGTAATTTTTTGAATGATTTGTTTATTTATTTTGTTTTATGCACTCTTATCAGTATGAAGATATTTAATAAAAATGTTGTTTGTAGATCTATCTATCTATATTTCTATGAATTTAATTACCTATTTATCTTTTTAAACAAAATATTAAAATGATAAAAGTAAAGATAAATAGCATGTATGCAAGCAAGCAAGCAAATAAGCAAGTAAACAAATAGGTAAAGCATGTTTTATAACTTTTTTGAATATGAGGAGAATAATAAAGGAGAGTAATAATTAAGATAAAAATCATATAGTTAGTTATTAATATAAATAAACAAATAATAATAAATAATTTATCTTAAAACTAATATTAATATTATAAAGCAATTAATTGATTAACATTAGAAAGAAAATTTAGGTTTAAGGCATACAAAGTATTTAAAATAAATAGTGAACAAAGATCATACATAAATTATAAATAAATTTTCGAATAGTCAGCGCAAAATTTAATTTATTATGAGGTTACTGAAGATACTCTTTCAGGAAAGTGCTCTATTTTCGTTACTTATTGCATTAGTTTATTGCTTAAGAGCCGTAAAAGCTGGGCAAATATTTGGATAAAGCATAGTAGTAGATTATAACTATGATGGTTATGCATAAAAAATAACGTTACTGGTTTAATTTGAATCATCTTTAGGCAACACTGAAGCCATGCAGATCTAATTTCCAACTAGTTTAGGTCCTAGCAACTAGGTTTTCGGAAGCATTTACGAAGATGGAATTGACTTGTTATTAGCAGGAAATGTTGTATCAGACTCTACTAGCTAAAACAACTATTATATTTTTGCGTTCAATGCCAATTTAAAAGCAAACGTATTCTATCGAATTGAAATAACATTTGTAAACTAAATTATTAATAATTTGGTATTCAATGATCCAATTTCGATGTTCACCATGTCATAAATTGGTTCTAATTCTATCATATACGATTCGAACCCTTCTCTTTTTTACCTCTACATTGCTCCTAATATACCCAATGAAACTCTGATCGTCAACATTTAGCTGAATTCAAAACCTCAAGAAGAGTACATCACTGATCCAGGAATCATTTATTCTTCATTCATAGATATAACTCCATCTATATCTAATAGTTAAGGTAAATGGCATTTCAGTCTTATTGTGATACAAATAGTGTTTAGTTTTAGTTGATTCAAATGTCAATTTAGCCATTTTTAAAATAAATAAATAAACAAATAAATACTTTGGGAGAATTTAATAAGGAGAATAAAGCACTAAGATTTAATGCAAACAATTAAAAAAGCACATAAAATAAATAGAGTCCAAGATTAATTTTAAAAGTCAGTAATATTTATTAAGAAACCAGAAATAGATATCAAAGCCAATAAATAAATAATACAACAAATTTTAGATCAAATTTATTATATAAATTAAACATTTCAATACTTTATTAATTAGAAAAAGTTAGATTTAACAAATAAAACATTTTTAAATAGAATTAACTAATTTTTGTTAAAACTCATAATTTTTTTATTTAATGCAATTAATTTAATTCAATCCAGTACTAGTTTTTTCCTTCTAACAAACACTGTTTTTTTTTATGAAACTGTAATCCTTTTTAAAAATTTTTTTAGCTTTATAAAACCACAATTCTATTTTATATTATTAATATAATAAATTTAAAACAAATATTTAACTTTATAAAATTATAAAGGTGGATACTACTATGTTTACATTGATGTAGGACCAAATATTATTGGAAGTACAAATGGTGCAGATTTTTAGTTTGTGGGTAAGTGCTAATCTGTTGAAAATAAATGTGATCCAACTTAAAATGATCCTAATTGCATCAATATAAATCAGGTATAATTTTACTAGTTTATTATTAATGCTTGAAAATCATTTTTATTTAGGTGAAAAGTAACTGCACGATTGATAGCTAAACAGGAAGGATACAATTTATTTAAAAAGATCCGATCATAGCTTAATAGCCAATTCGTATTAATGTAGAAATTAAAAATCCTCTTTATGTATCCCAAAGAGATATTAAAGTATACTCGGCATCTATTAATGATAAGAGGTATTAAGCATTATTTTATTATTTTTACAAACCTTTTTATACAAATTTATATAAAAAGACCAATGGAAAAAGGTAGATTAGCTTTAGCTTTGAGAGTTACTTAAGTTTAAATTTAGGTTAAGAAGATTTAGTACTTGTGGGGTGTCGACTAGAAAGAAAGTATTTTTTCACCATACAAATTATTTAAAGCTGCTTCTGCTACTCCTTTAGCAGGACCTATAAATTCGTTTTAAATCTACTTTACAATTCCTACTATCGTTCCTGAAGGTAGTGATTTGACTTTGTCCTTAGAAACTGATTCAACCAGTTGTCTTGAGCACTCTATTATTACAAACCTTCCTGTTTAATCTGGAAAATAAAAGGTTTCGTGCTATTTCACAATTGTAAGTACGCTTGGATACATCAAATGTGTTAATATAGGTGCTTTTTAGGATCCCTCTATTTAGTATTTTATTGCAGCAAAAGTATATTATGCTAATAGTGCACCTGATCCAGTCAATTTCGGTGGAATATCTATAAAATCAGTGGTTTTAGATGGTAATGGATAACCTATTCCTAATATTAATCTATTTGGAGATGCATTAGGATAGAAGATTACTCTATAAGCAAATACTGAATATTTAGACACAAGTGGATGGCATTCTAGCGCTGCATGGAGTTTAGGTACTACTCAAATTATATCTACTCCTGATGATGGTACACTCTCAGGTGTCCCAAATGGTATTAATGCTCTACTTACAGGATAATTAAATACAGTCGGAATAATACCTTCACTTCAAACAAGCCAGTAACTCATATTTTTCTTGAAAGTCACTCCTAGTCAAGTAATCAATTAAATTAGCTGCACTTAATTCATTCACTAAAGTTTTAAAATGAAAATTTCATTAAATTATTTGCTATTAATTAATTAATTTTAAAATTCGAAAGCGATCATTTCATTCTAAATAAATTTGGAAATTATTAATTAAATAATTCGCTTATTTGATTTTAGCTAAATCGTGAATAATTAACTAGATTTAGAAATGAGATTTAAATATCTTTTAATATCAAAATTAAATATTTAATTAAAAAAAATAAATAATTTAAAACCATGTTAAAACAATTAAATTTATCTATCTATTCCTTTAGATTTTACTATTGATTATAAATGTAGATTGGTACAGATAATAATTATTACAGAATGAGCATTTTATATAACCCTTCTGTGGTAAAGTATGTAACAGGATATGAAACAAAGGGTATTGATTTTGCAGCTTATTCTTCGACAAACTCAAAATGGGAGCTTGATTAATTTGTTTGTTATTCATAGGCTAATAAACAATGTGTGTGGTATAATAAGCCATAGTTACAGGCTAATACTATTGAGTTTACCTATAACTCTTTAATTTCTAATCCTTATGCTTTTGTGAGATTTGAATGCGGACTAACAACTGCTGGAGTTCCTGTCTCTACTTGCAATAATTTTTAAGGTTATATTAAAAATAATTAATGAAAAAATAAAATTTCTAATTAATTATGAAATTATTTTAGGATAAGGAACAGCGAATACCTAAGCAGGAGCCCTTTCAATGAGAAATGTTTATTTTGATAGTGGATTCTAATCATCTATATATCCTGATGACAAACTATTAGATTTTATTATCACTTTTGAGCAGAAAAAATTTAGTGATCCTAATACAGTCTATACAACAGTTTCTACTCAACTTATTAATGCTTACACTATTCAAAACTATAGATTAAGTAATATAAAAGTATCTTATATCAACCTCTACTCATAAAGCTCAGGTACTATTTAATCTAACAACGGTTTCTATGTACCTACAATGCTTAGAATTGGTGGTTCAATTCTCAGATCTGAATCCTTAAACCTCGATGTACACTAATAAATTTCCATTTGCTTTTTTTATCAATAATAAAAAATTTTTTAATTATTAGAAAATTCATGTGTTTTTAGACGAAAATGTTGATGCTTCGAATTTTATGGAAAACTACAGCACTGATTAAAGTGATCACAGTATTGGATGTAGCTAAGCTACTTGTTAGTATTTTGCTAATTCAGGAGCGTTTTTGTCTTCAGACACTTGGTTTAATTAAAAAAAAATTGAAATTACTAATTTGCCAAACATTTAAAACGAATTTAACATTCTTATACCTATTACTAACTTAAATGGAAAGCTTCCTATTCGTTTAGTAATTGCCTTTACCAGCTCTCAAAATACTGTTTTTGGATTAGGTGGCTTAGATAAAGTTCTCAACGCTTTTAGAGTGGCTGGTCTTCCAGTCTATGGTAAATTGCAAAGCCCTATACCTACTATGAACGGAATAGCAAATAATGTTGCTGCACTCAGTGGATATACTGCTTTATGGGCAGAAAGTGATTCATTCTTTAATTATTTTAAAAAAATTTTTAATTTCATTTTTCATAAAAATAGCTGGAAATACTTTCAACTATAAGATGGATATTACAAATGTTGGTGTTTAAAGTACAGTTACTCAGACCTCGCTTGCTGGAGATGCTACTACTAAATTAGTTATTTCTTAACCAAGTAAATTACCATTAAATAATTTGAAAGTTAATTTTTTAACAAATAAAATTAGCTGATGCATAAATGTATGGTGCTGGATTAACAATAACTAGCTTTAGTTAGAATATATTTAGTATTAGTTAAATATAATTCAGTACTCCTCCATCCACCGGTGCTTAATCCTGTACAACTTTCTAGTATAAAATTAATACCAATACTGCTCCATAAGAAAGGTAAAATTAATACAATTATGTTGTATATTGCCCAATAGACGACTATACCTATAAGATCGACAATACTGCAACTCCTAGTGCATTTAGTATTATTATCAAGAATCCTTCCTTCCCTGGTTTCTTTGTAAATGGATATGATCTTTCTACAGTTTTTTCTTATGCTTTTTCTAATAACAAAGGTATTATTGATTGCTTTACAATTATATAAAATAAACAAACAAAAATTTTATTTAGGTAGTTTAATTGCGTTTAATGTAGAATCTTAGACAGTTGCTACTTAGGTAGCAACAGGTGTTGGAGCTCCATGGGCTTGTACAACTAACACAGTTACCCAAATTTCACCCTCTAGTACAGGAAGACAAAAACTATAATTTGTAATCTAATGGAATAACTCTGATTTGAAGATAGACTCAACTGTACTAAACGGGTATGCTTCATTAGATGTTAAAGTAACTTTTACTGATATAACTGGTCTTACTTTTTTGGTTACTGCTACTCCTAAAATCTATTGTCAGAATGATTAGTTTAGTTGTGAGGGAACCATCACAGGCAATAGCATAGATTTCATTTTGAAACCTTTAAAAAATAATGTAATTTACACAATAGAGCGTTCTCAAAATATTGTTATAACTACTTTCCTTACTGTTGGAACTCCTGCCAGTTCTCTTAAATATAATATTGATATTCTTATTCCAACACAAAAGACTGGAAAGAACTATATTTATGGTGATTCTTATAATAACATTATTTACTAACAATGCGCATAGAATCCATTTGTATTTAGCGCAAATCCTTATGGAAATTCTCTTGAAGTAACAGATATCTCATACGAAATTCTAAATTAACATGCTAGAGGTACTTTCTCTTTTAATTTCAAATCTATCAGTGCACGTGAGGAGTTTTATTCAACTAGTTAGTATATTTTTACTCTTGGATTTATGGCAAGTGCTGATAATATAAGTGTCTTACAGTAAAATAGTATTTTTTGCTATGTGATGGAAAGAGATTATACTACTACAAATAGTCCTTTTTAGGTTTCACACAGATGGAAGACTCTTTAAATTGCACCAACTTTTGCTACTATCACTCTTACTCCTCAAGATTTCTTTGTTAACCCTCAAAACTACCAATTTAAGGTAATTTTAATAAACTTTCTTTTTGTTTTATCACTAGTAAAATACAGTTAAAAAAATTTCTTTTTATTTTGCCATTAAATTTCAAAATAAAAAATTAAATTAGGTTGTTTGTGTTGGAGGTGTGACAACTGATGGAGTCATAACTACAGGTTTAACCGCAGCATGGAAAGACGGAAGCGATACAATACAATAAACTGCTGCTCCTGTGCTATCAGGAAATTAGATTAATCCTCAAGTAGTTTTTACTAATCCTCCAACAATTGTTTCTCGTTTATTTGCTAGTCCTGGTATGGAAGCACATTATAAATTTAAGATATAAATCAAGACTCCCTTGACTGTTTAGAGTAGAATTTATATTGACTTTGGAATCGGATTCTCGCCTCGTATTAACAAGAATGGCCATGCAGAATGCTACATCACTGATTCTCCAACTTTTGATATATAATAAGGATCTTAAACTCTAACTCTTTGTGAAATAATTAATAGCAGAAGACTGAAGGTATATGCAAATGATTTAGTTTCCTCACTATTTTATATTGATGTATTGGGTGTTTCAATGCCACAAAAATAACCAGCATTTGCCATTTCAAGGCCTGTCCATTGGATTGGTGTTGATGATGATGGTGACTTAACAAACGGAATTGTAGAGTAAGGTACATTTTTAGACACCTTCCCTTCTTCAATAACATCTTTCTCAGTAATGTCTCTTTTGAATATTCAGCAAAATACAAATATTATTCGTAGAGCTCATTCACTCAACTTTACTATTTAGACTCAACGTGCAAATATACTATCAACCAATTTATTCTACATAGACTTCCCATATTAATATGATTCAATAACTAGAGGTGACAACTATCCTTGCACATTCTAAAGAAATAACTTATCCACTTATCCAAAGAATGCCTAGTCGTATGTTGCAAGCCCAAATTTAGCTTTGAAATGTGATTTTATTTCCAAGAGAAGGTAATTTTAGCACAAATTTTTAAAATTATTTTTCCTTAACTAACAAATAAATAAATATTTAAATAACTCCATAACAAAAACACAAATAATTAGACTATATTGAATAAATTCTAATGATAATTTTTATTAATTTGTTAACAAAAATAATTGACTTAACAAATAAAAAAATTTTTTAAATAAATATTGCTTAATTAATTAAAAGAATGAGGATCACAATAAATAAATAAGATGATTAAACTCAAAGCAGTACTTATGAAACTTATAGCATTTTTGTTTAAAATATTGTATCCCCCAGTTAAGTAGTATCTGGACTTAGATTCACAATTTTCGCTAGTGATAGTGCAAATTTAAATGCTATTATCCTGATTGCGTAAGATTACAGTGCAGGATTTATTAGTTATGTAGCTGAAACAGAAAAGACAGATTTGTAATGGAATTCCATTTAACTACAATAATCATAACAAAATGTTGTGCTTACTACCTTAAGCTATCTTTATAATTACTATTCTCCAGTTTAATACTTTAATGCCTATATTGGTTTTTATAATTGTGATATGTAGCTTTAACCTAAATCTAATACTCAAAATGTATTTAAAAATACTTTCTAGTATAGCTTCAATAATTATATTAGCAACTTTTATTTTGATAATATAACTAATTACTTAGAAACAGCCTTCACTGGATAGGCAGTAAGTCAATTTAAATTAGCAGCATAATAATCAACTTCACCAGGAATCTACACTCTTCATCCAATTAAGAGTAGTGGAGATACTTTGTAGTAATACATGGACTTACCTCCCTTAAATGTAGTAGTTAGCACAAATAAGTGTCAAATAAACGCTGCAAGTAATGCTTACAATTTACCTGCAGATGGCTAAACACTACCTATAATATTTGATTTCACAAATTGCTATCCTGCATAAAGCATCTAATACATACCTACTAATGACTTAGGAGATCCTACATAGCTTGTTGTAGATTAGTAAAAATTCCATTCTAATTTTAGCATACCGCATTAAAAAAATTCTAAAAAAGTTATTAATTTTATTTTTAAATTTAAGGACTACTTATTAAGACACTGTTGATGGTTCAAAAGGTAATTACAAAACAAATTATAGGATGATTATGATATTCAAGCCAAAGTCAAGTAACTTAATACCAGTAGGAACTGTAATTAACTTAAGTTTCAATTTAGGAGGATACAATCTTCTTAGCTATAATCCTCCTAATAATGTTTAATTAACAGTAACTGCTGCTTTGGGATCAATTTCTGCACCAGTAGCAGCTGGTATTGTTATAGTTTCCTAACAAGCAAATACTATTGTAGTATAATTTTCATGTGACTAACCATCAATTGTTTTATACCAAGTTGGTTTAGAAGATAATACTCCACCTGCATACACTGCAATAATCACTTAACTCACAAGTAATTAAATTAAATACAATATATTCTTTTAAATTTAGACTATCTTATTGAAATTAAAATTTTACTTCATAATAATTTAAATTTAATTTTTAAGCTTAAGTAATTAATAAAATATTTATCAAACAAAATGAAAGAATATATTAGATAATTAAAAGCACTATAAATTAACACTTATAAATAATTTAATGATATTTAAATATTTGAGTATAACAATTGTTTTAATATATAGGTGCAAGAGATTTCTTTAGTGATAATGCTGATTATCAATACTTTAAATAATATGGTAGATTAGTCATTCCAGTAGCTAATGGAAATATTTAGCAAACAATAACAAATTTATAGAGTTCATCAGTATATAACATATACTATTATTGCCTTAACTAACAACCTTAAGCCAGTGCTGTTTAAACAGCATCCTTTTAGGTAACATCTAATTAAGGATATTTACTTAAGATAAACTTATATTTCAGTGATATGATAACCTATGCTTAAAATCAAGATATAGCATGTGCAATGACTTAAGCTTTTTCACTTAATTCTCAACGTATTGTAACTGATTAAGATGTCTAATGTGGTGGTTAATACCCATACTTTGTGAAAACTGTTTCTTCTTAATATAAAAAGCAAATATCAGTCAATAAATAATACTAATACTCGTATTACATTTTACCTGATAAGACTTTAGTATAGGATTTAGTTAATCTTCAAATTAAAGAAATTATACAATACAGTACTTTTAATTTGACTCTTCTCAGCAACGCCCAAAATCCTTAGCTATTCCCTCTTCTATTAGATACTGAAACAGAAGATATTTTAACCTAATCTCAAGTCTCAGCCTCTTTAAATGTCGCTTCTTTAGATACTAATTATGCAACTCTTAATTTCACTTTAATAGGATAGAAAGGTTACATTTATATTGGCATAATGGCAGGATCATAAAATATTTAATTCTAAAATTTCTTATAATTGGTAAATTATAACAATTTGCTTTATTTCTGGAGTAGTTATGTTCCTCGTGATATTTTACAAACAGTCACATTTACGAATCTTTAACCATAAACTACATATACTGTATTCTATGCAGCTACCAACGACAATCCTTCTATTTAAGCTCAATCTACAGGTGTACAAACTCAATACCTAACTACAAAAGCTATTTAAGTAGTTGTAGAAGCTTATTCTGCTCAAATAATATATTCATTATTCATTTTAGCATTTTATTTCTTAATTTGATATAAGATATAATTTTGTTAATTTTATTTTATCTATTTGTGTTAATTCTGTGTGCTAAATTATTTCAGATTAGACATTTATTTTTTTTTACATAAAATAAATATTAAATAAATAAAATAATTTATTATTGAAGAGTAAATAAATTTTAGGTTTTTATTTTTGCTTTTAATTTATTCATAAAAAGCTAACAATTATATTTCTATTCCATATAAATGATAAATAAAAATGGCTTTAGATAACATTTGATATAAGCATCTACATAATTTTTAAATATGTCAAGCAAGCATAAAGTGAGAACTCAAAATGGGAGTATTAGAATAAATACATTTACAAAAGAAAAGGTTATATAAATAATTCTTTTACTAAATTAAATCTATATATGTTTATTTGTTTGTATTAAAATTGGTTTTCCTAGTTACTATATTCAGTATATATTAGTAAGCATAGGAAAAAAGGTTTTGATTGTTGAAATAGAATAAAATATATGAATTAGATGGTTTTAAAATTATTATATAATAAATAGCAAACAAAATTTAGATAGCTTTTACTTGATGATACTTTATTTATGGATTGAATTTATTTAATAGTAACATAATATTTTTTTAAAATGAATCTTGGTTACATCTGTAGAAATTTCATGGAAGGTTGGAAGAAGTTTTATCTTGAGAAAATAACTAGTGTTTGTAAAGATATTTAATAGGAATAATATTTTTTATTTTATCTTGTTAATTCTTATGAAAATTCATTGGTTTATTTGGTGGTTTAAATATTGATTGAACATAAAACAATATAAACATTAATTAATCATTAAAAAAAACAAATAATAAATATAAATTTTATAAAATATGAATAGCACTAAGACTTTGCATGACTCTGTTCAACTAGGTGAACTAAAGCTCTAAAATAGATTTGTTGTAGCTCCTTTGACTAGATAAAGAGCTGATAAAGATTCTTTTATCCCAAACGATGTAATGAAAGAATATTATACTTAAAGAGCATCTTTCGGTCTGATTATTACAGAATGCTCCTAAGTTTCTAAGTTGTCTGATGTTTTTTATTGTAATAGAGTTTTTTTGGTTCCTATTCATCTAATTAAGTTTATTATTTTTAAAAGGGAGTGGTGGAATATACAGCAAAGAATAAGCTTTAGGTTGGAAAAAGGTAGTTGATTCAGTTCATGAAAAAGGCGGATTAATCATGCTCTAAATTTGGCATTGTGGAAGATCTGCAAATATAAGCTAATTAGGTGGAAAGCAACCTATTGCTCCATCTCCTATAGCTATTAACTATAAAAGCAGAGCAACTGGAGAAGACTATCCTGTACCTCATGAGCTCACAATTGAAGAAATTAAAGAAGTCGTCTAATAATTTAAGCAAGGAGCAATTTATGCTAAAGAAGCAGGATTTGATGGAATCGAATTGCATGGAGCAAATGGTTATTTGGTTGATTAATTTTTGAGAGATGGCTCAAATAAGCGTACTGATATTTATGGAGGAAGTCCTGAAAACAGATCTAGATTCTGCCTAGAAGTTATAGATGCTCTAGCTGAAGTTTTTGGCTATGGTCGCACAGCATTAAGAATATCCCCAACTGGTATGATCAAATTAGTTGCATATCTTAAATTAAAAAAAATAATTAAAAAATAAATAAATAATTTATGAATTTATTTAATTAATTAGCCATTCGTTAATTAAATTGTTCAACAATATATTTTCAATATGTTAAATAGGTAGATTTAATGATATGTATGACTCAGATCCAGTAGGACTACTCAGTTATTTACTTCCTGAATTAGATAAAAGAAATCTTGCTTTTGTTGAGTTCAAGAGGCATGGAGCTCTTGAAAATAGAGCTGTAGTTTATCCAGATAGAAAAACTCCTTAGGAATAAATGCCAGATTTCTTCAGAATAATTAGAAAATTATATAAAGGAAATATAATTGCAAATGATAATCTTTCGATTGAAGAAGCTTAAGAATTAGTTTAAGAAGAGGTTGCTCAAGCTTGCTCTTTTGGATATAAATCAATCAATAATCCTGATCTACCACTCAGAGTCAAAAATGGCTGGAAGTTAAATGAAAATCTTGATAGAGATACTCTTTTTACTTAAGGTCCTAAGGGTTATACAGATTATCCATTCCATAATTAAGAGTGATAATATTTTAGTTATAAAGAAAAATAGAATAATTTATAAAAATTAGACAAATTATTTGTTGATTTAATTATATCCTTATTATTGTAAAAAATTTCATTAATTAGTTTTAATATTTGAATTAAATAAATAAAATAATAAATACATCAATTACTTTAACAAATTTCCATACTTAATAAAAGTACTTTTTAAAATATTTTTACTACTGTAGAATGTCTGATAAGTAGTAAAATGTGATTCCCTAATTTTTCAAAATTTTTTTACTATTTTTAATTGTTAATATTTTTGAAAATTTTGAAACAATAATAATTAAAATAAAAAGAATTCAAAATTCACTATATGTTAATTAAGATTTTAGATATAAAATTCTATATAAAAAATAAAAAAATAAGCCTTACAGCCTCTCAATATTTAATAAAAAAATAATTACTTTTACTAGTTTTTGAAAGCACTTATTTGAGATTGGTTACAAATGAGTTTAACTTTTAAATATATTAATTATTTTAATAAGGCATATATCAAGACTTCTCTAATTATTGTGTACATTTATCTCTAAATAAAAAATATATGATTATTGAGAGTGAAAAATGAGTAAGTGTGTATCTCGATTATGATAATGAAAATTAATTTTGAAATCAGAATGTTTGTTTAGAATTTTTCTTTAGGAAAAATGTATATTTAAACATTAATGAACCAAAAAAATGTAGAAAGATAGATAGATAGAAAATCCACTTAAAAATCAATTTTCATTATCTATTTTTTAATGCTTTATTATCAAATAATAAAAAATATAAAACAAGCAAGTAAAGAAAAATAAATAGTAGAAAGATAATAAATTATTTAGCTTCCTTCATTTTTATAAATATAAACCAACAAATTTTACTGTGTTTAACGAGTTAGGCCACATTAAAATATTAAAATAAAACCATACTTCTTGTAAAATGTAGAAAGGCAATAGTATCAACTTCATTTCTTATGAAAATTATCGTGATGATGAGAAAAATAATAATTAAATATTTAATGATCTTGAATAATAATATACTGGAAGTTATTATTAAGAATAGATAGATCAGTATTAAGCCACATAAGACAACAATTAATTCGACAAAAATCTGGAAAAAAACTCTTAAAATAAGATAAATTATAATTATGAACCTAATCTTGTTTTTGATCATATTTATGGATTTAATCAGGGCAGTATTGAAGTATTTAGTGTCTAAAGAGAAGATAATGAGTATTTAAATTAATAAGATACATAGGAATAATAAAATAATCATTGGCTTTATCTTGATGATGAAGATCCTAAAATTTACAAAGATTAAAAATAGTATAGTATAATATAACATTCTATTGATTTAGATAATTTTCCTTAAAATCATCAAAATACATAAACTTTTTAATCTTAAAATTAGAATAATAATTAATAACTTAATAATTTTCCATCTATCTTATAAAATAATGAAATGCAATATTAAGAAATCATGAATATTGAATTAAATTAATGGGATTCCAATAGTGAATAGAATGAGGATAATTAACAAGCAAACTCCAGCACTATAAATTAAATTGATCATTTTTCATATATTTAAAATTAATCCAATTAAATAAACATCAATAATAACAATCACTAAAGCGAAAATAATAATCAGAATTAAAATAATACAACAATAAATATTGACTAAAACCTATTATTTAAGAGATAAATTAATTTAAATGGATAAATTTAGAATTATATTGAAATAAATTAACTCAAAATCTAAACTTTATCTATTGAAAACAAGCAAAATATGAGAAAAATTTTAATTGATTATACTTAAGCTTTAAATTCATTACCACCACAACCATCAACATAATTTATGTGCTTTTGCAGCAAACATTATGAATAAAAAAAAAATTTATAAAAACATATATAAAATAAGCATTCTTTTTTACCAGAAATATGGCTTTGGCATTATTAATATGATGGAAATTACTAATTTTGAATTATTTTATAATAATCACTAATTATTTATCAAATACTATTAAACATTTTTTCAAATTTTTATTTATTGTATCAAAATTACTTACTTATCTTCTAATTATATTACTTATGAAATACATACTTTTATTCAAAATAAATAAAATCAATTTTTTAAAATATCTATTTGCATTTTAATAAATAAATTAATTGATTAATACAAATTTATATCAAAGTACGCATTCTTTTTTGAAAACTTATCAAATTAATCTTTTATTAAAAGGATCCTCACTTGATTCGTAAGAGTTTTCAGTATTTTATTACAAATGTTTCAATTAACTTTCACTTCAACTGAAATATAGATTGATTGTCTATTTTAGTTTATTTAATTTTTTAGATTAAATTTAATTTAGATTTCTATTAAGAATTAAAGTAAAAAAAAATAAATATTATAGTAAAATAAACAAGATTGTATTTTAATATTTTTATACACTTAAACAAAATAATGAATGTACCTTTCTACATATTTTAAATAGTTTTTAATAATTTTGTTGATTCATTTTTTATTTAATTAATTTACAGATTTAAGAGTTTTAATTAAAATTATTAAAATATTTTTTTAAAGAAATTTATTAATATAAAAAAATATATAATGAAAACAATTAGGTTTGTCTATTATATGTATTAAGAATTATTTAAAAAACGATAATTACTTATTAGTTTTTTATTTAATTTATTTATAACTATTCGTTTTTATTACTTCTCATTGTGATAACAAATAAATTTGAGTTGAATGATAAAGACATATGAATTCATGAATGGTGAATCAAATCAATGAATAATCTTCAAAAATTTAAAAGAGAAAACAAATGTGGTTGCTTATAAAAATTATATGTGGTTGATAGATATTTTCAGTTCTTGTTGCAACTATTAGATTTAATTAAAATGTCTTCTTTATATTTTTTTAAAAACATCATTTATTGAGCTTAACAAAAATAAAAGTTAAGTAATTTAAGAAAATAGATTAAAATTCAATTAATCTAAAATAGTTAATATTTTTATTAACATAAAAGTAAACTAATATTGTATTTTGGAGTGGAAATAACTTACTGTTTGGTAAAATACTTAAATGATAGATTGTTTATAGTTATAAAGTTATTAGAAGTTATTGCTCTCTATTCCACGCACCTCTCAAAATACACATTTTTTTCAATTATCTAATAATAAGAACTATATACCTCAAAAGTAAATAAAATTTGAAGTATTAACCTAAGACGCCGCTACTATTGCTTCTATGAATCAATAAAAAGATTAAAAAAAAGAAGTAAGCAACAAATAATACGAAAAAAAAATCTAATTTTTGGGTAAAATTGATTATATAATAAAATAAACTTTATCATCTAAATAAAATAAAAGCACAAAATAATACGAATATGGAAAATATTATTCATGATACCCAGCACACTTAAGATACTACTCTACGACAACAAGAACATATTAAAATCGAAAATATGGATATTCAGATCAAATAAGAAGACTTAAATGATTAAGAAAATAATCAAAGCCAATTAAATCAATTTTAATTCGACTAAAAATAACATTTTTATAACATTTTCAACAAATTTGAAATGAATTTTTAGATAGACGAATATGCCTTGTTGGGATAAATGGTAAATAATACTACGAATAGTCATAGCTTAAACTTAAATGCTTGTAAGCTAGAAGAAAAAAATGAATAGAATATCATCTAATCAAATTGTAATGAAAATACTAAAGAAGTTAAGGTTGAGGAACAATTAATTGCTGATTAAGACTATAATAAAAATGGATCAGAGTCTAATGAAATTTAAATTTTACAAGATTTTGTTTTGTAAACGTGCTAAAAATACTCAAATGAATATAAAAACTTTAAGCAACTGCACAGACAGTTGAAAGATAACAAAAAAATTGAAGACATAATTAATGAAATTCGCTAGCCGATAATCATTCATTACTAAAAATTGATAAAAGATTAAGCAAAAGCACCAAAAAATTTTGAAAAAGAATGCAGAAAAGACAATAAAAATTATATGAATGAACAATGCCACTGCATGTGTAGCCTGAACGCAAAGTTTACAAAACTGAGCAGCTTGCATAATCATATTAAAAAACAACACAATAATACTCCTGTGTGGTGTTGGTAACTCAAGCTTTCATTTCAAGTAGGCAGACCTAATAAAGAAATTCCTAAAATTGATGCTTGTTTAAAATAAAAAAAATCGAGATACGATAAAAAAGTTTTAAGGCTATTATAATTGCATTTATGATAATTAATAAAAATGCATTTAATTTATGCTATTTATTTTCATTAATGCTCTATTTTTATTTATTTTTTGTTTGTTTTTATAAAAATAAGCTTGTATGCATGTATGTATATATATGCTAGCAAGAAATATAATATAAATAGATTAATTATTACAAAATTAAAAAAAGGTAAACATAGTTAATATTTAGAAGGCTATAATTGCTGATATGCATAGAACAATTAATTTTTAAATTTCCCATTGATTTTTGAGTTTTTAGTATGAAGGAAAATAAATAACTTAAAGAGGTCATTTTTAGTTTTTCTCTTTTTTTTAATAAAATGATTACGTCATTATTTTTAGTAGCTGGCTCTGAATTTAGTATTATAAATTTTATAATTTATTTATTCAATTATATACACAATTTCTTATTTAATGACATCACAAATTATTTTCAAACTAATTCAATAAGAGCTAAATTTGGTACAAAAAAATAACATTTAACACAATAAATTAACAAGTTAATGAATTAACTTATGTATATTTAATATAATGAATGATAATTGTTATTTAATTGATGGAATAATATATCTAATTTTAAACACAAGGCATATGCATTCTTATATTGCTCCTAATGATTAATTTTTGATAGTAGTTTTTAGTTTTAATTTTTTCAAATAAGAGTAAATCAAAAATAAATAAACAAAATAACAAAAAAATACTAACAGATTGAGCTAAATGGATTGCTGCGAGGATACTTTTGATATATTATAAACAGTGTAATAACAGACTGATAATATTCACTGCTAGACAGAAAGTTTTTAAGAATTTAAACTTTACTAATAAAACTCTTTATCTAACGATATGGATAAGCAAAGAGACTATTAGGATGAGGATTATTACTAAGATAATAATAGCATCTATGGCTCGAGCAACAAAAAAACCTGTTCTTAAGATCATAATTTTAATGGGGAATACCAATAAAATTTTTTTCTTCTTGATTAAACGCCTACTTAAAACTCAGATAGTAATTATCCTAATAAAATAATAATCTCTAACTAAATTTTTGATTGTACCTAAGATAATATTTTTAATTCTGTCATGAGTGGTCTACCAATATCTTAGGATAGCCACAAAAATCCAGATTAATTTTTATGCAAATTTTAAGAAATATAAGAAGAAGAAAAAAATTTGCAATATAATGATGATAAGATCAACTAAGAAGGTATAAACTATTATGAAATCTAATGTATGTGTATTGGTTCGCTTAATGAGGATAATCTGATTTAAAATAACAATTAAATTATCAATTAATAAATTAAAATTACACCATAAATAATTAACAATTAAACTGAAAATACTACTTAAAAAAATTAAAATTAATAGTTATTTTCTGATCAAAATATTTAATTACAATAAATAAATAATCAATACCCTTAATAATAATATTCATCTTTAGAGCACTGCCCATAAAATTTATATGAAAATATTAATAATAGCTAAATTTCTGAAGAAATAACTAATATTAATACAAATTTTCATATAAATTCTCAAAATTGTTAGGTGTTAAATGGTAAAAATATGACTTCTAGAATTTTTAATAATTTCGATGATTACCTTAGTTATTAAAATATATAAAAGTAACTAGAGATTACAAATTATCATGAACAATCAATTAAAGAAAATCAACTAAAAACTTACAAATAAGATGATGAATTCCCTGAATCTTAATTCATTTAAACTAATGGAATAAATTCTAAATTAAAATTAACTTAATATACTAGTCATCAACCAAACAAAACCATCTCCAATAAAACAAAAATTGAATAAATTTTAGTTTAAAACTATTAATTGACATAGAATGTCTTTGATCTTGAAAATGTCCAAAAAGTAGTCACTTATCTGTGCAAGATTTTAAGACCTTATTTCCCAGACTTCGATCGACTTAATTAAAAGTAATCAGACCCTAACATCTCAAAAGTTATTGGTTTCATTCGTAAAGTTGTTGTTGATTATTATAAAAGACTAGGTGAACCCATATAATAATAAGATAAGCCTAATAGATAAACTCATTGCATGTGCAGTTTAGATAAATAGTATAAAAATTTAAGCGGTCTTTGTAATCACATTAAAAATCATCATGAAAAAACACCTATATGGTGTTGGTCAGTTAAGATTAATGAAAAAGTAGGAAGAAGACCTGAAGCAATACCAGAAATTTCTCCAAATAACTAAAAATAATCACAAAAAAAGAGCTTTGCATCAAAAGCAAAAAGATTTTGTATTAGTAATTTTAACTAGTATGTAAGTTATACAAGACACAGTTAAAACTGAGTAAAAAAACTATTAGCAAACACATATAAACAAATAATTAACATTTATGATCTATCTAAGTAAACAAATAAATTAATTCATATATAAAAAACAAAAATATACAAGTAAAAAAATAAAACTTTAATAACTTTTTTAGATAAAAAAATATTAAATGCCTCTATATATTTTATAAATCTTTGTACTTATTTAAATCTTATATAATATAATACAGTAAAAAAAAAGTAACTAGGTGCTAAAAAAACAATTTAAGTAACTTTTATTAGTTCATTAATTTAGCAAAAGAATTTAACTTTAAAAAGAAATAAATAAAAATTGAATTTACCCCAATAATAATTTGTAAAATAAAATTCTAAAAACTAATTTTAGGTAAAATGTAATACTTTTATATTTATTTATGTTAAGCATAAAAAAAGTCCATTAAGTGATGAAGATATATTTTAATTATTTATCTTTATTATTATTGAATTTTTAAATGAAGTTTAAACTAAATAAAAATACATTTTTATTACCACAAAAAAAATTAGACAATTGTAATTTAAATTTCATTTATGTGATTGATTGATTTATTGATGGATAAGTAGATACTTCATTATTCATAGCTCTTCTTAGCAATTTTATTTTAATTCAATTAAACATTTAGTGAGCTTTGACTATCTTTATTTTATTCCTTATAGTTTATCTAGCAAAGATGATTGATAAGTTAAAAATTATTCTGTTTTAAGGTTTTAAATATTTTTATCTGTATTTTTCAATGTGTTTTTGTACGATTCAAAATAGTTTTCTAATTTTATTAATCCTAAATTTTATTATAATGGATCCATTTCTTAATCGCCAGCATGGATCAAGCTTTTGTTTATCACATTAGTTTGATCTACTTACAAAAACTCACTTAAAAATTATTAATATCTTTCTTTAAAATTCCTATCAGAAATTCCTCTTTCAATTTCTTAAAGCTCACTTATAGTTTATTTTATAAGGTCGATTTATGGCATTCTATCTAGTTTTCTTAAGTCACTTAGCAGTTTTTCTGGTACATCATGCTCATTTACTAGATAATCTTTTAGCCTCAAATTAATTTCTCTTTACTTTTGATATGATTTATTTATTTTTTCAGCAAGTACTTACACTTCTTAAGTATTTCCAGAGTAGTTCATCATCTTCTTTTGAATTTTATCATATTCTATTTCCAAATGCGATCTGAGAATGCTATTTTACTCTTGAATTTCTTCAAGAGAGTACATTTATTCCTTTTATGTATTCAATATTGAAATAGTTGGATAGAGTTCGTCCACCAAATGCAATTAATGGTCTGTTTTTTTATCATTTCTCAAGTTTATATTAAAAACCTTCATCTAACTTTAAGGAAATGTTTAAATGAATTCATTTTTTAGAGCGAACTCAGCAAGAAATCTTAAAAACTGGACGCATTTTAAACCTTTTACTTCGTCTAATACAATCCTTTTAAAAAAAATAATTAATTTTGAATCCATTTCAAGAATAATTTTTGCTAGGTTATTAATATTATTGTTATAATTAGTTGTTTAATTTACTTCGAAAGGAAAAGACTTTGAGGTAATATATGTCTTTTTTGTAAAGTCTAAAGCAATTTATAGGCCTCCTGTTTAAAATTAATAGTGTCTTTTGGGTTGCGCGGTGGATAAAAAAGCAATAAATCAACAGTTTCGCTTGAATCAGTAACTAGCTTACATATTAAAAACTTAAGGATGTTGTAAAAAGCTTTAGGGCAATCTGCATCAAAAGTTCCAGGTCCAATTTTAATATTTAATAACTTGCTTTACTCCTAAAAATCATAATTAAGCAGAGACAGAGCGCTGTAAAGCAAATGCTCTGGGTCTAATTTCATTTATTATTAGTGATTTTCTTCATCAAAATCTTCTTAGTGAAATTCCTAATTCAAGATATTCATACTTGCATAAAGGAAATTTAATTTATAAAAATTCAAAATTTGACAATTTAAAAAGTGATAGTGTGAATGTCAAATTAATTATCATAAAAGATGTATTTTTGGTTAAAATATGTAATTAGATAAATTCTTTGTGTGATTTAAATGGAAGCAGGAGTATAATAAAATTTTTTTAAGGATAGAAAAATATTTTGAAAAAAAATAGTGAGTTAATAGTGGTAATATAATAACAATCTATAAGTAATAAAGATATCAAGTAACCAAACAACTATTTGATCTTTCTTAATTTATCTATCAAAAAATAGCAATAATTATCTATAACATCTCAATGGTACTCATAAATATGTTAATAATTAATCAAATTTAATTCAAAATAGAAACAGTAAAAATGTTACTAACTGATTTATTTTTAGATAATATGCCAAAAATGCAACTTCTTATTTCAGTTATAAATGAGAAAAATAATTTTTGTTGAAATTTAATGGTATCCTTCTCTCTGTATTTTTATTTATATTTTTGTTATAATTTATTTAGTTAGAATCGAATTTATAGTTCCGAACCTGATATCAAATAGAAAAATTGTTATAATCAATACTCTATTTATAAATACTTAATTAGTTCTATGCTGCTTTGTCCATAACGCATTTATTCTCATCTTATTTGGTAACACAATTTACTTGAATTTAATGAAGTAAATCATAAATTATGAGTAATTAAAAAATATTTAAATATATTTTTATTTTACATGTCATATATATAAATTCAATTCTGTAAGTAAATAAAAAAATAATAGAAAATGCATAGATGAAACATAAGCAAGCACAAAAGAATAACTTGATTTAGTTTGGTCTTTTTAAGCTTAAAAGATTGTATGGTAAAAATTGATATTAAACAAAATAAATGACAAATTAAAAAAAACGCTAGTTGTATTAGTGAGTGGGCAAACGAATAAACATAGAATTTCAATGCTAGCTAACTAGATTGTTTGTTCCAACTAAAAAAATAAAAAGTAATTAATTATTTAAAAAATATTATCAATAATTAGAAATAAAGAGATTATCAAAAAATACTAAAGCAACGCTATTAAAAATTAAACACAGTTATTTATCTAATTTAAATTACTTGCGTTAAAATGGAGGCAGACAAATATTTGTATAAAGATGTATTTAAGGCTCATAGTCCTATGCTGAATAACTAATGCCAAACTGTTAAAATAGACTTTCCAATATATGAGCAGATTTCTTTGTAATCTTAAGGTTCGAAATACTTTATACCATAGAGATAAAATTCTAATGATTATTTTATTAACGGAGATGCAAATACTCCTGAAATTCGAGAAAAAACAACCAGTCTACCTACCCAATTGTAACAACAAAAAAGTGCGTTTTAATTTTCTGACAACAGCAGCCTAAAAAGTTCTTAAATGTTAAGTAGTCCTAAAAATGCATAGACTCTTTATAATTTGAATTCCTTTACTTCTATTTCTACTTAGAGCTCAGGCAACAATAGCTATCCTTATAATTTTTCTTAATAAAATAAATAATAAAAATATGATGCAATAATAGATAATAAAGTTCAAAGAGCCTGCTCTTAATCATGTAAGCCTACAGATTTATTAGAACAAAATGGGTTAGCGATGTCTAATACTTTTTAAAAAAATATGATTTCATAGAGCTAAATGAATGAAAAGACATGTTTATAGCCCTAAAATAGCTTTAATTAAACCAGAAATTTTAATATACCACCTACAAGCAATAATATACTCAACTCACTATAGTATAAAGGCTACAAAAGGCAAGCTACTGCAGATAATCTTATATAGCCTTAAGATTTAAGAAATCCAAATAATTTAGGTGTTTATATACCTAGTTACACCCAATAGGAAAATCTGAATTAAACAAAACATCTAGATAACTTTAATTTAACAAAAATAAATAACAGAGCTGAATTTAATTAAAGCAGTAGTTAATAAAAATTTCTTTGCTAACCCAATAAAGTAATTAACTTTATGTCTGAGAGATTGAATAATTTTTAAACGTAACAAAATTTTTACTCTTAAAACACTAAAACTTAGTTCGGATCTCCTATATTAACTCATGATTTTAATCCTAAAGCTAACTCTGATAAAAAAATGACTAATTAACATGAATTCGTGCAGAGTGGATTTGTAAATTCAGAACAAGTGGATAATAGCATCAATAGAGATGAGTCTTAGAAGAAAGAATATTTAAAAAAAATGATAGAAAACAGATAAAAAGAGCTTTAATAACTTAAGTAATAGAGCTTGTAGCTCAGATAAAATTCAATAGATTCCTACAAAGAAATAAATAAAAAAATTAAAGAAACTAACAAACAATAAAAAATAAATTAAAATTTTTAATCATCTGCCAAACTTAATACATATATTTTAGGTCGTATAAACGTCTAAGGCGAATACTAGTAATAATAAGATTAAAAAAGTTTATTAAAAAATGAAAGTAACTTCCCAAGCTGAGGTACCTACTTAAATGCTTGATCACTCAAAAATAAATAAATTACCTATTTTAATAAATATAATAAACTTAAAAAATATAACTAAAAAATATAATTGAAATATTAATTTAAAATAAACACTTATAAGATTTTAGAATTATAAATTATAAATTCTATTTTAATAATTTAAGTCATAAATAAATAATTTACAAAAGTTATATTCGAACTAGCCTTTAGATAAAACCATTTAACAATAATTAAAAAAAAAATTTATTGAAAAATGAAATAAACCTAATATATTTGAGACAAAGAAAATTGGTTAAAATTTATAAAAATTATAAAAGCTCATTTACCCAAATACTTCATTCAGTTGCTAATAAGAAGAAAATATGATAAATATATAATGAAAAGTTTTTTAAAGTAATTTAAGTAATATTAATAACTAAATAAATAATTATTAAATTATTATTAAAAAATATAAAATCATCTATTTTTTTATTTGCTTTATGTTTTTATTTGATTATTTAAAATAAATTAAGTTGCATTAAATAAAATTATACTGAGCAATATATTTTTTAGATGAAACAAATAAAAATTGCTATCTGTCTGTTAATCTGCCTGCCAACCTATCTAATTAATTAATAAATTGATTAAATTACAAAATTAAATATAAAATATTATAAAGATTTAGATTAAATAATTATAGCTTAAATATTTGGTGTATTCTAAATTTCTTTTCATAAATTTTATTCTTTTAAATTGATTAAAATTTCAAAGTATATTTTCTAGTGTAATTTAAAGGAATTTATTAATTTTTTTTACTTTGTTTATTATTGTATATTGATTATTGATAGCACTCGCAAGATAAATATATAAATTGATCTTTAAATTTATTTTCTGAAATATTTAAATTTAAAAGCGAAAAGATTCATATTCGATTAAAAGCTGAATCATCCTATTGATATTTACCCATCTATTTGTTTATTTTGAGAATTGGTGTAATAATCATCCAATTTAGTTAAGATTAATTAATAACTAATTAATTCAGAAACCAATATGCGGAAGATTTTAAAAAATATCTTTGCTTTTGTTTAATCATTTGTCAATCGAACTGGTTTGAAAGTTTTTATTATACAAAATTTATATATAAAAGCAATTAAAACAAAAATTATAAATATACTTAATAATTAATTATAAGAGGAAGGAAGAATAATCAAGCAAGCAAGGTTATGTATTCAACTTAATAATAAAAAGACTATCCTCTAGAAAACTCCAATCAAGGTGCCACCCGCACATTCTTAGATTAAATAAAATTAAGCAGTCACATTATTTATCTAACAAGTAATTTTTTAATTTTAAGACCAGCAAAAAGCCATGTTTGATTCATTAACTTGACAATATTTCATAGATTTTCTATGCATTTGCATTTAAGAGTTTTAAGTGAGAAAATGATTTATTTAATAAATAGATGACGGATGGTCCTGGAATTTAGGAGATTAGTTAAAAGACAATAAAAGATTAGAATAAGAATAAGATGTTAATGAACTATTTATTACATAGCCAATAGAATTAGAAGGAATTAAAAATAGCAAAGTTGTCAAACTTTAAGCAAATAGGACAGTACAGATTGCACTTACTGGTAAATATATAATCTTTTTTTTTTTTCATCTCTACTAACATCACTACTTTGGAGTTCTTTTCTAAAGACAGTAGTTAGTTGTATTAAGGCTAAACTAAAGAACTAACTTATCTATTAAAATTTTAGAAAGCGGTAAGGTTTATGTCAAAGGTAGCGATCGCAACTCAACTGGTATCTTAGGATTAGGAGAAGATGTATAGGAATCAAGGGAATTTAAACAAATTGCAGCATTTTAAAATAAAAAGTAAGATGTTTATAATTAAGAGTATAAAATGATCAAACATAATTTGTTGTATTAAAGTCTGATCCTTTCATTTTTTATAAATATAGAATCAAATAAATATCTCTTGGTCTCAACCACGCTGCTGCAATAGATGGTAGATTTATTTTTTATTCTTATTTTTAATAAAGGGCAAGTAAATTTTAATACTTTGAAATAAAAAATTTGATGCTAATTGTTAAATTTTCTATTAAATATCAAAGAGTTGAAAAGTGAATTTATTAAATAATTTGCTTTTTATTATTTGCGCATTTTAAAAATTTGATTGAAAAAATAAAATTTCAAATTTGATTGATTGCTCTTTAAAAAATTCCTTTTATTATAATAAATCAAATAATATATAAATAGACTCTGATAACCTTTACATTTGGGGCAGTGGGTCTAATGGATAACTTGCTAAGGTGAATTCATCCACTGAGAGTGTCAAAGAAATGTCATTTAGTCTTCCCAGTAGAGTCGAACTAGAGGAAATGATCAACAATGTCAAAGATGTCATTTGCAATCACACTTCTACCACAGTTCTTACAAGTAATAGAATGAATCCATCAATATTATTTATTATATAAGCAAATTTAAATATCTTTTTATAAACTTTAAACTTTTATTAGATTTTTTAAATTTTTGAAAGGTTTATGAAAACTAATAATTTAATTTATTCTAAAAAAAACTTTATATCTTAATTGATATTTAAGGTTGATTAATTTAATTAAAATTAATAACTTTTTGTGTTTTTGATCATTTTAAAATTATTTTAAAGAATTATTGGACATATTTTTTTCAATTAAATATAGAGAACGGATTAATTTTTATACTTGGAGAGTACACTTAATTAGTTGAAGAAAAAGATTAAGCTTAAGAAATTAAGTAGATATGGTCAAAATCATAAAGCCAAAAGGATGTAAATAAATAACAAGCAGGTGGAGCAAATCAAAAAAAATAGCAAGAAGGAGGCTCACCAAAATTAAACTCTAAAAAGAAATAAAAAAATTAGATTTAGTATAGTTGGCAAACTTTTGTTAAAGTTATCACTCAAGGAGAATGGGGTGGATGTGCTTTAACCAAAAAAGGAGATATTGTATTTTTTAATAAGTTTTTTTAAACTGAGAAGTTAGGAGGAAAATCATAATTCACAGATGTTTTTGCAAACAAAGAAAAAATGTTTGCTCTCCAAAGCGATTCCTTGTTAGAATGGGATTTTGGATTTATATTAAAAAATGGATTCTTTTAGAACAATAAACGCACTAATATTGATCGTAAATTGGATGTTAAATTTTATCCTCCAAAAATTCATTAATTTACTCAGAGTGTTAAATAGGCAAAATTGGTTTTATCTTAAAATAATTCATAAGTTGCTCTTAATGTCGGTAAATAGTTAACCCTTATATTCCTTTCAACTTATAATTTTTATTTATATAACAAGAAACCGATGGAGGCGATGTCTTTGTTGAGAAAAATAATATTTTCTCTCAAAATAGACAGAGAAATAATTCTGATTTATCAAATAAGCTTAATAGCAGCTACATGCTAAATGCTAGTTAGAATCGTTTAAATAATATTAATTAGTCTATGTTTTCTAACAATCTCCCAAGAGGACTCTAGTCACCATCTTCTTTCTTAGGTACTAGTGGTGAATACAAACATAATTTTTTTAGTCCAGAAAGTAGCGATGTTTATTAAAAATTCTTAGCTGCAGGAAACAATGCTAATATAGCTACTTTACCATATAGCAGTGGTAAAGGATTTTTAGGAACCCAAAATGATTCTGGTAAGAAAAGTTATCTAAACTTTGGACTTAACACATATAGAAACAACAACATGAATGATAACCATTTCAAATAAAAGTAAAATCTAAACAATTACTGACACATTTTTATTTATTATTTATAAATTTACTCATAAGTAATTTGGCTGGTGCTGATTTTGAAAAAAGAATAAATTAAGAAATGAGAAGATTAAACTAAAACACTTATATCCCTTAAATGCATGATAAAAGTATTGATTATTAAGGTAAGAGAGTGAATACTGATGAAAGCTATATGTTCGAAGAACTTTAACTCCCTTCCAGACTAAAAACTCTTACAGATTTACACACATAAATAGGCAGTCATTTCAGAGAAAGAGTACATGAGGTTCAATCTACCATCAATAAAACTGCCTATAACAAGCGCCATGGATTCTCTCCTTTAAAAAACAACTATTAAAATTAAGAAACAATCAATCCCTCTAGGTCTAAATTAAGAATTGAAAGTTACCAAAAGGGAAATCAATAAGGTATTAATTATCATATTAAAATTAAAAACATAAATCATAATCATGTTAAAAATAAAATCACTATTATGAATAGTTATTATTTACAAAATGTAGAGAAATAAGTAAATAAGTAAATGAAACAAATAAATTACTTTTTCATTTTTAATATTTGAAATATTTTATTAATTCTAAGCTATTGATAATCCATTTGCATAGTTATTTTTTTTGATTTTCTCTAAATTAATCTAGAAAATAAATGTTTCATTTAAATAAAAAATAGCATTATTATTTTTAGGTATATTATGAAAAAGGATAAATAATATTTTTATAACAAAGACATAAATCTTTTTTTATTTAATTAAATAAGATTTTATCTAATAAATATTATTTAAAATCAAAATGAAATTTATTTAAAAATATTTAAATATTTTAATAGTATTTGAGTCAGATGAATAAGGAAGAGTAAAAAGAAGTAAACTTATGACTGCTGGTGAATTTGATTAGAAATGGAAAGAACTTAATAGAAAATCTCAGTCAAAAGGAAAACATATTTAGACTTACAAGAGCAGTAAAGACTTGAACTATTTCCTTCAATTAATTCAATCTGGTAAAAGCCACTTTGATTTATATGAAAAGAATCACCATAGTACACCACCAAAGGGTAATCGCGACACCAGTTTCTTTGCTAATACAAAATATGGTTATAATGATTACTAAAGAGGTTTTAGTCCAGATAAGAATAACAACTGGAGTCCTCTTACTATAAGTCGTGAATAATATAATTAACTTAAGCAATAAAAGGCTTCTTTCTTACAATAGTGGTAAAGTGCAGGTAATGACAAATTCAAACAGGAACAAGTTTTAAAAAATAATAACTAATTTATTGATAATTGGATGAACTTCAATAACTATTATGACAACTAAAATAAAAGTTCTTCTAATTTGGGAAATTCCTATTATGATGATCCATACACAGGAAGTCTTCTTTCTAAATCTAGGTCTAATCCTTTCTACCAAAACTTTTAACAATAAATACATGCAAATGATAAATTAAATATTTTTGGAGGATTAGGAGAAGGTAAGTATAATGGTGGGTTTGCAAGAGGTGCAAGTAATAATAGATAAGTAAGTAGCCATCACAGAAATAATTCATCAAACTTAAATCATAGCATTTCTGCCTTAAGTGGAAGTTAATTGAATATTGGATCAAGAAACTAATTAAAATAAATTTAATTTATTGATGCAAATGGAATGAAAATTAAATTGCCTCAAAATTAGCCTATTAAAAGTAAGAATAACCTTAATGAATCTGTTATTAGCGGTAGAAGCAACAACAAAGTTCTTAATGATTCTATTCATGCTGCAAGCGAAAGAAAGATTCGTATGCTTGATAATAAGAATGATTTTGAAAAGCAATGGGATGCCCTAAATAAAAGCAGGGATAAATCTAGAGAAGAATATTTAAACAGATCTCAAAAATCTAATTCTAGGAACAATTCTTTTTATTCTGATTAGAAAGCAAATAGATCAAGAAGCAACTCAAATACAGGAAGCTAAAGAAACTTCGATAAATAAAATAATTCTTCTATTGCTTATCAAAAGTAGGTTGTACCTAGCTCTTTCTTAGGAGGCTTATAGGACCCTACATAACGCGGATAGAGCTATTTCGATGCTCTTAAACCTATAAACACAGAAGGATTAGAAACTAATTCTGTTTTTTCAAGCAAACCTCATGGATTACCTAAATACAATTAAAGTATTAACAACTCAAAAAACCTTACAAATTAAAGTAAAGAATATGTACCTTATTAAGGTGATCATAATTTCTAGCTAGATTTCAACCAATTAGGAAGTCATAATAATTAGTCTCCTAGATTCCATTAAAACAGACATTAATACATTTAAAATAGCCCTGAAAGATTAAACAGAAGTTATGATCCTAATCTTTCTAATTCATATCAACAGTTTAAATCAAGGAGAGGTAGCTTCGGCTTGGAATCTGAAGAATAAGATCTTAATCAAAATAAATCCTCATTTGCTACTGGAGGTAATTTCTCTCAGAATAGAAATAATTCAACTGAAAGGAGATACAAGGATCTTTAAAGTTAATTTGAAAGCCAGCTCTCTGAAAATTAAAAACTTAAAGATATGTTAAAAAAATAAGAAGAATAAGATAAGAGAGCAAATAAAAAAACAGCAGAAAGATAGAAATCTAAGAAGGATGGAAATACTGTTTTGACTGAGGGAAGCATGAATTTAAGCAGCTCTGAAAATGAATAAGGATAAGATGATAATATTGACCCTTCTTTGTTATCTAAGGAAGAGTTATCAAAAAGATAAAGAAGAGAGGAGAGAGCACTTTAGTAAAAGCAAAAAAATAACAGCATACCTGATATTTAAAATGATGAAGATGAAGAGCAATTAGGTTTTGAATTCAATAATTCTAAGCCATAAAATATGTAAAAAAGTTTACGTTAAATGTAGCCTGGTAGAAGTCATTCAAATATTAGTGATAAGGACAGTTAGAATAACATCCCATAAGAGAGCAAAAAGATTAAAAAAATAGTTGGGTATGATAAAAATGGTAAGGCTATTCTTGAAATAGTTGATGAAGAAGATGAGGATGTTAAAAGAAAGAATAATAAAGATTAAAAACAAAAAGATAGACTGTCTGAAAAAATTGTAGGTTATGAGGAAGATGGAACACCAGTAATAGAAGAATCTAGTGGAAAAATTGTCTAAAAAGTAATTGGATAAGATGAAAATGGCTAGCCAATAACTATTGATGTCTTTGAAGATGATGAAGACAGCTTAAAAAAGAGTAAGAGAAAACAATAACCAGGATAAGAAAATGTCATCCAAAAAGTGGTAGGTTTTGATGACTAGGGAAGACCTATAATTTAAGAAATTGTTCTAGATTAAAATGGAAACTAGTAAAATATAAATACAAGAGGTTTCCTCTCAAAAGACGAAGTCCTTTCTGAACCAGAAGCAAAGCTTATGGAAAAAATAATAGGATTTGATCAGAAAGGGAAACCAATAGTTCAATAAATTGTTGCTAAAGTTGTTAAGAAAGTAATTGGTTACGATAAATAAGGTAAACCAATAATAGAAGATATTTTAATAGAAAATGATGAAAATGGAGAATAAATTAAGAAAAGTTAATAATTAACAAACTCTGCAGAACCAGCAAAAGAAACTTTCTAAAAAGTTGTCGGCTATGACAGCAAAGGAAGACCTATTGTTGAAGATGTCTTTGTAGATGAAGACGGTGTCTTGAGATCAGTTAAAAATACAGCAACTCCTAAGGATGTTTCAGAGAAAATAATAGGATATGATAAGAAAGGAAAGCCAATTGTAGAATAAATTTAAGCAAAAATTGTTTAGTAAGTTGTTGGCTATGATAGATCTGGAAACCCTATTGTTGAGGAAATTTTAGTATAAGAAACTGATCCAAAAAATAAAAGTTAATAAGGAGCTGGCTCTTAACCAATTTAGAAAATTGTAGGTTATGATAAAAATGGAAAGCCTATTGTTGAGGAAAGCACTGGAAAAATTCTTTCCAAAGTGGTGGGCTATGATAAACAGGGAAGACCTATTGTAGAAGAAATATTTGTTGATGATGAAGATTTAAAAAAAAATAAAAATAAAGGAGCTGCAGGTAATGATGAAGATGATTAATTGAGAGTCATTTAAAAAGTTATTGGTTATGATGAAAAGGGCAGACCAATTGTTGAAAAAGTTGTTTTAGATTAAAACTAAGATTAAAAGCCTGAATATATTCAAATTGAATAAATAATTGGATATGATAATAAGGGCAACCCTATTGTTGAAAGCAAGGCTGCATAAATTATGAAGTAAATTGTCGGATATGATGCTTAAGGGAATCCTATAATTTAAGATGTGTTAGAATACGAAGAAGATATTAAAAAGCGTCGTCCAGGTATGGATAATAGCTAAACTTTCCAAAAGGTAGTAGGTTACGATCAAGATGGAAAGCCTATCATTGAAGAATCTCAAGGAAAAATTATACAGACTATTGTTGGTTATGATAAAAACGGATAACCTTTGATAGAAGAAATATTTGTAGATAACAACGACTTAAAAGCAAAGAATTTAGATGAATATAATCCATAAAGTTAAGATAGAGTTGTTCAAAAGGTTGTAGGTTATGATAAATAAGGAAGACCCTTAATTGAAAAAGTTGTAATTAGCAACGAAGCTAGGGAATCCCCTAAGATTTAAAAAATGTAAAAGGTTGTTGGATATGATGATAATGGCAATGCTGTTGTTAAGAACACTAAGGCTTAAATTACAAAGTAGGTTGTTGGATATGACAGCTAAGGAAATCCAATTATTGAGGAGGTTTTAGAAGATGAACAAGCAGTATTAAATAAGAGATAAGGAATCGACTAATCTAAAACTTTTGAGAAAATTATTGGCTATGATATCAATGGAAAACCTATAGTTGAGGTTTCTTAGGGTAAAATTATTTAGTAGATTGTTGGTTATGATGAAAAGGGAAGACCAATTATCTAGGAGGTCTTTGTAGATAATAAAGATTTAAAATAAAGTGACGATGTAAATAAAAGCTAGTCTAGAATTGTACAAAATGTTGTTGGATACGACAAAGATGGAAGACCTCTAATTGAAAAAGTTATTGTTAATTAAAATAAAGAAGAAACTCCTAAGGCTTAAATTATTTAAAAAGTAGTTGGGTATGATGGTAAAGGATAACCTATAATCGAAAATACTAAAGCCTAAATTACTAAACAAATTATTGGGTATGACTAACAAGGAAATCCTATTATTGAAGAGGTATTAGAAGATGAAGATTAGATAAAGAAGAATAAGAAAGGACTTGACAATGGATAAACAGTATAAAAAATTATTGGATATGACTAGAATGGAGAACCAATTGTAGAATTGTCTTAGGGTAAAATCATCCAGAGAGTCGCTGGTTATGATGAAAATGGAAGACCTATTATTGAAGAGATATTTATTGATAATAAAGATTTGGTTCAATAAAACTAGAATTTGCCTAGAGTTATTTAAAAGGTTGTAGGCTACGATTAAGAAGGAAGACCTTTGATAGAAAAAATTATTCATGATGGAGATCAATAGGAGGAACATCAACTTTAAAGGATATAGAAGGTGATTGGATATGATGAAAATGGAAAGCTAATTACTAAAAACACAGTGGCATAAATTTCTAAATAAATTGTTGGTTATGATAGCTAAGGAAATCCCATAATCGAAGAAGTCTTACAAGATGAAGAGGAAATTAAGAAACGCAAACCAGGATTTGACAACGGATAATTGATTGAAAAGATTGTTGGGTATGATAGTAATGGTGAGCCTATTATTGAAATATCATAGGGTAAAATAATCTAAAAAATAGCTGGATATGATGAAAAAGGTAGACCAATCATCGAAGAGATATTCGTAGATAATAAAGACTTACAACAAAAAGAAAAGAATGTAGCAGCCTTTATAGATTAAGGAAGAGTTGTTTAAAAGGTGATTGGCTATGATGCCAATGGCAGGCCAATCATTTAAAAAACTGTTGTGTTTAATGATCCAAAAGATTCAAATTAATCTCAATACTAAACTTTGGAAAAGGTTATTGGAGTTGATTAGAATGGAAAGCCTATTATTGAAAAAGTTTAAGGTAAAATTACAAAATAGCTGATTGGATATGATAGCCAAGGAAGGCCTATTGTTGAGGAAATATTGGAAGATTAACATGATCTTAAAAGAAAAGCAGCTTAAAACTAAACAATTCAAAAGGTAGTAGGATATGATAAAAATGATAATCCCATAATTGAAGAGGTCAAAGGCAAGATTGTGTAAAAGGTAGTTGGTTATGACGATTAAGGCAGAGCAATAGTGGAAGAAATTATTATTGATGAAGACAACTTGAAGAAAAATAGGTCTAAGTCAAATTAGAAAGGAAGATATATTAATAAGATAGATCACTATGATGAACATGGAAGACCTGTAGTTCAAAAGGTATTTGTTGCTGACGAAGAAGCCAGTACAGCTCCTATTCACTCTGTTGAGAAAGTTATTGGTATAAATGAAAAAGGAGAACCCATTATTGTTAAAAGTAATGCTACAATAACTAAATAATTTGTCGGATATGATAATTAAGGAAATAAAGTATTTGCTGATGTCTTAGTTGATGATAATAAGAAGGCTGAGTAAGATTAAGTATAAACAATTTAAAAGATTGTTGGATTTGATAAAAAGGGTAAGCCCATAGTAGAATAAGTTTTAGGTAAAATTGTTCAGTAGGTAGTTGGTTATGATGATGAAGGTAGACCAATAGTTGAAGAAATTTTGATAGACTAAGACGAATTAAAGAAAAGTAAAAATTAAAGATCTCAAGAGGGAGGTAGGTATGTTTAAAAAGTTGTAAGCTATGACGAAAATGGTAGACCAATAATTGAAAAAATCTTAGTTAACGATCAAGCATTAGCAGCTGTTACTCCTCCTGTTCAAGTCTTTGAAAAGGTTGTAGGTGTTGATAGTAACGGAGACCCAATAATTGTTAAGAGTAAGGCTTGTATCTCAAAATAAATCGTTGGCTATGATTAAAATGGAAATCCTATTTTTGAAGATATTTTAGAAGATGAAGATTAGATAAAAAGAAAGGCCAATTAATAAGGCTAAGGTGTTCAAGCTATTTAAAAGGTTATTGGCTATGATAAAAATGGAGAACCAATTACTGAAGAATGTATTGCCAAGATTGTTTAAAAAGTAGTCGGATATGACGATAGTGGTAGACCAATAGTTGAACAAATTCTTATTGAAGAAAGTGATATTTAAAAAGAAAATAATCTTAATGACTAATCAGTTAGAATAATTTAGAAGGTTGTTGGCTTTGATAATCAAGGAAGACCTATTGTTGAAAAGATTGTTGTCGATAATGGAGAGTAGCAAGGTAAAACTGTAGAAAAACCAGTTAATAAGAAAATAGTTTACGATTAAAACGGAAAGCCTAAATTAGTTGCTTCTCAAGAAGGTAAAATAACAAAGCAAATTGTTGGATATGATGACTTTGGAGTACCTGTAATCGAGGAAATTCTTGAAGATTAAAACTCTAGAACTTAATAACCATAGATTATGGAAAAGATTATTGCTTATGACAAAAATGGAAATCCTATAATTGAATAATGTTTAGGAAAGATTGTTTAATAAGTTGTTGGCTATGATAAAAATGGTATTCCCATAATCTAGGAAGTGTTAATTGATGAAGAAGATCTAAAGAGATAAGATTTAGTAGGAAGGGGATCTGCTTCTACTAATGGAAGAATCATGTAAAAAGTTGTTGGTTATGATAACTAAGGTAGACCAATTATTGAAAGAATTTATGTTGAGCAAGATGATCGCAAAAACATAGAAAAAGGCAAGAAAAACAAGAGTAATTTCTTGTAATAAGATGAAGAAGAAATAGCTTCCGATTTTGATAAAAAAAGATAAAATGCCAGCAAAAATAATTCTTTAAATAAAAGCTAGCCTATCAATTTTGATTTATAAGAAGAGCTTGAGAGTTAGCTTAGAAAGGAAATAGAAGATCTTAGCTCTCGTCATAGTGACTTGAAAAAATCATAGAATTTGACATATTCTTCTATTGATCATAATTTATCTTAATCACCTGAAAAGAAAAGAAATAAAGACTCTGCTTTAATTTAATAGGAAAAATTAGCTGAAGAATAGCGCTAATAAGAAGAGATGCTAAAAAGATTATAATAAGAGGAGATGGAATAGTAAAGAATCATGGCAGAATAGGAATAACTATAAAAGATTCAACAGTTAGAAAAGTAAAAAATGTTTGAAAAATAATAGTAAATTGTATAACGCTTAAGTTCTTAGACTCCTAAGTCTTAGAAAAACAATAACAGCCTCAGACTTAGTCAAGAAGTAAAGAAAAATAAATCAAATATTAACTTAGATAACAGCAGAGGAAGCTTAAACAACAGCAGAAGCAACACACCAAAAAGCAATTCTCTAAGATTTAGTGATATATGTAATAATTTCAATAATCAAATGAAAAAAACTCATTTAAATGAGCAAACAAAAGCATTAGAAAGAAATACTGGTCTTCGTATTAGTTAATATGCAGATTAAAATAGATCTAGAAGCAGTATTAATAACTCAAGAGGAAGTATGAATAACTCAAACATGCAAAGTAAATCTCCTGTCAATACAAAGAAATCTATGTTTTCTCCATTCCCTGATAACAATAAAAAGAGCAGCAATGACATCCTTCCTGATGAGTTGAAAAATTAACCTTATCATAATTTGAAAAAATCATAAGAATCTATCAATAAGAGCTTTAATGAAGTGAGTGATCCCAACTTTATAAAATCTCCCATTTCCCCTATATTACCTCCCTCTACTTAATAGTAAAAATAAAAAGCTCATTTCTTTGGATAGGCAGCTTCTATAGCTTCAGCAGTTTCTCCTTCAAACAAATCTCAAGGAGCCTATCTTAATCCTAACACTCCTAGTGTTAATTTATCTGAAACAAATTTCGAAGGTGGCATTCAACAACAAGGAGGAAACTTTAGCAACACTGGATAAGGAATCAAATCTCCTTTCCTTTCTCCAATTAATAGAACATCTCTTAATTCTCAAAAATAATCTATAGATTTCAAAAATAATTAATCTCCAAATAACACTTTCAAATAATAAAAGTCATAAAACCTTAGTGGAGCTCAAAATGATTTATCCCCTTCCTAGTAAAAGATTGCTTCAGAGCTTTCACCCTCTTAAAAACCTCCTATTGGACAACAAAAATAACCTAGCTAAAGAAGAGATAATGAATAACTTCAAAACTCTCAAAATACAAGAGACTCATAGAATTTATCTGCTCAATCGCCTTCTTTAGCTCAAAATGATAGAAACCTACTAATTAGACACGCAGTAAGCTAACAAGTTGATTAATCAGCTTCTTCACTTTAGAGTTCTTAAGTTAAAGATTTTCAACAATAAGGAAATTAGAAATCAAATATTTCAAGCTAACTTTAATAATAGCAATAATAGTAGTATTAAAATTAAGAAAGTTTATAGAAAAAGGGATCTTAAGATGATTTACGCTCAAGTGGGAATTAATTAGATTAATATTATCATTCATCTAAGCAGATAACTAAGTAGCCTTCTTAATAGGAATTAACAAAATAAAGTAAACAATCACAAGATGATAATTTATCATAATCTAAATAAATTTCATAATAATCTAATAACTCTACTAAATAATAAAAATCTATTGAAAAAAGTTTATCTAGAGATTCATCTTCCCCTATTACCAGATAATAAACTGCTTAAAATGCACAATCTAAATAAAATTCAATCAAAGAAAAGGATTCTAATAGTCCTAGCTCTTAAATGAAACTTAGTGGAACTTATTCTTTAAAGCAATCAGGAGATCTTAAAACCCAAAAACAACCAGGCATACTTACTATTGAAGATAATCAAGAAGAAATTGAATAATCTAATTCTTAAAATACAAAATAAAACAAATTATCAGTACAACCAATAGAAGCCCATAAGCGTCAATCATTTGGTATTTATGATTCTAACTCAAACGATGGAAATTTAAGTAGTAGAAAAACAACAGAAGTTCAACAATCACCAGTTTTTAATTAAAATGAATAAAAAATTATTTTTGCTCAAGATGATTAAATTGAAGATGATAATGAAGATGATCAAGATAATGATAGGGTTAAAAAACAAAAATACAGTCCTTCAAGTTAAATAGAAAAGCAATAATCTGATAATAATATTAAATAATCCTAGACAGTCTAAGATAAAAAATAATAATCTTAAAATCCACAAGATAAATCATAAGGAAATTATGGTAATTAAAAAAGCAAATAATCTAATCCTAGTTAGGATGAAATTTAACAATATGAAGATGAAGAAGTAGAAGAGTTAGAATTTGTTTAAAGCAGCAAAAATAATAACAATAGCAGAATTAAATAGAATAGAGAAGAAACACCAAAAGAGACTTAAAATGCTTAGAATGTTATTTAAAATGATGAATCAGATAATTTTGAGTAAGGATAAAATAAGTAAGTTACAAGAAGTAAATCTCCTCAGCAAAATAACTTAGGTTAATAGATGAGGCAGTCTTCTTCTTCTGTTAATTAAGATTAAACAAAATAATCATAAAATATATTAAAGGATTAGTAACCACAAAGAGGTAGAGATAGAGAAGATTAAAATATATAAAAAACATAAAATATCTCTAGAAGCAAATCTCCTTCATCAGGAAGTGTTTAAAATTAACAAATTAATAAGCAAGATAGCAGAGAAAATCCTACACAAAATATTAATAAATAAAGAAGCAAAGAGTATGAAACCTAAAACAATTCAATTAAATCAAGTAGCAAATCTCCTTAAAACAATCTTTAAAGATAGCAACTCTCTAAATAGGCTTCTAACTAGGATACTAGAGAAAATCCTATTCAGAATATCAGTAAATAGAGAAGTAATGATTTATAAAGTAAAGTAGTTTCTAATTTGTCAAGAAGCAAATCACCCTCAAGCAGCAGTGATGAAAACCAACAAATAAAGAGAGAAAAGTCTTTACTTAAAGATTAGCAAACATATAAAGGTTCCTAATAATAGTAGTAATAATAATAATCATCATTAGAAATTTCTTAATAGAATAAACCATAGTTGTAGGTTTAATAACAAAACTCCAAAGATTTAGAACAAGAAACCAATCAGCCTATTAAGGGAATAAATGCTGAGGAAAAGGAGATCACACCTTCTTCATAGAATTAGAACAAAGACTAAAAGTGGAAATTAGCTGAAAAGAAACAAGATGGAAAATAATCATTTGAGCAATTCAAAAAGTAGCTTAGCTAAAATAGCGCCCACACTCCTTAGAGTGTCAGCTCTCCTACTGATAAACCTAAGAATTTTGAAGATTATCAAAAATAGAGTTCTAAAAGAGATGAATCACCTTTAGAATAGAAGAAAGTTTAAGAAAGCACTAATTAAAGCTATATTTCAAGAGAAAAGCAAGCCTCATAATCTTCAAAACACTAATCTCCATCATAGAGAATACCTAGTGGAACTGCAGCTCAAAACAATAGCAAGAATAACACATAAGAAAATGAACTGATTGAATAGAATTAGAAGTTAGAATAAGAAGGTTTAGTGATTAGTGATGTTATTGATACTTAAGACCAGATAGAAACAAACAGAAATATTTCTGCTCGTTAAATTTTGAATACTTAAAACTCTAGACACGATACTTCTCCTATGCAAAGACACTAAAGTCCAAGCATAAGCTAGAATGTTACTCAAGAAGAATAAGTGAAAAGAAACTTACCTTAAAATTAATATCAAAGTGGAAACTAAGACAAGCAAGATGAAGCTATTCCTTCTTAAATTTCTTAAAAGAGAAGCGTCAGCCCCAAATAATTGAGCTAAAATTTGGAGTAATAGACTTAACAAGTTAATAGCAATAAGTTAAGAGATAGTGGTTTGATTTAATAGAAGCAAGTAGAGACTTCTTAACAAGGCTTGAAAGGTAAATACACACCTAGGTCAAGTGAATCATCTTCACCTCTAAATAGTTTTCCTAATTAGGCAAACTCAGATAGTGAAAATCTCCAATAATAATACAATGATGAAGCTTTGAAAATTGAAGATTTATAAAGCTCAAAATAATAAAGCTAAAGAGTTTAACAAAATAACCAAAAGGGAATTCAAAAACAGTCTAGTACTTCATCATCCAAAGAGAGGTAGAAATAAAATTTATAGGTTGATTCTAATTTAGAGCTACAAAAATAGAATTAGATTGTTGTTTCTCCTAACTTTTAACAAGGGCAAGTTATTTAATCACCTAATTTCTAGCAAGCTTAATTAACTTAGTCATAAACAGGTAAAGAAATTCTTCCTTTAAAACAATAAGGTAAATCAGGAAATATTTATGAAGAAGATTAATAGGGTAATGATTAAAGTGATGATTTTTCTTCTGACAATAGATTGTCGCCACTTGAATAAAAAAATAAAGATCTTATTAAAAATACTTAGAGCATACCAAAAAATAATCAAGCATCAACATTCAGCAATAATTCAAATAGATAGTCTCAAAACGAAGAAAGTTAACATTAAAGAGAACCATACTAGCAGTTAAAGTAAAATAGAACAGGTGAGTTCATATAATAAAACCAACAACCTTAAGTTACTCAAAACACTAATCGCACTTCTCGCTCTCCAAGTACATCTAGAGTCTCTCCTCATCAAGCTACTTAGCAAAATGTATCTCCAAAAATAAATAATAAACAAGGAGGATAAATGAATAACAATTAGTAAAAAAGCTCTCAGGTAAGCATCAGAGGAGAAAGATCAAACTTATCTCCCAGAATGAGTTAAGAAAATATTATAGAACAACAAAATGGTGATAGCTCTTTTGAATAAATAAATGAAATATTAAATGAAAAAAGAGAGTAAGTCTAACAATAATAAAAGAACACTGATAGAAACCGTATTGCAAGTATTGTATCTAATATGAATAATTCTTCAAATAACATCACTTAGTTAAATCCCACTGGTACTCTGAATACTTAAAATATACCTACAGTTTAAACATCCTACTCACCTCGCAGTTAGCATTAAGGTAGCCAAAATTACAATATTTACACTCAAGTGTAATAAGATGCAGTGATTTCACCTAGAATACAGTAAAATTCCTAGTAGAGTTTCAATTAACGTACCTCTAGAGGAAATTCTCAGACTAGTCTTCCTTTGATTCCTCCAGAGATACAAGATGAAAAGTATAGAGTTTTAAGGGAAAGTGCATTAGGAAGCATAGTTTAGAAGAAGGAGGAAAGAGATAGCTAAGTCTTCAATCTAGTTAAGAACTCTGGATATTCTTCACCTAATCCTTCTTTCCATTAGTAGGTATAAGAAGAAGAATTAAGACAATAATAATCATAAAATTTGAATAGATAATTTGAAGGTGAAGAAGAATCTAATTCAGATGTTCCTTCAAATCTTAGAAATAGCTTAAATTAGTAATCCATATATTCAACTGGTTTGCTTAAGCAAAACTCCCCTTCGAGAAAGATGTCAAATTCTTTATCTTAATTACAACAACAGCCATAGTAGATATTGAATGAATCTGAATTAACTGGAAATATTAACAATTCTAATTACACTGGAGGCTTTGAAAGTGCAAGTTAAAGCTAATCTGGAGTAAATAATCAAAACGCTGCTCTTGCTAAGGAAATTATGCGTAGAAGTGCAAATCTGAGAGACTAAGAAAAATTAATTCATAAAGATAAGGATAAATTCTTATAAAAGAGTAGCCGCAGCAATAGCTAGAATAGCAATTCGATTCATCAATCTTTACAAAGTCCTCAACAGAATAATGTAGTTTTCAACTCATAAGTTGGACAAGTTAGTGCAATTCTTGATGAAAGAAGCTAAATTTCTGGTGCAGCATTTATGGGCAGCTAATCTATCCCTTTTAATGACAACAGCTAAGTTTTTGCTAATCAAGAAAATTTGCATTCTCAAAACTTAAAAAATTCTCAGAACCAGCAATATGCCTAACACCCTCTTCAACAAGCTATTCAAAACATAGGAGGTTCCATAATAGAAAGATAAGAACTTCAAAATGAAAGTAACAACTTTACTACTCTTACTCAATCAGGAAATAAGTAAGCTATTCCTAGAGTTCATTCAAGAAATGTATCTAGATCAAATGTAGCTTTAGAGAATGATCAGATCTAAAGTAATGACCAAACAAGTCAAAATGAACAAGAAGAAATAGATCCAACTAATATCTATCAAGCATATCGCATGAAAAATCCAAGATCTTCATCAAGCATAGGATAAAATATATCTCCTAAAACATACGTAGAGCATGCAAATATGAATTAAGCAATCTAAGAGTAGCAATATATAGAAAAGGTATAAACAATCAATGAAGAATAGAAAAGACTTTAAAATTTAAAGCAATAAGAGTAGTAATACAATCCGAATGCTTAATAATCTAGCAATGATTAAGTATATGAAAATTAATCTGGTTAATTTGCAGGAAATAATTAAGATAATAAACAGAGTAATAATGTTGATATCAGCTCTGATGAAGAATTAGATAAAGAATATGCTACAATTGAAGAAGCACAATAAGCTCTGATGAGAAGCTAACAACGAAAGTTAGAAAAATTTTAAAATAAGAAATAAGAAGCACAGTAGAGAAAGGATTCGGATGAAATTTTGTTTTATTCAGGAATTGAAGAAAGTTAAAGAGCAAAACAGGATCATATTTCTCACAAAGAACATGAAGATTGGCTTAGAAAATAAGAAGTTATAGAAAAAGAATAATACAAACAAAAATAATAACAAATGCTAAAAGAGTAGCAAAATAAACAAAAAACACCCTAGTAATAACTTTATGATCATCATGATGACTAATTAGAGAGCTAACTACACCAGTAAGCTGAATAATATCTATAAAATACTTATGGTGATAAACTTAATCTCAATCAAAATAGCAACAATTAAAATAAAGATAGATTAAACAAGCAATAAGATAAATCAGCTAATAATTCTTAGAATCCATTATCTAATTAAGGACTTGGAAGCGATCAAAAATCTTCAAGTCTTTAAATTTCTCAATCTTAAAATAAAAATACTTCTTCTGAAATAACATTCCTAAATAGCAACTAAGATAACTCAGGTCATAAAGATGATAAAGAAATTTAAAGCGCTACATTTGCAGTCTAGAGCAATAACTAACAAGCCAGCTCACCTATTTAATAAAAAGAAAAATAAAATTCTCATAAGCAATAAGTAATAATTTTTTTAGTGAAAATTTTAAATTAATATTTAAACTTTAAAAGTAGAATGAAGCTGTTCCAACATTTGGTGATTATGATGGTTCTTCCCAAAGGTCGACATCTAGGAAAAACTCTTTAAATCAAAATAACAATGAAAGCAAGTTTAAGTAGGAAGATTAGAACGAATCTTAAGCTTAGAGAGACTTCAGTCGCAAAAATAGCTAGCAAAACGAGCAATTCAATCAAAGCAGACAATAGCAACAAAAATAAAATGAAAATCTTTTAGGTAATTTAAAATTTTTAAAAATCTATTTTTAATACTATTTAAATTAAAAATATTAAGATGACGATTTTGTTTACTTGAGCAATAGTAATCAAATTAAGAAGTCACCTCCTGGTAGCATTTATTAAATAATTGAAAAGTAAAAGCAAGATATTGAATAAAATAAATAAATGTCAGAGTAAAATAAGAAGGCAACATTATTACCTGTTCAGTAAGGATAAAAGTTATCATTTTAAGATTACAAGAGCTAACAAAACCCTAATTAATAGCATAAATAATCACCTACTTTTAATTAAATGCCCTAGGAAGAATAGGATTAAAATAGCAATAAACAGCTTGGTAGCTAGCATAATTACAACAACTCTGTTACAACATGCTAATTCAATAATCCAGTTAGCCTTCAAAATTCTTAATTAGGAATTGAACCTCACTCAGAAGATCCTCAATACGATTTAGATTTATTCCGCATTAAACCTAACCAAAATAAATAACGCTAAGAGAATTCCAAACAAGAGTTTGGTAGAGAATCTTTTGGTAATAATAATGAAGGAGATATTCTTTCTGATGAACAGATCATACAAAATTTCAATGAAAATATTGCACCAAGAGCAATAAATAAGTAATTACCTCCAAACTCCAACAGCAGCAGAGGCAAAACAATCGCTCAAGTAAAATTTGATTAATGAATTTTTCATTTTTTTTAGTGTTAAAAAAAATAAATATTTATTTATGAATCATTAATTTATTGAAAAATAATAAATAAAAAGGCATACGAAGAATCTAGTGAAGCACACAACACAAGCTATTACTCTTAACACTTTTAGAAAACTGAAGAGAGTTTAGATGACAACAGCATTCAAAATTATAGTTAGTTTAGACCTTTCTATGATAAGGCTTAAGGAGATGAATCTAGTGCAATCAATATTAATTACACTCCTGATAAATAAAATGCTTCTAGAACTCAGTTTAGTGCAAATCAATTCTAGACTAGCTACTATTAATCTCCATCAATGAATCTTAGCAGAGGTTATAAATAAGCCTCATTGGATCCTTTATAGATATAAGGAAATCGCTAATAATTAGAACAATTAATTGCTTCGTAAAGAGCTTAAACTGAAAGAAACTTCCATCACTCAGCCAGCTTGAATGATAATAAGAGTAAGGGCTTTTAGAGCGATAGAAATGAAAATGAACACAAATCTTTTGGAGATTATAAGAATCAGAAAACAAGAGATCAAGTAATAGCTGAATTATATCAAAAAGAAGTAGGACAAATGTAATAAAATGTGCTTTAAAAGATTTATGATCACAGCAAAGACATCAGCTAATCTTTCTCTAAATCTAGAGGTTCTGATATCAATTACAATCCTTTCTTAAAGTCTACATCAAACCAAAAAGATATGTCTATTTTAGATAAGTCTATCTTCAATAAGCTTAGCAGTGAAAAACAAATATGTGTAGTTATTGCTATGAAATTGGAAAAGTTCCAGCTTAAGAGAAAGTTCCATGCTTTTTAGAATATGAAAGTTAAAACTTAAATGGCCACAAAAAGAGAAAGTTTTTCAAACATGCACTTTAGACAAAAGTAACAGATAGCTAAAGTAATATATTAGACATTATAAAACAACTTGAAGAAACAATACTTGGATTTCTTTATTAGACTCAGAAAGAATTTAATCCTTCAAAACGTTAATATGGGCTAATATTCCTAACGTTCCTAACAATAAATAAATAGCTAAGACTAAATTGATTTTAAAAATCTAACAAGGGAACAGTAATTCCTCTACCACTCAATCGGTCACTTCTCTAAAACAATAAATAAACTCAAACAAGGAAGATTGAGAAATGCATTCGACCAAATCTTATATTCCTATAGTTCACTGCGTCCAACCATAGATTAGAATTAGTTCTTCTGTAAATTTTAGATAAATTTTAAAATTGATTTCATTTTTTTTCTAATGCTAATTTTTGATTAACTTTTTTTTATAATTTGCTAGTGTCCTAAAGAAATTAGAATTTGAGATAGCCTATTTTTTACACTGATGGTAATGAGGTATCTGACCCTTAGACTCCAGAAAGAAAATCAAGATCAATGAAGAATAATAAGGGTTTACAAAGAGCTACATCTGACAGTCCTGAAAGACTTGCAAAGATTTAATAACAAGTTAGAAACAGCTAAAAACAAAACTCTTTCAAATAACCTCTCTAACTTCATAAAATGAATGAAGATGAACAATAATATTAATAAGATAATAATAACTAATCTTTTTCTGAAAACCAAGCAAATAATGAACCATTTAATTACAGCAACAAATAATCTCAGTAATTAGGAAGTCAAATTGAAAATCTTTACTTCTCAAAGAAGACTACTGATTCGCAGGCATCAATCAGATAGATTTATAACCTCAATGACCACTCTAAAGGCTATAAATTCCAGATGAATGAGTTTGAGTCAAACTTAGAATCTCCTCATGATAGAAACACAGAAGACAATGACTACAGACCTCAATATGGTAAATAATTTAAATTAACAAATTTAAAGTTTTTATACTAAATAATTAATAAAGCTCCTGCTTATGCTGATCCTAAAGAGTTCTAGCCAGACACTCAATACATTCGCAATTTGAGTTAAGATGATTTACTCTTGATTGAAGAGCTCTATAAAAATAACAATGCTAATCCTAACTTGCTGCGTCCTCTCACTGGATCCTAATACTAACAAAAACACTAATCTCATGGTAGTAGAATGGATTACAGCGATTTTGATCAACACTCTTAACATAATGAATAAGAAAAGCACTAATTTGAGAAATATCTTAACTAATTCAATCTTAGTATGAGCCAAAACTAGTCTATATCTCACACTCCTTACTAGTAACCATACTAAAGCAACAATTTAAGAAATTCTGCTTCATTAAAATAACATAATTTACAGAATCTTTACAATGTTTAAATTGCAGATTATTAAGTAGATGATGATAACTCCCTAAATCAAGGTGAGCCCCACCATATGTAAAACTAACAGTTCCAACATTCTTACACCCTCCCAACTGAATAAATGAAGTTACTAAACTAAAGTTAATAATACGCCTTTATCCCTGAAAGTCTTTAACCTGGTTACATGCATAAGTATGCCAATAAGCTTCTAAAAATCCCAGCAATAGTTAACTATACAGACTTAAGATCGAGTATGACTGGTGATAAAAAAATGAATGAATAAAGCTTAAACAATCCTCCTGCTTAATATCTTCCAGGTTATGAAAAAGTAATAAACGCCCAGAAACAAGCTATAGCAAAATCTTTTAAGAAATTGCATAACGAAAAAGTAACTGGTAAAGAAATTTCTCTCAACCCCAACTAATCATTAATGAACAGCACTAGCGTTTTATCTCCTAGTTAAAGAGGATTAATGTCTTCTTAATCTATGTATATTACAAACCTAAACTAAAGTTCCTATCAGTCTCCAAGACAATCGATGGTTGCAATGAATGCATCAAACAGATTGTATGGTATTGCAGTATAAAAGCAGTAATAACAACAACAATAGTAATAAAGCTAATAGCAATCTACAACTGGCAGTAAAAGATTGATATCTCCAGATAATAAATCTTACTCCTTAAGGAGATCTGGTGGCTAATTTAATTGAGCAAATTTAACTTAATAACTTTAATTTGTAATTAAAAAAATTAGTTTCATTTATTTTAAAATTAAAATTATTTATTTACATATACATTTTGAAGTAAAAGCTGAATATTTTTATTTATATATAATATATAATTAATCTTTTGTTTAATATTGTTTTAATTATTCAACAAATCTATTTGCTTTAATTATTTTAATTTTGAAAGATACATAAATAATCTAATTAATACCTTTTAATCAAATTAAAATCCACTAAAAGGTATTTAATACTATTTTCATTTAAAAATACAAAATTTATTAAAATTTTTACTGATTAATATGTTTTTTTAATTTATTTTTATTTAAATATAAATAATAAATCACCTGTTTTGTTTAAAATTTACATATCTACAAAAAAATTTTAGTAAGTTCAACAAATTTAATACTTTATTTATTTTTTGATTAAAAGTGCTACTTAGAGTTAATATTCGTATTCCTTTTAGTGAGATTATAAAATGTGATGTAATTTATTTTATAAAGTTTTCACTTTGATAAATTAAAATTTTACACATAAAAGTTTTTAAATACTATCAGAAAAATTTTAGAGCAAAAAATTTTGATAATAAAAACAAAATGAAACATTATAATTAAAATTAAATATTTTTGAGAAATTGTTTAATAATTTAATTTAATGTGATTATTTGTTGCATAAATCAATTTAAAAAATTGTCTATATATTTAAACATTTTGTTAATTTCTAATAATTAATATTTTTAATTTATTAAAATAATTTCTTCTAAATTTATTTATTTATTTTTAATTTAATTTAAGTTCATGAACCTCTTGGCTTAGACTTTCCCTTATAACCTCCTCTACTTTTTTCGAACTTTTCTATTAAGATTTTATTTAATAAATAAATATTTTTTTAATTAGTAAAATGTACTATTTTGCTTTCCATCCTTTTCTTGTGTTGCAGCTCCCTCCTTCTTTTGCTTCATTTTATTCTTAGCCTCTTCTTTTTATTCATTTACTAGACAGAAATAATATTTATTTTGATGTAAATTAAATCTTTATAAGCAATAGATAAAAAATAAACAAATATTCAAATAATTATGAAAAGCTTTTTACATATTTCTTATTCTTCAATAGCCTTGTCAATGACGGCCTCATCCTGTTAAATAATTTATTTATTTACCATAAAATAAATATTGAACATTATTATTAAATGAATAATAAATACCATTTAAAAATATTTAAGAGAAGCACCTTTAATATATATTTGATCAATATTCATAAATTTCTGACTATCCTTTATTATTTAAAGATTTTAAATGATATTGTAAAATGCTAAAGGTAATTACAATTTACTTTAGAAGTAAATGTCACTTCAGTTAATTGTATATTCATAAATCTATCTACATCCTCTAAAACTCCAATATAAGTATCACCGCTCTTCAGCTCTACCATCTAATTTACAAATAATCTAAAATGAATTCTTAAGAATAAAACTTAAAATGCTTTATTACCACTTTAGATTTCTTAGCAGCTTTCAAAATGTTTGAAGGAAACTAAATTATATTGATGAAAATAATTTCTTTTAACTAAAATATTTTATTTATTTATATAAATTACTAAACTCATTGCTTAATAGTTGTAAATTCTTCTTAAATAATGGATAGGTATTTAATTTTTTTAATATCTTAGAAATTTATTAAAATAGTATTGATTCTTACTTAGTAGAATGTATAGATCAATCAATTAATAATTTATTTATTTTCTTGCTTAATTAAATGTTAAAAATATTTGAATACTTTTCTAGCTAAAAAGATATTAATTAATGGTCTATTCCTTTATTAGGTAAACACTCTTTTAATACAATAAATAGAATACTGCTAATTAATTAATTAATTAATTAATTAATATTTCTACTTTATTTTTCAAAATACTCTACAAAATTTAAAAATAACTTGTTTTTGAATAAAAAATATTTTTTATGTTTATTCTATTTTTAAATCTTAAATTATTAATTTAAAATTTATTTTATATTTTATAAAAATTTATGATGATAATTAATTGGATATTTTTGAAATTAACCAAATTATTAATAAAAATGATATTTATTCTAAATTAATCCTATTAGATTATTTGTGAATGTTTTCAAATCAAATTTTGCATTTAAACACTTCATTATATAAAAACTCTATAATATTTCAAATTTTATTACATCTCTTAATATATTTTTTTAATTTATAAGTCTTATATATATATAATTAAGTTACACAACTCAAAGAATATTTTAAATATTTATTCCTTCTTTACATAATTTGTTTCAAAATTTTTTAAGTATCAAAACTTAAAATAGATTTTTTTTCAAAAGAGTTCATTTTAAAAATAAATTTAATAAAAAACTAAAAAAAACCATGAATATAATATAAAAACTTGAATTTATTTTGTTGATACTAAAATGAAAATTTAAAAATTATAGAATAACCTAGTATGATTTTTAAATGAAGTTAACAACAATTTAAAAAGTTTATTTGTTAAAAAAAATAACAAGCTAGCAACAAAACCAATAAGAAAGAAAGGAATGAAACAAACTTACTTTATTTAATTTATCATCGGAATCGTAATGTTACAAAATCAATTCTCAAAAATATTGAACGAATTTCTACTCATAAACTAAAATTTTGTTATCAAAAATAATTGTTAACACTTTTTTTTGAGAAATATTTTGTTTTGATTTAATAGATAAAAGTAGTGCAAAGTTAGATGTTTTTCCACCATTATGATATAAAAAATAAATATCAATCACCTTTTACGAGAGCGGCTAATTGTAAATAAATTAAATTTTTAATGAATACATAATTGCATTCAAAAAAACTAGATACTTTGAAACCTTTAGAGTCTCCTTCTTATGCTAATATATTTAATTAGATCAAGCAGAATCAAAGTATATTTTTATTTAAAAAAGCCAAATTGTCTGAGATTATATTGAATAGTTATTATATTTATTACAAAACAGCTGCTGATACAGACAATATTCCATAACAGTATTCATATTTGTAAGTAGAATTGAAATTATATTTCTTAGCTTAAAAATAATCCAAAAAAATTAAGATAAAACAACTCATACATCAGTGGAACCGGTTAGTTGAACACCTAAAGAGGTTATAATGACTATATGGCTAATTAATACAATTCAGATAGAAATATGAATGTAAATAATCCTTACAAAAAGGAATTCTTTTATAGAATCTAGTCACCTAGAAACCCATTTCTTCCTCATTTTGATTAGGAAGAGCAAAGTAGAAATCAGATATTTGTTTATTTATTTATTTTAGTTTATGTTAAAATAACTAAAAAATGTTATATTTAAAAAAGAGAAAAACTAATTTAACAAAAAAATATATTTATTTTAATAAATAAATAAATAAATAGAGGAAAGTCCTAGATTGAGAAATATCAAAAATGGTGTAAGTGGTGGTTATGAAGGTAATGAAAATAAATATGGTCAAATTAAATCATTTAATGCTTTTAATTATGACGAGCTCAACTCATCACTCAATCATTAAGATTAAGCTAAATTAAATAGAGCTATTAATATGGGGTGGATTCCTTAAAAACAAGTTGACCAATTTAGAAGTGATAAAAATAAATAACTACTTTATCAATAGGAGCTCTAAAAACAAATTAATGAGAAATAAGAATTGAAAATGCAGTAACTTCGAAAATAGAAGTTAGAAGAGGAGAAACTTGATAGAAAAATAATGAAACAACTGAATATACCAAGTATTTATTATTGAAACTATAACATAAAAAAAATTTTTATTTATTTAAGAATTAGATTTAAACTCTGTCTAGATGGTATAAAAGCAAAATTAAATTTATGATTCTAATGTCTACTCAAAAACGCCTAGTAAATTATCAAGAACACCTCCATTCAGAAAAAATTCTAATTCTTAGAAATCCATACCAAAACATAATGATGATCAATATTTATAAATTTAAAAAAATAGATCTTCTTTCAACAACATTTAAATGCCAACATCTCCCCGATCTAATTTATCAAAAGCACATAACCCTGCTTTTTCCCCTAGACAAATAACTAAAATTCATGTGGTTGCTTCACCCTCACATAATTCAATAAACACTAATAGGCCTAACAATTTTTCTTCAAGCAGAGAAACAGAAGTAAAAATTTTCAAATTGATTAAAAATAATTTGTTGTTTTATTATCTCTCTATCAATCAAGCATTTAGAAATATTAGGTCTAATTAATTATAATTTTTTAAAAATTTTATATATTTCTAATTTGGAAAAAAATTATTTTAATTAAATTTATTAATTTTTTGATTAAAAAGTTAAAAATGTAAAAAATTTTATTTTATTTTTGTATTTAAAAAAATTTAACTTAATTTAATAATAATTTTACTAATTAAATGATATTTTTTTATTTAGTTTAGTTTATTTTAGTATAATTGAATAGCTCTTAATATATTTTTAATTTAATATTCAGTCAAATACACAGCTAGGATTAGAATTAATTAAGAGATAAATGCAAGAAAGCTACTTAAATGCAAGCAAGCAGCTAGATGAATTGAAAGTAATATTTTGAAAATGAAGTAAAAATTATTATTTATGATAAAAATTAGGTAGAAATGGAAAGAATCAGAGAGTAGAAGAATTAAGCACAATAAGAATTTTTTCAATTAAGAAGTTAAATAAAAAATTAAATTGAATTCCACAACTTAAAGCTTTACGGGGGAGTTAATTTTGCAAAGAATCCTTCTAAATATTACCAGTAGTAATTATATGAGAATCAAATTGCTAATAATGATTCATCAATTATATATCCATTTATTAGTGAATCTACTCTTGATTAAAACTTATTCTAATACAGTTAAAGTGTTTCCTCTAAAACTTTGAAGTAGAGTTTAGTTTAGACACCACAAATTTTAAATTCTCAAAAAATGGATAACTAGCAATAAGCTAACTTATCCGAATTATAGAGCAAAGATTTATTAGGTTCTAAGTTAATTACCTAATAAGAATTAGGAAAAATAGAATAAAATTTAAACGAGTCTAGAATTTCAAGGGTTTCTCATCAATCTAAAAAATCGATATTACAAAATCAGCAAGATGGTACTTTCAATATTTCCAAAGATTAAGAAAAGGAACTTCTATCTTTAAAAAATTCATAAATATAAGATTAAAAAGATATCTTAAACAATTCTTAGAAAGATATTTCTAAAAGTATTTCTGTAAAAAGAATTAGCTCTCCTCCTTTTGATTAGTAAAAACAAGAAAGCTAATTAGATATTAGTAAAGAACTTAACGGAGAAAACTTCTTTTTTACAGAAATTAATAATGAATCAAACACAAACGCCTAAAGTAACAACTAAGATAATTTTAAAAAATCCATATTACATAATAGCATTGAAAATAATAAACAGTAAACTGTGTCATAAAAATAAAGTGAAAATGATTTCAAAAAGCTCATAAAAAATATAGAAGATATGGTAGAAGAATAGACTAAAGACATTTAAAATGTAAGCACTGTACATAAAGTAGAAGTACAAAACAGTATAAATTTTAGAAATAATAAATGAATAACTTAATTATATACTTTTTATATTATAAAATATTTAATTTAATTATCATTTATCTTTATTCTTCATAATTATTTTATTATTGAAAGTATTTAATTTAATTTTTATTTAATTTAAAATGATGGAAAGTTTATTTTTTATAAGTTTTTATTTTACAATTAAACATTTTATTGTTAGATTTTAGAAAAAATGTTTACTTTTTTAAAATAACGATTGATTTATATTTATTTTTGTTTATTTTTATTTTTGCATAATAAAAAACTCAGCTCAAAGTTAGTTAATACCATTTTTAAAAATAATCCACCAAAAAAATAAATTTTTATACTCTTTGAGATCAAATATTTTTTATTAAGTCATTTATTTATTTTAAGATTATAAATCAATTTTTAAACATTTTTGATAGAAATTTTTTACTGATGAAATATTAGGATATTCTTATATATTTGTTTATTTATTTATTATAAGTTTTTATTATGTTATGCTTATAAATCAATAGAAGTTGAAATCAACACCAGCTCCACAAGCAGTCTCATCTCCATCGTATTACTTGATAGCAGGGTCACTCCATCCACCAAAACTTAAACCATTGTACCTTTATTTAAATAAAAATTAATTTAGGGATAAAATAAAAATCTCTCTATTAATTATTTGTTTATATTTATATTCATTTATTTATTTTGTTTGTTTGTTTGGTTTACACCTTTAAAATTTTGAAGAAAAAATTAATTAATTGAACTAACAAATTAATACCAGTCATCAAAACTAGCTGAGCCATCATAGTGAGCATACCAGATAGGAATGGAAGTAAAATATGGGCAGTTACCTTCGTCACCAAAGATAGTAGACCACTAGTACTAACTTGAGTAAATACCAACAAGTTTACCATAGCTTTAGAGGCTTGAGACAAGATTACTTAAAAAGCTGCAGTTGTAATCGATGTCAGAACTCCAAGCACAAGTAGAAGAAGGATTGTATTCAACATCGATCCAAACAGTACCATAAACATCGTTACCATTTCCATCAACCATAGAGCTGACAAAATCAGAAGCAATCTAAGATGGGTCTACGGCTAAGCAGGGGAAGAGATAGACATCAGTGATAAGGCCTGCACTTCTTCCATTAAGGTTAGTATCAATAGCATTATAGTCAACATTTCCGATGCTCTAATATCCTCTAGAAATAACAAATTGGATACCATAATTGTCAATCAAACAATTGAAGGTATCTTCATCTATAGAATCTGAAACATCGACGCCAATAACTGCATTAGCGCTGTTGATGCTCAAGGCGACCAAGAGGAAAAGACTTAATAAAAACTTTTTGTTCATTCTTTTTATTTAACTTTTAATTATTTTATAGATATATTATTAATTTATAGATTCAAGTGATATCAAAAAGATTTATAATTAGAATAGTTCTTAATTATTTAAAGTCAATGGATATTAAAAAGCAAAATCTAAAACAAATTTAAATTTTTCAATCCACCTTTTGTGGTAATTCCTAAAATCTTTTATTATAAATTATTTCTTACTTTAATCTATTTACTTACTTGTAAACCAGCTATCATTTTTTTAATAATTAATTATTTGTAACCTTATATACAAATAATCTAATTAAAATTTAATCAAACTCAATTAAGCGCATTAATACTAAACTGAGTAAAAGAACAATTTATTTTTTAAAAATAAAATAAATAAATTTGTTAGATTTTTAGTTTTTCCTTTTTATTATTTAGTTGTAAAATATTGTAATTTAATAGATTAAGATTATCACGAGTTTCGTTTATACAAGTATAAAAAAATAACAATGATAGAAGTAATAGACCTATTTAAATAATATACAATATAAATGAAAGATATTTTATAAAAAGTAAAGGAACTTTTTCAATACTCAATTTATTATTAAGCACAAGTATTGCATAAATAATGAAAATAAGCCAAATATATTTCAAAGTTTAAAAATTTTGATTTACTAAAATTTAATTAAATTAGCTAAGTGAAAATTATTAGGGTAAGTATATATCATCTGCTTTAGAATATGTAAGATTAAATTAAACTTTACATTTTCACTAAAAATTATCCATTCAACTTTATTTATTATTTGAAAAATATTGAATGAAAAATAAGAAAGAAAGAAAGATAGATAGATAATTTTTGATATTTATCAAAAAATAAACAAGTGTAAAAGAAATAATATTAATATACAACATAGAAAAATTTTTAATTTAAATTCATTAAATTGTATAAATTTATTGTTATTTATTAAACGAAATAAATAATAAAATTTTTGTTATTTATTTTAACGAATATATTAAATGAGTTTTAACAGTATATTTATTTTTTAATAAAGAGTTTTTTTATATTAAAAAAATTAAATTTTAAAAATATTATCTATCACCTATCACTATTTGTCCTTGAAATAAATATTTGTGTTTTCTTAAATTTTATAATCAAATTTTTCATTATTAAAATCTTTTGTAGTAGTTTGCATATTTTACTAAAACTTGTGCTTTCTGTAATCAACAGTAGTTAATTAATTCATTTCTTTTTCAAGCAACTCCTAATTTTATTTAAAATTTTTGTTTTGTGAAATTGTTATATCTCCTTATTCTGAATTATGGATTTAACTTTCCAACTTATTTCCTTCAATGAATTCTTACTTTCCATTTATTTGCTAAATCATATCTTTAAATGTTTTTCTTTCTTATTCTATTTACACTATTAATTACTAATCTTCTTCTAAATAAATATTCTTTTATTATTCTATTTTTTCAATTAATGTATCAATGTCATAATCTTTAACCTATAAAATCTTTAGAACTCCATGAACAAAATAATAAAGCAAACGATTATCAAATAAAATATCGATTAATAAACTAATATTCATCATCTAATTTATTTTAGTATGACAAATTAATTCCTTATTCTCAAATATAAAATTTTTTGGCTTATTTTGCTATTAATGATTCTATTTTTAAAACAAACTTATCCAAAATTCGTTAAAATGATTATACATTTAAGTCATAAATAATTAATAATCTATTAAAGATTGATCTATTAAACAAGAGTACAAAAAATCAAATAAATAATCCTTTTAAAACTCATAGAGGATTAATTCAGTGTTAGGTCTTTCAAATATCTCTTTATTTCTTATTTCTTCTTGTATATACTTTAGCAACTAATTTGATATCTCGTTTTTAATTATAAAAGAAGTATCTATTTTGAAATCATGTAATAGATTCAGATAAGAATTAGAATATACCTCTAATATAATTTTCCCCAAGTTAAATATATCTGATCTATTATCAACCTAATTTTCAGGAATTTTATAAGAAGGAGTTTGAAATTAAATTTGCTAAAATGCTATATTATCAGTCTAACCTTTATAAATTAAGTTTAACGGATTTAAGTTAATAATTGATGCCCCATAATCAATAATTATTGGATTAATTGATCCATCTGATTGTTATTTTTAAATTACAATATTTAAAAGCTTTAAGTCTAGATGATTTATAGATTTAGAATGTAATTATTAGAGCCCTTTAATTATTCTAAAAACAATTTACTGTTTTTAAAATTTGGTTAATTTATTATTTTTAAGGTATTCTTAAAGACTACCTTCTGAATAATAATTTTAGTAAATAACTACATAACTATTTTTATGCTCGTCTTAGTAGCAATCATAAAACAAATTATAATTTACATAGCTTCCTATACAAAAGGAACCAATTAGCAACTCATTTACCACCTATTAAGGAATAAAAGTAATTAATTCTCCATTACCTTGAAGCTTAAACTTCTTTTTTAAGTATATTTTGTTGTTGATTATAAACTTAGTTACAGTAACTCCATGTCCATTATTTTGATAAATTAGTTAGCTTGAGTTAATTGATCTTGTGATAATAACGGGTTTCTTTTGAAGAAATTACTTAACTTGAATTAAATGATCACTATAGTATAAGCAATCAAAATTTTCACTTTAACTATTTTATTCGTTAGTCGTTCTATTTTCATCTTTTAATAAAGCTTAAGCTGCCTGAAAAAAATGTTAGTTCTCACTATCCTCTCCTTCTTTATAGAGTTTTCCCAAAATAAATTATTAATTTTAAATTTGAGCTTTTATTTAATCCTAATACTCATAAAATTCAACATTTTTTTGAAGATAATATTTTTGTAGAAAGTAGAAAATAAATATATTTCTAAATTTATTCATGGAATTATTTTGCAATCCTTCAATAAACTCCTAAAATCTATATTAGCATAAATAAATACACAATAACAGAATTTAACTTTTCTCTCTTTCTTTTTAATTATCAAGAATTGTGATAGAATCTTGATAATTTCTTTAATACAATAAACACAAAGCAATATTCTCTTTAACTGCCTATTTTTTGATAACATCTTTTTCTAATTCCAATTTCTACTTATAATATTCGAAAGCTAAACTATATTTATTTAATGCAGAAAGCACATTTCCTATCATAAAAAGTATATATGACTAAATATTATATGTATTTTCTTAAAAGTTACGTTAAAATGTTTCTAAATAAATTAAAAATAAATCATATAAATATATGCTTTTATAAATGTTTAAAATTGAAACATATCTATCATAATCATCTTAATAATCTAGCTTTTTACAATAATTTAAGAAATTTGATAAGTCAAAATAATCATCTACATTACAATTTAAATTTGAAACCAAATATAAATTGAACCATTTTCTCATTTATAAAGAAGCTTTAAATTTAGGATTTATTTATAAAGATTTCTCTAAATATTATTTTGCTTTATCAAGTTATTTCATTATCTAATAACACTTCGCTAAATTATAATAAGTATCAAATTGATTACCATTTAAAGCCAATGATTATTCAAACTTTTGAGCAGCTTCTTAATAATTTTTATCAGCAAAAAGCAAATAACTTCCATTTAATTGTAAAATCAATGAATTATTCTCAGAATTTCTATTCAATTCCTATAAAAGAGATTTAGCTTTATCAAACTTATTTATCTTCATTAATATTTAACAAATATTTATTTTAGATTATACATCATAGCATTTTTCAAAGCATTCAATTGCTTAAACATGCTTATTTAGACCCATGTAGCATAATCCCTTTTAGAAGCTCACAAACTCTCTTATATTAACCTGATTATTATTATTATTTTCCATATTTTCTAGAAATTATAATGACTCTAAGAATTTTTGATTTTTGATAAGTTCTAAGCATTCTTATTATTCCTTTTTAAATTAGCTTTAACCCATTTTTGTAGTTTTATAAATATATTAATATTTGCTGACTGATTATTAATTTTTATATCTTTTAATTAAATCTTTTCCTTTTCAAAAATTAATTAGAATATTCAATCAACATTAGTAACTACATAATAATCTAATTAAAATATATGTTATCTTCTAAATTAGATTAGATACTACAATTATAAAATTACAAATAATAATGAATATATTTAGATAAAAAATTTTTTAAATAAATATGAATGTTAGTTAAACCCTAAAATAATTATTTGAAAAACATATTAATGTAAATTATTTTTAATTAACATCCAATTTTTTTGAAAATCTTGCTTTTATTTATATTTGGATATTTTTTTTATTTTAATCTTCTATTTTGAGCTTATAAAAAAACATTCAAATATATTTTAAGGTATGTAGAGATTAAATATATTAAAAAAACTATTTTATTTGTAAATAAAAAACATATATTTTGTGGATTCGATATTTTAATTTTATAAATCTAGATATTTTAATAATAATTATTTTCTTTTATTTTTTTAGTTATTTATTCAATAGTAATCCATATCAACATCAAGACCACATAAAGTAGTATCGCCAATATATTACTTGATAGCAGGCTTTGTCCAGCCACCAAATTAGTACTTACTCCTATTAATTTTAATTAAATTATTTAAATCATGCTAAATATAAAAATCTAATTAAAAATGTTAGTTTCTAATTTTTTTAAATCGTTCTACAAAACTGATAATCTCCATCTAGATTTTCTCAAAAAAGATAAATTTTGTTTTGTAAATTAAAAACTTTAACAAAAAGGATATTTTTGATATTAATTAATTTACCAGTCACTGAAACTAGGAGAATTATCGTAGTGAGCGTACCAGATTGGGAGGTTGGTGAAGTAAGGACAGTTACCAGCAGCACCGAAGATAGTTGTCCACTAATATTAAGAACTATAAATACCAACTAACTTGCCATGAGATTTGTAAGCTGCAACAATATCCTTCAAGAATTAGCAGTTAGTGTTAACATTAGAAGTCCAACCACAGCCAGATGATGGATTAGTTTCAACATCAACCCAAACAGTTCCGTACAAGGATCCAAAAGTATTAACAGTTGCTTAAACCTAATCAGCTGCACTAACTTTACCAAGGCAAGGAAAATGATAAATATCTGTAATTAAACCTGCAGACTTAGCATTTTTGAGAGTATCAACATTGCCTGAATCAACAGCACCGTAACTTTTGTAACCTCTAACAATAGCAAACTAGACTCCATTGTTCTTTAAGCACTAGAAGTTATTGAAGGGAGAATAAATATCAACACCAATAACAGCTTGAGCTCCTTATAAGGAGATTAAGGCGAGCAATACTACGAAAGCAATTTTAATCATTTATTTTTTTTTAATATACAACTTTTTTACAAATTTATTATTATTAATTAATATAATTAAAAAGTCAAAAGGATATTTTTTAAAAAAGACGAATAACTAACTAAAGGAATAAGAGAGTGAGTGAGTGAGTGAATGTAAATAAATTTGATTATGAGTAAACTTAGATATCTAAATTAATTGTGGGTAAATAAGGTTTATAAGAATTAAATATCTCAAATTAATATAAATTAATTATCTAAATAAAGATTCTTTTTCAGATTAATTTATTCTTATACATCATTTCAAATATTATACACATATTTTTTTACATTTCCAATCTAAATATTTAACTAATTCAAAAAATATATTCACATAATAAAATTATAAATAGAATTTGAATTATTACCAAATTTAATGTACCACTAAAAGAAAAATATTCAATAAATTTGTTGTTTTAAAAATAATTGAATTATTTTGATTATTATTTTTTGAAGATATAAAGAAAAAATATATGGTTAATATTAGCCAAAGGAATAGGAGCTAAATAAATAAATTAATTATTTTTTTGTAATTAAGATTTTAGATTATTCATTATTTTGTAAATTGGTAAAATCAAATTCTAAAAATTTATGTATAAGAATTTGATGAAATTGTTGGATTCAAATTTTAAACATATTATTAATAAATAATTAATTGCTTTTTTTAACATAATAAAATTATAAAAATTAATTAATATTTCTATTGTTTAGATTATTAAAAAAAGCAATATTTAACTTTTTTCTGATCAAAATAAATGCTTAATAAAAATTTATATATTTTTTTCAATCTATATAAAAAAGTATTTATAATTATTATTAAGAATTTTTTACACTATCAAATTATTTGAATATCACATTACAATAAAAATAATTATTTCTTAAATGAATTTTGATTTATTAAATTATTTTATTTTAAAATAAACTTTTTCTAATATAACTTATTTTCCTTTTATCATAAAGAAGTTCCAAATTAAAAATTATTATAAATATCATATATTGTATTCATTTAAATATTATATTTAGTATAGGGTTGGTATTTTATTGATTAAATCAATTTTATTTAATTATATTAATCAAAAATTATGGGAAAGGGAAATCCTTAATTAATGAGAATTGATGGTTATTTAAATTAAAAATATATGTTATATAAAGAAAATAATTTCTTTTTAAATATAAAATAATTTAACTATTTCATTTTTTAAAATAATCATAAGTTCTTTCTAAAAAGTATGTTTATGTTATGTCTTAATTTTAGAAATTAATTTCATTCTGTTAAAACTTTTATTAGGTTGTTCTTAAATTTTTCAATAATTAATTTTGTATGTAATCATCTGTAATTTGCTATTTTATCTAGTTAACTGCATCTGCATAATACTAGTTATTGTACTAATATCCTTGTGTTTATACTCCTTCTTTTATTTCTTCTTATTCTTCTTAAATTAAACTTGTAAATTGATTTTCATGAATCAAGTTTTATTTTTTATTTATTTGAGATATTAAATCCTTAAACAATTTTCTTTCTAATTCAATCTATTATTTTAGTTAATAATCTTCAAGTTATGAAATTTTCTTTTTTAATTATATTTTGTTTATTAAGTCACCTAAATCATCTTTTTCAAAAGGCAAGAAATGCAAAACTCCATGAATAAAATAATATAGCAAATTATTATTAAATGAAATTTCATAAAATAAATCATAAGTAACTAATTGATATACTTTAAAAATACAAAACAATTGCTTATTTTCAAGAATAAAATTTTATGATTGCTAATCTCTTATTTGCTACTAATCAGTCTATCCTTAAAACATTTCAATCCAGAATATTTGAAAATGACTGTACATTGAAGTCATAAAAAATTAATAATCTACCAAAGATTAATCTATTAAACACGAATAGATTAAATCAAATAAATAGTCCTTTTGAAATTAATAGAGTATCAATTAAATATCAGGTCTTTCAATAATGTTTTTGTTTCTTATTTCTTCTTGAATATATCTCAATAATTAGTTTGATATTTCGTCTTTTTTTAAAAGAGAAGTATCTATCTAAAAGTCTTGAAGAAGACCCAAACCAGAATTAGAATATATTTCTAATATAATTTTACCTAAGTTAAATATATCTGATCTACTATCAACCTCGTCTTCAGGAATTCTATAAGAGGGAGTATGAAATTAAATCTATTAAAATGCTATATTTTCTTATTTTTTTGCATAGATTAAATTTAAAGGATTTAAATTTACAACAGAAGCTCCAAAATCAATAATAATTGGATTAATTTATTCACCTGATTATGATTTTTAAATGACAATATTTTGAATTTTTAAGTCAAGATGATTGATTGAATGTGAGTGCAGTTGTTAAAGCCCTTTAATTATTTTAAAAGCAATTTATTACTTTTAAAATTTAATTAACTTATTATTCTAAAGATATTTTGAAAGACTACCCTCTTCATAATAATTGGAATAAATAGTAACATAGCTATTTTTATACTAATCTAAGTAGTAATCATAAAATAAATTATAATTAAGATAGCGTCCTAGACAAAATGAGCCAATAAGTAACTCGTTTATCAACCATTAAGGAATATAAGAAAATAATTCTCCTTGGCCTACTAACTTAAATTCTTTTTTTAAATACTAGTTCTAATTTATTGTAATTTTACTCACTGTAACTCCACTATATATATTTTACTAAATGATATCATCTTGATTTATGTTTCTATGAAACTCGCTAGGTTTTTAGTGGAGAAAAGCCTTACATCGAATTAAGTGATAAGAATAATATAAACAATCAAAACCTTAAAATCTTTATTAAATATCTATTTACTGGTTATTCATTAATAAAAAACTAGAAGCTTTACAATATTCTTTACTTAAATATTGCCAAGACAGCTTTCCCAAAAGAAATTATTAATTGTTATATCTAATAAAAATATCATCCTCATCTTTCTAAATAAATTGAACATCTTTATCTAGATAAAATTTTTACAAAATGTAGAAAATAAAAACATTTCTGAACTCTTTAATGGAGTCATTTTAGAGATTTTTAAAAAATTGTAAATAATTATTTTAGCATAAATAAATGCACAATAAAAAGATTTAACTTTTTTATCTTTCTTTCTAATTTAATAAAACTCTTATTGCCTCTTCAAAATTTCTTTAACCAACTAAACACAAAGCAATATTTTCAATAGCTCGTTTAATTTTTACCTCCAAATTTTCAACTTATAATTATAATTTAAAATACTTTTCAGACTAACTATATTTATTTAAAGCTAATAATACAAATCCAGCTGTAAAAAATATTGATGATTATTAAAATCTATCATATTGATATAAATTACTTTCAATTAAACTTAAAATATTAATAAATATATCATGTAATTGCAATTTTTTAAATATAATTAAATTTTACCACATGATTATTTTATTATCTTCTTGCTAACAGTTTATCTTTTTACAAATTTCTAAAATATTTTAAATCTCAAAGAAATTATCATCATTAAAAACTTATGAATCAACAAAACTAGCATAAAAATTTTTTTTAAAATCTAAAGATAATTTAAAATTAGGATTTATTGATAAAGATTTGTCTAAAAAATATAAGGCTTTCTCAACATCTCTCATATTAGAGTAGCACAAAGCTAAATTATGATAAGCAGTAAATAATTTATTATCTAAAGTCACAGATTACTCAAATATCTAAGCTGATTTGTGATAATCTTTATCGCCTACAAGAATACAATACCCATAAAGTTATAAAAGATATGGATTATTCTAGTATTTTGAATCTCTAATCAAATTTTCAAAATAAGTTTTAGCTTCTTCAAGTTTATCTAATTTTATTTTCATAAGCCCAATATTTATTTTAGACTATTTTGAATTACATTTTTCAAAACATTGAATTGCTTCTCTATTCTATTTGAGAGCCATATAGCATAAACCTCTCTAAAAATTGACAAACTCACTTACTTCAGATTTATTTTTTAAATTACTTTTCTCTAAATTTTCTAGAATTTCAAGAGACTCTTTGAATCTTTCATTTCTCATTAATTCTAAGCATTCTTTTTTGCTTTTTCTTAATTAACTTTAACCCATTTTTTATAAATTTAATTAATTTCTTAATATGAATATCTTTTTGTCTATATTTGATGATATTAAGTTAGATACAAATAGCTAAATTTCATTATAAATATCTTTTATTTTTTTAAAGTTAAGTCTTAGGTCTGAATTAAATTAAAAAAATAATTTGCATTTAATTTTCCGACATTGAAGACTAAAAAATATCAGAGTATTTATTTTTTCCAAAAATGTGTTTGTTTATTTACAAAAATTCAAAAAATATTTTAAAATGCTTCTGAAGAAAAATTACTGCAAATATTTATAAAAAGACACTATTAAATGCTTAGCATCTCAAAAGTATATTTTTTATTATCAAACAAATTAAAAAACAAAATTTGAAGTTGGTAAGAGTAGAGTTTAAGTAAATTTTTAGGGTATTTTAAAATTAAATAATTTAACAAAATATTTAAGATGATGAAATAAATTTAAAATATTTATGTATAATTTATATAAATTTATTTTTAGTGATTATTTTTATTTTTTAAGGTTTTTTACTCAGTAATAATCCATATCAACATCAAGTCCACACATAGTAGTATCACCAATATATTATTTTATAGCAGGCTTAGTCCAACCACCGAAAGAGTATTTACTCCTATAATATTAAATAAACATATTTAGACAAAAATATTCAAATTTATTGTAAAAGGAAATTTATAGTTTTGATTAAAATAATTCTATAAATTGAAAATATATATCGATGATCATTTATTTGTAAATTTTAAAATTAATTTTATTTTTTAAATTAAAAGCTTTAAAAAAATAATAAAGCAATAAACTAATATATTATTTACCAATCACTGAAACTAGGAGAATTATCGTAATGAGCATACCAGATTGGAAGATTAGTAAAGTAGGCACAGTTACCGGCAGCACCAAAGATAGAAGTCCATTGGTATTAAGAGCTGTAAATACCGACTAATTTGCCATGAGATTTATAAGCTGCAACTATGTCCTTCAAAAATTAGCAGTTAGTGTTAATATTAGAAGTCCAACCACAGCCAGAAGAAGGGTTAGTTTCAACATCTATCCAGACAGTTCCGTACAATGATCCAAAAGTGTTAACAGTTGCTTATACTTAATCAGCCGCACTAACTTTACCTACACATGGGAAATGATAAATATCAGTAATGAGACCTGCAGACTTAGCATTTTAGATGGTAGCAACGTTACCAGAATCAACAGCACCATAGCTCTAGTAACCTCTAACAATAACAAACTAGATTCCATTGTTCTTTAAGCATTAGAAGTTGTTGAAGGGGGAATAAATATCAACACCGATAACAGCTTGAGCACCTTAGAAGGAGATTAAGACAAGCAAGGCAATGAATGTTATTTTAATCATTTTTTTGTGTATTTCTTTTGTATTTAATTTAATTTAAAAAATATGATTAATAATCCCAAAATCAATTTTTTAAAGTTTCATAATTGAGAGAGTGAGTGAGTGCATTTATATATATTAATTTTGAGTAAACTGGTTTGTAAAAATTAAAATCAGGCTAAACCAATAAGGCTGTTAAAAATAAATATTTCTAGTTAATATAAATTTAATATCCAGTCAATTATTCTTTTTAAAATTGAATAATTATCAGATAGAATAATATTATTTTTTTACTATTCCAATTTTTTAATCTATCAATCTAAATCAAAAAGATGTATGAAACAGCAAAATTATAAAATAAAGTTTGAAATAATACACCATTTATAGTAAATAAATTGGTAGTGTTAAACATTTTGAATTATTTTCATAAATATTTTGATGGTTTAGTACGAGTGCAAATGAATGGATTATATTTATGAAACAATTGGAGGAAGAAAATAATTTGACTGTAATTATGGTTTCAGATTATGCATAAAAGTGTAAAGCAGCACAATCCAATTCTAAAAGATTATGCTTATCAAATATATAAAATTTACTCAAGTTGTTGGCTTTCAATTTTAGCCATTATTTCAAAAGTTAATTTTCTAAATATTATTTAGGTAAAAATAATAACCAATAATCATAATTACTAAAGTGTAATATTAATAACAACGTATTGCTTAATTAATTCATGTCCTATTGATGACCTATCAAATATTTATTATTTTCTCAGTTAACATAAATAAATATTGATAGTTATTATTAACAATTTATTTTACTGTAAGATTCAATCATCAAGTATTATAAAATTTCAAGTCAATTTCTTATAGTAAATACTCGCTTACTTTTATCATAAATTAAAAGAGTAAACTTTCATGCCTAAAGATTATTTATCCATTAACAATAGCAATTAAATAGCTGAGAAATCACTCAAATGTGTATAATTTTTAACTTACAATCATTAATATAAAGTTGAAAATAAAAATTCACATGAAAATTCTTTAAAACAAATAATGAAAATGAGTTAGATTTTATTTGATTTTTTCTAATAATTTTAAGGTAACCATTTATTAACCTTTGTAATAGTTTATTACTATTTTTAATACTAATATTACTAAATATAAACCATCTTTATTTAAAATAAATTTTATAAATTACAAAAATATAACTTAAAATTTAAAAAATACTATTTTTGAAAGTAGAATAAATTATTTCTTGATTATCAAAAAAAAGAAATCAAAATTATTTTATTTTAAATGAAATCCTACTTAAAAACAAGTTTAATCAATAAAAAAAATAGATTTTACGCAATAATAGAATAAAATATAATTTATATTGATATTTAGACTAAGCAAACTATTTAATATCAAGCATTTAGGAATATATTCATTAATTGCAAGCCTTATTCTTGCACTCGTTTCCTGACTTTTTAGAATGAACTTTATATTGTTTTGCTTTAAATAATAAATTTGTTAAATTATTTTTTCTGATTTTATTCTATTTATTTTTTGGATTTACTCAATCAAAACATAAATAAATATATTAAAATTTATAGTATTAAAGTTATTTTTTAAATGGAATACAGGCCTTCTTTTATAATTTTTATAATTTTATAACATGAATATATTGAGCTATTTAAAGCTAGCTATCCATAAAAAAATGAAGTGAAAATTAAAAATTTTTAAAAAAATATTTATTTTATAATACTATATACTTATTTATTTATTTACTAAGTTATTTTGTTATTTAGGTTTATAAATTTTTTATTAATAAAATGATATTTTTATTATTTATTTTTTTAGAGTTATTTTGTTCAATAATAATCCATATCGACACCAAGACCACACATAGTAGTATCACCAATGTATTACTTAATAGCAGGCTTAGACCAACCACCGAATGAATATTTACTCCTATAATTTTTAATAAAATAAATTTAATCAAATATTTCTATTGCCTAACAAAAATATAAACTTTAATGTTTTGAATTAAATTTATTAAATCAATTTATTAATGCTCAACAATTGATTAAGTAATAGAAATATCTATGGTAGATAAATCATATAAAAACTTAATTAATTTACTAGCAAGTAAATAAGTAAATTTGTATTTGTAACTTTTAATAAGTAAGATCTATAACTTTTTGGGTTAAAAAGGGGATTTTATGGAAATAAAAGTAAAATTAGATTTAAGTAATAGTTTTGATTAAAAACAATTTTTAGAAGTTAAGATTTGATATCAGTCTCCTTTTTAAGATATAGACTAGTCTTAACTTACTTGATTATTTTGTAAATAGATTATCACAACTATTATTTTTATTCAATTGAATTGGCTGGTTAAAAAATAATCTTAAACAAAAAAAATTCCCAATATAAAAAAATCAATCAATGAGTCTTTGGCATTTTAATTTGGTTTTATTTAATTTAAAGCATTATAAATTTGAATAAGATTCGACAATAAATTAATTTATTTGTTTATTTACCAGTCGCTGAAGCTAGCAGAACCATCATAGTGAGCGTACCAGATAGGGAGATTAGTGAAGTAAGGGCAGTTACCAGCAGCTCCGAAGATGGTGGTCCATTAGTATTGAGAACTATAAATACCAACTAACTTACCATGAGATTGATAAGCAGAGACTATATCCTTCAAGAATTAGCAGTTGGTGTTAATGTTGGAAGTCCAACCACAGCCAGAAGAAGGGTTAGTTTCAACATCAATCCAGACAGTTCCGTATAAAGATCCATAAGCATTAATAGTAGCTTGAGCTTAGGCAGCAGCGCTAACTTTACCGACACAAGGGAAGTGGTAAATATCAGTAATGAGACCAACAGACTTGGCACTTTAGAGAGTAGAAATATTGTTAGTATCAACAGCACCGTAACTCATGTAACCTCTAGCAATAACGAATTAAATTCCTTAATTCTTTAAGCATTAAAAGTTGCTGAAGGGTTGAGAGATATCAACACCAATAACAGCTTGAGCGCCTTGGAAGGAGATTAAGGCAAGTAAGACAACGAGTGTTATTTTAATCATTTGCTTTTTTTTTTAATATTCGGCTTTTGTATTTAATTTATTTTTAATAAATATAATCAATAATCCAAATATCAATATTTTTTTAAAGGGTAATCATTAAAAGCGTGTAATTAAATTTGATATTAAGTAAACTTAATTAGATATTGAAATAAAAATCAGGATAAATAAGGTTAATAAGAATTGATCATTCCTTTCTAGTTAATATAATAATCAATTATTAATTAATTATTTTTAGGATTAATCAATTCATTTTTAAGTTACTTATTGATCGATACTCATCAAATATTAAATTATTATTTTTTATCACTAGATTACTCTTCTAATCAATCTCTTGATCGCAATCAAAATTTTTAAAAACAGTGACAAAATATAAAAATAATTTGAAATAGTTCCAAATTTAAAAACTATGCATTGAAAGAAAAATGATTGATTGATAAATCAGCCTGTGTTCAAATAATTTAAAAAAATCTTTGTTGATATTGTTTCTAATATTTAGAAGCAAAGCAAATTCTTTTTATTGGTAAAAAATTGGAAGAAAAAAATAAATTGAATGTAATTAAGGTTTCATATTAAATATAAAAGTGTAAAGTGGCATAATCAAATTCTAACAATATTATAAACAAAAATTAAATGGCTATTAATTTTTTTGAGTAATTTAGTAATAAAAAGTATTTATTTTTGCTAAATAAAATTGACGTATTCAATTAACCAGATCATTAAATAGTTGATTTTAAATTTTAACCACTTTTATTTCTAAAATCAGATAAATGGAATTTAGAAATATTATTTATTAATTGGATAAATTGTTTTTAATTCAAATTATTAAAATTATGTTTTGAGTAAAAAATATTAAATTAGCTTACTTAGAATTTAAGTTCATATAAAAAGAAGAAATTATAAAATCATTTCAAACCAATTAGATTATTTGAATTACAACAGAATTTATTTAAAAGTATACTTTCTCTTTGTATTTTAATGAAATTCTAAGACGAGTAAATAAATACCAGCAATAAGAAGATGAATTATTAGTTATAAAAAACTAAAAGAAGGAATAAATAAAGCAAGAAAAATCCAAAAATATTAATTTTTTTATACTAAAGATATTTAAAGTTAAGAATTTTATAGTAATCTGAATCAATAAGAAAAGTATAATTAATTGTTTTAGTGCGTAATTTATACCTCCTTTAACACAAACAAATATAACAAAATATGAGTATATTTGGAAAGTAATATCTTAAATTAAAAAAGAATAATAACGATTAACTAAATTAAGGCATACAGATGTGAACACGTTCAAGAAATTTATTTATTGATAATGAGATCAAATGAATAAAAACATTAAGATCTTAATTGTATTTCTTTTGAATTTAATTAAGATTTCTAACATATTCCAATCGATTCATTAAAATTTAATTTTTTAAATGTGTAAACCCTAAAACATTAAAAATATAAAAAATGCATTAAACGAGTAAATAAATGGCTATTAAAATAATGAATAAAAAATATTAAATGTTGCCACTTAAATTTAAAATCTCCCAAAATTAAAAGTATTTAAAATACTATTTTTTTCAATTAAATAATTAAACGAAATTTCAAAAATATTTGTTTAGTAATGGAGAAAAAGTTAATATTTTATAGAATATTTAAATATATTTTACAACATAATTTATAAAACTAAGGTAAATTAACAGATATTTAAATTATTATTTTTTAGCTATTCTGTAAAACTTTTAATTAAAGTTAATGAATTACTTACAAATCATAACATTTTCATTTTTTGATCTTAATATTTTTAATAATATTTAGATAGGCTAAAACAAAATCATCTTAAATAAATAAATTGAATATATTTTTTTTTGAAAATGTTTTATTTAATAGAAATAGAATTTATTTTGTAAATTTATTTTTTTATTAATATATTTGTTACTAGTTTGATTTTCAACTTTTAATATAAATTTATTTATACTTATTAATAAATGTTTTATTTTTAATAGTTTTATATAAATTGTATCAATAGTAATCCATATCCACTCCGAGACCACAGAGAGTTGTAGTTCCTTAGTACTGCTTAATAGAAGGTTTTGTCCATCCACCGAATGTATGTGTAGGCCTTTGTATTTTTTAGTTTTTAAAAAAAATTTAAAAGATGTTGTTTTTTTAAAATACAATTATAAGATTTATTCAAATAAATTAATTTGTTAACCTTAAATAGTATTTATTTATTGAATTTTATTTGCTTTAAATATTTAGCAAAATATTTTAAATTTATTCAACCCATATCAAAATAATTTTTTATGAGATGATTTAGCTTTGAATTAAATATTAAAGTTGAAATATTGTTTAATTGTTTTTAAGTAAATTTTTATCAAAATAGCTTATTTTTAAAGCAAAAATTTAGATTTCTATCAATAGTTTTAAATTTATCAAATTACCAGTCGTTGAAGTTAGCAGCTCCATCATAGTGTGCATACCATATAGGAAGACTAGTGAAGTAGGGACAGTTACCAGCAGCTCCAAAAATACTTGTCCATTAATATTGAGAACTATAAATACCAACTAATTTACCGTGAGATTGATAAGCATGGACTAAATCTACCAAGAATTAACAGTTAGTGTGAATGTTGGAAGTCCAGCCACAGCCAGAAGAAGGATTAGACTCAACATCTATCCAGACAGTACCATACAAAGAACCAAACGAATTAATGGTTGCTTAGGCTTATGCTTGAGGACTTACTTTACCTACACAAGGGAAGTGATAAATATCAGTAATGAGGCCGACAGATTTAGCATTTTATAAAGTTTAAACGTTTTTAGTGTCAACTGCCCCATAACTCATGTAAGCTCTTGCGATAACAAATTTAATTCCCTGGTTTTTCAAGCACTAGAAATTGCTAAAAGACTGAGAAATGTCAACTCCAATAACAGCTTATGCACTTTACAATGAAATCAAGACCAGCAAGGCAATAGCAATATTCTTAATCATTTATGCAGAGTAAATAATTTTGATTTAAATGTTTAGTTTAATAAATAAATAAAAAATAATTAACATCTTTAGGTATTTATAGAACATTCATACATTCATATTTCTTAATATAATTAATCTGACAGAGTAAACTTTCAAATATAAAAACTATATTTTTTATTAACAAGGTTATTAGTCGTTTGTGGTAATAATAAATTCTTTGAGTAAAGGCACTAAAAAATAATTAATTCTTTTGTATTTATCAATCTTTAACTTACAATTAATTGATAATACGGAGGAGGATAGGATTAATTTTTATTCTATGAATATGTTTAAAACCAAAAAATCAATTTTAATAAACAACTAAGTTTTAAGAATAAAGTAAAGATTTTTAAAGATATTATTTTTTGAGTGCGAAAACACAAAAAAGGGATTATTGTTACTATTAAGTAATTTAACACAATTTTTTGAAATCTCTAATTATAATATTCTCTACATTTTCCAAATGCATTTTTTTATTGTGGCAAAAATTGTATTTTTAGTTTTGCTATTTTTTTATGAAAGTGTAAATAACAACACATTAAATCTAATCAAAAAGTTGGCAATTTATTTATAATGTTAACTAATCTACAGATTAATAAATAGTATTCAAAAGAATGTTTCATATTTTGTGTTTAACATTGCTTTTATTTATCAAAAAATGAGCTTGAAAAAGATCTTTGAAATTCTTTAAAAGGATAAGATTTATTTTTAATTTTTTACATACAACAAAATAAACATAAATAGATTTACTGTTTTTGTTAATACATACTAAATAATTTAAAACATATACAAAAAAACCCTCGAACTAAATTTGAATTTTTATTTCTTTTATTAGATTCAATTTAATTAAATAATTAACCTAATTTATTTATGGGAATCCCTTTGAGAAAATAATAACAAAAGCTTTTATTTAATTCAGAAAAGATTCCTGTTACTTAACCATAAGCACAGAAAAATATTCAATTAAAAATATTTCAATTAAAAATAACATTTTAATCCTTTTAAAATTTAAAGTTCTAACTAATCATTTCTCATTTTTTTCTGTATAAATATTATTTTTCAAAATAGATTTAATTAAGCATTCATTATATCTAACTTGAATCAAAAAGCTTTATTAAGACAAATTAAATTTTTAAGTAAGCTATAAAGTTTAAATACTGTCAAATTTTAAAGAAATTCATAATTGTTTCTAAGAAATTAACTTTTATTTTAAAAGTCTAGACTAAAAATATTTATTTATGTATTTTATTTCCATTTTAATTTAATTAGTTAAATAATATAAGAAAATTCTTTAATAAAAATGTATTTGAATCTGAGTTAGATTTTGTTTTATTGCTAATTAATTGATGGTAAACAATTAGAAGATTACTCAAATAATTAATAAAAGCGTATTTATCCATAAATATACTACAGATAGAATATTATTAATAGCATTTATAAATTTTAAATAGAGAAAAAAATTATGCTTATTTATTATTTTTTACTTTATTTTTTTGTAATAATTTTTAAAAATTTATTAATAGCCAGCCATGATTTTATATCTTCTTTTATCTTTTAAAGATTTTTTTTTTGATATGAATAAAAATATGGTTTGCAACTTATATATAAATTTGATTTAGAAGATTTGATTTTTTTTTACAAAAAGAAAAGAAATGATGTAATTAATTCTGAAATAATTATCATAAAGTTTAAAGCATATCTAAATAAATAAAAACCATAAATAAATACAATAAATAAATTAAAATAATCTTATTTATTTATGATAATTTGGTTGAATTATTTTAATTTTTGTTTATTTTTACTGAAAAATCATTTTTTTAAAATTTAAAGTTATAATTAATTTTTAATGAAATAATTTTTTAAATCAATCAAATGACAAACAATTTAATATTCTTATTATTATTTATAATAAATTTAATAATAATAATTTTTATTATTTCTTATATGCTGGATTTGATTTAAGCAGTTTGTTTCATACTTAAATCAGATAGCCAAATGATGAATAAATAAATAATTCTTCATTATTTATTTTTCGATATTTTAACATTCAATCACTGAAAACATTAAATTCAATTAATTTCTTAAACAAATTTAATTTTTTACTTATTTTCTTATTATTTTTTTATTTGAATTAAAAAATAAAGTTTTTTACTTGCATTTTTACTTTTATTAACTAAATTACATAAAATTCACAATTTCTATTGAAAAATGAAAAAAATTAATTAAAAATATATTCAATAAAAAAAAAAGCGTACTGCCCCCATTTAGATAGAAACAAATATTTTTTTTATGTTGTTTGAATTTGGATATATTTTTTTCACTTTTCTTTTTTCTTTTGTTTCTTTTTTAATTAATTTTAATTGTATTTAATAATTGAGTAATTGAGAGAATATAGTTTAATTATTTGTTTGTTTGTTTGTTTTTTTGCTTGCTTGTTTATTTGTTTTTTGTGTGTTTTGCTTAATTTTATTTATTAGTTTTATTGCTTTGTGCTTTTGTTTGCTTGTTTGGGTTTTTCTTAGTTTGTTTGTTTATTTATTTATTTTTTTTATCATCTTTATTTTATCTGATTTTTTATTTTTTTTATGAGTTGATTTTTGTTTTATTTTATTTCATATGATTTTATTCAAATTTGAATTTAAAACTATATTTCTCTCTTTCTTTTTATCTTTTTATCTTTTTTTTTTAATAAATAGTGAAAACGCCAAAAAATAGCGATTTGCGTGTGTTGTAAGTGAGACGTGTTTAGCTAAATGGAGAAAAGACCCCAATGACTCCTCTTCTAGATAACTACCTGCTATGAAGAAGATTTAATGAGTGAATTTGTTTCCAAAAGCAATCACTATTCTTCTGTCACGAGCGAGAATTGCGAAAAGGCCTACCTCAGAACTTAGGATTATACATTTTATTATTTTTCGTTCTTATAATAAAAGATAGTCTTTAAGTTCTATTATTTTTAGGCGAAACTTTTTGCAATCTTTTGTAGTAACTGTATGAGGGTGGGATTATTTGCTCTGTATACTTAAGGTTGGATTTCCATTCGATAAAAACTTAACGGCTTGATCCCTAGGAGAGAATATTATTGGCATTTAATATTTTTTTTGCCGGGAGTGCAAAGAACCTTAAGTTTCAGAGAAAATAATCCTTTACCGCCATTGTTAAAGATCCAAACTGTCCATTTTAAGTCTTTTTTACTAACGCACACAAATTCCTTCTATTTTTATCAATTTATTTGTATTTCTTAAAATTAAGAATCTTTTTGATTAATTAATTATTATATTTTTTCCCCTTGTATCAATACTTAAAAATTCAAATTTTTCTTAATTAGAGCAAACATTTTTTTCATACATATTTCACTTTTTTAATTAATTAATTATTGATTTTCCCTAACATAAATATGAAAAGGATATTTTCTTAATTAATTATTTCAAAGCAGAATTAAAACATTCATAACTATTTAATTGAAACACTCATATTTAGCTAACAAGATTAGATAAATTATGCAAATTGATCATTCAAAAAAAAATTTTATTAAATTAATAAACAAATATTAATAAATACAATTAAATATTTATCATCAATCAATCAATACTTTATATTTAATAAAATTTAATTTACAAAAATAATTTTATTCAATTTGAATAACAAATGATTTAAAATTAACAATCTAAATTAGTTTTCAGTTTTCTCATAATTCAATTATTAGGTTATAATAATTATAAATTGTTTTTTATCATTTGTTAATAGAATATTACATACTTTCAAAATTAATAAGCTTTAATAAGTTTACTTATCAAAATCAATAATTAGATATGCTCATTCAGAAAATCTTAAAGCCTTAAAAATTATTACTAGACATTTTAGAAATAATTTATTAGCTAATTATATTTATTCATAAATATTCTAATAGTTAAGATTAAATCTTTTTATAAAAATGCTTATTTCATATATAGAACTAAGAGAGGAATTTAACTCGAAGATATCTAAGCTATGAGATCTAAATAAATTGTTGAAAACAGGTTGAGGAAACTTACCATAATAGCATATTCAAAATTAATTAAATAATAATTTTATATTTATTATTTTTTTTATCAAATAAGTATTTATTTATATTTATTTTAAAAATCAAAATTATTCATCTATTTATTTAATAAACTTAAATAATCTTCTAAACAATAAAATCTTTATGTAAAAAGAGATCGAAATAATTTTTATAAATTTTATTGGTAAAAATAAATAAGTATAAATATCTATTTTTTTATTACAAACGTCATTAAGATCTACCTACATATCATAGATAAATAAAGATAATATTAAGTGTAAATATGTATGTATAATACAATATATATCAAATGCTTGAAATTTTAGAAAGATATTCATTCACTTATTTATTTAATAATTTATTTGGTAATTAATTAATAGATTTATTAATTTTTCAACTAGAATTATTAGATGAAGACTCAAAAACATATATATAATTAAAGTTAAATCAACTTTTTACTTGAAAAGAATGTTTATTTTAGTTTAAAATTAATTAAAATTATTTTTGATCACTCTTCAAGATACTTATAAAGTACCATAGCTTCTCCCTCTACTGCGATTTTATCGTTTTCATGGATTTTATGAAGACTTGTTTTCAATTTAATGAACTTTTTCTTGTAATTAACGTCAATTACTTCCATTCTTCCTTCAACCTAGAAGTTATTTGTTTATTTTATTCGCATATTTTAATATTTCATTGTAAAAATTTATAGTTACTTCTTCGTTTAGAAAAACAGGAGCTGTAAACTTTAATGTTTGGTTAAGGTAAATTGCATCGTGAAGTGTTGAACCGAGCATTTATCCAAAGATACCTCCTGTGAGCATACCGTGAGCTACTCTTTGTTTGAAGATACTTTTTTTACCTAAATTTAGAATAAATTTGTTTAGAATTTTCAGTTTAAGCAAATTTACCTGCTTCTTCATCAGTATGAATTGGATTGTTATCGCCTGATATTTCAGCATAAGTTTTAACTTGTTGCTCGGTGTACTTTCTTTTGAGCAAAAAGTAATCTCCAACTACAATTTTGGTGTGCTTCTTTCCCTATTAAATTAAAACATATTTTTCAATAACTTAAAAGGATATTTTATTCTTTTTAGTCTTTACTGGTAATAGCTAGGAGCCATAGTAGATATTTTTTGTGAAAAGGGAATTGAATCTGTTCATTTTTTAAGCAAATAGAATACTAACAAATATATTAACTTTTTTAATTAAATTATATGATAAATCTTTCTTTGTAAATGTATGTATATGAATTATTTTATATTAATTTGGAATTATTTAATATCAAATTATTGTGATATTATGCAATTTACTGATCTTCAACTCATCAAAATTCTTATTAAGATGTAATCTCCATAAGTTATTTACATTTGATTGAATCTTTTTGTTTATAATCAGTTAGGTATTAGATAAAAATTAAATCAATGTCAAGTTTCAAATAAGCTTAAAATATTAAAATTAAATAAAATTTATTCAAAATATTTTTAATCTATTTTTAATAAAATAATCATAGATTTTATTTATCAAGATATAGCTGATGTAATGAATGTTAATCAATCTAAGAATTTTACAAATAGATAGACGCAAAAAAAACAAGCCTTAATTAAGCACATTAAATTTCAGATTTGAGTCTTATTAAATTTGATATTTATATTTACCAATATTTATTTTGTTAATCAATTAATATAAATAAATTATTATTTATTTTAATACATGTCTTCTAGAAGTTCTAGTTCTTCTCTTGAAGTAGAAAGAAGACCAGCAGCTAGATAGCCTTAAAGGCCAGTCGAGCAAGAGACTTAGCCTTAAGAGTAAATTACAGCCTAGAAAGTATAGGAAATATAGAAGGATTCTAGCTAGTTGGAATAAGTTAGTCAAAATAATTAGTATGCAAAATAAGAACAATAACAAGATGATAAAAATAAAAAAAATCGCTCAAGGTCTTCAAGCAAACAGAAAGATGAAAAAAAAAGTGATAAATCTTCAAATTATGCAGACAAAAGGGAATATAAAGAAAAAAAAGATAGTCGTTCAAGAAATAGTAGAAGTAGATCTCCAAATTACAGAAGTAGAAGGGAAGATGATGATAGAAAATATAGAGACAATAAAGACAGCTATAGAGATAGAAAAAGGAGAGACGATGATTATAATTATAACAGACATAAAAATGATAGAGAATTCCATGAAGATAGATTATATAAAAATAAAGAAGATAGATATAACAGAGACAGAAGGAACTCTCCTGATAGGAATAATTAAAAGAGCTATAAAAGTTATAGAGATGAACGCAAGAGAAGTAGGTCTAGGGATAGTGAAAATAGATATAAAAGTAGTAGAAATGAAAAAAAATACAGCAGAAGAGACAACGATTCATATGAAGAGAAAAAATTAGATATTAGATAAAATGCTGATGACATGTATGGCAAGAAAAATGATAAAAAATCAAACAAATAGGAAGACGAAGAATAAAAACCTGAAGAAAACACAGTGTTAGAGAAACCTTGTTGGACTCCTTCAGGAATTTTAGCTAAATATTAAAATAATGTGAAGTAAAATATTCAAATTAGATATTAAATATAAAAATTAAAATTGTCATTTAATATAATAAAGTGGTGTTACTCTCAAATTCACCAAGCCACTTGATGCAGAAAAGCCCAAAGAAAACTGGAGTCTTTATCCATTCAAGGGAGATGAAAAGTTTGGTAAATTATTCAATTTAAAAAATTCAAAACAAAATTAACTTTATTGCTTGCTTAAATAAATAGATGTAATTAGACTCAAAGGAGACAGTGCCTTTTTGGTAGGAAAAGACCCAAGAGTTTGCTTTATTCTGTGCGAAAACCCATCAGTCAGCAGTCAGCATGCTGTAATCCAATTTAGAGATATCAAATAAATGGATTATGGAATCGGATAATACACATCAATTATAAGACCTTATATTATGGATTTAGAAAGCACAAATGGAACTTTGCTAAATAATGAAAAAATAGAGCCTGCTAAATATATTTAATTACTTCCTAAAGATGTCTTAAAATTTGGATTTTCTTAAAGGGAATATGTTTTAATGAAAGAAAACTGAACAAACAAACAAATTTAACTAATTATAACACTAGCTAAACCATTCATTAAAATATTTTTAAAATATAAATTTTCAAAGATGCTATTATTAATTCGCTCACACATTCATTTCTTTGTTTATAATGTATTCAATCTAAATTATAATATAAAATAGTTAATTTATAAAAAGATCAATCATTTTTTTGTTTGATTTATTGTAATATTTGTAGATCCACTTAAACAAACAATAACTTTCACTTGATTACCATAAATATACTCAATTAATAATACAGTAAAATCCTATTTGTTCAAATAGTTATAATAGTTTTAAAATTATATCTAATTAACTAAAATTGTTTGACATTTAAAAATATTCAAATTATTTATTAAAACAGAAAAAAAAAGATAATTTATTATTTAAATTTTATAATTATATCAATAAATGATAGATCTATCTATTTATGTTTTATTGTTATAATATTCATATAAATAAATGACTTAGCTAATATTATTATGTATTTATACAAAGAGGATATAAATAAAATTAAATTATGATTATAATTAACAGGCAGACAGAAAGACATATTTTAATTATTAAATGATTATTTGAGTAAATAAAATCATTTTTAATTTATAATGCATTTTTATATCGCTAAGTTTTCAATCAATAAATTAGGTAACTTTTCTTGTAGAAATTAATAATAAAGTCTTATCATTTCTAAATTAATTAATTAATTATCTTATTTTAATATCTAAATGATTTAATTAGTTTATTGATTACTTGCTTTTTTTATATTTCTTAAAAAAAAATTTATTTATTAAAAATCAATTCAACTTATTCAATTCCATATCTTAAGATTTTCAATTTATTAGCTTTTAAACATGAAACTACAAGTAAGTTAAATTGTATTAACTTATAGAAATAGATTTTTATACCTCAATTTATGCTTAATAGGTTCACATAAAAGATAGAATGTTTACTATTAATTGCGGAGAAGGCGCATAAAAAATAAGGTATTTAATTTTTATAATAATACTTAATTAGCTTGCTATTTAGTCAATAATTAAGATTAAATGATGAAAAATCAATCTATAAAAAATTATTTATAATATGCTAAACTCTATTTTATTCAACATAGATGGCTAGGAGATGTGGCAGTATTTAGATATGAACATTTTTATGGTAATTTAAGTGGAACTCCTAAAGGTGTTAGGTTTGAAAGCGGAGATTTGTTACCAATGGATGGAATTATTTCTGATCATTTGCAAGATGATTCACATGTTTGGGTTATACTAAAAGGTTTATTTTTTATTTACTAATTATAAAATAAGCTTTATAAATATATATCATTTATATTTTAGAGGACATGGAAGGATTAGGTATATAGAAAGATAAAAAAGGAGGAGTTCCTGATAAAAGTGGAAGCAATTTTAGAATCAGACCAAATACAGCTGCAGTAACTAAGAAGAAGTGATTGAATATTAAATAAATAGATTAATTAATTGACTGATTTTTACATCGATTGATAAATTTATTAGGAATTTAAAAAGATTCAGTTAACTTTTTAAAAAATAAGCAAGAAAGCAAGCAAGCAAGTAAAAATAAATAATAAATGATAACTTTTGTAAACATAAAATTGTAATATATTTATTTAATGATGATTTATAATTTTTATAATATGAGATAATTATTAATATAAAGTTTTATATATATATATATATATATATATATATATATATATATACATGCATACTATTTGTTTTATTTCTATTTTTTAAATTATTTTCATCTTTATTAATCAGTATTTATAAATAATACATTAAAGGCTTATTAAACTATATTATTCTTTTCTTCCATCTTTTTTTATTTTTTATAACAGGATAATTGTGCCTACACTGCCACTAAAATTAATAAATTTTTTAGTAAAGAAAATATAGATTGATTGGTCTACTTACTTAGCCAACAAAATCTCCAGACAGAAATCTCACCAATTAATTGAGAATGTCTGGAGTGTTTTAAAAAATAATCTTTGGAAACAATAAAAAATTTTTGATATTGATTCATTTCTTAATTTTTAATATTCTATCATAAACTTACATATTTACTATCTGATTCCTACTATATTATTAAGTATATGTTTTAAATTGAAATATTAAGATTTAATAATTAATGTACACTAACTAACTAATACAATCTTATTAATTATATTTTTTTTCTTCAATATTTAAAAAGTAACAATTAAATAGGTGTAACAAGTCTTAGGTTCTGCTTTCATAATGAGCACTAATCTCTCAAATTTGGCACTTATTCTTAAATAAAAACAGTTTATTTGTTTAGGATTGTAATAAAAATAAATTCATAATAAAATAGGTAACTCTTTTAATTTATTTAGTTATTTAATAGCTTTTTATTTGATTTATTTTATTTTTTTGTGTTTTTTTTCATCTTTCTTTGTTAATCTACTTAATTAATTAATTATTTTATTTAAAATATATACTTTATTATTAATTTCTTATTATTTCATATTGTTTCTTTATTTTTGCCTTTTAATTAAATAAAAAAATTAATTAATTATTTTATATTTTTTCTTCTATATTTAAAAAGGTCTAATTAAATTGGTGACCAGAGTGCATTAAGTTTAGGATTTGCTTTAGCAAATTACACTAATATCTCAAATTTAGTGCTTAATTTTAAATAAAAATAATTTATTTATTTTGAATTATAATATTGTTTGGTTTTAAAACAAATTTAAAAAAAATTGAATTCTTTTAATTTATTAATTAATTAGCTTTTTATTTTATTTATATATTTTTCTTTTTTATTCTGCTTTTTTTTTTTCTTCATTTTTTGTTAACTTAACTAATTTATTTTTTTATTTTCAACTTCTATTTTTATATTAATTAACTTATTTCAGGGGGAGGGGGGGGGGAGGATGAATGAAAATATTTAAAACAAAAATTAAATGGGTCCCTGTTATTTGTTTATTTATTATGTTTTTTATTTTTATTTTTCTTTCTAATTCCTTCCATTACTATTTTTTATATCTACTATTGATTTATATTATTAATTATTATTTAAAAATATTATTATATTTAACTTTTTTACTCATTTACACTAATTTATTTAAAAATTTAAAAGGAAATCAACGAATTATAATAATTGATAGTAAAAGCTTGTATCTTAAATCAAAAAGATTAATTTTCTTCAAAATAAATTATAGTTGATAAAAAGAGTAGTAAAAATGACAAAAAAATATAAAAATATTTGAATGACATAATATGTTATATTTATATAATATTTTGTAATAGGATAATATTATCTAAAATGTAAATAGATAAATAGATTTATTATTATTTTTATATTTTTTAATATCTTATATTTGTATGATAATTATAAAATAAAATTAAATTTTACTTAATTAAAGTAATAAATAACAGTAAATTAATTTTAGAAACTTAAACAATGATCAAATATTTTAATAATAACTAGTGTATTATTATTAAATTACTTAAATATGAATGTTTTATAGTAATTATATATTTTAGATGTATTAATAATGGAAATTAATATTTTTAAAGCATAACTATATACATAAAATAATGATTTAAATTGTTAGAAAGATTAGAAATTTTAGTGTAAATTAGTTAGAATTAATTTTTTTATTTAATTATTATTGAAATTCTATTTATTTTTAATGCTTTTGAATTTCATTATCAATTAAATTATTTGAAAATTAGACGAAATTAAAAAATTAATTTAGAAACTGCAATTTATTTTTTTATGTGAAGTAATTAATTTGGATATGCTAGCAAGTCAAATAGATAATAACCCAATATTTTGCGGCAAAAGAATTTAACAAAATTTATATCTAAAGTAAGCAATGATAACAGAAATTGGCCTATTAACAAAAAAGTATCAATTATTTTGAATGATTTAACAAAAACAAGCAATCAATCAGAAAATAAAATATGGGAAATATTAAATAAATGTAAAATCTTTGATAAACCATAATAAGAGTAGCTGATTGATTCTTTCTTTCTTTTTGAATATTATTTAATTTAAAGAAAATGAATGTATTATTGTATGAATTTGTATGGATATTTATATTGCATATAATTAAATTACTTCTTGCTGTATTGCTGTAAAGTAAAGTAAATAATATTAACTAATTAATTGATTGATATTCACAAAATAAATAATTAAATAAATAGAAAGGAATCAGAAATAAGTTTTGGATAAATTCAATAAGGGGCGAACTCTCAAATCAAAAAATATTAAATTTTTAATTAAAAAATATCAAAACTAAGTTAATAAAAAATAAAGAGAATGACTACTGACCCAAGTGAGCAAGAACAAGAGTTAATCAAATAATTATTAGAAAAGAATATAGAATGCAGAAAATTAGATGATGACTTCTATGATTTTATTCAAGAGTTATAAGACTCATCTTAAATAGATATAGGTGAAGGTGGATATAACCAAATGAAATTATGGATATAGCAATTCTTAAAATTAAAAAATCTTACTTTTTACCCTATTGAAGAAGATAACTAGAATAATGATAATGTTGTTAATGCTGCTGACAATTAGATTCCTTCTCCTCCTAAAAAAGATGAATCTCCTCAAGAATAAAGGAACTAACAACTCTAAGTTGAAGAACAGAAAGATTAGAGTCCATCAAAATCACCATCTCAAAATAAATAGGTCATTACTTACAATACTACCCCTTAAATTCAACCCTATTAACAGACAACAAATTATCCTCCTTAAAATCAATATAACAACCCTGATGAGAGTTTGATGAATGCTTTAGATTGCCTTGTAGCAGGAGGAGGAGACAATGTAGGTGGAAACTTAAATAATTTCGATTTTGATGACGATGATATTGACTTTTTCTAGCCACCACCATCTAATTAGGCTCAAAAGAAGATTGAACCACCTAAATAAGAAATTCATTAGCATCCTCCATAACAAATAAATACCAGCGAACAATAGCAATAGCATTAATCACATCTCTAATAACAACAACAATAACCTTAATAATATTAGTAGAATCAAGATATAAAATAGTAATAGCCATAATAAGTGCAACCAATTTAGTATGCTCCCCAAGTTTAATAAAATTAAGTTCAATAGAATTAATAGGCCCAGGTTTAGTAATAGCAATACCAATATCCTGTAGGAAGAAGTCAATCGGATGTTATTCAAGAGCAAGATATAAGCAAAAATGATGCTCTCAGCAGGACTACATTAGAGTAGAACAGTAAAAAATCATTTGGATATAACAGTGGTTAAAATTAACCCTAGCCTATTTAGCAAAACTAGCCTTAGCAAAATAACTAAAAATATCCAGTTATTAATTACTAAAATGGACCTAGCACACCTATTGTACAACCCAAGTAACAAATAAATCCAGATATAAGTATGATGCCCGACTTTTAAACTCCTAAAATGATGAATTTGACTTAATAATTTAGCGATATTTCTGTAATAGGGAATTCAGACGAGCCTTCTAAGGTAATAGAAATTTCAACAATTAAAAATTAATTTTAGGAGATTGATATGACAAAAATAAATAAATTTTAAAAAAATAGTTTATAACAACTGAAGAGCATATGAAGCTGATTGAATAGTTTGAAAAATAGCTCCAAGATAGAGAATACTTAAATGCAAGTTAAATTGTTGAGTGCCAAAAAGTAGAATTAAATAAAATAGGCAAATTCCTCAAGACTTACCCTGATAAGAAGCCCAAAGTCATGATTCAAAGCTATAGAGTTTTGGAAGAAGGATTCTTAAAGAATAATTTTGTCCTATATACAGTCAGTATTACCGAATTAGGATGGACATGCTATCGTAGATACAGTGATTTCAAGATTCTCAGAGACATTTTTGAAAACTAATTCCCAGGCTATTTCATTCCTCCACTTCCCAGAAGGACAATGGCAAGGTAAATATTGGTCTAAATTAATTTTATTTAATATCTGAAGTAGTTAAAATTAAACTTTAAAGTAGTCTTTGCAATAGGACATGACATCTAAATTTATTTATTTACTTTTGGATTTCAAAAGATTTACTATGCAATTATTTAGGATAAGATTTAAGGATTTATTGGATTATCCTCCTTAGTAGCCACTTTACAACAAAAATATCTTTTCCAAATTTTGCTCTAAATATGAGCTTTTTTGAATGTAATTTTTTTGAATCTTCTGTTGTAATAAAAGAAATTTTCTATTAATTTTTTTCTGATCAAAATGTCTGCTCAAATAATTATATCTATCTATCTATCCTTCTTAATTAAAAATTGGTATAAAAGAATATTTAATTTTATTAAAAAAAATCTTCAACACAATACAACTTAACTTTACACAAATATCATCATTTCTACTGATATTGCGCATTTTAAACAAATAAATAAATAAATATTCATTTTTCATCCCAAACCAAAATAAGTTTAAAGAGTAAACTAAAGCATTAGCTTACTATAAAATTAATCAAATAATTCTACTATTCCTAAAATAAAATAAATAAACTGTTAGTTTCTTTTATATTTAAAAGTAAGTATCACCTTCAATTGATACATAAATAAAGTTTTAGCTTAACCTTAAGTTAAACTTAATATTACCAAAATTTTATCAAAGTTAAATAAAAAATTAGAACTTATTTTTAAATAAAATTTTAACTTATTCAGATAAAATATTTTTTTTAGAATGATAATTTATTTTTATTTAATAATAACAATAGAAAATTCGAACCTGAGTATCTTGATAAGAGAATGAAAATTCTTGAATAGTTTATGGAAGCTGTATTAGAAAGTGAACTTCTTCGTAACAGTTAATATTTGGAAGATTTCTTATTTATCTAAGACGAAGCAAAATATAGAAAGGTAGCCACTAATGTAAAAGATGGACCTATTGAATTAAACTAATTCTATTCTATTGACGGAAAAATTAACTGCTAAAATTCTACCAACTTTTAAACTTATGGAGCAGCATTTAGAAATTACACTCAAAATCTTACAACTTTATATAACAAAGCCAAGTAGTTGACCAAAGAAGTTGTTAAAAACCTTGATGATTCATAAAGAAGTTTGAAGAATCTCTCTGGAGTTTTTTTGGATTTAAGCAAAATTACTAACGAATTTAACTAGCGCAATAAAATCGGTGTCAATGAATACTTATAAAAGTAGTATGAAGAAAATAGCAAATTCCTAAATGAGTATTCTGATTTCCTAGATAAGCAATCTAAACTATTTAAGAATTACATCTACCTTAAGATGAGATATGAAAAAAAAGTTTGTGAGGTGTTTGAAGAAATGTCTAATAAACGCAACAAGCTGATGGCTTCATTTTAAGATGCCTTTACCAAAATTAATTAAAAGAAATAAAAGCTGTTTGACAAAAAAGACATAAAATAATGGGAACTTCCTCCCAATCTCCCAGTTGATCAAATGGCATTGATGTCTGATTCTAAACTTGCATTTAAATATATGCTCCCTCGTGAAACTCAACTTGTCAAATAGATGAATAAGAAAATTAACTTCTTCAATTCAAACTTGTTTTATGAAACTCGTAAATACTTGAAAATCAGAGAAACTAAGATATCTAGTGACTTTATTTAGTTTACGATGGAGAATAGTGAGTATCTAACTCGATTAAAGGAATATCACGACTAGCATTTACAAAGAATCCAGCAAGTAGTAATTGACAGTCAATAAAATATTATAAGGCAGCTAGAAGATGATAGGAAAGTAATTGACCAATCAATTAATGGAACTTTCATGACGGATTAGCAGTGCTAAGTCAAAAAAGTTGTATTTTGATATTTATTATAATTTATTCAGGATTTTAAATAAGTTAGCAAATTAATAAATCAATAAATCAAACAATCAATAATATCATTTTGTCGTTTAAATTTAAAATAATTGTTTACATGGTTTATTTATAGTTTTTGTCTCATATTATTGAATTGTATGATTAGCATTATAAATTCTTATTAATAATTTACAAATAATAATTAAATAAAGTAATTAATTTCATTTCATTTTCTAATATAGGCTTGAACTAGAAATATAACAAATCTTTTTGTTTAGTTACTTAGTTAATTGATTGATTGATTAGCGTATTGTCTGTCTAGATGAGATCCTAATTTAAAAAAAATGAATTTATATATTTTCATAACTCAATAATAAATCCTTTTAATTGTAAAATATTTATTTATGTTTTTATGTGTAGAAATTTTGATTTAATATATACTTGAATACTGTTTTTGTTGAAAAATAACAAACAAATATTGTATATTTTGAAAAGAAAGATAAAGATTAAGATGACTCAACCTTAAAATACTACTTAAATCTTTACCATTAAGAGATAAATAATATATACTTATGATTTTATTGAGTTTGAAGAAAAAATTAAGGGTACAAAATAATGTTTATGGAGAATAATCTATCGATGGTTTGCCTAAAATAGCAATAGAAAAACTAGATGATGAAATAAAAGACTGAGTGCTAAAATAAATAGACAAAATGCTTCAAACGTAAAAAAATAATTATTAAATAAAAATGGCAATCAATATGAAGATCAAAGAAGGAAAAATCTTTAGATAAGATAAACAGTACTAAAAGTGGATTGTACAATTCTATGTTGAAATTACAAAAGAAAAGATGTAAAAGAAAGATAAGAAGAAGAAATATCTATCAGCTGTAAAGTAAGTGCCCCCCAGAGTTTGGCAAGATACTATTCTAATTAAATTTTTTTAAGAAGAAAAATACATCTTATAAATAGGTAACTTGTGAAATAAAATACGTCTTTTAAATATTTGTGAAGAAAAATAATAAATACAATAGCAAACAAATATTGTATCTAAGATATTTTAATATTACTATTTCAAATAAGCCTTTTCTATCTAGATATACTTGAGATTATTAATTCTTTATCAGAGGGTTATATTAAAAATGCTATAAAATAAGTGTAAGTATTTTTAAAATTGAGCATATATATAGTTAGTTATGTGTTGGTAGGTAGATAATTATTTTATTTTTTAAAAATTTAATATTTGGTAAAGAAAGTAAAATTTGATTTCTCTATGAGGTTTTATTTAAGTCTTGGTACCTAATTAATCATGGTAAATAAAAAAAGGATAGAAATATGATTGATCGATAATATTTGAGATTAAAATATATATAACTGGCATTAAAAGCTTGGCATTTATATAATTTCATAATATATAATATAACACTAAAAATTTTTAATTATTTGATCCTTTTTAGAGAAACAGGAGAGTTTGTTTAAGAGGAATTAATTTATTTAACTAAATTTAATTTTTTTTTTATTTTTTATTTTTACAAACAATTTATTTACTTACAAAAATAAATATGAATGATATTTATAATAAAAAACAATAATAAAATCTAATTTATTTTAGGTTAAAAAAACTTTTTCAAAATATTAAAAAATAAAAAAACCTTTAATATTCAATTATTTAAACATTTAATATTTATTCTTCCTTTTTTCGCCATTCACTAGAATTATATTTTAAAAACAACTAATCTTTTTGATTTAAGACACTTGCTTATTACTTTGAATTTTTATGATTAATACATTGAGCTAAAATTATATAATAAATTTGTGTAAATTTTAAATAAATATCAAATAGAATAAACTTTTAAATTAAAAATTATTTCTTAAATTAATAAATAAATAAATATCTTTAGTCGAATAAAAAAGATAAAAAATAAATCAAATAAATTCAAAGAGCTTTTTTGTTTTAAATTAGTTTTTATAATTCAAAATATCACAATCCAAAACGAATAAACTCTTTTTACTCAAGCTCAAGTTTCAAATTTGAGAGATTAATGCAATTTGCTAAACCAGAACCTAAGCCTGATGCACCCTTTGCACCAATTTGATTGCACCTTTTTAAATATTGAAGAAAAAATATATCATTAAATAGTTAATTAGAAGGAAAAAATGAAGAAAGAATATGAAATAATTAGATTAATTAATTGATAATAAAAACAAAAGTTAAAAATAAAATGATGAGTTAAATTAACAAAGAAAGAACAAAAAAAAAGCAAGCACAATAAAAAGGAAAAGAAAAGAGAGCTTTATTGTTTTAAATTAGTTTTTATAATTCAAAATATCACAATCCAAAACAAATAAACAGTTTTTACTAAAGGTAAAGTGACAAATTTGAGAGATTAATGCAATTTGCTAAACCAGAACCTAAGCCTGATGCACCTTCATCACCAATTTGATTGCCCCTTTTTAAATATTGAAGAAATAATATATCATTTAATAGTTAATTAGAAGGAAAAAATGAAGAAATAATATGAAATAATAAGATTATTTAATTGATAATAAAAACAAAAGTTAAAAATAAAATGATGAGTTAAATTAACAAAGAAAGAACAAAAAAAAAAGCAAGCACAATAAAAAGGAAAAGAAAAGAGAGCTTTATTGTTTTAAATTAGTTTTTATAATTCAAAATATCGCAATCCAAAACGAATAAACTGTTTTTACTCAAGCTCAAGTTTCAAATTTGAGAGATTAATGCAATTTACTAAACCAGAACCTAAGCCTGATGCACCTTTAGCACGAATATAATTGCCACTTTTTAAATATTGAAGAAATAATATATCATTAAATAGTTAATTAGAAGGAAAAAATGAAGAAAGAATATGAAATAATTAGATTAATTAATTGATAATAAAAACAAAAAGTTAAAAATAAAA